ATAAGCATAGCTTTTTAAAAAAAAACTATTATGGCAGATATGTATTGGGCTGATTATCAATTCGAATCTTTACAGGTGTGGAATAATAATAAATCTTGATAAATAAATAACCACAATGTATGAATGTTTGTTTGTTTGGAAATATCCATTTAAAGGTTTTCCTCTTTTAATCCGACCCTGATAAAATACCACTTGCTGAGCGTTCAAGGATTTATTTCGCTCGAGTGCCTCCTCGATGTGAGCGAAATAAACATAAATAAAGTTTATTTATTTTTTTAAATACCTCGGCAAGGAATCAACAAAATATTATATTGGTACAGTTGATTTAAAAATCAAAACGTATCTACCGGAGGTGCTGTTTTTAATTTATTGTATGTGACTCCGTCATAGAAGATTTTAAAAAAAAATCCTAATATTACTTAGGACAATAAACTAAATTATTGAGGACACATCACTTCAAGTTTCTTTCATGGTTTTTGGATGTAGGAAAAGGAGAAAACCTTAAGAATGGGGGACAAATACGATATATATATTTTTTTTAAACCTTTTATTTTTTATTTTTGGAATTTGGTTATCCCGAAAGATATATATATATATAAAGAGAACGGTGTTGGTAAATCAATCTTAATTTTGTGAAACACAACTACAGCTTTTCTTCAGTAGTAAAAGAAGTAATGTAAGTATAATTTTAGTAGAAAGAGCGATTCTTAAATCTTCTGGTCGACATTAGCTACATCTAATACAAACCCATTACTTGAAACGTTACAAATCTGCCTTATATTTTCAGTAAAAATTTAACTAAAAGTCTTGTCCATGAAATAAGGAATACGCGATTTTTTTTCATGAACATGATTCTTTGAATGTTGCTATCTTCCACGATCTTACGAATAATTATATTTTTTCTACTTACTAGATTTAGTAAATTTACTAGATTTAGTCTAGAAGGTTTTAATAGAATTGTTGTGGTATATTTTTGTGCGGCGGACCAATTAAATATCGATAGTAAACAATTGTCTAAAATTAATGTTTTCTTTATTTTAAATATTTATAAATTACTTCCACTGTTGTGCTGGCCAATTTAAATAATTTTTGATGTTGATAAAAAATTGAATAAGAGCCAACAAATCGACGATCTATTAAAGTTGTGACCTAGTTCCCTTGTTCTTCCAACAGTTTAGCCCTTCTAGATTCTATTTCTGCACTTTTGTCAAAATAGTCGAAAATGCCATTACTGAACTTTCACTCTATTTCGAGAGTCAAAGTAACGGAGTTTTATTTTTCTCGGGTGATTTTCAATCTTGATGTGAACCTATTTCTTCAAATTGAAATGGAATAGTCCGAGAGGCCGTTACTTATTTATTGGCTTATATAAACATTATCCACAAGGCAGTGTCTTGGGCCCAGTTCTCTTCATCCTCCTCACCGCTGACATTCCAACCAACCCCGATACCCTTCTAGCAACCTTCGCTGACGATACCGCCATCCTGTCATCCCACTCAGATCCTGAAACAGCATCCTTAAACCTACAAAGACACATCTCCCTGATTGAGCAATGGTGCAACAATTGGCGCATTAAGATAAATGAATCCAAATGCAATAATGTCACCTTTACCCTCCGACGCAGATCCTGTCCACATATCCTTTTCAACTCTGTACCTCTCCCCGTCTCAGACACAGTTCGGTATCTTGGATTCCTTTTAGACAAAAGACTAACTTGGAACCCACATACCAGACTTAAAAGACAAGAACTTAACCGAAGATTTGGCCAGCTATACAGACTACTTAACAGAAAATCCAATCTCTCAATAGAAAAGAAACTATTAATATACAAGACCATGCTCAAACCCATCTGGACCTACGGACTTGAACTGTGGGGGACAACTAAATTTTCGAATATCAAACGCATCCAATCCTTTCAGTCTAAAGTCTTCCGTATAATAGTCAATGCTCCTTATTATGTTACTAACAAAACCCTACATCATGACCTTTACATCCCTTATGTCCTTGACGTTATTCCATCTCGATTCTCAAATTTTCATCTGAACCTAATTCACCATCCTAACTCCTTAGCACAATCCTTATCCAGCTCCAGTCACCCCTACAACCCTCCTCGAAGGTTGAAACGGCAGTGGCCTCGAGACCTTTTGTAAAGACTGTCACTGGAGTTCTGGCAATGGCCAGCCTCTCCACTCACGTCATGAGCGTCTGTTGCTTTAGTGCCCTCTCTCAGTTTCCACTGGACTCCTGCAGGTGACGCAGCTGAGAGAGAAGCGCTGGGATCTCTGAGAGTCTCGCTTTGTCCTTCACACGTGGAAGAAAGGGCTGGACTCGGAGCTCCCTTGGCTGATTGTAAATAAAGTATGAATGTTTTTCTTTATTTATATATTAAGTATGAATGTTTTTCTTTTTTATATATCTATTTGTTTTACTTATGACTTATTTAATTTGCTACCAATTTCTGTATTTTTTATTATTATTATTATTTTTTTTAATTTGAATTCAAGTTACATTTCTTTAATTTTATAGTTTTTACCTTTGTTATATAGATATATATTTTTATTTATTTATTTTTATTGCATTGTATATATAGTATGAATGGGCCTCACTCAGCTTTAGTACTCAATGCCTTTAAATGTGGCAAAATGTATTATTTCTCAATAAAAAGATTTAAAAAATATATATATATATATAAACATTGACAGCTATGTAATAACGAAAAAAGTTTTTCTGAAAAATATCGGAATTTAAACGTTGTTATGGTTGCTCTAATTTTTGAATGGTAGAAGAAAATAAAATGTTAAAGTATATATATTTTTTAAGAAAATTTGATGTTCAAGAACTTTCTTCCTCATGACTATTTCGTAAAATAAAAATATAAAGGAGCTAGTTAAATAATGATAATATTCCAGACAATTTATTTTTTCGAAATTAGTGATTTATGAGTACGGATATGTAGGAAACTATACGAGATACCGAAACAATTACTATAATCAACACTTTTAAATTTTGTCAGCTTAAATTTTATATACAGTATCATTATCGCTAGAATGTATTGTTTTACTGATATAACCATAAAACCGAAAGAATTCAATTTTTTGAATAGTAAATTCAAATTTTCTACTTGAAATTTCTGGTTATGGAGTAATTGGCTATTATTTGATGTTTTAAGACGGTAAATATCATATTTTTAAAGAGTAGGTAGCCTTCTATCTAAATAAAAACTTTCGCTTCTTTTGGCTATCTATATTCACCTGACCACTATTTTTTGTATTCCAGCGGTTAAAGATTTTAGACGTGCAATTTTCATTTGAGGCGTGTGGACCTGGGCAGTATATGTGGCGAAACCTTTGTTTGAGATAAGTCCTATTTTTTTTTTACATTGGCTCCCGAACTAATAGGTGTGTTTTATGGTTGGGTGTTAAGTTTAAGTTCAACTAAAAAGCTATACTGGATTATTGTTGCTATGTCCTTTACAATGAATAGTCATGAGTAATAGATCGTAGTAGTTATTGTAGAATGCATTAAGATGGGTTTGACAAAAAAGACGAAAACTTGTCTTTACAGCCCACGACAATAACGCCTCCAGTTTCAAATCGATATGAATGACTAACCAGAGTAATCGATCTGAGTCAGTTGGCCTGACACAATTTTAGCAAGCAAAGTCTACCAGTTGTTACTGGTGGGGCAGAAACCTACCCCCCCTCCCCCCCCTCCGTTGCTTGATGAAACAATAACAAACCGGTTTCCTCAATGTTTATGTATTTATTTCAAATAAGATCATTATCTATCTATTAGTTTATTAAAAAATCCAAGCGATTTTCGCATTATTTGCGAAAAACTGGGAAAAACGAAAAAACTCAATATTTATTACTTATAATTAAATACTTGTATTTTATTACTTGACGTTTATTTAGTTAAGTATATTTAAATACTTGTAATTATTTATTTATTTATATTTTATGCAATTTGCACCTGCGTGTGGGCACACCAGAGTGTGAATCGATATTCAAAGTAGCAATGGGCTCGGAAATGAAATCTTAAAAAATGGCCCAAATGGTGTTTGAGCTTCTTGGTGGGGAGTCGAATTATTATTTTATTTTATTTCTCTCTTTTATATAACTTTTTTTTTCGATTCCTCTAAAACAGAAAAAACATGTCATTAGTATTATATTCCAACCATTTCTCATTTAATGGAATGTTATTCTGATTTATCTTAACATGTTTCTACTAGTGATACTTTAAGGTGGTTTGTATTAGTCACTCATATTTTATTTTACATATATAAAAAATGGGACAGACCGTAACGAAGACCCCAGCGGGACTGTAACGTTATACAATTTGAGTAACGAGTAGTAAAATTAAATGAACAGTTGTATAATTTGTGAAATGGTGGTTGGTTCGGCTTTAGACGAACAGGGGGTACATACTTAGTTATTTATTATTTATTTTTTTAGACAATTTAATGTAAAATATGTTATATTCTTAGCTGTTGTAACCCGAAAGATTAAAAAATTCACCTAAAGTTTTTAAGTGAATAGAACTTTCAAAATAGACATTAACATTCTTACGTTGGGCTATTCGAATTGAGCGTAGACATACGTAGTACGTATTCCTCAAATAGCGTATTTCCTGCAAATCAAAATATTTTGATTTGTTACTGTTTCGACAGGCGACTTCATAAAATTTAAACATTTTACATTCCTATTCGTTTGCCGAAACTATTTATTTAGGTTATTTAAAATGTATTCTATGTTTAAATAGAAAATCAGGTTCCCATTTTTAGACATAATTATGTTATGCCTAATGTTTGATTAATATTTTCACAGAGAATCGTTACCATTCCTAACCTTATTTGTACGAACTGTGTTATAATAGTTATAGTAGTAGTGATTTGTATTTAAGTGCGTAGTGATGGTCTGTCATAAATCAAATCGGTTGGCAACGTGACATAGTTCGCCATTAAAGCGTAAAAAATGACCGAAATAGAAAAGTGAGTTATGTCATATTGCGCCTTTAGCGATTACAATGTGCGCCGTTTCGAATCCACCACTCGATGATTTAAATAATGAATTATCTAATAATCTTATATCGATTGCGAATATCTCATCTTGGTGATAGTTTTTATTTGTTAGTTCGGATGATGGATAATCAATATTGGTTTGTGAAGTTATTTGGAATTGACAACTGGATGACGCGTTTGGCAGATAGAGAGACCTGACGCTGGCTGCGAACACCTGGGCTCGGAGGTCGCCACCAAGGCTAGCGCGCTCTACCCACCAGACCATTGCCAAAGGTCGCCTTTCCCATAACAACAATACCTTTACTCTACTCTATTAGTAACTATTTATGTATTTATTATTTATTTATATCATCTTTATATTATTATAGTAGCCGTCACACCATCAAGCTTAAGTCTCAAGGATTTGTTATTTAAAATTAAGTAGGTCACTCTCTTTCCAAATCTACTAGCGAAACACCTAGGATCGATTTTTAGTATTAGAGATTCATAATACATCGTGTTCAACTGAAGTAGAACAGAGAACTCTCTTATTCGTTATTTGAATTTTTATCCGATGATACAAATTCTTATTTTTATTTTGTAATTTAGTGGTTATTTAACACTTTATTTTTAAAATAATGTTATCCTCTTAGTGCCTCTCTTTTTTCTTTTCTTTAACTGAACATATTTCCGTTAAAGGATCTAAGCAAGCTAAGTTCGATTGGAACTATCTTACTACTAAATTGGCAAATAACTGCTTATCGTCGGTGAAGGGCACGGGCGGATCTACGAGGAGAGAGGCTTTCGGGCTAAAGCCCCTCTTCCCAAAATGGTAAAATATAACCATGTTTTATGGAAAAAAATTTTTAAAAATTTTATCTTAAAGTATTATTGTTCGTGTAATTACATTTAAAAGGACTTAAGGAATCACTTAAACGCCATTTCTTATAGATAGTTTCTTTCTTTTTTTCCAAAGTAATTTTCGTAATTTTTATGAAAAAAAAAAGCTTTCGGGTAGAAGCCCCCCCAAAAATTAAATCCTGGATCCGCTAGCGGTGAAGGGCAGTTCGTCCTTTTTTCTAAGTACTTTTTTTATTCTACTTTTTCGCATTGGTAGCTCTTTTCTATTTGCTGAGTTCTATGTTCCTTGATTTAGTATGTGTATCGATGATTTCAATCAGAGGTGCCCATCTCCCCCAAGTTCGATGGCGCATGAACCTCTCCCTCCCTCCCCTCAGGATATTTTATTGCTCCCCTCTTCTTAGAAAACAGTGCATGCCTAAGTAGAATTTTTAAAATCATAGGTCATATACAATTACACTTTCAGTGGTCTATTCTATGCTTTCCTCCTGTCCTCTGGTTTCAATCTTTTCATATCGAAAATTCATAATCCCGTCGATATTTGCCCCCCTCAAAAATTCAAAATCCCGTCGATATGTGTCCCCCTATAAAATTCAAAATCCCGTCGATATGTTCTCCCCTCAATAATTCAAAATCTCGTCAAAATGTGCCTCCCTCAAAAATATAATATGCTGTTTTCAATATAATATGTAATGACCACGATTATTTAAATTCCTTTTGGTTCTTCCATGTTCCGAAAAAGTTTTCGAATCTATCAGAATTATTTGCTCGGTGTGATATTTATTTTATTATTATTTGTTTCACTTTACTTCTTGTTCTGTCGAAGTCATGACACATTAATACTTTGTAAATTATCGTTATAATAGTATTGTGGATGAATTTCTTGTGCAGATATAGGTAAACGGCTTAAGGAAGGCTCTTTTAGTTAAGCCTCCTAATTCATAAGCTGATTGTTTTATCTCAAACAAAAGGTTCCATGCTCAATGAATTAAGGACTAATTCCTTAACTAAGCTCTAAGATTACCGATGAACATCAGAAATCCATCAGACCTGAGCTAAACTCATCGCTGCAACAATGGGCAACTTCCGAAACCCATATCAAATATCATTGATGAGCATTAAAAAAACATCGATGAATTAGCGCTGAGTTTAGGAACTAGCCCTTGTTTTATTGCTCATGGAATCTTTTGTTAAAGGCTAATCAACTTACGAATTAATTCATATGATTGAAAGAATGTTTAACAAATTAAAATGTTAAGAAAAATTAGAGATGGTCTTATTTGTCAAGGCTTCTTAAATCTTGCAATCTCCCAATCGAAGCCTGTCAATAAGGATAGATAGGTCTCTATTTAGATAATTGCATATTGTCTCTAAGAGTGAAGAGGTTTGATGATTTTACTAACAAATTATTTTCTTACGGTGCTTAGTTTTTAGTATAACAGTATACAATTAGAACAATAGATAATCGTTAAAAATTATTATATATATAAACGGCGATAAGGCATCCAAAAATCGTAATTTCGGAGTTACAACATTCGTTTTATATTGTTATGTTCATTAAAGAATTGGTTTTAATATGTTATAAATTAATTATTGAATAAATAATTATTAAAAAATGTTAAAAGTCCGCGATAATATCTGTTGCTAATCGCCCGGCCTGCTCGGTCGGTGACCTTATATAATACCGGATGGGTTTTTACTTTTCTCACGTGGGAGCGAGCCCTTTAATAGATTGCAGGGCCTAATTTAAACCACCAATATTACTTCTACACGGCTCCTACACTTAACTTTTATCATAAAATAACTATTTCTGCATCGGGAACAAAATTTGTATATTGATAAAACGAAATCATTAATGAATATTTATGAAAAAATAAATAAATAATCTCTTTTTGAACCAACTTGTTATTGGTAGTTATATGGTTTCTCACACCGAAAGTTATTACCTAATACCCTTTCCCTTTTAGGTTAATATTTCAGAGGAGGTAGTTATTAGGTTACATTGCTTATTCTGAGAATAGGTTGTCATCGGTTATTAGTCACCTACTAAAAACTGTATAAAATAAAGTATAATAAACAATAAACAAGTATAATAAATAATAAAGTATAAAATAAACTTTTTAAAAAAAAAATCTTTAGACTTTTAATTTAAATGAAGTTTTAGGTTAATGATAAAAGTTTAACTTTTATTTATTTCAGTTATTAAGCAAAGGTTTTGTTAAATTAGAAGTAAGCATAGATTAGAATGGTAATTTGTATTAAAAGAATTACTTGATTCTAATGTGCTACTTGCTTCAGTTGCCAAAAATAAAAGTTGTGTAAAAGCTATACTAGAAAACGTGGAAAGGAATAAGTTCTAGTTCCAAAATAACAGAAAAAAAAGTTAAAAATAAAAATTTCAATGATACTAAAATTTATTTAAAATTTCATTTCAAGCCCTGTTTATTAATGAGTATTCATTTTCAGGATTTCCAAATTTTTTGTATTTTATTATTTTTTTCTGTACACTTCTTAGATTATTTCCTAGACAAAATTCTTTTATCGGTTTGTTTTATTTAAGTTGTTACGAAATATAAATATTTCTTTATATACTATTTTTCTAATTTTATGTTTTGTTTTTTACAGCATGTCTGGTGGAGGTAGTCTTTTTTCTGACGTTGGTGTGATGCTGGTGGAAGGGCGGACACCGGAGCCTTCAAGCCCGAGAGGTCACAAAGAAGGGCCTCATTTACTTCCTCTTACTCCTCAGGTGCACATTTATATTATCATATTATTTCATATTACTTTCTGAATAGCATAGGAGTGCTATAAATGGTTCATTGAGAGCCACTTGATTCCCTACGCCTCCCGGTCTTGGGTTAAGAATGTATATTGGAATTTTTATTTCATCATATAGGCCATGGATTAAGTCTGGAATCAAGAGACCTTCCTGGGACTCTCACAACTTCTATAAAGATAATACAACAAAAACCTGGTCTTGTAGTTAAGTCTGATCTTGGCCAGATCACCTTTTTGCATAATCATCTGTCAAAAAACACACTATAAGATTGCCATTTATTTTTAATAAATGGTTCATTTTTTTAGAGATTGGTAAATAGTTGAATGATCAATTATCAAATTTTTCATGAATTTTTGTCAAGATATTCTTATTGGGTCAGCCAATGTTTTGACCCAAACACGTTGGTCATCTTGAGGGCTATCATTTGTAATTCGAGACAAGAACTGGTTCATTTTTTATTATAGTTCCACTTTTCATTTTACTATTTTCTCCTTCCACCTATTTATCATAACCAAATTAAAGTGAAATACTTATAATGTTAGTTTGAGGAACTATTTAAATATACTTAGTAAATTAATAACCATTAGTTTATGCTTGATTTTTGTTTTATTTTGTTGAGTTGTTTTGCCTACTGGACAGCACAGCGATGAAACAGGCTGTGACCAATAAGATATTGATTCCATCAATTTCGATCTAAGCATTATTTTGATTTACAGTTGTTCAGGTAAAACAAGATTCATTTCTCGTTCTAGGTTCAGCACCATACATGCACTGAAGGGGATTTTCTTTGCGAACGTGCTGCTGGTCTGAGACGACATTTATCTTTATTGTCTGAAAATTCCGCTCCTATGACCATTGACGTTCTTCTTTCACCGGATTGTCCATGTGGTTCTTCGCGGGCATCTTCAGTCAATATTTGTTGTCTCGCCTCTTCTGAGGATCTTCTTATTGAACAGTGGACTGTTTCTTTACTTTCTGCCAAGTGAGTTGGTTTCATATGTACTATCAGAAATATATTGTATGATCATAGTGAGCAATGTTAGTATGATTTATTGAAGATTCAAAAGGATAAAAAAGACTCTTAATTTTACGTTAATGCTTATCATTTATCTACTTTTTTTTTCTTCTTTGAAGATCATTTAATATAACAACAAACAAAAATAAGAATTCAGTTTTGAAATTACATTTACTATGAATGAAAAAAACAAAATAATATTTAATTATTTTCCAATAAATTTTTTAATGATTGATTTGTTTAATACCGAGCTTGAATGAATGGTTTAGCAAATGTTAGAGAAATCACAGATTCAGCAGCAGAGATTGTCCTCCAAACGTTCTAGAGTGAATTAGTGAATACAAAGTACATTACTGGCATCCTTGAAGATTATTTAATGTCATCTACTCCTTTTATTTTTCTGCTGCAAAATTACGTGAGTTCTGTCCTGAAAATTAAAAATCATAATTTACCAAAATATTATAATCCCTGTATTTTGTTGTGGATGAGAAATGTGGCAGCTTAAATTAAGGGATGATGAACACTATAAGGTTTTTGAGAATAAAATATTTTGCAATATTTTTAACCGAAGGACGAATCAGCAGGAGAATTTTTACAGCTACTCAACACTAAATTGCATGAACTGTTTATGATAAATATAATTTAAGTTACAGCTGCCCAGCAAATAAAATGAGTGGATAAAATTGTTGGGCTTAATAGCAAACGAATCTTTAAAAGGTTCTTAAGAGCTGTGGTGACAGGCAAGTGTCCGAGAGGTAGACCAAAGTGAAGGTGATAAGGTTCCATTAAGGCTAATCTTGGAGAGTTGGGTTTGGAACATGTGCAGTGGATGGAAATATGTAAACAGCAATTAATGATATCAGCTATTATTAGTCTCAATATTTTTCATGACAATTTCATTCTTATTAATTTATTTTTCTACTCATTTATTTATAAATGTATATACTTAATCTTAACAGAAGCTTGCTCATACGTCAAAAATATAAAGCCTCAAATTTATCCATATAAGTTACCATGTTTATTATACTTTTGATTTTAATTTTATTTTATTTTTTTCATTGGCAACACCTTTTATTTACACTCTGTAGTAATTATACGAGTTATATCTATTTTAAATTAAAAAAAAAAAAATTAATTCATTGTATCAGAATCTAATCCTTGTGTTTAAAAAATCTTATTCCAAATCCATTAATTGATGACTAGTTAATAAACAGTTATTTTGAAAATAATTTGTTTCTTACTGTAAAGATGAAGGTTTAATCACAGGATCAAAAATATGTTTGTCATTCATGATTTTAAATCAAAATATTTCACCATTCTAACTAAGTTAAAACTTCATTTCAGACCTCAGAAAACCTGTGAAGTACCAGAGAAAGTATTACTACAGGCAATCAGATCTCAGTTACATTTTTCCCAGTTATCAGCTTGGTATAGTCTTGGAAAAGTCAAAAATGTCACCTATCGTCTTTCACATCCAGTTGGATGTCCAGAGTTCTCCCGTCCACCCCTCCACCATGATTTTCCTATTGCTAAGCTGCCATCTGGTTCTTACATTAAGGTAATAATTACTAATGAGCAAATGCAGCATACTTCTATAATTTTAAACAAGAACATGAAATATTTTGTTATTTATAGTTAGGTATATGTGTATATATCAGAGATGGGCTGTGTCTGCCTCTAGTGGTTTCAGAGATGAACTCTTCAATTTTTTTCCGGTAATTTTTAACAAGTTTAGCAACTGTCATCGGACCCCATTTTACGAATGGGGTGAGAGAATTTGATTTGTGAAAAAATAGGACTAATTATTTGAACGATGGAAAAAATCATTTTTTTAATAAAAGGAAATGATTGGATTTTCAAAAATACATGTCAAATTCTACAATCAAATGCTAAATTTAAAATATCGGTGTATGAAAAGTGAAGAGAAAACTATTGCAATGTGCTTAAAAATATTAGGCATAAAACTTTCCAAATAGATTTAAAACTTTTAAAACAATATACTATAAGTCTTGTTTTACTAACAGTAGTTATAATTACTATTTCAACCTGCTGCAACCATTTATTGAATAAGAAATAATAAACAGTCAGTGCTTTTAAAAACCACAGTATTTAATTATATGTGTTGGTTTAAAACTTCTCAAATCTATTTAAATTTAAGCTTAAATTTGCAAAATTGTATAATGTTCGGTGGAACTGATAAATCGGGATTAATGACTAAAGATTATCTGCCCTGAGTACTAGCTACTAGAAATCAGTGCCTGACTAACATATAACATATCTTTTATAAAATCTTTTTCTGACCTTATATTAATAAATTGCTGTTTTATATAATAATGATGAGATTTTCTTTTTATATAGTTATGGACATTAATTTTACTTTTAGGTGAGCCTGAAATCACTACCTCGCCTCGATGGTATGCCATCAGTGGTTTGCCCACTTCACAGTTCTGTTTCACCTTTATCAACTACAGTGACTGTTTTTAAATCAGTCTTTGCCGAACTAGGTCACTGTCTATTAGACCCTCCTGCTAGGATTCCTGCTGTTAAACAAGGTTCAATTCTTTTTACTCCTCTCATTATTTAAAATTAAAATAAGAAATAACACCTCTCTTTTTTTTTTTTACAGTAGTATTCATTGTTTAAAAAAAATTACCTTAAAACTGATATGGTATAAAAAAAAAAACATTTTTAATTATGGTTATTAGAAATGAAAACTGTACTGGCTTACTCTTAATGTTATGTTCTGTTTTGATGAGTTAAACTAAGTAATTTTTCTATCTTAGAAGCTAAAAATGTTAAATGAAAAGTATTTTTTTGGAAATTATAATTACTTTGAATCCATTTATTGATTAATGAAATACACAAACCATACTTTATCCATTACTTAATGAATCTCCTGTATGATCTAGAAAATTTTACCACATATTTAGAAGATTTTTATTGTTCATAAAAAGTTTAGGGGCTATTTGCTCCTGTGTTCCTTGAATTCTTTATTGCTTTCATATTGTTTTCCTTCAAATAATTCTTTCAAGAGTGCAAAAAAAAAAAAGTCACATGGAGGGTTTTGATGGTTTCCCAGTCCATTTTCTTTCCAATTTATCTCCAGTCAAGACCAGGCTTATTGTCGATCATTTTCGTTTATGTTAGTTTCTTGGCCATCTTTAAATTCTCTGGCTCAATTATGAGAGAGTGAAATATCCTCAAACAAGGAGGATTTTAAAAACATTATGCGTTTTCCAATAAAAGAATGGCTTTATTAAAGACAAAGCCCCTAAACAAAAATTTGCAGATCATGGTGAACCCTTCATGGAGAAATGCTGCAAGTATGGTTTGTATATAACATAATTATCATTACAATAAATGTAAAGAACATCAATTACCCTTTGTATTTAATTCACTGTTCTATAATAAGGTTAGTTATCGGAATAAATCAATGCAATCAACTTAACTTGCTCATAAAGTACTTCATATGGTTCATTTTACTTATAATGAGTGATATCTTTCTCTCACTATAGTCTTTCTTTAAGATGCATATTATCGCTGCAGCGAGGTTTCTCAAAAGCTATATCAACATTAATGGTTTGAAAGGCTAAATTACTGTTAATAGTCAACCCTGATAAAGAAACATAAAGGCTGTATTTGAACCAAGATTGTTTTGCAGAACTTATTAAACAGTTAAAAGTAATTGGATGATAGCAAAATCAAGCAGCTATTCTTGAAGAAACAGCTTATGATTTATATAAGAACTAAGCCAAAAATTTGAATTTAAACATTTAAATTATTTCAAGATTGTATTATCTTCCCTTAGGAATATAGATTGATATATAAACTCTAGACAACACACGAAGGAAGTTGATATTTTTACAACATTTTGATATCTTATACTAGCAGAGAACTATTTCTCATGATACAATCATGTTTTATAGGGAACATAAAACCTATAGCCTTAAAAAAAAAAATTAAGTTAGCCTATTTAATTTTATTCTAAAGTATATTATATATATGATTTGTGTCAGTATTATTATTTTTCATCTTTCTGTTGTTCTAGTAAAATGTTTTTTATTTTACTTATATTGCTCTTTATATGAAATCAAATTTTAGGCATAAGATAACAACATTTTATAAAAATACAAATTGTAATATTTAGCTCAAGTGATAATTTGAAGAAATCTGTATTATAAATTGTACACATTTTCTTTAAAATTGTATACTGACCAAAATAGGATTTACTAACAAATCTTGAGGGTCATTTGTAACAATAAATAAATATAGGAAGGAGATGGTCAGGGGTGGTGGTCATAAATAGGCTAAATAGTTTTGCCACTATTCAGCCTATTTATGACCGCCACCCCTGACCATCTCCTTCCTTTATAATGCAATCGTCAACTATTAAATATTCAATAAATAAATATATTTTAAGGTAAAGTTTTATCTCAATCATCAAAAGCACATTACTTAAGTTGGCAGGCAGAGAAATTTAAGGGTGAAGATTGAATGGTGAGAGATTCAGTGTATCCAGTGTTGCTCATAGAGGCATAATACTTAAGTTTACAATGCCTGAAAGAATTAAAAATCTCAATGCATTCCACAATAACTAAATTCTCCTTAATATTGATTTTTATATTACCATTTTATTATTGCTATCATTTATGTTATTATTACTTTATAAATAAAAACTATAATTCTTAAAATAAAAAAATGTTAAATAGTGATAAGTTCATTGTTAAACTTTATGAATTGCCTCATTTCCGATATAAAAACTCTGGTCTTGCATGAGAATATGATGTCTCAGCACGTATAAACTTATATTATGTAGATAGTGTACAAACTAAATCAGTGCTCAGATCCTATTAAACGTGTGCTATTGATAATATTACTATAGTGGGGTATTGATGAAAATTCGTTAACATTGCTATTTTAGGAAAATTAATTTTTTTTCATGATAAATCTCCGATTTTATGAATGAAGGAATTCTTTTTAAAATATCAGTTATGAAGTTTAAGAAACCAGCATTAGGCGACGTCAATTGGAATATATATTTTTATCAAATGATTTTTATTTTAAGGTATTTAAGATATTAACCTTATAAGTTTTAAGTCAAATAAGTGTTAATGATTTATATGTATTTGTATAAGCTTTATTTATTAAGATAATATTGTTATATACTGGGTTTGGTTAATTAACTAAAAAAAATTGAAAGGTTTTCTAATATTTTTTTGGAAATTTCTCCTCAATACAATTGTGTTATTTGTATCTTAATATAACATGTATTTTTTTTTTTTCATGAAAACTCAAGCTCATTAAATTATTCCGACTTCTGTTTCAGTGTGAACTATTGAGTGAAATAAAAGCACAAACCCGTGAATATCATTCAAAAACTATAAATAAATTTATAAATAATTTCTAAATAACTTTTAAAAAATGAAACAACTAGAACAAAAAAAAAAATGTATATCGTATCCGGAAGGTTGTAGGAGGGAGTGTGGTGATAGGTGTGGAGGCTAGGATAGAATTTTGGATAAAATATTCTGTGTTGAGTTTTGTGGTTTGTGCGCTAGTGTCCTTAAGTCTCTCTCTCTGGTTCTCTGTGGATTCACAAGTTTTTATGAGACATCGTATAAACATCATTCAAGCCCCCGCATCTAATGGATTTTAAGTCAATAACGACTTTTCACGTAATAATATCATTTTTAATATTTATAGTTTTTATTTTCTCTAGCATTAATTAAGTGTTAAATATAAAACTTTATTATTAGACTACATCTGTAAAATAGGTATCAAAGTAAATGACAAGGAATACTATTTTATTTTTAATTCTATAAGCTTTATTCTAGTTAACTGAAAGGAAATTTTCTCTAAGAAATTTTAATGAAATTTTACTAATTAAAAATCGATCTGGTTCCTAAATAGTATTCCTTTTATAATTTGAAATATTCTTATAAACCGCCACTAGATATGATTTGCTTGTTTTATTTGAAACTGCTACAAACAATTTTAAGATATTGCATGCTTGTTAATTCTAATGCTTTTATCATAGTTTTGAGTAGTAATGTGGTTTGTTATATTGTATCCTTATAAAATAACTGTTCATATTTATTTTATTTTTTTTTTTTAGGATTTACTATGTGGCGTGATAATAAAACTTCATCCCCTACCAAATCTCGACATAAACCAGTTCGATCACCATCTAAAAATAAGCATCTTTTAGTACCAGGTAAATTTTAATTACAATGTATTTAAAATAGAAATAATCTTTTTTTGCACTTCATGTAATGTATATTTTTATTCAATTCATTATTAATGTTTGTATTCATAATTTTTTATTAAGTTTGTAAGTAATAAACATGAATTATTTTATATTTGGTAAGATTCCTCATCCACTCCCTCCATTGTTTAATTGATCTATTTATTGTTTTAAAGAAAACCTTTTTTTTTTAATCTAATTTTTGATCTGGCTGACAATTCTTTGTGTTAGAACCTTGCTCAAGCTATCAAATAAAGACCTTTGAGTATTGTACCTTGATTACGTTGAAGGTAAGCGGTTTGCTATGGAATTTCTGAAACCCTGCCCAAAAAAAAAATGAAAAAGACCTACTTTAATCTCCAATTGCATGCAATAGTTGATACCATCATGTCTTCCCAAGGGAGAGAGTAAAACTTGTTTTCTCAATGTATTCTACCTGTCATGTATTTATTGAACAATTCATTGATGAACAACAACAATACTTTGAACCAAAAATAATAGGCAAAATCCTTACATCTGTTAGGAAAAACAAAAAATCAGCAAAGGAATAATTTTTTATGTTCAAAAATGTTTTAAGATACAGACATTTGAACATTGTGGCTAGTTTCAGAACTGCTTTTTTGCTCTTCAAGGATTTCTTTGTTTGGTCACATGTGCTAGATACTATCTGAAAGGAAAGTTAGAATAAGTAATTAAAGTTTAACTAAAAGAAAATATACACAACAAGCAGACTACAATTGATTCAAGTGGAATAAATAAATTGTTGGAGTTCGAACAAGCTTTGGAGAACTTAGATTAATGGGTATGGATATATAATCCTGATAGGCTGATACTTGAGTTTTAATCTGAGGAGTAAACATACAACAAAATAAGGATGTTTTGTTTTAATATCTGTGCCCCAAAGGTAAAGGATACATACCATATCCATTGTTTTATTAAATAATGTAGTAACTAAGAAACAAAGTTTAATATCTCAAAGTTACGGAAAATTGGCTTCCGGAACAAATACAAAAATGTGACATGATTTCCTTTAGCTATAGGGTACATAGTTAGTAACTAAGAAACAAATTGTAATAGCTCAAAGTTGTAGAAAATAGGTACCTCTGAACAAATACAAAAATGGACATTGTGTTCTTTACCTCCGGACAGGTACAGATATGACAATACAAGTTTTGGTTATTTCTGCTTAAATTTTGCTACATTGTTTTACTTATTGTTAACTTAATGTTGGATAATGATTTTTACCTTAAATCTATTGATATTCATACATAAAATATTGTCTCAATGAAATAATAACTAACTTTTTTTGTAGGTTTATTGGATGATCGAATGCAAAGTGGTTGTAAGCACATTGGTAAGCATCATTGTGAGGATGACTTTGAAGAAAAAAACTCCCCTCCATATTCTTTTCGTAGTTCGTATTTTCAAGGTTAGTATTTTTCATGTTGGTTCAAAATTTTTCTTCTTTGCTAATTGATTTTGTATTGAAGATATTCAACACTTTTAGTTTGTGATATCATAAAAATAACTTTCTTGTTCAGCTTTTCATTTATGCTACCTCTTGATTTGAATTTAAAGGACAGAGAGCATACATAATCCATTATTGTGTGTGGTTGAACAGAAAAATATTTTCTTGTTGCTTCAATAAATAATTTGTTTGTTGTTTGTCATTTTCTTGATTGTTTTAATTTAATTCAGTCACTAAGCTAACTGAAAGATGTTTTTATTCAGAGAGTTGATTTTTTTAGTAAATATATTTGTAACTTAGTCATGGGTGATAAATATTCAGGATGCAGTCATTATAAAAGTAGTACTTGAATACCTTCAGTGCTCGAAACACGTTCTGATGATGACCTATATGTTTGGTTTGAAACATCGGTACCAACAAAAATTTTATGACTGTGTCCTGAATATTTATCACCCATGATATGTAGAACAGTTAATAAACTTCCTTCAATAATTTGTAATTTAAGTATTGCAGAATATTTGATAAACTCTTTAATTACGGTTTAGCTATAAATTCCAATTCATTATCCTGTACGGCAGTCAGAAAGAAAAAAATTGGGCACCTTTTATTATTTGTTCTGAATAAATAAAATCCTTAATAAGTAAGATGAGTTCGGATGACCATCACTCACATATGATCATAGAAGAATTCAAAAGTTCAGTTGCTGAAAGCTGAGATAATGAGGCACCCACCACCTTCATTAATTTACACAATATTTTACAGTAAATATTATAATCCTTATTTGTTCATATTAAACAAATTAGGATTATAGTTAAATATTAGACATGTAAACTGATATATTTTAAATTAAACGCTGATATGAGCTTTTAATTTTTTCCTGTAGATGAAGAAAAGAGTTGTAGTAAAGAGCCTTCCGACAGCAGTTATGATCTCAGTAAACCACATACCCGTGGAGTGTTAAGTGTTCTTAGGTATATAACTTTTACTTTTATATTGGACATTTCATAAATTATTCATTGTGCTTTGAATTTTTAAATTTTTTTTTTAAAGTACTATCTTGTAGATTTTCATAATGTCTTTTATTGCTTTATTTTAATGAATTTTATTTATATTCTAGTGATTGTTTCTTTTTTGCCAGCATTAATATACTTATCAATTACAATGTCTAAAAACTAGTTTCTTGACATTCTGATTATGAATTATAAAGTTTTAACTTTGTTTACAGGAATCAAGTGTGTAACAGGGTGTCCATTCCGGAAGGTTCAAATTGTCAAACAGAAAAGATTTTGTCAGCAATTTTAAAAACAGGAAACTCATCGGGAAGTAATCCCCTGAAGAGGAAGAGGTCAGCCCTCGAGACTTCGAGCAAAAGGCTTTTGTCTGGTGAGAAGTCTTCTTTCAAGGCTTGCTCCGATCTCGCGGAATGTTTTACCAGGCTGAAGATAACTGCTAAGGAGCAGCCTTCTCAAGTTAATACTATGGTAATCGTCTTGAAATTTTCATAATAATATCAGTTTTTTCTTTACTGAAACTCATTGGACTAAATGAAAATGCACGCATGTTTTTAAAACATGTTATTAACCTGTTAAACAGGAAATAAAATGTTCAACTCGTTTCATAATGGGGACTTTTTTCTTCGTAATTATAAGTAATATCATCACACCTCATGTGATGAAAGGAAATAATTTTATAACATATTATGAAAAAGAGACAGAAGGAGATATTTTGTCATACCCAGTTAACAGGTTTCAAATTACACATACTTTTTCTTTTTTCTTTTGTTATTAATCTTCACTAATATTGTTGAAAAAAATTATTTTTTCTGTTTAAAAAAATTACCAGAATCATTCTATTGTCTTCAATGAAATTGAATTATCTTCTTTAAAAGAACACTAAGATAATACATCATTAATTTTTATTTCTGAATTACTGATTTTATTTATTTTATTTTATTTTTTAGGTTACTCAGTCTCCTGTTGAAGAAGGAACTTTCATCAAACCAAGGAGTATACGACACATACCTTCGCCTATCCCTCTCAGGAAGAGGTAAGTCGTAACATAGTGTTCAATAGTTTAGTGTAAGATTGAAGGAAAACTTGAAATATTATTCACTTTTTGTTTCTCATGAGTTGATGCATATTTATGATTCGATGTTTCAGTAATTGGGTTACTGACTCCAGTTCTGAAGAAACTGAATGTGACAGCCCACGGAGCTGTGGTCCTGAAATGTGCCTTCCTATATCTTCTCCTAAATTATCAAGTCCTCGGAGGGCTAAACATACCTCGTTATTAGGTACAAGCTTTAAGGTTTATTATAAATTTTGTGGCCTCTAGGCCTCCCATACAGAATGGCAATCTGGTTATGTACAATAAACTTTTTATTTGGTTCAATGATTATCTGAACTCTAATCAATTTAAAGTTCATTTTCCAAGTTTAGTATCTCATATGTTGTAGGGTGATAATTTTTATTTATTTTATTTTAGCAACTTGATATAAAATATAATTTTAAATTAAGCTTGATAAAAATCATTGCACGATTAACACCACTACTGGCTTGGTACCAATACCACCAATGGGACCTAAATATTCACTCTTATAAACTATTGTTTATTTAAAATTAAGTCATGATGAAAATTAATAACTATTTTATTAGTATTAATTGTTTTTTGTTAAAATAGGCTGAAGGCATTTTTCTTTCAGAATCTCTGTTTAAACTATTGTTTTTTTTTCATAATATTTAAATTCTAAATGCCATGAATCAATTTAGTATTCTATTCTCGTTGCTGAATCTAGTTTAATTTTAGAAATTAAAATTTATTTATAAATGTAATGGTTTAAAGTTTAATAAAAAAATTATGAAAACATTTTCATCATTGTGTCTAGGCAATTTTGAAGAAAATGTGTTAAAAGGACGACTGAAACCTGTATCGGTGGTGGAGGGGTTTTCAGCTGATCTTGGAGCTAGTGGCGCATTTTGTCCTCAACACTTGAAACTACCTGTCACTGTTTCTTTTTTCTCCTTCGAACCATATTCAGCGCCTTATCTTGTAAGTATTTATAATTGTGTGGTTTAAAAAGATTGTGGTTTAAAACTTACGATGTACAAGGTTACTGGGCTAATAAATAAATCTGTTAAATAGTTTCTGGGTTTATTTGTTTACTGTAACCATTTAAGTATTTTAATTCTGTTTTTCTATGAGATGTATCAATTTCACTGTGAGCCACTGTATATAGAGCAATATATTTTAGTGACCAACTTCAGAAATGACATTAAAGTTATAATAACAAATTTTTAGGATGCATCCTAAAATAATGGCTCCAGTATTAATAATTTAATTAGTCATTATAATATTTTTATTATAATTGCTTTAATTTTTATTATGGAACTAACATTTATAAAACTACAAGTGGCCACAAGACATTTTTATTTACCTATTTTAATTTTAATTAGGGTCACATTAAGCTGAGCAAGAAGGGATATACAGTGCCTCGGAGCGGTACGATACAAGTGACACTATTCAATCCCCTCGGTACCGTGATAAAGATGTTCGTGGTGAGCTATGACATGAAAGATATGCCTGATAATAGCTTGACCATGGTGAGGCAGAGGGCATGGGGGCCTGGAAACAAATTAACCTACCTCATTCATCTCAGGTATATTTCCTTGTTTGTATTATTTTATACGATTATGTCAAATGTTTTAGATGATTGTTACAAAATAGCCATGAATCTTTATATTCAAAATATTTGTTATTTGTTATTGTGTTTCAATTTATCCATTCCAGTAAGGAAAAAGATAAATAACAAGTTGACTGTTATCTGTTTTTTTCCATGTTTCATCATTATTGATGTTAAATGTTTTAGATTTTGTAGCAGCAAATCTGGTCGAATATCTCTCCACTCAGATATTAAGATGTTGATCTCCCGTCAGTACGATGTTGATAGTTCTATATGCCTCGATATGGATAGCTCTGCTCAGTTACGATCTGTTACAGAGCAATCTACTGCACCCAAGTATTCACTCAAAACTAATTCCAATAAACGGTGTCTTTAGCTACCACATGTTATATTTTTAGAGACAATGTTCAGTATGTAAGGCAGTATGTTAATGAATAGGAACGAAAACAAGGTTTTATTTTAATAGTGCACACTGTATGATGTATATATTTAGTTATAAATATAGTGTAAATCTGTATATATTGTTGACATTCAAACTTGATTTAACCAAGTTTAAACTCTTTTGAATAAACCTTGTTGAGCTCATATTTGTTTATAAAATTTTATATTAGATTATTATATAAGTATATAAAGAATTATAAGTTTCGCATCGAAACTGAAGTGATAGTGATGAGAGCTCTTTCTTTCTTTTTTTCATATATTCATTTTAATTATTGAATTTCTTTATTGTGGCTGTGTCAAACTTTCATCGAATAGAGATGAAACACTGCTAAAGAAAAGAGCGATCACTTGTTTTATTTTATATGAATATCTATAAATATATATACATATATATTGTTCTATGTATGATCATAAATTGTAAATCTTATTATTTGAATTATGATAGATTGGAAAATGAGAATTAACATTAAGAATAGAGGGTAAAATAAAGTCTTTAAAGTTTTAAATGTAATTTGTCTGCTATTCATGCTAGTTTGTTTTTGTCGAAGGTGTTAGCAAGCTTTGTCAAGTTTAAAGTAAGAGTTATTGTACAGGTTACTTTTCAATCTAAATAAGAATGTAAAATATTAATTTTATTATGTTTATTCATCCTTACAAGCGATTAAATATTTATAAGTGTATATTCATAAGATTATGGGTAGATATTTAAAAAGAACTCACAGATAGCAATTAGTGGTGTGAACAAAGTCTAATTAATTTTAAGCAGTTAATCAATCAATCCTGTACAACTATCTCCAAATATTTGTAGAAGCTAGATGTGTCTATTAGGAAGGAATGCTGTAATGTATTCGTATAACCCTCTTGTTGTCATGCGTGTTGATAATGCTGTGTTCCAATCTTTTTCATGCAATAAATTCTCCAGTTTGTGATGAAACAATTTATTTTTTTTACTTCAGATCATTCTTATTTTATTGTGGAACCATTGAAAATAAAAAACATATTACTGGAATTATTATTTTAAAGATAAAGACCCATACCTTATTCCTTCTTATTACATTAATATTAAAATGCTTTAACTCCCTGGTAAATAACATTCAACATAATTTTATTATTATGACCTATGTCAAAATGATATTTAGGGACTTTTGGTGGCTACATGGAGTTACAGGAGTCAACATAGTACATTGCAAAAGATTCCATCTTTCTTGTTTTCAATAGTAGACTGTAAGAAATTCATAAATTTATTTCATGGAAAAAATATTTGTGAAATTAATATTATATTAATACCATAGTACCACATGAGAAATGTGACAATGAAGTTGTGGAACAAAGTATCACCAAAGGGAGAAGGCAATTACTTGAATATGAAGTTTTTATGACTTAAAAGGCTTTTTTATTAATTAAATTTAATAATCATTAATAAATTATTAATTTATTTTTTTCTTTAAATGTTTACACAATATTATATTTTTTAAACTATATACATAGGATATTAACTTGATAGATATTTTTCAAAAACATATTTCAAAAACATTTTTGAAAATCCAATAAACTGAGTCATTTATGGTGCCTAATATTGAAAAATCTTATAGGAAAAGACTAGTTCTCAGAAATTCTTTCAATTTACAAGTATCATATACTGACATATATTTCAGGATTTCAAGTCGGTGTTACAAAGTTGAATTGTGATTTTGGAAATTGAAAATGGTTGATTCAATACATCCACGAATATTTGTTACCAGCAAATTTGCTTAAAGCTAAATGTTTAGGGATTTTAGAAGTGTATAAATCAGAATCTATCATCACATTTATGAATTCTAGATGGTGGCAGAAAATCCTGATATTCAATGCTCAGATATTTTTCAGGGTTCTATGTCCTGAAAGATAGACACAAATTGAATGGTCTCAATCAAGAAATAAAAAATTATCTTGAAGATTTAAAATGTTCCTGCAAAATGAAATATTCTGAAGAATACAACTAATTTTAAAAATAACTAATTCACCACAACATAAGATCTGTGTAACACCATAAAGAAGGAGCTTCACCTCCATGATTTGGACAACAATAATAGAACAGAGTAAAGTGAGCTGGTTAGCAATGCTTTGATATTATGAAACATTGTCAAGTCAAAGGGTCAAATGCTTTTGTAAAAATTCAAAGTCTTTCTACATCAGTTTTATGTTCCTGATTGGGTTTTTCAATCGCTAGTTAAGCCCATCAGCTGTTTCCTTAATAATTCGATAGGTTTGAAGTCATAAGTTTTTTTTTTAAGAGGATCATTAAGTTATCACTCTTAAGCAAGTTGTAACAAATATTGACTCAAGTTTCAAAAGCATTTAAAGGAGGAATCTTGGTCTATCCTAAAATAATAAAACACTCATAGAAGTAGCTCTTCTTTCTATATGATACATTGATTTCAAAAGAAAACCAGGGAGTCACTGTTGTGATAGTATATTTGTTTTCAGATAATTGATGCTCTAGATCACTAGTGGATCCAGGATTCCATTTGGAGGGAGGGGCTTCAGCATGAAAGATTTTTTTTTATATAGGTATAACAATAATTAATTTGAAAAAAAAGAAAGAAATTTATTACCTATATGAAATAGCGTTTAAGTGGTTCTTGAAGTCCTATTAAATGTAATTAAAGGGACAAGAATATTTTAAGAGATAGCTTTTTATATTTTTTCCAGTAAAATATGGTTATACTTTAGAGCTGTAGCCCCAAAAAGCTCCTCCCCCCCCATAGATCCTCCTGTGCTCTAGATGACTGGAAAGTGGTTCAGAATCATAAAGGCATGGGATAACACCAATAATATTTGTAGAGAGTTAAATTTAGAAGTTCAAAATATATATACCAACTATTTAGGATAGACAAAAAAGAAAACAGATGAAGTAAAGTCATTTGAGATGCTTATCATTGAAACAAGTAATAGGTAAAATATCAAAAAGTCGCAAATAAATAAATGCCATGTAAAATGTGTCCTATTTTAAAAATAAACTATCATTGTTATATCAGAGGAGCACCAAAATTGGATTTCGCTCCATCCCAAAATTTGTCTGGGGCCTGTTCTGAGTCTACACTTGAGACTCATATGTCTGAGCTTCAAGTCTAGACTGGATGTCTGCATGCTTAGTATGATTCACCACCATAGATTTAGTTCTGAAATGGAGTGAAAATGAAGTTGAAACACATTTCCTTGTTAAATTATGACTGTTTACCAAGTTATAACAAATATTGATTCATTATTCAAAGAAAGTACCCTCATCTATCTTAAATAATAAAACATTCATATTAGCAATATATCTTCGTTTTTATATGATACCCAGATTTATAATGAAACACAGGAAGACAATTTTTTTTTCAGGAAATAGGTGCTCAAGATGACTAGGCAACAGTTGATATGAATAAAACCAATAATTTTTGTAGATAGCAGATCAAAATGTCTATAAAGAATATTACATTGTTCCTTCCATCTGCTTAGTTAAATGGAAAAGATACAAACAAATAATTTTGTTTTAGCATAAAAAATCATAAGAATACTTTGCTACAAAAAATAGACACCCACGCTTTTCCACTACATTTTTTTTTTAAATATCTTTTTTGGTCTGTCAGATTTAACTTTTTTTCCCCCACAGAACGAACTTAAAAACCCATTCTGTCCAAATATATGCAAAATAATACATTACATTATATGTGACTACTCGTTCTATATATGTTTTACTTATATTATTACAATAAAAAAATATTTGAATTGAAAAAAAACAAAAAACAGATGACATAAATTTGAAAATACTATCCATCCTAGGGGAATTTATTTCCATATATACTTAAACATTTGATCAGGGGTACCATCAAAAGTTTTGAGGGGGTATATTTTGTTGGAGTTTTAAATGTTTGAGAGGGGTACATTGACGGGATTATGAAATAAATAAAAAGCTTCAAATCAGGAGACAGAGAGAAAACATGGAACAAACCGCAACAATTGTAAATGTATAGGGGGCCGATTTTTTCGTCTCAGGTATAATTCTTAAGTTTCCTTCGGAGTGTGTAAGGCACTCGATATCTACACAAACTTTAAATATTCGTAGATATCAATTTCCCTGTCGATCTACGTAGATGTTTAAGTAGATATGGAGATACATTATCCTAGGGGTAGATACAATACTCAATTTCTGTAGTTAGGTTTTTTACTTTCCTACCTATACTAGGTAAGGAAAGTATTGCGATCGGGTCAAATTTGCGGTTTTCGACGGATCTGTGCGATTCAGAGCCCATTGAACACTTTTCAGTTTTTTTTGTTTTTTTTTTTTGTTTTTTGAAAGGTGATGAAATCCTGTACAAAACGATATACAAATCGTTTATTTCAGACAACTATTAGCGAAAATACAGCTATTCAATTTCTTATGTAAGATTATGAGTTCAAATCCCGGTGCAAGAAAGGGAAGAGAGAAAAAAAGAAAAGCAAGTGAAAGTCAAACAATCTAGTGCCCACATCATACCAGTTTCACTATTTCCTCTACTTTTAACAGAGATCATTGTCTGACAAAATTGAGCTACGACAAAAAGTTTTTGATTACACTCAATACTGAATACTGAATTTTTTACACTGATTTTCCACAAGCCGGTTTATATTGCTTTAGTTTATCAAATGAATCATATTCTTTGATCTTTTCTTTGATTAATTTTCTGTTAAAATAAATCTGACTCAATTTGTTTGTCTGTTTCTTAATGGACATATTTAAAGATATAACAACTTTTCTGAAATAGATAGGATAGTCATGTGAGTGGACGCACCTGATTTTTTTAATTGAAATACTTTTTTATTTAAACATTTTTAGTTTTTAAAATATTAAAAATTTATTTTAATAACATATGATCACATTATATAATTTCAAATCAATTAATAATCGAGATACTTAAACTATAATCACTTTTTTCATTATGTTGTGCTCAAATTGTTTTAAAACATTCACTGGATTTAACTGAGTAACTACCGCCTTCAAAGTTAAAAATCGGTCACACCATCCAGTCAAAAATCGTTACGTTCTCCCTTTTTTTTGCACTCCCAAACTTGGAATTTACCTAAAATGGGAACTTTTTCATCAAAGTGGAAATCCTGATCCTCACTTTAAAATGGAGATTTCGATTAGGTTTGGAAGTTTTCCAACGCTGTATTTAATGCTAACTTCATTTCTACAACAAATATTTTTCATCATATAAGAGTGAATAGAAAGATTGTCTTATTTCGGAAAACTTAACATTTCGTAATGGTCAAAAAATATTTTTAATGTAAAAAAATCGAAATGTCAACCTTTGATAATTATCTCCTTATATCTTAGTTTCGTGTATAATCATATGAAAAGCAATACAGTTCTATCTCGATCGTAGATGTCCGCGACAGTTCGCGTTCTTTGTGCCTGAGCCTATATTGTATTTTCAATACAGTGTTTGGTATCCAAGTATTCATTCGATACCGATGTTAAAAAAAGAATTCAGTTTTAGGTCTTACATATTTGATTTTTTTTTTTATTGATGTGGTTTTCATAGAATACTGGCACCTATCTATACTGCTCAGAAATGAATAGTGATATTACTATCTGATGCTTAATTTATTATTTTTAATTAAAATGCTCTTCTTTCTTTTTATTTTGTTAGGTAGAGATTCTCTTATTTGTTGGTAAACATAAAAAGTAAACAACAAGTATTCTTTATTTTTAATCAATTATTAACCAAAAAAAAAAGTCAACATGAAGAATACTCATTTTGTAAACCAAGTATTGTTTTCGAATTTTTTCAATTTCAATCCTATGATATTCTATTTAACGAAGGAAAGACATCATATTGAACCAGAAGTTCCCAATATTATCGTGAGAATGAACTTTTAAGGGCACCGGCAAGTGGACATCGCCGATGCAATTGACGTCTCCCAGTACCCACACTAAATCATTAAGTACCAATAGCCACAAACCATTCGTAGTCGTTTGTGGAAAGTTGGTCTAACCTTATGCCCCTTTAAGACGACCTGCAGCAACAGTGCATCGCCAGAAACACAGCAGATCATGGTACGGTTTGCGTCAAGATGAGGATATAAATTGGAATGCTATCATGTTTATAGACAAGTCGCGTTTCTCTATTCATAGGGATCGTAGACTCCAGAGGGTTTACCGAGAACGGGGGTTGGGTACACTGCCACAGATTGTGCTTCCTTCAATGCAGTCTAGAGATGCAATCTACTAGGCATAATTTCCATTTTTTTTTTATGATAATAAGTGACCTTATAATGGAAAATTTGTTCATCAATGTCTTGAAAATCTGGACATTTCATATCTGTTCCTTCCGTATTGTCTCCACATCTCAATCCCATTGAGGGTATGTGGGATGCACTGCAGAGAATTCTTTTTGAACGCTACTTGCAGCTTCTTAACCTTCAGCTACAACTGAGAGCAATATTATTATGTTTATGGAACGAACTTCCATGTGAAATCAGCGACAACAGTATAGGCAATACGTGCATAGTCTAATAATGGATCTTACCTATCAATTGGTGGTATATTAGGAAAAGGCTTAAATTATCATCAATATGAACAAAAAATTAACTGCAAAAGAGTATTACTTCAAAATTTATAGTACATAGTTTTGTGTATGAAAATACGATTGAAACAATGAAAGTTCTTTTCTAGTCAGATTCAATTTTTTTAATTTGCTATCTTTCTTTTCATTGGTTGTTGCTCTTTGTAGGAATCTTATCAACCTATAGTTTCCAAGCGCGCGTAGGTAAATTCATTTGGAAGTTGATTAACAGAATGGATTTGATAAATGTTGATTCTGATGAGGAACAGGATGAACCATGGGAACAATCCTATTCTGGTAAAAATGGATACGTTTTTTTAATAGATGCTAGAAAAGCAATGTTCCATGGTGAAAAATCGCATTTCTCTCAAAGTTTTGAGGTATATTTTCTGAATTCGAACTTATATTTTTTTAGCTTTTCAGAGTAATTTTGCTACCTTTAAATTGTAATATTTATAGATTAACTTTTGACTTAAGTTAATCTGGTGATCAGTAAATGAGTACTGAACTTGTAATAATCCCAGTTTGACTTAATTTACTTCCCCTCCAATCATTATCAATATTTCATTAACCTCATACTAATCTGATCTATTTAATTCTGGAATAAAAAATACCAATGACTATGAGTGGCTTCATATCTGTCATTTTCAGAAAATGGATTTAAAGTCAATTTTTGTTTTTTAGATTCAACTCGAATTGTTTCTGTGATGATTTTATTTAAGAATGTTCAGGTTGAATCATGAAAATAAATCATTAGAATTGGTTCAAATTGAAGCTATGTTTCAAAAATTCTCTTTTCCTCAACTATTTCAAAGTGACAGATGTCCGTCTTTGATTTTAGGCCACTCATATTTCATCTTTGATTTCTTAGACTTGCTGAATTTGAAATAATAAATGCAACCCAAGGAATTAATGGAATTGTAAATTTAGATATGTACACTTTAGCATTAATGAATTTTGTCTTGAATATAATATAATGTATTGTTTTATGACCAATTGATATATATTTAAAAACTTTCAAATAATTTCCCATGACTTACAATGTATAAAAACTAGCTAATTAGTTATCAAAAATGTTGTTGGCTGCTTTTGATGTTTCCATTGATCAACTTGCAACATCAATAGGTATCATTGGTTAGATAATTTAAATGTTTGTATTTATTTAAGTAATTCAATTTTTATTACATTTAAATGCACTCAGTTAATAGTCATTTGTTGATTTTTATTGCTAATTCTGACTATAATTTTTTTTTGGAGCTAATATTTCCTTCTAAATTTACAGTGTTGCTTCGAGGCAATGCTGAAAATTGCTAGAGAGCAAAGGTATGATATGGTATCCTTTGTCCTGTTTGGAACTTCAAAATCTGAGGGAAAATTTGCTCCTCCGAATGTAGTATTGTTACGTTCCTTACAAACACCTTCAGTTTCTTATATTTCTAAAATAAAGGAGATGATAGTTGGTAATTTCGATAATAATTTGATATTTATTTCCACAATGTATATTTTGTATTAACTCAAGTTATGCAATTGTAGGTAATTTTGTTGAAGTAGAAACTTATGGCCAAGCGACACAAGTTTCTCTATCAAAAGCTATAAATTATTGTAAATCATTGCTTATACATTGGTATGAAAACATTTATATATTTTTTAAACATTTTTATTGTTAAGCATGAATTTTGTTATTTAGTGGCTGTTACCAGCGGTTTCGCTTGCTAACATTATTTCCACCATTATGATTTAATTTACTCTGCAAAGAGTCTCTATTTCATGATATTGATAACTATAATGCATATAGCTTGTTTTACACATTAATATGTTTTTAAAGTATTTAATTTTTGTAGTGTAATGTAAAACATGTTAAAACAGAATATTTCTTTAATATTTTTTATCTAATACCTAGTCTACAGCACAAGGAGAACTGTAATAATAATAAAAGGCTTAGCAAACCCGAAGGTTTGATACTGACACTACCAATCGGCTTTTACACACCTCCCTCCTCCAATCACCATTCAAACCCAGTTCTGGTTTATTTATTGGATTAGCTTGGATGCAATCTTTCCGTCTAACCTTCAGACAGTTGCAAGGCAGGAAAATCGAAACAAGAACTCAGGAGACGGGAATGAACCTCCTCCAGATTTTGAAGAAGTTATGGAAGTGATCCATAAAATGAAGATCTACATAAGTCTAGGTTTGGATGGCCTTACAGTAGAGATACTTAAATATGGAGGTAAAGACTTCCATAAGACCCTTCATAATTTTGTGGCGTAGATCTGGATTGTTGAAAAGGTGTCAACAGAGTGGAAAAATTACATTAATTAGAAAAAAAATTAGAGTTGTTTATAATAATTATAAAAAAATTGGAAAAATTAGAGTGTATATTACACGACTTTCACTTATCATCCTTTTCTTAGCAAAAATAAGTATTTTCAGATAAAGGGGAAGTGAAAGTATAAATTATGGACGCTATTTATTTACATTTCATTATGGCTATATACAAATTTGAATTTTTATATTGCTGCATTCTATATAATTAAATATTAAATAATACCAATGATAGCGTTTATGAAAATCACATATATATGTGTGCATAATATTGTTGGAGTTGTATTATATTAAGCTAATGTTATGTATGAAAGCATGTTGTAAGCTTTCGGGCGCACTCGTATTCCTTTGGTTCCTCCATTACAACTATTATCTGTTACGATCTCTTATTTCTCCTTTAGTTACTTATCAAATTCTTTCATATTTTAGATTTAACTATTTTTTATATTAAAGATTAATGTGAAATGATTAATTATTTCAAATAAAAAAAATTAATGGTACTTTAGAGGAAATATTGAAAATTAGCCATTTTTAAGCCCTCAATGAGAATAAAACCTACATTATATTAAAAGCTGGTTAATAATACACTGATATACTGAGTTTAATCAAAATGGTTGGAGCCGTTTTTGAAAAAATCATAAAAATGTGTTAAATCGCTTGTATAAAATGACACTTCCCATTCTTTTCAATCAATTGTGTCCCTATGCCGAACAAATTGTAGGAAAGTACCAAACTGGATTTAGAAGTGAGAAATTCAGTGGACTAAATCTTTTCCCTGAGGACTATTATGGAGAGGGGGATTGAATATAGTATGACAACCTATCATCTTTTCCTATATTTCAATAATGCGTATGACAGAATTAATCTCTCCAAAATTTACAAGGCACTTGAAGAATTTGGTATTACCAGGAAGCTTATCTGCCTTGTTAAGATGACCATGCATGATATGAGATATATCATCAGAATATAAGGAGAGTGCTCAAGTAAAGTTTCAGGCCAATAAAGGTCTATGATAAGAGAATGGGTTGGCATGTCTGCTGTTTATTTGAGGGCTTGAAAAAGCAGTAAGGGATTTGGAAGTATTGACTAGAGGAACTATTGTCAACAGAATTGTCCAGATCTTGGACTTTGTTGACGATATTGGCATAATTGCAAGATCTAAATTTGAGCTGAGCAACGCTTTTCTGCCAATCCAACAGGCAGCTTCACTGTTGGGCCTTGAGATTAATGAGGCAAAAATTATATATATGATGGTAAAGGCCGACTGATTTCAGCAAGGTAAAAGTTCTATAGAAATGTGCTCATACAAATTTCAAAGAAAACAGGATCCCTCGGAACATCAACCAAAGACATGTCAAAGGAAATAAAGAAGAAGATAGCTGCAGCCAACCGTTGCTATTTTGGCTTAAGGAGGCAGATCAGGAGCCAACTACTCACTAGGTAAACTTATATAAGTTTATACACTAGGCAAGATTATATAAAACAGGGTGATTCCCTTTCGCCTGTCCTGTTCAATTTGGCATTAGGGAGGTGATGTGTGGAGAAAAAGGGTTGGATTTGGGTGGGACAACACCCGTACTTGACTATGTGGATGAGTAAAGAACCAGGGCTCGAAATAAACACTGGTAAGAAAAAATATATGGTTAGCTGCAAAACTGGTGATATCGATATAGAAAGTAATATGTTTGAATAGGTAGAGAAGTTTAAGTATCTAGGGTCTATGGTAACTAGAAAAAACCAAATTGAAGAGGAGACTAAGGTTAGGCTGAAGGCGGGAAATGGGATCTGAAGGGACTGGGTTTGGACGGTGAACAGTGGAGGGAGGTGTGTAATAAGCGATTGATGGTGTCGGCATCGAACCTTCGGGTTCGCTAAGGCTTTTATTATTATTATCATCAAATTCCTTCCATAATTTATTTCTAAGGAGGTTATAGAGATCATTTGTTTATATGCACTTTTGGTTAGAACTACTTTCGGGGTACTTTGTACAGTGTGATCATTGTGTTTTAACTTATCTGTCACCTGGACGTGACACTTGTGAACTAGTGCGTGCCCAATATTCATCTCGTTGATTCATTGTGTATCTTGGCAATAGCAAGATCTGTTAAATCTAATTAACTAGGCAATAATTATATTCTACTAATTAATTCTTAATGCAAAGCTAGTGGACCATTGAAATTAAAAATTACACAAGTATTTGTAACAGATATAACATTCTGTATATCAATATGATATCCTTTTACTGCAATATCAATTTAATTTCTTTAGGACTATGTCAATAACTTATAGAAAAGAAATGTTTTATTCTCTTTTGTAAATCTCAAAAATCTATTTATTAAATAAACAATTCTATTATTGTAATGATTATTTGTTTTAGTAAGACTAGATTGTATAACAAATCAATAGTTTTATTCACGAACGACGATGATCCCTGCAAAGGAGATGATGATGGTGCTCATGCTGCCCGAAAAATGGCTGAAGAAATTTGCCAACATAAGATTGATCTGGATGTAGTTGGTCTTGGAGAATTTGAATCTAGCAAGTTTTATAAAGTAAGTGTAGTACGAAGATAAATTAATTTTTTAATTATTTGCACAAAGAAAAGAGTTTTGCTTCTTGATACTGGCAAGGATTAATGATGTTATATTTTTTTAATTGTGCTCTCGGGCACAAGTTTAGTTTGCCTCGAGGGTCAGTCTATTCCAGGGATTACTGAAAAAATTAATGGTTTCTTGAACATTTCAGAAAACTCTATATTATCTTACAAGTCTTAATGGTTTATCACTCTATTTAACTTTCATACTGCCTAATATATGATTTAATAAAATAGGAAACATTTTCTAAATGCTGCGTTTAGACTTTCACTGCGAAAGTGCGCTCATGTTTGATTTTGTGAATTTCTTTTGGTTGACTCAGCTAAAAAGTTTGTATTTGTCATAGTTACATGGTTTCACATTGAGATTGAAGATATCTCAATTCTTTATAAATTTCATGTTATAAAGCTTCTGTAATCCCAAAATTTTGTTTTCTTGAAGTTTAAGCTTCCCAATATTTTTTGTGCAGATTGATGTGAACTGCTTCACCTCTTGGTTTCTACAGAAAATATATTTAGTTTAGCAGTTAACAAATAAAATATTTATCATCTATTTATTTATTGTATTAACAAGGCCATCGCATATTGTTTATTGTGAGGGAAAGTTTTGAATCACATTTAATTTGTAATTATGATTAGTCCATTTTCATTTATTATATTCTTTAATGGGTTGTATGTTTGATTTGTTACTCTAGTTTCAGAATAAATTTAATTTGGTTTATAGATTTTTTTTCTTCCTTAGGAACTGGTTTTAACTTCCAAAGGAGAATTATTAAAAAATTGGGATGGCATTGATCCTGTTAAAAAAATCGATGATGTCCAGAAAGAGATTGGCTGGTAACTATTAAAAATCTTGTTTCATTAGATAAATATATGTCTTTTTGTTGTGTATTAATTTTGTTTTTAGTATTTCTAAGAAATTCAACAGACATTTTGGAACCTTTTATCTTGGCGGAGAAGCTAAATTTAAAATCATGTTATATAAATTATATCAGTAAGTAATTTGAATTAATTACTAGCACCAATTAATTATTCATATCTTTTTAGAATAATTAATTTTAAAATGTTCAAACTCTTAGTGAACCACAGAAGTTAATGTGGACATCGAAGGTAAATGAAAAAACAGAAGATGAAGAGAAGCCAATTGAAGAAGTTAGTATCAGATTGAAACTAAAAGTTTGGTATAAAAATCCCATTATAAAGTGTTTTAAATCTTAATTTAAAAATTTAACTAATAATCTATTAACTTACCTTTTCATTGTTTAAACATGTTATTAATTTTTAGAAGATACTTGTTTTTAATACTTTTTTAAAAATTATTAAATACTAATATGTAATTTAAATTTTTAGGGTGTTATAAAAGAAGAGGACGATGAAAGTGGGTTGAAAAGAGATACACAGCAGATTAAACAAGAGGAAGATGAAGGGACATTCAACAGAGTTACGCAACAGGTAAAACATAAGAATTGTTTCAGTTTATTTGTAAGATATTAATGAATTTTTGCGGATAGGGTATGTTTGATTAACATATCCTCTATAAGAATGTAATTAATGACTTCTTTCTTCTAGCAAAGTCTTTGCCGAATTAAGATTATCATTTGACGATTTATTTTTAACATTAAAATAGCTTAGCCTGTTTCAATTTCATCCTGGCTTCCATTAATACTGAATGATATTCTTCCAAAACTTTAAATATATAGTACTTTTTTGTACTTAACTCACTTTGGTTCTTTTTAATAGTTTGAATAAGTTTTCTAAATATTATATTTTTATTTGAATAATAATAATATGAGAAGGAATTAGTCGGGGGTGCGGTCAAATAAATACTAAATTAAAATATATTAATGTTATCAGTGGATAACAAGCAAGTGGAGGTTTGCTTGTTATCCACTGATATCTTATTATTATGTTATCTTATCCTTATTTTAACTTTACTGTAACAATACTTATTCAATTTTCAATCTATTTATTGGTTAACATTAATTTTCTTTATCTGTTAACCCACAGTTATCTAATGTAATCTCTATTAGTTTGTTATACACTTATTCCTTATCTTTTATCGCAATCTGTTTACTTTTAACTTACATGCTATATTCTCCTTTATTTTTATTTTTATTCATACTTATTTTCCATTTATTTCTATCTTCTACATATATAATACTTAATATTTAACTACATTGTCACCCACTATATCTCTGATACCATCTTTTATTTCTGTATCTGACAACTTCTTCTTATTTTATATCTACTTATATTTATTTTTTATTTTTAACATGTTTTGTATCTTTTGTAGCCCTGAAGATGACCTGCAAAGTGGGTCAAAACTTCGGCAAAAATTAAAATAATTAAATATTTTAATTTAGTATTTATTTGACCGCACCCCCGACTAACTTCTTCTCATATTATATCAACGGTCAACCATCTCTACATCATAATAATAATAATAATTGGAGATACTCAATTGGTACTTGCACCAATTTTCAGTTTTTATTTGTCACTGAAGATTAAGTTATAACAATAAAAGCGCATCAATTCCTGAACTTTTCTGTTCCATATTTGCAAGGATAATTAGCATTAAAGAAAAATGGTGGGGTTCGAGTTACTACATCCCGAGAGCTCAGATCACACTATGTCATGACCTGTGCCTGGATTTTTATACAGTCAAATCCACAAAATATCCCATATAAAATATAAAATAAAAACTACCAAATATGCAAAAAAAGAAAAATCTGTTTTGAAATAAAAAAGAAAAAAAATAGAGTAAGGATTAAAAATTTAATAAATTTTTTTTTATAAACCAAAATAATTAAAACAAATTAAAAGAGTAATATTAAGTATTTTTTAAGAACTAATATATCGAAGTATTACAAAGTTCCAATAAATTAATTGACAACACAAACAATCAAAATGAAACGCCTTTGAATAAGGAATTAGTAAGCGACATGATCTGACCAAAATTAATAAATGAATTTAAAAATTTATTTCTAAAACCTAATCTATAGTTTGAAATAATCTTAAAATAAGAAGAAAAAAAAATATGAAAATTATATTTCTACAACAGACGTGATCGCAGCAACTTTATATCTGCTTAAAATTATTACTTTTGATTTTCAACGAAAGAAACTTGATTTGAACAATAGAAGTAAATTCAAACCTTTCAATGGTTTTTAAAAACTGTTTCATCTTTGGAACTGTAAAGTGTAATAAAATTATGCACTTAAAGTTATACAAAATATAACTAAAATTTTAGAGATGGCTAAGCATTCGACTAATCAATTATAAAGATGAAACAAAAATTGTCAGGAATTTCAGTCACCATTTTTGTTTCATAATTAACATTGAAACTGAATCCGGTATTTAAAAATTAAAAGGAATGTGATAAGAGATAAAAAGCCAGGAAATAAAAAATATATATATATTCTACGAAGTTAATTACTTATGGTAGCATTATTTTGTTACTTCTTAGTTCATTATTTATAATTTTTATTATAATTATTATTTTTTAGTTGAAATGATCAAATTATACAATTATAATCAAATATCCTAAAACATACATTATCAAATTTGACTAATTGCTTCTAGGATACACTAATTCTTATAGATTTTCGATCAGCAGTATAAAAACTGCTTGCAAACAAAATATTCAATTGCATAAAAATCCAGGCCTTGCTCATGAAATGCCAGAGCCTAGCCCGAAGCATTGGATATTTTATAGATAAGATAGATAGAAAAAAAAAAACTTTATTCTGGGACTAAGTCCCTTTAGAACAACAATATTGTACAAAAGAATAGAATATTACTGGCCTAAAAGTTTGAAACAAAAAATAAAATTGATAAAATAAAATAAAAAGTAAAGAAAACCTTTGGTGCACAAACTATATACAATACAGATAAAACTATGTACAGAGCATTTAAAACTATGAACAAAACAATTAAAACTATGAACGAATCACTTGAACTATGAACAAAACTATATATAAGGGTTGAACAACATAAACATACACTTTGAGAAATGAAGAACGAAAAAGAGATAGAATGAGTTCATTTCATAAAAAAAACTTTACTTGAATATATATATATATATAAATAAACAATTAATTATAATTGAATAAAAAAAAAAAAAAATGTATGTATTGTAATTCCTACGTCGATAGTATGAAATGCATGTACTATCTCTTACCAAGTATTATGATTATATGATTGCTACACAATACATATATAGTATTAATAGTTAGCTGGTATCTAACTGTTTTTGGAACAGAAATTGGAATAGGAGGTTTATGAATGTATATAGGGAAGGGGCACGTCGAATTTTGATCGGGAGGGAATTCCAAAAGTTGACAGAGCGGGCTATAAAGGAGTTTTGGAATGAGGCAGATCTATGAGAAGGGATGTATAGGTGAGAGGGTCGAGATCTTGTAGTGAGGGAATGGATTGAGGACTTAAATTGGAGAAGGTTGTAGGCATAAGAAGGACGATGATCGGTAATGATTTGATAAAGGAAAGTGCCTAGAAAATATTGTCTTCTTAAGGAGGGGAAGAGCCACCCTAACTCAGTGTAGTGGTGGGAGACACGGGAGTGTCTCGGGGTCCCAATTGCACGTTATTATACGTTATCTTAGAATAATTTTTCCAATTTTAAAAGTTTCTTCCAAGAAATATCTTTCTATTTCTTTTCTTTTTTTTTTTTTTTTTTTTTTTTCTCAACTTGTCTCTGAATAAAAATATTTAGTTTGAAACCTATTATAATAGCTTTTATAAATGCATGTTAATAAATTAGAGCTGTGAGACACTTTGACAGTACCCTGTTTGACAAGCTTATGCCTCACTCACACTATAGTGGACACCAGCCACCCCTCCGGTCCACACCATCTCTGTGACGCACGGTCATTTCAAGTATTTAGCTAAATACGAAAATTTTTGTATTATTTAAAAAGTTTAGTCTTAATCTTCTTTATCAGTTGAATGCTATTGAAGCTCAATTTTTTGGGATTTTTTTCTCCTAATTATAGTGTTAAAACATATGTCAAGCAAAATTTTAAGCACTACCTTTTTGTATTTCTGAAGCCTTTCTGTGCTTAGGTACTAATAAATTAAATTTATTTCTTGAACTATACTTAGCTTTGACATCACTTTCAATGTTCATCCATCTAATTTCAATTAAGCTATCAAGAACATTTAATTATATTAATGGCAACACTATAAAACATTTCCTTTTTTATTTTATTTCTCTATAAATTGTAATGCGTTTTTCTGTAGGACAATTTTGAAACCAAGTGCACCATCTCTAAGTGTCAATCTATACATTAAATAAATCTGAAATAATTATTTGCTTACATAATTCATTTTTAATTGACTGCCTATATATTTAATTTTATTATTTAGACCTTCAAGCAAATTTTAATGAGAAAACAATAGTATTAAGTTGAAATTTTTAAGGATTAATTCAAAGATGTTTCTGGAAAAAGAAGATATATTTTCAGTGCTGATTAAAGCCTTGAATTACTTTTAGATAATTGTATCTGCTTTTCAAGTCTAATTTTTCACTGTTTCAGGAGAATTCTGAAAGAAGTTCAAATAAGAAATCAAAATCGTGCCCTTTAATTGCTGGAAGATATATTACAATGACTAAGGTATTATTAATTTATTATTTTGTATATAAATTATATTTTATTCATTGCCTATTTTTTTAAATGGTGGAAAAAGTATTTACAATCAACTCCTTATAGCTCAAAATTTAAGAGAATATATTTTATTAATTTTTTTGAAAAAAGAAAAGGAATGTTGATTGCAATGAGTAATCATTGGGTTAAAAATTATTTGTGGAAGAATATAATTTGGAAAAACATTCTTTGAGAAATTATTAAAAAAATAATTTTCGATTTGAACTTATTATGGTATTTACACTTTTTTCACTAGCATGGTTAATGAGATCCTGGACCCCACTGAATTCGTTCATGGAGCAAGTGTATGCCTTTCTCCCCATCCTCATCTAATTTGGTTTTATGTATGTTTATTTTTGATGTGCCAAAAAGCCAAATGACATTCAAACTGCCTCAAATCATTCAGCAACCAACAGAGGTTTACCGAACCTCAGCTATGTGTCATCACTATATCCTCACCTTGAGTCAGAATTATAAAAATATTATCTAACTCCCATATTTAATCAATATGTGGATTATAATAATAATATTGAATATTTAATAGTTGACCGTTGCATTATAAAGGAAGGAGATGGTCCGGGGTGGCGGTCATAAATAGGCTAAATAGTTTTATCACTATTTAGCCTATTTATGACCGCAACCCCGGACCATCTCCTTCCTTTATAATAATAATACTTTATTTATTCTGGGACGAGTCCCTTTAGAATAATACAGAAAGACAGAAATGTGGGCTAAGGAGCCTTAGAGATTCATAAACAAAAATACAGAATAATTAAATAGTCATAATCAAAATATATAAGTTACTTTCTAATTTTCATCACTTAATAATAAAAAATTTAATGAAGAACGATCTAATAATTTATATACTTGTTTAGAGTAGTATCTATTTACAAATTTATGGGGACTGGATGGAAAAGAAACAATTGGACAGGTGGGATTTAAAGGTAGATTGGATTGATGGATGTGAGAAGAGACGGGGTTCCATAGGGATGAGGATCAGATAATAAACGAGCTGTCGAAAGCAGCGGTTCGGTGAGCCCTTAGGTATAAATTAGAAGACTAGGAACGACTATTGCAGGAACGAACAGAGGCTAATTGAAGGAGTTTGGAGATGTATGAAGGACGGTGGGATTGGATGACTTGAAAGAGGAAGGATGCCAGGAATTACTTACGCCAGTAGGAAGGGTAAAGTCACTTCAACTCTGCATTAAAACGGGAAATAGAGGCGTCCCTTGGGATCCCAAAGATGAATCATACAAAGCAATTAATCAAACGTTTTAGTTTCGCCTTGAGATTCCCAGAGACGCCCCCCTATAACGTGCAGCAATAGTGAAAGTGGAAAAAATTAAGGAAGTGACTAGGAGCCTAGGGGTTTCAAAAGGAAATAGGTAACGGGAGTAATTTAGATGTTTTAAGGTGGAAATGGTATGGCGGGAGATATCCGGTACATGGTTTTTTGAGGAAAGCGTTTGATCAAAGTTTATTCCAAGGTTTTTGATGGAGGAATACAATTTTATGAGAAGAACAGAGTTGGAATATTAGGAACAGTTTTAAAAAGGTGATTGGAGCCTATTAAGATTGCCTTCACTTTTTCCGCATTCAACCTCAACTTGTTAGCTCTCTTATTATTATATTATATAACTTATTATAATATAAGAAATATAAATATTAATACTATTAAATAAATTAGAGCTTAGAGTTATCCCTCATGTTTCAGGCAGAACTGAAGTGGTATGAACCAAAAGTTTCAAAAGGGTTAACTTTAATAGGATTCAGACGGATTTCACTGATTCCTGCCCATCTTGTCGAAGGAGAATCATGTTTTGTTCTCCCGGATACAAGAGACAAAGGTGATTTTACAAAATAATTTTTATTTGTAGATATTTCATGTAAAAATAGTTAAATAATAGAGATGATTATTGAGTGTGCTGCTGTATAAATGAAATGAATGTTAGTAAACGTGTATTTTTCTCGAGTAAGCATAAGTAGATAATAACTTACCTTCATAGAAATCAAACCCACACTGCTCTGAACTGGCTACTGAATCAAGAGTCCTCGTCCTAACCTATCCATGACCTTTAATGAATGCCTAGAGGAAGACACATACTACTGGACAGATTTTAAATCTAAAGTGTATTGATTTAACTCTTACTGTTTATAGTTTTTCTTAGAAAAGGAATTCAACTAGTCTTAGTAATGATTGTGGATTGATGGTTGGCTATAGTGAATAATTGAGAAGATTGGTTGGTGAGTTCAGTCAAAAAAGTTTAAAAAAAAAAATAAATTAAACTATTAAAGAATAAATATATTTTATTTATTTTTGACTAAATACCCGAACCAATTTTCTCTTCAGTCATAGTAATGATTTTTTTAATGATGTAGAGATGGTAGACCGTGATATAATATGAGAAGGAGTTGATCGGGGGTTGCAGTCAAATAAATACTAAATTATAGAAATAGTATTATTTAATTTTTTGCCGAAGTTTCGACCCAATTTGCAGGTCTTCGTCAGGGATACGAAAGATACAAAATATAAAAGGTACATGGTGAAAATAAAATAAATGAATATAAGTAGATATAAAATAAGAAGAAGTAGTCTGATAAAGAAATAAAAAGATGATATCAGAGATATTGTGGGTGACAATGTAGTTAAAATATCAAGTATTATATATATAGAAAATACAAACAAAAATAGAAAATAAGTATGAATAATAACATAATAATAAGATATCAGTGGATAACAAGCTCATCAATTATATATATATAAATTTTTTTTCTTATAGAGTTATATATATTTAATAAATCTATCCTAACAATATTACAACTAATGTTATCCTAGTAATCTTTCAATTTCTTTATTTCTGAACCTTTAGTCCCATTATCTGTTTACCTACAGTTATCAAATGTAACCTCCACTAGCTTATTATTCACTGATATCTTATTCTTATTTTAGCTTTACTACATCAATACTTATTCAATTTTCAATCTCTTTATTCGTTAACATTCATTTTCTGTATCTGTTAACCTACAGTTATCAAATGTAATCTTTATTAGTTTGTTATACACTCATTTCTTATCTTTTATCGCAATCTGTTTACTTTTAACTTACTGCTATATTCTCCTTTGTTTTCTATTTTTATTCATACTTATTTTCTATTTTTGTTTGTATCTTCTATTTATATAATACTTGATATTTCAACTACATTGTCACTCACTATATCTCTGATATCATCTTTTCATTTCTTTATCAGACTACTTCTTATTTTATGTCTACTTATATTAATTTATTTTATTTTCACTATGTTTTGTATCTTTTGTAGCCCTGATGAAGACCTGCAAAGTGGGTCGAAGCATCGGCAAAAAAATTAAATAATACTATTTCTATAATTTAGTATTTATTTGACCGCACCCTCCCTCACCCCCGATCAACTCCTCAATGGTTTTTTAAAATTTATTTATTTATGCTTATGTAGTTTCTGTCCACCAAAGTGTTGTCCTGAACCCCGAAGACGTGAATCTATTAATATTTCAAATAAATGCAGTACTATTTCGACATATTAGGATATTGGTTGAATTTTAATTGTAGATAAAACACTGTAATGCAGTAAAATTTTAATATTTATTGTATTAAATATTCAATCTTGAATTTTATCAGCCTATGCCTGGAATGTGATTTCAGGAGTCACATTTCGTATTCATAGAACTTTGTGTAATTTATGAAATCCTTATACAACCTGAAATAGTTTTCTTTACTTATTTCTCTTTCTTTTTGTGTTTGTTTTTATTTAGGCCAGATATAATATTTTAATTTTGTACTTTTTTGTTATTCTAAAGGGACTTGTCCTAGATTAAAATTATTTTCTATTCTATCCTATTCTAAATAAACTGTTAATTTTATTTTGTTTGAGCAGTTGGAGGGAGAATCACTAAGTGGCAACCGTATTTTTAGTTTTAACTAAACATTTATTATAAAAGAAAATATTTCATTTGTTCCTTATAAAGTGAAATATACTCATGTTATCGATAGGCTATATGCATTTAGTTCATTTCAGCTAATGGTATAATTTTCGGGGCCAATATGAATATATTGAGGAAAGGAATAAGCTTTTTTAATTTATATTTGTTTAAAATAATTTAGAAATTCTGAAGATGATTAGTTAAGAGAATTAAGATTATTATTTTTCATTGCAGCTAGTACTGAGCTGTTCGCTGTTCTTCATGAATCTTGTCTCCAGAAGAATGTTGCAGCTTTATGTTGGTATGCACTTACAAAATCCGCCACCCCTTCTCCTGTTATTTTATTCCCTGTCGAGTCATCAGAATATGCTAAAGGAAAAAAACATCCGTCAGGTTTCCATGCAACAAAAATCCCTTTTTCTGGTAATGGTCATTTATTATTCAATTCTTTGTAATCACTCACACACATAGTTATTTTATAAATATTTATAATTTTTACTACTTAAACAATAATTTTAGAGCAATTTCACTAATATGTACCTCAAAGTTGGCCTGATAATTCAATTTTCTTTTTCAATCTTGGTTTATTTTTCCTGAAAACAAAAACTTTGATCTTTTCAATATTTGAAAGCAATTTTTATAGTTTGGATTTATCTTTCCTTAAAAATGTTATTTATATTATCTTCATTTGAATTTGATTTACTTTATTGCGACAATTATAACTCACAAAGGTACAATAGTAGTAAAACATTATTTTATAAGTTGTAATTTCAAGATAATTCCTTATTTGATTGAGTGTTACTTGGAAAAATCTTAAATGGCATAATTTATATTTAATAAAATAATTGATTCCCTTCATCCTCCATCATGATGGATGGGCACAAGATCACACAATTATACTGTGGATTCCAAAAACAGCTCTTTGGTAAAGACGACCTCAACAAAAATGTTGGGGTTTGTTATCCTTTTTCGAGTCAACAGAAGTCGATATTAAAGATTTACTTAATAAAGTTAACTCTCATGAAAAAGTTTGTAAATTCCAGACCATTTTCAGATTTCCATCTGCAGTGTGGTCTTGTGCTCATCCACCATGTTAGAGTGACACTTGTGAAGTAATACCAGGAATACTAATTGAGTAAACATCGTATCTACAAAATGTTCAGTTATTGTTTTAATGATTTAATTTTTTCACAGATATGATAAATGATTGTTCAGAAAGCAGTGGTTTTTCTGAAATTGATGCAAGTGAAAGTCAAAAAGAAGCTGCAGATGGTAATATTCTGTTATTATTACTTATATTAGATGTAATGAATCTTCATTCTTATTCTTATGATTAAATGAGACCAATTATTTTTTTCTTCAGGAATTGTCAAGAAAACAACTATCAATTGGTCTCCTGATACTTTCAATGATGTTGAATATAAAACCAGAATTGCAATGATAGAAGCAATAGCAATGGAGTACCCAGAAGCACCTTCAATAGCTGATAACACAGGTATAAAACTTTTTTTGATCTTTATAAAAAAAATTAATAATTTAAATTAAATTAAGTAGACCTTCTGCAGCAGTTAACCTCATGGAATCTTAGACTGTTTAATTGAAAATTATAAAATTACTCATCAATAAGAATTTTGTTATCGCTAATGATTATTCGTAACCTCCAGAAAGAAATCTTATTTAAATATTTGAGCAATTATTTTTCATGAGACATCTCTATAAAAATCTATTTTATTCCTTATACCTCTTTGATTGTTATAGACATAGACCTGACAGATATTGCTGATCATCTGGGAGAACTTAATGAGAAGTTCGTGGATTGTTCCCATTTACCTCCAGAGGTTTTAGGCAAACGAGGCTCTAATAAGGAAAATGGAAAGGAAACTTCAACCAAAGAACCAAAAATAATTGATTCAGTATCTCTCATTGCTTTAATAAAGGCTGGCAAGGTAATTTGATATTTTAATATTTTAATCTACTTAGATATTATTTTAAACAAACAGTGAAAATTGTTATGATATTCCTATTTTAGGTATCTTATTCATTTCATAATTATTTTTTCTTTAAAATTTATTTATCTTGGATGCTACTGTTCGTTATTTGAGCATCTTACTGGTTGTCTTTCAATAGTATATAAGTTTTTTCTCCAGTTGCGACATTCATTGGCTGTTTCAGCTAACCTATATTTTTCAAAAACAGATCATATAACAATATATTTTTACTTTCTTAATATAGTTTATATTCAAATATAAACTATATATATATATATATATATTTATTTTTTTTTTTTAAAGAAAGTATTTAGATCATTAATTGGATACATCAAATTGTTTCAAAACACTCAGGGGATCTCATCGAAAAATTTGAGCCATGAAACTTAAAAATTGATCCAGCCGTTCGCTAAAAATATTGTTACATAGTTTTTGGCAGACGATTCAAACACATAACTCTCGTTTCGCTTTGCTTAGTCATGTAAAAAACAAATAGAAATAATTTTCAAACAGATATCTACGAAAAAAATCTAAAGGTGTACATTTATACCTATTACTTAGGGCTGGACTAAGGAAGAAAGGGATTCAGGAATAGAATAGAAGATAACTTTTCTTCCCTAACGTGTTATTCTCTAAAAACAAAATAGCTATGTTAAATAGATACTAAAAGTAATTAATGCTATGCTAAAGGAAATAGTTGTATGAGATGGAGGTACACTAAGAAATTTAGGTTTCATGAGATCGAGTTAAGGAACTTGCACTCTTATAGTGTAGTCCACCTCAGTCTTATAGTGATTGCACCTCTGAGTTCAAATGGGGTTGTAATGTCGTGGGGATTTAGAAAAAACTATTCCTTAAAATGTTAATTAGCACTGGACGGACATGTCCGAGGAGTAGCCTGTGGCGTATGTGGGAGGATTGTGTTAAGGATGGCCTTGTGAAAATGGCTGTCAACAGAAAGTACATTGTTGTGTGAATCGGCAGTTTTTGACAAAAATACATTTTTTAAGGTCTGAGTCCAAAGAACCAAGTTTTGCAAAATGGTCTGTCTGTGCTCATCTTGTTAAAAAAAAATGTTTTCTATACTTTTTTCTGGGAGAAGAAATGGAATATAAAAATATTTGTAGCACTTTTTTAAGAAGGGTAAAACATATATTTATGTAAAACATAACTTTACTATAGTTTAATAACTTAAGAACATATAGTAGATCAAAGTAATTATTGGTCAAAAAAATCCTTAAGGAACATTTTAGAAAAATAAATCAATAAATAATTTGATGAATTTTACCTCTTTAAAATCTCAACATTATGCATCTACAATTAGTGTGACACATCAAGGGTAGGAAATGCAAACCTTGTAACTCAATTTTGGTAAATTTTATAATAGACAAAATAAGAATTTTAAAAGCTGGTGCACAAAAAGTGATTAATGCACTAACTCTTTTTGCAACAACCCGTTTGTGACAGAAAATAATTTACACTCATTGTGGATTGATAAGTGAAAGTTGCTTGATGTGTGCACCAGAATTTTATTAATAAAAACAGCATCACAGTTGAAGCAACAAGTTTGAATGTACAATGAAAGAGAAAAACAATATTTTGAACCTGTGAAAGTGTATAAGGTCAACTTCTCATTTTTATAAAAATATTATGTTACTATTTATTTTTGTGAATAAGTATAGATACTTATACTGTATGTTGTTATGGCATGAGTGCACCTTTTCATTCATGAAACCTTGTATTATTTGCCGACACCAAATAAATAAAGCAGATGGGCATTATGGACTCCCTCGCCTAGTCCCAAAATACCAAGATACGGATCAGTTTGTTCTTCATACTGTCAATAGACCGTAACATTGACTGTCTCTTGTTGCATAGTGTTACTAGCCAAAATTAATTTAATTGATATGAAGTTTTATTTAAGAATAGTTTATGTTATAAAATAATTGTTTCAGCTATTTTTATTTTATTATGAAAAACTGGGGAAAAAACAAAACTGGAAAAGGATTTCAAACATTTATTGAATGAATACTGAGTGAGCTAGATCTTGGTGTAAAAAAAAAAACGCTAAATTATTTCTGGTTTGTTTAATTAGTTTTTTTCAAACCATTTCTATTGAGTAAAAAATTGAAATAATAATTGTATGAAGATTATTTTTAATTTTATTGAACTGCTTAATAATATTTCTTGTTTTTATTATTATTTAAAGGCTGAGGAACTTACCGTTGCACAGCTGAAGGAGCTACTCAAAGGAGAAGGTATTAAGTCTCTTTCCGCTATGACTAAGCCAAGATTGATAGCGATAGCCAAAAGCAGGTTTTCGTCCAACAATTAAAAGATACGGGGATAATTTTTTGTAAAAAAAAAAAGAAGTGATAATTACATATAGAACGTGATTTTTGTATAATGTAACTAAAGCTATACCAACTTGATAATAATTGGTGTATATAAACTTAATTGTATTACAACTGATGAATGAGACTTGTATATATCTATAAAATATTTTGTTTTATGAATGAAAAAAATATTAAATTTTGTTATTTCTGTATGGTGTTTTTTAATTGTCTTATCTCATCTCTTTTTGTGTAATTTTATTAATTATTATTTATTTTTTTTGGTTTTTATGAACACGATGGTTATAGTCTATGGTACAGTCCTCTTTTTATCGAATTATTAACACTTGTATCAATAAGACTCCTTGAGAGGCTTCATTTGATAATAATCTACAACTTGTTTATCTAAAAAAATCCTCAGAAATGGGGTGTTTTCAATCTGAAGATTGGTAAACTAAACACTGTTTATTTTAATGAAGTACTAATAAATCATGAATATCCATTTGCTATAGTTTTAAAACAGAACAACCATTCTATTATAGTTTTTCTTTTTAAAATAACTATGCTAACAGAGATCAAAGTTTAAGTTAATGTGACTAGTTTCTTATCCAACAGGTCTTTATATCATTTTACTAATATATTTAGACTAGTTGGCCCGTGCGAATAATTTGCAGTAAATTATGATTAGTGAAGAAATAGCAAAACAATATGGAAATAAGTAGATCCTATGTGTTATGTAAGGAAGGAATTAATATTTTTCCTTTTACAATATTCCATTTAACATAATAGACCAAAATATTTATACAAATTGCTTTGCTAGGTCCTATTTTTAAACGCTGATTAGAAATATAATAAAGGCAATAAAAACAAAATAGAGCTTTGAACATGGGATTTTCTAAATTATTAAAAAAAAAAAAAATATATAAGAACAAACAAATGCCTTTAAGAAATAATAAAGTTAATATATCAGCCAGGAAAAAGAGTGTAGTAGAATAGTAAATGAAATATCTTTAAAGAGGAAGAAATTATTAAGTATGCCAAAACTAATGGACTGTATCTTTGTTAATAATTGTCAGATTTTTTTTGTTTTGTAGGTAATTTAGTAATCTTTCTAATTATCATGGGTGCAATTCAGAAAAAAATGCATACTTTTTGAGTTATTCGAAAAAAAAAGTTTCTTTTCCTTCATAACTTTTTTTCCAGAAATTTTGGGAGGATAGGACTATTTTTCTCTTGTGAAGGCGAAGAATATCTTCAAAATGAGTGGTCAATCATTGGATTTGATGAAGAATTGACAAAAAAACACCTTTTAGAAATAAAATATAAGATAGAAGAGCTGTGCTGAGGTAGTCGTCATGGCAACGACTTCACTTTTCATTATGATGTTTTTAGTTGGCGTTTAAATTTTTGGCGTGAATACATGACATAAACAAATGGAATACTTAATAAATTTAAAAGAAACGTAATATTACTATGTTACCAGCACTGAAGGTGTTCAAGTACTTCGGTAGGTAACCTAACTATACATGTTAACTGGAATATTGTATTTATTAAATGATTTTTATTCCATAAACAATAATGTTACTCAAATCTCCTGACTTTGTTTCCTGCAATCTTAAAAGCACATCTGGAAAATCCTCCCCTGTCCCTCTCACTTACCTACCTACGTACTTGAACACCTTCAGTGCTGGTCAGATAGTTAGTAATATTACATTTCTTTTAAATTTAATATGTATATTATTTTATAGTTTGTATAGTTAATTACGTATTCCGTTTGTCTAGCTCATGTATTCACATAATTCTACATTAGTTATTATTTATTTTTTCATGCCATTGACGATTACCATTACCAACTATTGTCTGTTATATAATACATATCTGATGTTAAAAAGTTTTTCAGCATTGATTACACACAAGCTTGGTTGAAACAAAAATCTTAAAAACTGACTGCATCCTTACTATTTATCATCCTATTGAAACTTACCTATAGCTTCTGTTACCATTCAAGCTTCACCACAAAAGTTGCATTTAACATCGCTGTATCGTTTGAACCAAAATATAAGCGATGAACTTATTTTAATTACTCAATTTCATCTTATTACCTTGGAAAAGTCTTGTTGAGCCAAAAATAATAATAAACTATAAATGTATATTAGTTGTTCTCTGAAACTATGGACATTGATATCTCAGAGAAAATTAAGCAACCAAGTTTATTTTTTGAAAGGTTTCTGTTCTTAAACACTAAACGGAAATAGGTACTGTGACTTTTATAACACTAAAATACTCGCCTGCAACAACCTTTGTTTCATTACCAATTAAAGAACTGAATGCTTTAGTGTTCTTTCCCTCACTTGTCCCCTAAGTCTGAGTTTTCATGGTTCCATTAGTGATAGCAGTTTAAGGTACTTCGTCTAACTCTTATTTTAAAATCCGGTCCAGGTAAGGGAGTTTTTAGTTTTTAAAGGTGATTAATCCTGAGGAATACAACGTTGATGACAGTGTTGCATTCTCAGTCCTAATACTCGGATTTGTTTCTCTGGAGTAAACAGTTTTGTCAACAAAGTTGTGTTGCTGTTTTGCTTTCTCTTTCTCTCACCACTAAAAATCGCTGACTACTGTAAGTACAACATTTATAGAATTAACCTCAAATTGTTAATTTTATCGGAATAACGTGTATAAAAAAGTAACATATTTAAGATTAACTCAATTCAACAAATAAGTAATCATGTAATTCTGTTGGTTTATTATTACTTTCCTACCTACATGCCTATACTAGGTAAGGAAAGTATTGCAATTGGGTAAAATTTCCGATATGCGGTTTTCGACCGATCTATACGTTTCAGAGCCCCCTGAATCCGAAAAACATTTTTAGCCATTGGTCTGTCTGTCTGTCTGTGCCAAGATTTTCTCGGGAACTACTGAACCGATTTTGTTGCTTCTTTTTTTATTTTGTAGGGTTTTGACTACTGATGCCTGTGAGAGAAATTTGATGCTCCATGAGCAATAGCTTGCACGCAATAAATGAAAAATACGTTTTTCTATAGACTAGCGCAAAAACAGCCCTCACGATTTTTATGAAACTTTCCTACTACTAGGTAAGAAAAGTATTGCAATCGGGTCAAATTTCCGATATGCGGTTTTCGACAGATCTATACGTTTCAGAGCCCCCTGAATCCAAAAAACACATTTTTAGTCTGTCTGTCTGAAATTCCCTACAAAACTATATAAAAATCGTTCATTTTGGACAACTAATAACAAAGTTACAGCTATTCAATTTCCAATGTAAGATTATGGGTACATATCCTGGTGTCAGAAAGGGGTGAATGAGAGAAAAAAGATGACTAAGTGAAAGTAAGGAAATCTGTGGCCCGCATCACACAAGCTACACTATTTCCTCTACTTTGAACCATGATCTAGAGCATGAAGAATGGATATGGAATAAAGAGAATATGAAAAAAAAAATATTTCAGCCTATAAAAATTCTTATTGTACTTCAAGAAATCAAAATAAAGGAACAATTAAATGAAAGAAAAAATGTAAATCTGTAAATGATATGTGATATAATCTGAAAATATGCAAACAAAAAATTTGGAGGCAGCTAAAAAAAAAAAAAAGGGAAAAAAAAGAATGAAATTGGAATTGAATCAAAAAGTTGAATCTGAATTAATATCTCAAAAAATTAATTGTTTAATTTTTTTCAGTATAATTCCAACTAAAAATTTGTTGATAGACTTCAAATTTTTATTACATTTATTAAAATTTTATGAATAAAAAATAATATACATTTTATATAATTTTCTCTTTCTCTCATGATGGTAAATTTTGATATCCAATTCTTAGACACTTTCCAAACAATTTCCCTTCTTCCAGAGAATGGCCAACAATATATGTATTTATATATACAAACATGTATCTAATTTTCTTTTAGAGAGAACAATTTTCTAATATTTTAATCAATCTAGCAATAATAATAGAAATTTAAATTATTGTTTCAGGAAGAATAAAAATAATTAAATTAAATTATTAATTATAATTTCAGAATCCAAAACCGTCTTTTTTGCCCATTTGATGGATTCTTCATGGCTAATTCTTGTTATCAGTCATACTGTTAGAGTATATTTAATGCAGGCAACATTGAGCATTAGTATTTTTAAATGATAGAAATACATTACTATGCAGTTGGCTCAATGAATTATTATCCTAACATATGTTCTTCAATCATTGATGAATTTTATTGTTTAATCTAATTGTGTACGAGAAAAATAAAAATTATTAACTAAGCATCAAATATATATTTATGTGTTATATTTAATATATATATTTTTTTTCTTAACTGAAATAGAATTACAATTTTTTTTTATATTTTACACAAAACTACAATTTTTTTTATAATGAGAGAAGAATAACAAAGAATAAAAAGATAAAAAATTTTTTACAAGTTAAAATATATAAATATGCTGAAAAAATTGGATTGAATCACCAGATAAAAGATACTTTTTATATACTTGTATCCCTAAAATTTATATGATATATTAAAACTTTTATTATCACTTGCCTATTAGATTACAATTAAAGCATTATGTCTTTTCGCATGATATATTATTTATAATTACAATACTAATATTTATCTACAATAGATTTATTAAAAACAAAGCATTATATCTATATTTGGCATAAGAAAATTATGTTACAGGTTTTCAAAATTAGTTGTTCAAAGTTGTTTTCAATATCTTGTTTACAATAGAAATATTATTCTATATATTTCAATGTTACATAAAATATAGATTAAAGAAAATCTTAGTGCTTTATAAAAGATTTATATTAAATAAAAAGAACAAAGATTAGAGGAAATATAGAGTTAAGTGGAAAAATACTCCTGATACAAACCCTAACAATCTGCTACGATTTATACCAGGTGTCATTGGTCCACAACTTCTCTTGAGAAAGTAGCCTAATATCTGATGCATACTTATACATAATTAATCCATTTTTATACTAAAGTATTCCATATTTAACAGCATGTCATTTGAATTGTTTGTTCTTTTTTAGTTGACATTTCTATTTCACATTAAAAGATAAAGTGGCAAAATGTATAAACATGCAAAAGAATTTAATGCTCAATCTGAAAGAGAAGACTACCTACATGGTAGACATTGTGTTCAGTGAGAAAAGTACGTTTTCAGGCCTCACCTTAATATTTTATATTTTAAATTAAGCCAAGGCCATGAAAACCCGGACAAGGCAAGAGCCCTTATTGATTTCATTTCAACATTTGGGCTGGCTGTGTGAGTGCAGGCTTATGTACAACATGTCTTTTTTTAATTTTTATTTTTAAGTTATATTAAGGAAAGAGAAGAATGGGAAAGGCTGACAGGACATATTAAGTCCATGCTTGTACTAGCAATAAAATCTAAATTTTCTAAGAGGATATAATTCATCTAGCAATATTTTGTCAGTATTAGATTTTTCACTAAGTTAACAAGATGCAATTATTAATTTTCAACATTCATTCTCAAGCACTTAGCTTCATTATTGATAATGAGTTAATTTTTTTTTTTCAAAGCATGGATTTACAAACAGTGGCCATTCCATCGTCAGCACACATACAAATCTAAAGTGCATGTTATAGTGCAATATAGCAATTGTGTGCAGTGCCCTTTATCGAATGCAGCTGTTATATTTATGTAAAGCAGTTATTTGTATATTATCACAAAACATATACCAAATGATTTACATAAACAGAATTTATAAAAAGCCAATGAATTCTTATATTTATAATTAAAGAATACAGTGCAATTGCGTTAGTCTGAACCAAATTATACTCGCTTAATTGAGGCTTGAATATAGAAACTGTTCATGTTAAGACAACAATGTCTACTTCTGATATAAAAAGTATGATTTATTAAACAAATTATATTGGCAGGACTAAATTTATAACAGTAGAATCAGCACATAGTTAATGAAATAAGTATGAATAGTTAACTTGTTCTCACACGTTATTATATTAAGTGGTGCCTGTAAAATGAGGAATTGATTTTTTAAAAATATTGTACATGTTTGTTTATGAATCGTTTCAAATTTAACAATTTTTCATTCCCAAATTTCTCAGATGCATGACTGAAACGAAAAACTATCAAATTATTTCAATATTGGAGGAGATGGTAGAATAAATTCATGTTAGTAGAGTATAAAATAAAATTTTACATTTTTCAATTTGATATGTTTTATTAATACTGTGAGTATTATTCCTTTTTTAAAATAAAAAATCTTTATTTTATGATTGATGCTTTTCCTTTTCCAGTGCTCTCAATTATTGTCTAGTCCGAGCTTTGGTAACAATTGCTAAGAGATGCACTGTACTTCAGCGGACCTAATGAAATCATTTTCAGTATTTGGACAGAGTCATCATCTACATTTATTCTATAAAACATAATTGTTTAATATTAAGAGTTCGTTAATTAAAGAAATGGCAAAATGATCTCTTATTTTTATCTTTTATGAACATCGAATAAAAAAATTTCTTCATTATGAATTAATTGATCTGACTGTTTTTTTTATTTTAAGAACAATCAATAGTAGTATAATATTCGTTACATTTTTGTTGCTATGAATTCATAGTGACATAATTGTACTGTAATTCAAATACTATGTGCTTATAGATTTTGAATAGCAAATAATATATTTAACTAAAAGAGATAATATCAACTCAAGAGGAAGCAGATGGACGGTCTTATAAACTATCTACTGGGAACAACTGCATACAACTAGTAGAAAACATGTTTCACAATTTTGTTTTATATATTAACACTAACCAGATATTGAGCATATCACTTTCTTTTCTATTTAAATATTATTTATCCCATATATCTATGTTTTAGTAAGTAATATTTACAGAGCTAAAAATCTATATTATTAATCTACAACTATTGGGCGATTACCAATTTCGGTTGAATAGAACCATGAGCAATAGATTGGTGTGGCATTGACTGAGCTGTCCAATGATAGGGTTTACACTGTATTAACTATCATTATTGATTATAAAAACATTTCACTCCAGTTAAAATTACATTTTATGCTAATAGAAATTCCTCCTATCATTGGATCTTTTTTTTAATTTTAATTTTTTTTTAATGTGAGTGAAAAGCATTATATTCTTCCGAAATGGGAACAGCCACTATTCCATGCAAGAAATTATTAATATCTAATTACTAATGTTAATAATTTTTACCCTTTTGCAATTTTATCCTAATAAAACCATAATATAAAATTGAACATTATAAAATAAACTAACTTTCATTTCTAATTATTTAAAAGTTATCATTATAGATATGATTACATCTATCTAAAGTATCAATGGTAATAGCCAAAAGTCAAAGTGGACAATAACCCTATGATAATAACTACTTAATTGATCCCACCTTTTAATTATCTAACGCTGATGCAACAGGATTTAATTAAGAGTAAACTATCTAATCAATTTCAAATGAACTAATTTAATTTTTTTTAAATATTATTATGAAAAGTCAGTGGTCTTTTTGTAAAGAGAAAAAAAGTTTTGATTATATCAGTAAATTATAGTGCAATTCGAAAGAAAATCTAAAAGTGGAACGGTCTACCTATGTTGATAAATAATTATTTCTTCTTTGTTGAATATACTTCAGGCACCTCCAATGATGGTGATTATATTCGTAAATACTCCAAAAAGAAGTTAAGGAAATCCACTATGGCGAGATATGTCATAGAAAGTTCGATAACCTAAGTGCTCCCCGAGCTCTCTTAAAAATTCAACACAACCCTAGCAGTTTCGACAATTTACACTATATTCACACATAATCACAGTTCCATATCCCAAATGTAATTTTTTTAAAGCCCATTTCTTGTAAATGGAAATTTCAATTTAATAGAAAGAGATTAAAAAGAATGAAATGTTTGAGAGCTAAATTGATTATATACGAAGAGGAGTGAATCATGAATAAATCTATTTTGAAATTGCATCTCTTTAAATAATTAATCTACTGTGTAATTATGTTAATTACATAATGTGTTTCAATTTTAAATTTTATTTAAAGAAATGTCAAATTTAAATTGCAATTGGGTAGGTCTAATCTATATAGATATGTACTATATACCGTGACAAGGGGAATAGATTAGAAGTAAAAGAAGATATATGTTACTTTCATGGTAACTTTTATGTCATTTATTTAATTTGTAAGCATCTAACATTTTAGACATTAAAAAAATAAAGTGAAATAAATAAAATATTCATTTATCATAAAATAGATAACAAAATTTAAATAAGGGGCATACTATATACATATTAAATGTTAGTCCAAAAGGCAACTGACAAGAGGAGGTCACGTATATATGATCAGTTTTCAAAAAACACTTTAATTACTTTACGATATTTATTAATTATGGATAAAAAACATTGTAACCTCTCCTCCTGGCATTCGTTAATAAACAATTACAAATGACAGAATATCCCTGAGTTTTATTCAGCACATGATCAGCAAGTTCTGCAGGAGGGAGGTTGCGTGCATCCTCTTCGCCCCTCTACTAGCTACTAGGCAACATCTAATTTTAGAAAAAGGATAGCCGCAGACCACAAACAATTAATTTTCTACTCATTAGTATACCAAAAGTTTCAAATACTTAAGTTAATAGAACATAAACATGTTATTATCAAGGTCTACAAGAGTTTACAGCCCTCTTTCAGCATAATAATTCTAAATTGGAAACTCGGCTGATTAAATTGTGATTAAGATTATTCAATTTGACAGAAATATATGTGAATGAAATATTTAACATGGTTAATTAATTAATCAGAATGAGAATAAAAATACGAAATACTTAAGAGGGTTGTAGTGTATTAGAAGAGAAAGGGGACTTTGTGGAAAGGTTTCATGCACCTACCTGGCAACAGAGAGTATGAGGAGTAGTAGGGAAATATACATAAGATGGAGTGGGGGGCTATAATTTGGGGATGACCTGTTGCACATGTCCTCCTCACAGAAGCACATGTGCCCTGTTCCGGAACTTTCCATCATGCACACATGATCCACCATAAATAAATTTATTTGAAGCTGTGTTGTACATGTTCTTCGTACACTTTCATATTCTGTAACAAAAAAATGAAAGCTATTAGAAGATATAAGTTTAAAAATTATTTGTCATACATCTGACCTATACAAAATGTCGATATTAAATATAAATGTTGTATAAATGAGATAAAAATTATGTTCCATTGTGTAAGTGAAATATGAGAAAAGATAGTTCGAATGACGAGGGAGGGGTTATGATTCTCAAATGGCCTACCTAGCTTTTGCATAACAAGTCGAAACCATAACATCAAAGTTATTAATTGTAAATCTGAATACATATCAGAAAAAATAACTTACTTGATTTTGAATTTCTAACCATTTTCACACAGCATCCATTACACGTTTGAAGAGGTGGCTGATCCCGAGGTAAAGCAGTGTAATTGAATGGGTCTTTACATCTTGGATCTTTCCAGGAGTCACATTCATAACAGTAGATGGACCTAGCTGTAATTCATTGTAGTCATGTAACTTTATCTATGTATACAATATGTATACCTCAATAAATACAAGTATTGGGAGTATATCTAAGTGTCTTTCGATATTCTTTTTGGTGATACATATCTTTTTATCTGAACAGAGAAAAAAAATATATATATATATATATATATATATATATATATATATATATATATAATGTTCAATATTAAATATTTGTGGAAGTAATTAGGTAAACAAATTCGAATAGGGATAGAAAGCACAGAAAATTATCCTATAAGAACTGGCTTTTTGTAAAATACCCTTCGTATTAATATTTTTTGCTAACGTTTCTCTCTTATTTGTAATTATGTTTTCAAAAATATGTTATATGTTCAATATAAATATTTAAAATATTAATTAATAATTTTTGAAAAATTGAGATAAAAATCCACTTCCCCTTCCAAAGAAAATATATATGTAACAAAATATCTTAAGTGATTTACTTCCTAAAATAAAATGCTATCAAATAATTTATAATATACTATCTGTAATACTATAATTTATAGCATTGAATGCCTCTTTCATTACGAAAAGGAGTTACCTACAACTGACGATGTATTTTTTAGTTCTAAAAATATCTGCAATAATAACTAATTTTAAATAAATAAAACAATAAGTTGTTAGTCATTATTTTCAGTATTTAAAAAAAACAACAACATTAGGTTCAAATAATAAAAACGAAAATTGAATTATTTTATAAGGAAATAAAATATAATAATATATCTATTTGAACAAAGTATTGTACAGGAATATTATAGTAATTCATTTTTAAAGTAGACAAATTCTAAATATGATGTGGTAGCAGGGGTGCCCAGAAGGGGGTTTTATGGCGCAAGTTGCGCTCTCAAAATTAATGAGGGGGCCACTTTTTGACAGGGTTTACAATTTTTGAGGGGAGCACATTTCGACAGGGTTATGAATTTTCAAAATGAATAATTTCAAATCAAAAGACAAGTGGAATCATGGAACAGACCATAGGATGTACAATGGTGAATAATCTATGAATATTCAAATTCTACTTCCGTTTGCACTGTATTTAAGAAGAAGAGAGGAATAAAATATCTTGGGAGGGATGGGGGAAGTTTTACGCTCCATCAGCCTTGGGGGGAATGGGCACTCCTGCATGGTAGATAGTCTAAACTTAATTTATATTGTTACTGAGGACAGACACCACCTGGGTATTGAATGTATACATGCGAGTCCATACCAAGCCTTTGGATTTCAACTAAGCTAGTCCTGATTTCATTTGTACATATTAACAAATAATATTGATATTCAATTTCACTAAAATTTCTACAAATACAAAAAAAAAATTATGCTCTAAGATAAAAAAAAATTAATAGTATTTAAAATAAGCTTAAGAAATGTTGACTAATTAAGTTTCTATTTATCTAAAGAAAAGTTTTTAATAAATCAAAATTGTTATACTTAAAAAATTTTAGATGATTGAAACAAAACAGACCATAGTATCTTTATTGTACTATTCTACAACGCTTCATTCATAGTCAAAATATGGATTTTCTATTAACATAATCAGAAACATTTAATATCATATCAAGTTCTTGATTAAAATCAAGTTTGGCTGTACTTTATTTACAATGTTATAAAAAAAGGCGAAATATGAATATTACATTCTTCATCCATTAATTTAATTAAATGCATTCTGTTGTGAAAAAATTATTAAGCAGGTATTCATTCATTATTTAACATACCGTTCAAAAAATTACTTATGGAAGTAACAATAAATACATGGACTGATTTAAAGATATTTATCTATTTTTAGATAAAAATAATTTACTATGTATTATAATCATATTGTTTTTAAGTGTAATATTACTTGTTTAGCAATAATAATCAATGGTTTATCGAATGTTCAAAAGATATGTTATCTCAGAGCCAAGATAAAGATAACCTACTAGACATATAATCTAAATAGTACTATTTTAGTAAAAATGTTTTGACTTACTTTGACACTCTCCTTTAGTTAAATGAATAGCAGCCAATAAAACAACTGTGAAAAAACTACATTATTATTTTATTAATGAGTTAGTAAAAAACATTCAAATAAATATCATGCATAATTAAAAACAAATTTAACATCTTTAGTGTTAATGTTTAATTTAGTGTTAGTTAAAAAAAAATACAAGTTTTTACCCTTTTCGAATAAATACGTATACATCCGATCCCTTTTCAAGTCATAATTATTTTTGAAGTAATTACGCAACTGTTAATGCAATACTAATTAGGGTTAATGCAAATGACCAAGATTAGTGATATTTAGTAAAGCAGATGTACAGTTAGTCAACTCTTTCATTCATTATCAGCTTACCTTCTTTACAAGCTTGAGCCTCAACATATGAGAATAGAAGTATCACAATAACTGCAAATCATTGAACATATAAATTGAACTAAATAGACAATTAAAGAGAGTGTACGGCAATACAATTGTGACAACCTTAGTACAATCATATATTCAATTTGAACAACTAACCAAATATTTTTTAACAGAGCTCAATAAATAAAGAATAAAAATCTTCAATTCCTTATATATTTAGTTTGATTTTTTTTTTAACTAGACAAATTGAAAAGTAAATATTTCTTTTATAGATAAAAGGAAATTTACACCTTGTAATTCTTTTTGTGATAACTGCTAAGAAATTAATGTTCCTTTACAGGTTGTGATCGAATTAGTCAATTATTCCTCTTAAAGAAGCCCTACAATGTCAAATAATTGTATAACAACAAATCTTACTCATAAATAAATAAATTATAGGAAATCTCCTTAAGGGCAAATTAATTTTATATTCTCAGTAAAAATAAAAGTTGAATCAGAAATGTGGAAAAGCAGTATATAAATAATTTGAACAAGATAATTTGACAAATCAAATATATATACACATGTCATTATTTTATTTTTATCAAAATTCAATTTTTAAAATAAAATTTGAATTATTATTTTACATTAAATGCTGGTAGAGGCCCAGGTCCTGAAAGGACTGTAGCACTCATTGAAGAAGTCTATATTACTGACCTTTCTTCATTATATTTTATTAGTCCTCAATAACTTTAGCCATAGGTCAAAATAAAAAAATTAAAAATTAGTGTTAAAAGTTTTTAATTTTTATTTGAAAATTCCGGGAATTTCTGGAGCATGTAACATGTCCCAGGATTCTAAGATAAGTCTAACTAAATTTGAATAATAACTTTTTTTATTTAAAGTTTGATCAGTGGACAAAGTATTTGCCCGACAAAGTTATGGAGAAAAACAAAATAAAATTTTAAATTGCAATGGATCAGTCACTGGAAGACATGGAAGACATAATATCAGTGTAATGGTATGTATTGTTTTGTTTTTTAAAATTATATCTTGACTGTGTTTGTAAATATAAAACTTCCTTTTTCTCTCCTTAGATAGATCTTGGAAAAATTAAACACTGTAAATATAAAACTTCATTTTTCTCTCTTTAGATAGATCTTGGAAAAATTAAACACTGTACAATGACTGCTTTGGAGATCCTACCCAAATTTGTTAATTATCAGGTAAATTTATAAATTTGCCAATAATTTTATAAACCAATCATCATTTTTATTTGCACTAACAAGCTCATGACTACAGTAAACAAATACTCAACTACTTCATATCATCAGAAAAATCATTTTCTATGTTGTTTTTTTACTGTTATGGTTACTAATAAGATTTTAATATCTATCGGAGATTGTTTTTTTGTAATTCAAATTTCTACTTAATACTTGATCTTAGATATAAAAAAATAAGTGCCACAAATGAATTTAAATCTCACCTGATGAATGTACCAACCAATACATCATGCCAGTTGTATTATTTCAACATATTAATTTATAAATCATGAAATGATCTAGAAAAATAAAAAAGCTATATTAAAATATTCAATATTACAACAAAAACAGAATTATGGCTGTAATATCCTACTCATTAGATAACTGTAAGTTAGAAATTAGTCAAATCTATAAAGAAAAAGATAAATAAATATATTAAAATAAGATCCATTACTAAAAGATAATCATTTAAGTTATTTTGAAATTACCCTTACCATTTTCTGTTATTGTCAGAATAGTTATGAAAGTACTTTAGATGTTAGTGTAATTTATTTTAAAAAGATTATTGATTTTTTTGGTGACTTAGATAGCTCTGTAAATAACATACATTTATTGACACATTGGACAGATATACTAATAGAAGTGTAATATAGAGTAGTTTTCTAAAAATTAGAAGGACAATATTTATACCAGATTCAGCAGTTGAATTCAAACTAACTGCAGTTCTCGCTCTTGCCTTACATGACAATATTACGACGCCCCCCCATTGCATATCTGCAGTGTAGCCTGCGCAAGCGTCTTCGGGTTTGCAGATAGTTTTATAAAATCAGAATTTAATCTTTAATTTTCATGGAATAACAAATTATTACTATTAAATTATTCTATGTATTAATTACCGTCCGCTTTAACTTTAAACCCAAACTTATGTACATATTTATCTAAACTGTAAATTCCGCTATTTGTTGAAAAAATAAAATACTATTATTTATGAAATATTTTGTTTCAGTTATTTATATCTCTTATGTTAGTTTTTATATTAAATGTACCATTTAAAAAACATCAACTGCTAATCGACTTGTTAATGTATTTCTATTATCAGGATCAGTTGTGTTGACAGTTATTATTACCTCCTTTTTTCCGTCTATTTTCTTAATTTTAGCGTTTTTCAGTTTTATTTAATTTATTATTTGAATTGATTAGTCAGATAACTACTTGATGCTCTCAGGAAACAATATTCATAGTTTATTTCATTAAGTTTGATGTTTTATTGAACTTAAAACGATGCTAGAGCTCATTTTGTTGTGCAGAATGTTCAAAATATCCATTTATTGGAATAATATATGGCTAACAGTATGGGATTAACAATGAAATGGAAGAAATAATGCCATGTATGTGTACCACTAAAGAATATAAATTTGGTAAGCTTTTGTTTATTTTTAAAGGCCTAGTTTTCAGAAGCTTCCTCACTGATGTTGAGTTCGTTTTTATAGAAGGCTGATAATGAAAAGCTATTGACAATGCATAAAAGAAAACATGATATGATCCTGTCTTTAAATAAAACAAATCCTTGTTCATGTAAGTCACTTTATCTCTTATTATACTTCATTAGAAGTAGGACCATTTGACTTATTAACTTTAGCTGTGTTTACTTATCATTGGTCATTTACAATTTTTGAATAGCTGATGAAACTCCTACACCAACCAGGTTCATAAGGAACTGTGAAGCGATTGGCCTCTTCCAAGACTTACAAAATGTCAATCCTTTCGATGAAACTTTCAGACAAGCAACAGAGGCAGTTAAGAAAGGCGAATGTTTAAAAGTTCCGACAGTAAGTCTGTGCAATTAAATTTTGCAATTTACCCTTTTATGTGTGATGTAATACCAAAAATATTTGTTTGGGCATAGGATTGGAGAGATAGAAATTATATTCACCTAAATTTGCGTTACCTTGATTTTTTAAAAAAAGTTATATGTCAAATCTGGAATCCCAAGTTTTATAATAAAAGAAAAAAAAAGGTCTTAGTTGTGAATTGCTCGTGGCGCAGGTGTTTTCAAGATCACTTCAAGTAAACTTTAATGGACTGCTGGAAACAGATTGTTATTGTTAATCATATTTATATACAATGACAGTTGTTTCCTAACAATAAATTTTTGTCTAAGTGCATCAAAAGATTTTTACTGAGAGAAAAAGTTTTTTTTTTAATGATAAAAAATGCTCTCAATTTTAGAAAGAATAAAATTATATTTATTATTAATTATACAATGTAATATAAATTGTAAATTTAATTTTGATTACATCAGTGTGATAATTTGATCATTATTATTATAATTCCTAGCTAATTATATATTTTGCATAATAATCTGAACAAATACCGGTCAAAAATATATATAAAGTATGTTTATTTCAATATTTATTATCCAGAAAGAAGTGTAAGCTTCAGTGAACTGCTAATAAGCATTTTGATAAGTCTATTCATATTTATTTATATGCTAACCCTGGAATAGTCGCGCGGTTATAGATATCACCCACCTGCCATTATATAAGGGTTATTTCCTTTCCATAACCCCCACCATTCAGTATCTTACAAGAAGATCCTATTGTTGGAATCTGTAGTGTCGTTCAGTTTACACTTCAACTAAGAAAGGTATTCCACCTCAAACTAGTTTGGTTGACAAGTGTTCCCCATGTGACTTTTAAGTTATTTTACCGGTAAGTAATTTTTTCTTTAATAATTTGTTTTATGAGATAGATATTTTGCAATTTGTTATTTTGAATCTATTTTTTTTTTTTTTTTTTCCTTCCAATAGAAATAATATCTAAACTATATTTTATTTTTATTTTTTATTTTCATATAGATCATGTCACAAACTAAGAAAAGAAAAATTGAGTGCTCATCAGATCCCGAAATTTGGCAGCCGTCATCTGATGGAGGGGAAAAAAGTGATCCCGAAGAATCAGATTCTGGCGAGATAGATCATCTTTTTTATATAGTCAAGAAGGCTAATGGTGTGTTTTACTCTATCTTCACTGCAATATTAGGGAAACAGGAGGTAAAGAAGAAAACAAAAATAGCTTTGTTTAAAACAGTATATCTGCCTGTCCTTATATATGGTGCAGAGAGTTGGACGGTCCTAGACAAACATGCAAGTAAAGTAACGGCCATAGAAATGAGATACCTCAGGAGAGTTCTTGGAAAAACACTAAGCAACCACTGGAGGAACAAGGATAAGAGAGGAACTGAACATAACACCTGTAAAACAAGTAATGAAGGAGCGCCCACTGAAGTGGTTTGGCCATCTGTACCGAATGGGTGATAGAGGAAAGGCAAAATGTTTTTTTTTCCCTTCCAATACAAATAATACCTAAACTATATTTTATTTTAACATAGATTATGTCACAAACTAAGAAAAGAAAAGTTGAGTGCTCATCAGATCCCAAAATTTGGCAGCAATGGCCCAAAGAATTATCTGATGAAGAGGAAGAAAGCGATCCCAAAGAATCAGATTCAGGCGAGATAGATCATCTAAGTGAGAGTTATCACAATACAAATCCCGAGCAGTTAGCTGATGAAGACGATGATTACGAGGGTGTCACAAAATTCACTTCACCTCGGAAAAGGTGGCCAAACAAAATGGTTGAAGTGTTTACCTAGAAATAACTTTAAAACCCGCTCAAAAAATATCATAACTCACCTCCTTGGTACAAAAGAAACAGCCTCGAAGATAAATTCAGAAGTCTTTGTTTATGGGTTAATCGTGAGTTCAACAAATGTTTACATAAACAGTTTGAAAAGTAGATATTCATGAGATAAAGATGCCAAGAAGAAGTTGAGATGAATTTGAGCTTTTTTTGGTCTATTATATTTGATAGGGAGTTACAGGATGTCCAGGACTAATGTTCAAAAATTGTGGGACAATTCCTAGGGAAACGTCATGGAGTCATGTTATCTTTCAATGAGTAGGCAAAGATTTGCTTTTTTACTAAGATATTTACGATTTGATAATATACATGTTTGTGCTTCACATAGAGAAATGGATAAATTTGGTCCTATCAGAGAGGTGTTTGAAATTGTAAATAATAACTTCCTGAAATTCTTCATTCCCAATGAATATATCACCATAGATGAGCAGTTATTAGCTTTTCGAGCCAAATGCCTATTCAGGCAATACATTCCAAATAAGCCAGCTAAATACGGCATCAAAAGATTTGCACTAGTAGATGCTAAAATGGTATATACGTTCAACTTTGAAACATATGTAGGTACTCAGCCAGAGGGTCCTTACCGGTTGAGTAATTCTCCAATGGACGTTGTACTGAGATTGGTGGAACCGGTAAAAGAAATCAACATGAATATAACTGAAGACAATTGGTTCAGCAGTATTCCAATGGCCAAAAAATTGTTAGAAACCAAATGGCTCACCTATGTGGGTACCCTCCGGAAAAACAAAACTGAAAACCCTAAGGAATTTCAGCCACACAAACACCGTTCCGCATTCTCATCAATGTTTGGTTTTCAAGAAGACTGCAAACTAGTTTCTTACTGTCCAAAAAGGAATCGGGCAGATCTCCTAATCTCAACTTTACATCATGACAATTATATTGATGAGGAAACAGGTGAGTTGTTTAAGTCTGAAATCGTAACATTTTATAACCATACTAAAATTGGGGTTGATTTACTTGACCAACTAATAGCGAGGTACAATGTGCAAAGAAATACTTGTTGATGGCCAATGGTTGTGTTTTTCAATCTCTTGTGTATTTCAGCTATCAATGCACTTTGTATTTACAAATCAAATTCAAAAAATAAAGTGAGCAGAAGTATATTTTTACAAAATTTGGCATGGGAAATGATTAAACCACAAATTCAATAAAAGTCTACATTGCAATATAATTGAATTAAGGCGCTGGGCATGTATCCTTCTTGGTACTTCAATGCAAAGCCAGCATCAACAAAAGGAAAAGAAGGCACTAGAGGACGTTGCCATGACTGTGGGCGACAAAGAGATAAAACCACAAGGAAACGGTGTGATAAATGTGAAAAGTGGATTTGCACTGATCATTTAAAAAATGTTTTTAAAATATTTGTATTTTGTAATAAATTTATAATATTCATAACAGTTAAAAATTTGTTTGCTTTTATAATAGAATCTACTTACAGTAAATTTGTGACTTTTACATTTACAATTATGTGACTTATTGCTTTTACAATATATTTTTCATGATTGTTTTTATATATAAACCTTTTCTAACATTAAAGTAATGCATAAAGATTAATAATTAAGTAAGTAATCAAATTATAGGATACCAAAAACAAAATCGTTTTGGTCGTTTATGTCTACTTTCAAATACAAGGTATTTATAAACAGCTTAACAGAAGTTAAACAAAAAGTGTGTTTACATTCCATTGTTAAGCAAGAATTTGTAAATGTTTAAAAACTTAGGCTAAAAGCACCAATAGCTGACTGTCTGCTAATATTTGACATCCTCTTCAAAAAATGAGAATAATGAAATTTCAGAAACTCTTCAATCTCTGTTTCATAAATTTTTTATTTCTATGTTTTCTTCTTGTTTATTTGTCTACCCTGCTATAATCTTGCTAGAAACTGTAACCGAAATAATGGATGACAAATTAGGAATGTCCCTCTCAAGCGACTTGGTGCCCTAGGAACAACCATTTATCATGGTAAGGGCACTATACCTTAGGTTTACTTTTTCCAATTTAAATACTTTGATTTATTCCAAATTTTTTGATTTTTATTTTCTTTGAGTGTTTTTGGTTTATATTTTATCTATTTTTTAACTTATTTTATTGAAGGAATCTGAATTTAATGGGTGTCAACTACTAAAGTCTTATATTGGGCCTTTTGTCTATAAACTCACAGATACTTGCATAAATTAAAAAAAAAAATCTACTTAAATATGTTTTCCTATTGCCAAAAAACAGGGTCTTAATAGTGTCCAGCATCTATCGATAAATTTAAGTCGGGAAATGTAAGAAGTTAAAGGTAATTTTTGTTAATATCTATTTAAGAATGAAGAATATAAAATGTCGACACTTCATTTCCCATGATTACATCCTTCTTCTCATCCCTGTTAGCTACAGGAATATTTCATGATAAACAGCGCCAGCTACAGACACAACAGAACTATTCTCTAAATTTACTGTTTATTGAAATTTAGGTGAATGTTTCATAGATTGTAAATGTGTCTTGGCTTGATGAGAAGTATTTCTGTAAAGTGAATTCAAGAAAAAGGCAATCATGTCAATATTTAAGTTTTTACACCTAAAAGTTCAATGAAATTTCCTTAAGCACGTTAGCTACCGGCAGCCTATGTTAAAATTGAAGGTGTTAAACGAGAGAGCCAGTTATTGATGTAATTTTGGAATAAATGCATACCTAGATATTATTATGAATCCAATTGATATATTTTAAATATTTTTTTATACAAGTATGGTATTTAAAAATTCTTATAAGATAAGCAAGTCTAATGGTATCGTTAATTTCTTATGCATATAAAATATATATTTTATATTAATGGTCTTACTGGTTTCATAAAATGAAAAAATTAATCTCTCTAATTGTTTATACTATAATAAATATAAATGAAATCAGTGACATATCTTACACTATTAATATAGATATAAAAATTATATTTTGTATTTATAACTTAATTAAATTCTTTGTTTTCATTGATCGTTTTATTTATTGAATAGGTCCCTTCTCTTGGTAAACCTGCTGGTGAAGATCTACATACTCCTCATATATATTTAAAGGATGATGGACATTCATCAGGTAAAAAAAATTATATTTATTGTTTGCATCTAATAAATTTGCATTTTCTTTATCTAAAAACTCTACAGATTTTGCTTTTGTGTTTTTAGATGAGAAAGTTTGTGAATACGAGATGGAAAAAGCTTCCCCATCTGAAATTAGTTCTCCAATAAAGACGCCATTTTCAGCATCAGCAGGCACAATGTAAATAGTTGTTCACTTATAAATGATTTTATTTTTGAAAAGAAAAACATATCTGGTTGTTTCCCTGTTAGGTTAATAGAAAAGATTTTTAGGTAATCAAGATTTATTCAACGACTACACCTTAACTGGACAAAACAAATATGTAAAATACAACATATGATAACTGTTGTAACTGGTTGGACTACTTTCTTAAAAGCTGTGTATTGACTATTAATACCGTACTAAATGCCTTATAGGAATATATTTAATTTTAAATCTTATGCTTTTGTGAAGTGGGAATAAAAAAAACATTTGTGCATTGAAAGAATCGTTTAGAATCCCATTTCAATATTTCATTAATTAAAGTAAATATATTATATTAGTCACTTATTTCCAATGCTGAAGGTTCAATCCAGCTGATGACTTATAAATTATTTATTCTGTCTCATCGGCTGTGGGTCGATCCTGGGGTTGGGAGATCCTCTTGGGACCCACTCTGTCTCTATAAAGTGGGTACCATTAATTAAGGGGAAAATTTGGCGGTTGAGCGTGATCTCAATTCACCTCCTTGCACAACCCTTGACGAAAAAACAGTACTACATTACAAAGTACTCAACCCAAGAACCTTTTCAGGGGTTGTAGTGGTACAGATTTTTTATTTTTGATTATTATATTAGTATAGTAACATTATATTGGCACTAAATACTGTATAACATGTTGGCATATTGGCATAAAATGTGATACAACCATGTTATATTATGTATGTTTATCTTAGTTTAAATCTTGACTAAAATATAGTGCTATCTCAAAATATATTTCTTATATATTCTTAAATGAAATATTTTGGAGGTACAAGTATGTTTTTTTCTCCACGTGGGTGTCAATGCAGGTCAACTTGATTGTGTTATGTGAATATTTCCAAAGAAAGTTAAGTAAACAATAATTTATTCGAATTACTAAATGTTGACTTTAATTATTTATTTTTAAAATATAAAATTACAGACATGCAGTGCCTTGACATTAAAGAAAGGTACACTTTATGTCAGGCTTTAGAGTTATCTATTCCGCCTCCACTGACAAGGGCCCCGACTTTGTAAGGCTCTGAAGTTGAAGGATTTTCTTTATTGAGCACCTACCTCACATGTTTTTTCTATTTATGTGGTTTATCTTAAATGTAAAAAATAAATAAAACCAACTTTATGCAATTTGGTTTTTTTGAAAATCAAATATAGTGGGCTTTATTCGCCATCAGTCATTAAAGAATGGTTGAACAAGACAAAAAAATCATAAGTTAGGTAATCTAAGATGGAAGTTCAGTGTAAATTTTTATTTATTTTATTTTGGATGGGAGAGTGGTTGTTGTTGATGAAGAATTGAATACTTGCCTGGAAAAAAATGTCTAAATTTTAGCTGCAATATATTTCATGTATTTAAGAACATATTTAAGATTGGGATTTAATTTTTTAAGTAATAGTAAGAGGTTCATACTTCGATAAAAACTTGAAATAGCAGAGTGTCTGGAAGCTTTATCAATCTTGATAGAATAAGTTGATTCATGCATTTATTATTTTATTGTATTATTATTCCTATACAATGAAAAAAAACATTATAAAATGGGGTGGTTGTTTCTTATTCTTAAATTTTTTTTTTTTTTTGAAATCACTAATTATTCACACATTTTTAGGATCAAGGAAAATAAAATTGACTATAAACCAGCAAATGATGATGTTCATCTTTTTGTTAAAATGGCCAATGGTGCTTTAGTACAAGTAAGTTTTTAAAAATAAAATAGTTGATTGAAAAGTTTTAAAATATCAAATTTAACTTATAAGTTTTTATGGAGGAAACATATGAATTTCTATTCCTGAAATTATGTTCTCCAACTTTTTTAAACTGATGGTATTATTGAGCTGACCTCTTTACTGTGCACGTGGTTTCATTCCATGACGATATTATCATAAGAATAACTTTACTTTTGTTTTGATCTTGTTAATAAATTGAATACTCATAAATCAAAATTTTTTTGTCTCCTGATTCATATTGTTAGAGCTTACATTGTCCAGTGTAACATCCTAAAGACAAAACAATTTGAATATAACTTATATAATTTTTGCTAACTCTTCTACTTTACATCGAGTAAGAGATATAGATTAGACTCCATTTTCATTTAAGAAATGAATAGAATAATATTTGTATCAATTTTTTAGTGAAGTTTTATACCAATCCAAGAATATAATAATTTCCTTTCACAAAATGTTATATATTTCTTTTCTAGATAACTTCATCGCCAAATAATTTTGAAATTCTTAAATCTAGTGTTCTTACAAATGGATCTATAAGCATTGCTACCCCTGTTGTACAAAACATAACTTATACTCCGGCTGAACCTCCTCCTCCTCCTGAACCTCTTCCAGATATCAACAGTAGTGCCGCTGTGAAAAAGGTAACAAAAAAAAAAGTGTATATTACGTTTAGTTTGTAGGATTATATATCAATTAAAATGTTGGTAAAACTGATTATCAGTTAACTTTTTTATGATAATTTTTATATTATAAATTATTGATCAATCATCCTTTTGATTCTTATACTTAACATGTATTAATTCTTTCTGATAATTAAGAATCAATATGGTGATCCATTTCTTTGTTCTAATTTTTTGGAAATATAAAATCTTTGTTGATTTATTGATGGATACTTTGACTATTATACTAATTTCAAACAATAGATTGATCAATTACATGAGTATATGATTAAAAATTAATTTTTACCACACTATTTCTCAACAAATTATTAATTGGCATTTAAGACGTGATTCAATTCTAAGTTTCTGCTTCCGTGTAAAAAGAACTTCAAAAGAAGGAAGAACCTTTCTCAAGCCTTTTTTAACACTAGCCTAAAAAAAAATCTGGTGAATGAATTGTCCACATTTAGGAAAGTGCAGTCTTGACACAATTATTAAATTAACGGTGACATCTATTAGAATAAGTATGTTAAATAACAATATTTATATATAAATATATTTTTCTAAGTTACTGATTTAATAGGACAGCACTATGATCATGAAATCATCAACATTTAAGAAAACAGTTTGTTTACAACGACTATTGTTTTAAATAAAGGTATCATTAACACTTTAACAATCAAGCCATTCGAGCGAATTTTTCTTCATGCACCAAATTGATTTTCTCTCTCAAAAGTTGTAATATTCTGTAAAAAAAAAAAAAAAGAAAAAAAGTATCATGCATTTTTATAAGTTTTAAAAATAATTTAATCGCAATAGTTAAAAAAAAGAAGAAGAAAAAATAGGGCCTTTGTAAATGCCCCCCCCATTGTCCATAGGGATATTAATTTAATTTTTATTTCCCTATTTTTACCCTTAGTAGTTATTTCTTATTTGTATATAATCATATTTTGATTATTTGGGGGTAATTAAAACATAAAAGAGCCACATTATTGTAAAAAATTATGTTTACTTAGACGCGATATACAACCCTGATAATTTACGTTTATATTCAGCCAAAATATGCTTTTACTTTTGTAGGTATGCTGTACTGTAAAGTATGGCCATACTATCCCTTTTCCTTATTCAAAATCGATCGGAATAGGTGATGTCAAAAAGATGATATACTATATGAAATTAAATTTCAAGCATTTTTATGATTATAATAAAAAGGCAAGTCCAACCCAAAGCAATAAATATTTTCACAAGAATGATACCTGTCATTCTTAACAGGTAATTTGATGTTTAAACTGCGCATCGATTCCTGGAACAAGCTTGTTTATGGAGCTCAATGGTGGCGTATACGTCCACCATGGTCCCATGGGCAAATCACTGGGCGGGCATATATGTGGTCGTTAAAGTGTTAATTTTATAAAGATTTCATTTGAATGCTTATGAATATATGTCATAATAATATAACAATAGAATAAAATAAATAAAAATCCTGATATAGGCTTGATCTAATGCATGAAATTTAGAATAAATAAAATTTATTTTTATTTTCAGAAACTGAAAGAAGCATTGTTGAAAACTCCAAAACCAAAAACAATTTCAAATCCTGAGCATTGTATCATTCAAGATTCCAAGGTTAACCATCAGGTACCTCATTTCTTCCTTAATATTTCTTTTTTTTTTTTAACAACTTTTAAATGTTTTGGTGTTTTTGAACACTGTAATGAATATGTCAATATGTTGTACAAAGGTATATTTTGTTTCTTTAAAACAGTGCAAGCGGAAGTATAATTTAAAAAGTCGTAGATCATATTCAATTACTGTCTTAGAGTAATTGCTATAGACTGTAGATCAATTTCAATCACTGTTTACGGTTGTTATCGCAGATTGACTGTATCCATTGTTTCTCTAATTAGTCCACGATAGCTAAATGTTGGATTGAAGTTTCCAAGATGCCACTACATACATACAATAGATTCCAATTCTAATGATTTAAAAAAAATAATTATATTTTAAGTTAATTTGTGATATAAACTGGATAACTAATAACTTTTTTTATCTGGGTGTGTTAATATAAATTAATGAAATATTATCTAATTCATACACTATTTTTTGTTTCCAGTCTAGAAAGGAAAAACAAGTTCCTTTAACGATTCCAGAGGACCCAGAAACAGATAGGAAAAGAAAGAGTCTGGAACGAAATAGGTATTAAAAATATCAATTGTAGATTTATATTACTCCTTATTTTATGTGTTTGCTATATTTTTATAACTGATATGTTGTATCCCATATCATTAATTCATACATGAACAAAATCTTAAGTCCATAGACTTCTGTGTTTTCAGTAATTTAGGTAAACATTTTTAAAAGAAGATTTTAATTTTTAAAATTATTAATTATTACTTTTTTTAAAAACTTTAACTCAAAATCTACATTAACCATTTTATAGGATTGCTGCAATGAAATGTCGTGAAAAGAGGAAAAAATGGGTAACTGATTTAAGAGAAAAATATGAAAAAATGTGTTATACCAACCAAGCACTTGCTAAGGAAGTTGTATTTCTTAGGAAGGAAGTAGCTAGGTTGAAGGGGCTACTCATTTCAAGAACTCCAATTTGTTTAGAAGGTAATTTATAACAATTTAAAATACACACAGTTATTGCTCTATATTTAAAAAAAAAAAAAAAAAAAAAAAGCAGACATATTTTATAGAAACCCTTTGAAGTTTGATGAAATCATGATGATAAACCTTCAATGAATGATGTACTAGTAAATAAAAAATAATAGTAATAAATAAACAATTATATGATGAAAATAACTAATATTAAGGCTCATATTTATAAAAAAATGAAATAAAACCCGTACCACTACAACCCATGAAGGGTTTTGGGTTCAGTACTTTGTAAGAAAGTACCGGTTTTTGGTCAACGGTTGTGGAAGGAGGTGATTTGACCAAGATTATGCTCCACCAGGTTTTCTCCTTGATCAATTATTTAAGTAAGAGTACTTTATAGTAGAGGCTGGATGTGCCTGAGGAGGCTTCGGACTAATTCATGGCCGACGAAGCAGAATAATTAATTTGTTTGCCACCATCCGGATAAGAACCCAAGACCATGAGCATTGTAAGTCAGTGCCCTATAATTGAGTTATGCCACTCACTTTCACGTTCTTAACTTATTGAAAAAATAGAATTATTTGATCATAATTGATGTTAATGATTCAGTTATTTTATGTTGTTCGTGCTTTAACTTCAATAAAACTTTTAAAAAGGTTCCAGTCTATATAGATGGTTAATGACCTCTAGGTAAGTCTTATTGTGGAAAGCGTTTTGCCTTTCTAGATCATGTTCTAGGTCTGCTCTGTTTTTCTTCATTCAACTCCTCCATATTTATCACTGTTTAAGGATAGATAATATAATATATATAATAATGGGCAATATAGCCCATGGGAACCAAACAGCTTGATTTTCAGTGTCCTCCAGTTAATTAGAGATCTAGATCTTATTGAATATGTTTTTTATTGTTTAGAATTTTAATTATATTATCTATACTACAGCTATTGCATGCTAGTATTGAAAGAGGTTTCTTTACATTCCTAAATTATGAAAATATTTATGCCATAGTCAGTTTAAGTATCGTAAAATGTCATGTTTTGTTTTTGAAGTTTAAATATTGTCCACATAGTGAGTGCAAGTATTATTTATTGATTTTCATCATCAAGAAATAATATAAGGGAGAATTCTTGAAGGCAGGGTAAGAGGCTAGAAAAGTATTTTTGTAACCCACGAGCTTTGTGGAGTAATTTAGATTTTCTCTATATTGTTTCTTTTGCAAAGGCTGCAAGCCATTTGTCCAGTAAAAAACATTGGTGATCTGGATAATCCCTGGACAGTTGATTCAACTAAGATTAACTACTATTCTTTTATTTACTTATGAATTTTTTTCGATGTTAGACATAACTATATTATTCTGTATGGAATCAGTTGGGCAAGCATTTTTGCCATATAACCGTGTTTATTCCCAATGCAGCAACAGCTGGATCAATTGAGCCTTTATATTGGTATCTTTTTTGAACTTCTCATATTTCTTACTCTTTTCTAGGCAAAATTAGTATTGGTAATATCGGCTTAATATATATTAAGTTCATTTAAGAATATTGTTGGCATTAAAGTAAATGTTTTAAGAAATCTTTATTTTTTTTTATTACAAGCTGTGAAATAACAGGGCCTTTTGCCAATAACTTTGCGTTATCTTGTGAAAATTAGCGATGCCATTATTTTTCAGACATAATTAAAATTAATTATATTTAGAATTAAATTTGAATGTTGTGACTGAAAAATAGCTCTTATACTGTTAAGTGTGAGATTTTCTTTTTGATGTAATATGTTTACCATTTATTTTTAAATTTTATAGATATATCGCCAACTACAACCACAGTAAATTTAATCTCCCCATCATCATCACCAAAGAGACCCTCTTCGAGTCCAGATTTGGACAGCACAGGAATAACCAGCTCTTTAAAAGGCCCTAGGGAAGGCTTACGTTTAGATATAGAAGGAGCATCGAGAAATGCAGTAATGGATTTAGATTCACCGTTAGTTAGGAAAGATGAAATTTTGTCATCAGTTGCACCTCCTACCACTCCAAACGAAAGGCTTATTTCCTTCACGGAACTAGTAAGTTTATAAATTTTAATAATTGCTAAATCATTTTAATATATTCTATAAAGATTTTAAATGATTAGGAATTTCTTGAAAACCGGAAATTCCGCCAAATGAACTTTTGTATGGGAAAAATTGGAAAATGCACCAACATTTTCCGATGTATAATTTTTTGATATAATTTAATTAGATTTAAAAAAATCCAAAACTTAGGACAAATTATGAATGATACAATGTTAATTATATAAGTAAGAATACTGCTTTCTAACAGGCTAGAATAAAGTTTTCTTAACTGTTTCTCTAGAGCAAACAAGCATAAATATGCATGTAGCACCTATAGAATACCCTATTGTCAGTCAGTCTGGTTTTTATTTCTTAAATTTCAATTTAACAGTTTTAACCTCTCAAAATAACTAGTTTGTGATTTTTTTTTTTTCCAAAGCACAAAAAACAGTGATACGAAGTGAAATCATCCTGTACTCAATAGTGAAATAGTGAAATTTTGAAAGTAAACAGTAAAAATAAGACTTTTTAAACCCGGTTATTTTTGTCCTGGTATTTTTTTCTATTATATTTATCATCGAGTCCATAAATTTATAAGACTTAACTTGGGGCAAATAACATTGGAGTTTTTTTTTTTTTTTTTTTCTGGAAATAACCGGAAAATGTAGGATGATTTTGTCAGAGAGAAATATTGGATATCCTGATAAAGATGGAACAGAAAGGTTGATTGAGAGTTGGTGAAAATTCAAAATAAAAATACCATATACCATATAAAAATGAATAATATAAATACAGAAGCTCAAAAATAGTTTGGAAATTATATAAGTTCTTTCCCTGCTATGGTGAAGTCAAAGGAGGGTAATGTATTTTCTTGTCGGTGTCTAATGATTTTTTGAATCAACAACTGGACTAATTTTGAAGTTTGATGACTCAATCAATAATCAATAAGTTGTGGTAAAATCTTCTGATTTCATTTCTCTCTTTTAGCCCTTCCATAAACTCTATCTTCCTTCTATACCACGCTCTCTTTTCTACACAAATTTGTGGCTCTCTTTCTGCTAGTGCAGTACTTTTCTCTATTCCCTCTTGTGTCCCTTTGTAACGTTACATGTCTGTCAGCGTGCTTTTGTTCAATGGCTTGGGCACACTCCTCATCAAACCATTCACTATTCCTTTTATGCCAATTTTCTCCCAGGACTAAATGAGCTGTCTCCTCCATTATATTCTTTAAATGTTTCCATTCTTCTTCAGTATCAATTTTCTTTTCTCAGTTCTGCAGCTTATAATTAAGAGTGTCTTCAAATAGGATCCACTTTAAGGATATCTACTTAAACACCGTGATAGGTTGTTAAGGAAATTAACATCTATGAATATTTATGATTGGCGTGGTAGTCGGGTGCCTTATACTGTACTATACATTATGACAGCATCTTGCAGCTTTATTGGGACTTTCTACCTCATCCTCCGTACTCCCTTGGCCTTGCTCCATCCAGTTATTACTTGTTTCTTTCGTTAAAAAATTCTCTCCCTGATAAATGTCACATTTCGAAAATGAAATAAAAGTGCGTCTCGATGAATATTTTGCAAGTAAGCCTTAACAATTCTGGAAAAAGGGTATAAGAGGCTTCCTAAGAGACGGAAGAAGGTAATAGAGCAGAATGGTTTATATGTAGCACAGTTAATCGACTTTAAACAATAAATAAAGAAAAAGGAAAGAACTTAAGGGACAACCTAATATTTTCATCTCTCTAGGCATAAAAGCTCCGAAATTGGACTTATGTGATTTACAAAAACAGAAGGAATTACGAGGTTTTTATTACCTATCGTTGATGTAATAAATATGGTTCGTGTTATTTTAATGGTCTTAATGAGTTATTACAGATTAGCTGTAAGGTTTAGCTCCATTAAAAATATACTTCAAAAACTTTGTAATAGTCCAACATTGCCAGAAAATAATTTCTATTCAAAGTAGAGCGGAAAGTGAAAGTTGTGTGATACGTGCACCAGATTTTTTTCTATACATCAGTGCATGCCAACATCCACAAGAGCCTCTGCTTCGTTGAGTGGTGGAAGGCACCTGACTTGTACTGTATTTAAGTAGATGTGCAAATACATTCCCTTACAATGGATAAGGTTGTTTATCTAATAAAATTTATAAACAAATTGTAATGTTATATTTTTTCACAATATTACTCAATTCTTCTTCGGTGCATACTATTATTTTCAAGTTAATTTATTATTAGCCATATTTACACCAATTTAAAAAAATTTGTTGTCACTTAATGACTACTCATCAAAATGACGACGTTTCGGCTCGTCGAGCCATTTTCAAGTCTAAAAAATTTTTTCATTTACAATCATATATTAAATTTTAACATATTTCAAATTATAAAGATACTTATTATGTACCTAAAATACCCATCATGTACCTGTCATATTCACTTATGCGAATTGCAAGCGTCTACAATATAATAAAATTCATTATTATTGTCATGTTCACCTTTAATTATTTAACAACATTATTATTACTCATCTTTACTATTACATGATTCAAAATAAGTTAAATTTACCATGTTTCTGAGTCACCCACATGTCATCCATCTCATTTCTATTCAGTGACTGGTTATTCTTATAGGAGTAGGGGAAGACTATTTATTATGAACATATATAATGCTGTTACTCAATATTACATGTGGATCTATTTTAAGTAATATTAGTTGATTTATTTCAAATTTATTTCAAAAAAGAGCGGAAAGTAGAAGTTGTGTGATACGTGCACCAGATTTTTTTCCTATACATCAGTGCATGCCAACATCCACAAGAGCCTCTGCTTCGTTGAGTGGTGGAAGGCACCTGACTTGTACTGTATTTAAGTAGATGTGCAAATACATTCCCTTACAATGGATAAGGTTATTTATCTAATAAAATTTATAAACAAATTGTAATGTTATATTTGTTGATTGTTTAATTGGTTAATTTATCTTTTTGTGTATGTCTGAATGCATTTTTAAAATTTTATTTTAGGATCGTGACACAGAAGTGGTTGAAGTTGCTGAGGAAAGAGCGGCTACAACTGTTATTCAGATTAATCCTAATGCCCTTGCCAAAAATTCTTTAGTTTTTAGCTGACAACATGGTTTACTAATGAATAAATATTTTGGAATAAGAGGGCGCAAATGGTAAGATTATTTTCATTAAGTGTGATATTTATTAATCCTTAAAAAGAGTGATATTTAAAAATATATTTATATTAAGCGTTAATGATGAACAATTTTTAGAAAGCTGTAAGCCCATGCATGCAGGATGAAAGATTTTTGTATTGATATACTGGATATTGTTCCTAGCAGTCATAAATTACTTTGAAAAGTGTTAACAAAATAATGCCCTCTCTTCAAAAAAATGAATGTTACATATATTACAAATGCCCATTTAAACACAGTTTCTTTTTCATATTTTTTCATTTATTAGATAAAGTTTATATCTGTACATACATTTTCCCCTGAAAACAAAATATTGAGTAAAACCCCATTTTTCGGCACCTTTAAGAAAACTTTAAAATATATTTGTCCCCTTTTCAATCGTATGGGTACATTGTTCAACAATTTTAGTTCTGTTCAGCCAGTAAAGATCTATAATTTCAAAATATATATGTGAAAAAGTGTCTCATTTATTTTTTAATTAAAAAATTAATTAATTTTTAATTTTAATTTATTTATGAAAAAAATTAAAATAACTATTTTTCTTGCTAAAAACATTAGAGATACATCATTTCACTATCATTTCCGAATCTTATTCTTAGTTCAGCAAACCTGTCATACCAACAAGTGATATGATATGCTATTTTATCCTCCTGACCACCGAACAGAGGCAATTCCGTTAGCTCCTGTTTGAACATATGATAATTCAATTTACAGTGACCAGTAAGTATCGCTGTAATTTTCTTGAAAGAGCTCCTGCTCTAGTTAATTTGCAGATTGCTTCTCATTGCACTGATTCCATCCATGAACAACTTTGAATGAGTCTGTTCTTTCAAACACCAGTATTTCTCAGCTTCAGCACCATATATCTTTCCGATTCTGCTATTGATTAAACACATGCCAATGCCGCAGATAGGTTCGGGTGTTATGGGCGTTGTTTGTGAGTCTTTTCTTGCTAATTCATCTGCCATCTCATTTCTATGAATACCAGACTGTCCTGGCACCTATTTGGTGGTTACCATATTACACCTAGAAAAATCATTGAGAATTGTATCTCAATCTGTAACCTCCTTAAATCTAGTTGTATAACTGCCCAGTCCTCGTATTGCTGCTTGATTGTCAGTTTTTCCGCACCATCAAACAATAACTTTAAAGCACAGTGAGATATCGCCAGTATTACAGATTGGAATACCGTTGCATATTTACCAAGTGATATAGTCATGCCCTCCTCTGGCTCATCTTTTTTCCAAAAATCTGCACCAGATCTGCAAATCATTAATGAGCCATCAGTGTAACAATTAATCCCATTAATGGGTATGTTTTCCTGAAGTGTCAATATTTTTTTATAGATAGATAGAAAAAAAAGTTTTATTCCGGGACTAAGTCCCTTTAGAATAACAAAAGAATAGAATACTACTGACCTAAAAGTTTGAAACAATAAATAAAATTGATAAAATAAACTAAACAGTAAAGAAAACCTTAGGTGAACAAGAAAACCTTAGCTATATACAATACAGATAAAACTATGTACAGAACATTTAAAACTATGAACAAAACACTTAAAACTATGAACGAATCACTTCAATGAACAAAACTATATATAAGGGTTGAACAACATAAACATAGACTTTGTGAAATGAAGAACGAAAAAGAATAAGAATAAGTTCATTTCATAAAAAAACTTCACTTGTATATATATAAAAAAAATAGTTAGTTATAATTGAATAAAAAATAAATGTTAAAAAAAAATAGATGTATTGAAATTCCTACGTCGATAGTAGGAAATGCATGTACTATCTCTTACAAAGTATTGTCATGATTATATGATTGCTACACAATACATATATAGTATTAATAGTTAGCTGGTATCTGACTGTTTTTGGAACAAGAATTGGAATAAGAGGTTTTTGAATGTGTATAGGGAGGGGCATGCTTAATTTTGATCGGGAGGGAATTCCAAAAGTTGACAGTTAGGGCTATAAAGGAAGTTTGGAATGAGGCAGATCTTTGAGAAGGGATGTATAGGTCAGAGGGTCGAGATCTTGTAGTGAGGAAATGGATGGAGGACTTAAATTGGAGAAGATTATAGGCATAAGAAGGACGATGATCGGTAATGATTTGATTAAGGAATGAGCCTAGGATATATTGTCTTCTTAAGGAGGGGAAGAGCCACCCTAACTCAGTGTAGTGGTGGAAGATACGGGAGCATGACAATGTAAACAATATTTACATTGTTATTCTTTGTTAGACATTCTCTGACCTGAGCGTCAGAGTGCATTGCAAGCACCCCATCTTCCTCAATTCTTTGAAATATTTTCCAATGCCCCTCATAGGTATTTAAGTTTAATTTGTCTACCCTATAAAAAGTTTTCAAGGCTTGTATTTCTATTTCTAGCTGCAAGGGGGAGAAAATCTAGCATTATCTCCATAGTGGCAATCGGAGTAGTTTTCATTGCACCTGTTATCATTAGAGAGGCTAATCTTTATAGTTTTTGCAGCTCTATCCTGTTATAGCCAATTTTTGCTCTTTGAGACCAGACAACAGTTGAATATAAGAGTATAGGTCTAACCACTGTAACATATATTCAGAAGACCATTCCTGGTTTGAGCCCCATGATTTTCCTATGGTATTTTTACCAGCCCATAGTCATTTAAGTGCTTTATTTGTTGTTTTTCACATGACTATCCAAATGTAGTTTATTGTCCATCGTAACACCTAAGTGCTTCACCTCCTTGCTAAAGGTTAGCTGGATGCCACTGATTTTGGGTAGCTTTATTGCCGCCTATTTCTTCATCTTGAAGATGCATACATTTATCTTAGAAAGATTGACGCTTAATCCATTGGACCATTATCCCAAGACATCTGTCGTAGTCTTCAAGAGATCAGAAAGAACATTCTGATGTTTTTCACCTATAAGAATAGCAATCATCTGCATATTCCTGTGTATAAAAGCCTATAGTATTTAGTATAACAAGCAGGAAGTCTACTACCAGACACCACAGTATTGGAGACTATTAAACTAAAGAAATAGTGGGAGATGTGGATGCTAGAATATGCAAGCGCAGGAGGAATTCCTGCTTGAAATGAGCCTCTCCGCCAGCTCTAGACCATTCACAATGCTTAATATTCTTGAATAACTACAGTAGGTGCTGACAACTGGGAGTTTTATTCTAAATAATTTCTTAAGTTTATTTATTTAAAAGTTAAAAAAATCTAATATAAATAATTTTATTTTTACAGAAGAATTACACTTAAAATGAAAAGTTAATTGTATTAAAAAGGAATAGAGAAATGATTTTTTTTTTTTTTATGATAAAACTATAAACTAACTATTATGAACTATAATTATACTTGATATAATAATTTTGGAAATTGGAAACAAATTCAAATAAGTTTTTTTTCATTTGTTTCATGTTTTAATGTTTCATTTGTTTTACAGTTTTGTTGAAGGAACAATTGTCCAACAGCGGTTAGCAAAAACTCTACACCCAGGAAGAGTGTGGATATACTTAATGTTCAAAGTGGGAAGTTATTCTGTTTCTGATTGCAGTTAAAATATTTCTCAAATTGTTACTTGATATAATATCAAGTCTTCAGAGAGCTTTACTTTTATAAATGTGTATATATATATTTTGTTAAAATTTTAGAGAAGCTAAAGCAAAGTATAACTATTTTATAATTTAACTGATTTTAAGGAGTTTAAGAATTATAATTGTCTATCTATGTCTTGATATTAAATAACAGTCTTTTATAGAATCTATGTGATAATATCTGTGATAATTCTTTGTCTTTTAAAATAAACAATTTAAAAAAATGTAAATATAAAGTATTTTAATTGTTGAATAATTGCAATGCTTTTCATTGGGCTCAAGATGTTTTATTTAACATATATAGTTTTAATATATTTTTTTAATAAAACTAATATTTGTTCAAACGAAATAGATTGATTTAGAATTTTTTAAAGTTTTTTATTACTATTAAGTTCCATTCCACTATTAGTAATTTCTAAGTATTCATGATGACATTTTGTCTTCATTAAAAAAAAATTAAATCAAAATGTTCTTAATATATATATTTAATTTAATTTTTTAAAATTATACTGCTTTAGTTATATTATAAATACAATATTTTATGTATGAAATAAGATATTTTTCATAAACGTTTATAAGAAAGAAAATATAAATAAATAACTGTGTAATAAATTTTTGATAATTAAAATTATATTTCAACTTTTTCTTTTGTATTCCCTCATCATAGTACTTTAACAGAAAATTTTTATATAAGACAATTTTTTATGCAGATTGTATCAAAGTATGTATGAATTTTTTATATTTATACATTCATAAGAAATATTTTTTAATGCAAGAGCCAAGCACTCAAAAGTAACTTAGAAGTAAAATATTACTTCATGAAAAATCAGGCTCTGACAATCAAAATATAGCAATAGAACCAGAAAAAGATGATATTCAGGAATTCATACAACTCAAACTTGAGGAGATTGAATTAAAATGTTATAAGTTGGAAACCAATCCAACACTTCTTATTAAAACTGTTAGAATTGTGCAGGAGCAAACCGTTTATTGGTTAAAAGTTGAAGTAGAAAAAAGGAATATTGTCTATCTGAAAGGAAAGTAAAATTAAATAATGAGTAGTGAAATATAAATTAATATTTGATGAAACTATAAGTTAATAACAAAACACAAAAAAACAGTTTTATCTATTTGATGGCAATTAACTCCTGAGTTTTTCAATTTACTCAAAAATGTTTTACTTTAATTTTTTTTATAGTTTTGAATTCAATTAGAGAGTTAAAATATTCAAATATTGGAAAAATCCAGAAAGTTAAGATAATGCAAAAATACAAGATGGTGCAATCTCACAAGCTTTGGTATTTCCAGAAAGTAGGTCTCAGTTCTAGGTCAAAAAAGGACCTAAATTATTATTTTATATTAACTACTCATGTTGATTAATGTGACGTTTTATTTCATTTCTTAAATACTTGTCTATGCAATCATAAAATTGATAAAATTTTCATAAAAGGTTGATAATTATTGTCCAATTATGGATTGCATAAATTATAAACATAAATTTCCCAATATATCAAGAATTGTGAGAGATTGAAATAAATCATTTTAAATTTGGTAATATTTAAAAATAGCTCTCTGACAACATTAAAATTACCACTTTACAGGCTTATTAGACTACCTGTTCAAAGAGGAGAAGCAATGCTGGCCTTACACATTCCACACCTCTGGGCAATGACGTTATCTTTCCCATCCTTAAAAAAATTAAATTTATTTCTTAATATCTTTTATATTATGTAATATTTGAATTTTATTCCTCTAATACAGTTGCTTTATTGATAGGCTAACATTAATTATTTTAATACTTTTGTATTTGTTCTTTTTTATTTCTTACAAGTGGAGATCGCCCCTGGGCAATTGCCTCAGTTGCTCCACCCTAAGGCTGACACTGAGAAGTGGGCTTATCTTAAATTCATCTTTTTCTTAAGGAAATTTGTGTTCATTACAAATCTTTATCTTGGAGGCTGGTATTGTATAGTACTTTTTGAAGAAAATTTTGGAAGGAATAATTTGTCCAGAAAGGAGAAAGTGTGGGCTGAGAGTTATATCCCATTTTAAACCCCTCCCCTGGATCAGTCAACACTTAATAGTTATACTCATTTTAAACTATATGTTGAATGGTACATTTCACCCAAATACAATATTCCAGTCTTTAACTCAATTTTAAACATATTAACTATTTACTACCAGACAATTATAGCAGCTTCAATTAGAAGCGATCCGTTGATTTGGTATGTTTAACGTTTTAATTTAATCCTCTCAAGCTTAAGTTGTAATATTCTGACAAATCTTTATAATTTCACCTTCTTCTGGTTGTTAGAACCTGAGTTTCGCGAAGTTCATATTCGGCAAACGAATTAAATAAAGTAATTTTCTTTTCTTGCAAGAAGTTAACTTTTTCATTTAAGAATGGGAAATGTTTCAGTTAAGGAAAGTTTCTGGTTTGAAAGCCTTAACCTCCGGACTTCAGCATTTGATCGATGTGGGAGAAAACGATGTTTGATTAACGGTTTGTTAAAGATGTCTGATTTGTTAGTCTTGCTCATGAAGAGAAAGTCAAATGCTGTACTTATAACGTTACATTATAACGATTTTGAATTTAAATAGTCTTTATCTAAAAGTATTTCGACATATGAAACATTATCTAGTAGTACAAGTTGATTTATCCATAACGCTAGATCATAATTATTAAAAATTCAACAACTACTCTTTGCTTATACTAAAATAAGTGCAATAGCTGTTATAAAGAATTATAGACGGACATAGTGGAGAAGGTACGGAAAAAGTCGAAAATTCTGACCACTTTAGAATAATCATAACTCGAGACCGGATTTCCATGTTCTTGCACTTTTTATTCGCTTGCGTGTAAAAACTTCGGACCCGAATATTTATTTTTCGTTTTTGGCTTAAATTGCACAATTTTGATTTTTGTTGTATTAAATTGCACTTTTGTGCTAAATTAGACGACTTATAAATACAACTGTATAAGTGAGTGTGTAATATTTATTTTACTATTTTCTTACTATTACTTTTTATTGTACTATATTGTTCAAATTAAATTCATCGTTCTAAATAAAAAAACATGAAGAAGGCAAATAACTCTTATGTTAAAGAGAAATCGTATTAATTACAAAAGGAAGAAGTAAATATAAGTGAGATCTATTCTAGGAATAGAACTTGCTTAAAGTATTGGATAATAAAAAGCTACTTTCCTAGAATTTCCTGCTTTGTTAGTTAGTAAGACATTTATAGTCATTGTTTTGGCTTGAATCTTCACTCACCAGTCAACCCTTCAGTATCTCTTCTGACTTTGAATTGATTTGAAGAAATTTCATTATGAATTAAGAAATTTCATTTCATCATTTAAAAAAAATGATAATGCTAAAAGAAAAATCTAGTCTCTCATTAAAAATTAAGTTCTATACACCTTATGAAAAATCAACCAGGTGATAGCAAATCACTGATAGGCGCTCATTGTGGAACACATAAGAAAAACATATTCCTATCAAAAAATTAAATTTTGTTTTTTTTGAGGAGTTTGAGAACGTAATCCCCCAAAATATTTTTTTTTAGTGATATAAGAAAACAGCTTCAACACTAATATTTGAACGTTCGAAAATCTCAAACATTACAGTCTATTACAATGTTGTTAAACAATTCTTTAAATTTTAACAAAATCGTTTTGGAATGTATAATATTGGAAATTTCAACCCTATTAATTTATATTAAATATCCAGCATTGGTCTGGTGTATATAATATATAGGTACATATAATTCCTGCCTTCATTTAATCCTTCAAACCTTCAATATTATGCATCATTTGATAATAACGATAATAAATTATAATAGTTGATTATAATCTGAAATTTCACTTTCAAGGTAACATTTCAATTTTTTTTTCTAAAAAACTCTCGGTTAACTGAAGATCTGATAATTATTCGATGAATTAATGTTATAAATTAAATAATATTGATGATTTTACACTTTTCAGGTGTTAATTACACACTTTTACGTATTTTGGATTTTTACTGCACGATTTTGCACATTTTGAGTTTTTTGTTGCACGTTTTCCGAATGTTTACTGCACGAAAATCCGGTCTCTAACCATAACCGACAAGATGATTATGATTTTTAAAAAGGAAATATCTTTTAATTGTACTGATTAAACTAAAGAATGTCTTTTTCTATATGTTTCAAAATAATCTGCAAATTAGTTTAAAATAACTCTATAAATTGTGTAACATCTATAGATAGATATAAAACCAAAGATATAGATATAGATTTAATAACCAAAGAATGACATAATTCGAGAATTTTATGTTTAATAGAACATTTTTTGTGAATCGGAGGCGACACCATATAGTTAATAAACAAATTTAACTTTCTAAATACCTGGTCCTATAGCTACGGCAAAGGTGTAGTTAGTTAAATACACTGTAAAAATTTCTAGCTGCCATTAGAATTATTTAAAATAAAATTTTAATTTATATATTATTTTATATATAAATATATTTAATCAATTAAGTGTTGCAAGGATGCAGTATTTCAGTGAATATGGGCTGTAATCAGATTTTAGTAGTTCAGAAATTGAATGATACATGTCTCCAATAGTTGTTTAAATCAGAAACTTACATGTTGTTTTATTTCACGTAGATCATGATCATTAAGCCGTTTGTTCTGTTAATAGAAAACTGAAATTATGAGGTGTAGGGAGCATTAGCATACTAAACAATAGTACAGAAACGATTATTAGCTCTTTGGTAATAACCTTTCAGAATGTGCTGAGTGGTAGGTTCGAATTGTGGAGGGAATTCTTTTAATTATTGTTTTTTAATTTTAATAGTTCAAGTTATATGGATTAACTATATATAAAAATTAATTTATAATGCATACGGAAGTTTTGTGTTGAAAATGTTTTTAATTTCTTGACCGACGCTGATTCCTGTGGTCAACTTGGTGACTTTTTAATACAGTAATTATCATGTTTGGAGGTACTTCTTCACCGTTTGGCCAAAAATCTGCAACTCCCGGAACAACTGGAGGTTTTGGTCAACAACCTGCATTCGGAACTGCTGGTGCTAGTACAGGTACTTTTGGAACTTCTCAACAGCCAGCCTTTGGCCAAACTCCAGCTTTTGGCCAATCCGCTGCAGCTCCTTCATTTGGGAATCCTACAACACAACCATCCTTTGGAACTCCCACGTCTACCCCAGCTTTTGGAGCACCCACTTCCACGCCTGCATTTGGAACAACTACATCTGCTCCAGCTTTTGGAGCACCCGGTGCTACGCCAGCTTTTGGAGCTCCTACTTCTACACCAGCTTTTGGAACACAAACAGCAACACCCGCTTTTGGAACACAAACAGCAACACCCGCTTTTGGAACACAAGCTGCTACACCCGCTTTTGGAACACAAACAGCAACACCATCTTTTGGAACACAAACAGCAACACCAGCTTTTGGAACACCTACATCCACACCAGCTTTCGGAGCACCTACATCCACACCAGCTTTTGGAACACCTACATCCACACCAGCTTTTGGAAATACAACCCTATCTTTTGGTACAACTCAGCAGAAAACTGGTTTTGGCACACCTCAGTCTTCTGTGGGTTTCGGTGTTGGAAATACTCAGCCGTCTCTTACTGCCACTACAGCACAGTCTGGTTTTGGCTTTACTAACACTGTAGGGCAGCCAGGTTTTGGAGCCAGCACAACAACAACTTCTGTTCTTGCAACATCAACAGCTGCTACCCCTTCTGTCAATTTCAATCCACCTCAAACTACTGCTATTGGTTTTAATATATCTAAAGCACCAACACTTAGTTTTGGCACACCTACCACAGCAGCTACACAATCGTCTCTTACTTTTGGTACATCTTTAACTCCGAAACCTGTTACTTCGACTGCATTAACATCATCAGGTTTTGCTTTTGGTACTGCTACTACTACTACACAAGCTGCCATTACAACTCAAGCTCTTAACAGTGGACTAGGTTTAAGTGGGTTATCTTACAGTTCAACTGCAATAGGCGGCAAGTCTATGTTAACCATAACCGGTAACACTGCTACTCCTCTGTATGGAACAAAATCTTCTGATCTAAATGCAAGCAAGACTCAAGGACAGGTGCCTCCAAAATGTCAAGCGGTTCACCCTTTAGTGTTAGAAATGGTTGAATCTTTCAAAAATCACATAAAGGAACAAAAACATTTGTGTTTAGAAGTATCAAGAGCAAGTTTAAAACCCATTAACAAAATATCCAGTGATGCTGAAAATGTTAAAAAATCTGTTATGAAGTTAGAACGAGCTGTGAATAAGAACAAGATGTTAAATTCAAAATTAAAAGAAGAAACTGTAAAAGCACTTGCTGATGTGGAAATAGCTCAAAAAGCTATGGACTACCCTGGAGGATTTCCGTGTGATAACTCAATAGTTACTGACTATTTCTTGCAGCTAGCTAACAAATTTCAAGCTCAGGTTGTTGCTTTGCGTATTGAACTTGAAAATACAGAAAAAAGTATTATGTGTGAATTAAATCCAGCTGCATTCACTCCTCAAGAATTGTCTACCACAATGCAGCGTTTATACGAGTGCTTTGTTGCTTTAGCTGGAAGATTTCAATTTGTCCATGCCCAAATTTCTAATGTGAAAGTACAACACCTTGAACTAAGGAAAAGGAAGTTAGAGGATTATACTGATATTTTTAGTAAAAAGAACTTTAGTATGAAAGCAACCAATGAAGCAGCGTCACTAACGATGGGTCCATCTCCATTTTCAGGTACTTATAAATTATTTATTAAATTAAAACACAATGTTTACTTTCTATTTAATTTCTTTACTAACAAATAAAAGAATTTGTTTGAATCTGATAGTAATTCAGAATTTTTTTCACTTTTCTATATAGTTAGGTTGAAAGAAATGTGATCAGATAATGGATATTCTACAATTTGGTCCTATCTCCTATTCCAAGGTTGAAAACTTCACTTTGAAAGTTTGCACACTAAAAATAAAATAATCATTATGTTATCAACATTAAGTGGTTATTATTACATCATAAACATTAAATGATCATTATTTCTCTGGTGACAGAGAATAACTTACTAAGTATTAAATAATCATCATGAATTGTAATCATCTCAGGAGGTTTCTTAAAAGTTGCTACACTGCCTCAAAAAAGTTTCCATACAATTAGTTGTTCTTTAACATTGCTAAAAATCTATTTATTATATTATTTTTTTTAATCAGGAAGGGTAGTAGAGGTAAAGGTGTATCAACATGATAGCAAGTTCATGTTGGATCATTAATCCCATAACAGCAAGAGATAAAAGTTTAATCCGAATGTCAAAAAAGTTTCCATGTGTCTATAGTATCTTAATTCTATTTCTATTCAGTGCCCTTATTTTGGTCAAATTTATTATCTGAACACTACGTTCAAGGCTTAGTTAAGGTTCAGCTTACTTTAAATCGTTATTATTTTAATTGAATCCAATTTTGCCCATAGAGCTGCTGTTTGGTCTTCTTCAATTCAAACACCATGATTTTTCACGCCCCCCTCCCCTCCTAATTCATTCTACAAATGTTCTATTAGGTTCAGGTCTGGTGATTTGAGAGGAGTGTCCAACTGTTTTGCAAAATTATCGATTAACCATTGTTTTACTTTCTGTGCAATGTGCTTAGGATCATTGTCTTGTTGAAAAATAAACCCCAAGTTTCTCAGCAGAATTTTTTGAATTGTTTCTTAGAATGTTTAGGAATACACATTGGTCCAAAATTCTATCAATACAAACAAGATTGCCAACTCCTAAAGCACCCATATATCCCCATAACATTATACTTCCACCCTCAGGCTTTAAGGTCAGTCACAAATGTTTTGAAATAAGAGCTTCTTTGTCTGTTCTCCAGACATGACACCTGTCATCTGGTACAAAAGGTTGAATTTGGATTCATCTGAGATCACAAAATCCCCAAAACTTTCTAGCTTATTGGCTTACTCCATGGCAAACGCCAGCCTTCTCTTCTTATTTGTCATTTTTCATGCAGTTCGTCCACGAAAACCTTTCTTTCTCAGAACATTCATGACAGTTTCTGGATTTACGCATACCTCATAATCTCTTTCAAGCCCACTGGCTAAGGATATTGCACATGTAAAGGAATTAGTCGTACCTGGTTCAGAATAGTCCTCCTATGAAATCTATCCGATCTTCTTGGGCAGCGGCCTGTCCTCCAAAGATTTTAATTTACTGTGTCTGTTTAACACGTACTGCACAGTGGCATGTTATTTATTTATTAAAATTTCAATTTTTCAGATCAAATTCTTGATTTCTCAACCACATGATGTGGTCACGAATGCACTGCTCTAAACGCATAATGATGATTTGAAGCAGGCTGACACTTAACTAAACCTTAAATGTAGTGTTCAGATAATAAATTTGAGCAAAATAAAGGCATTGGATAGAAATAGAATTAAAATATAGACCTATGGAAACTTTTTTGACAGTCAGATGAAAGTTTTATATCTTCCTGCTCTGGGATTAGTGATCCAGTATGAACTTTTTATGTTGGTATATCTTTGCTTTTAATACCCTTCCTGATTAATAAAAATATTATAAATAAATAGATTATTAGCAGTTTTAAAGAAAAACTAACTGTATGGAAACTTTTTTGAACCAGTGTAGGTAACAGTACTTAATCTTTTCGATCTTTACATAAAAAGTGTGGAGTTACCAAATTTTTCCTGCAGTTTAGAGATGGCTTAGAAAATGAAATAATAATAATGAAGGCTTAGAAAATAGAAAATTTTCTTTATACCTCTAAATTTACCTAATATACCTTAATTGATATTAATATATTTTGTTAACAATTTATATATTTTCTTTATTTTAATTCTGATTTGTTACTCTTAGTTAATATTTTAAATACTTTCTTAAATTGTAATGCTTAGTATTATTTTTATTCATTAGGTTTTCGAAACTACCATTCAATGAACATGAATTCATCCCAACAGCAAAATGACACTCATCCGTCTCTATCTGCTACTGCCATGGCTCATTCTTTTTTAAATAACTCATTGAATAAGTCAGCGTTACATAACACTAGTTTGTTAGCCTCTCCGTCGTCATCTGCTCCAGGATCAAAAAGAGGAAAGAGATGAAAAATACACTTCATGATTTTCTAATTGTATATTGTTTTACTTACAAGGTGTGTATTTAAGAAAATATATTTATATGTTTATTAAATAATGAAAATATTTCTCGTCATTTAGTGATATACTGATTTATTTATTTCACACTCCTTGACACCACCGATTGTTTGGAAATATGTCTTCTAAGTGTATAATTACTTCAGCTCTGGCTTACCTAATCATGATAAGTCCTTTCATTGGCCTTAATAGTTGTTATTGTTACAGAATGTTATTTGATAATAAAATAAACATTTTAATAAATTTGTGATTATACTCCAATTTATCTATAAATAAATAAGTATTCAAACGAAATTTTGAAAATATTATTTCACATTTTTAAATTATGTAAAATTTAAAAATAATTTTTTATTATTAACATTGTAGACCCACACACATCCTACTACCTTTGAAGTGGAATATTTTCATTTACAATTTATTTTAAATCTGACAAAGAGTTTATTTTCAAGGCAAATCTCCCTTTGCACAATTATTAATAAATAATGAGCTATTATTGAATAATTGAGGTACTTCTTGTTTGAATGTAAAAAATTATGAATGTTGAAAAGGGGTTCAATAGGACCCGTAATTTTGGAAAATTTGAAAATTCTATAGGTAGGATTATTGTGAATTAACAGCCAACTCTACTACAACTGGCATTCTTGGGACTAATATAATACTAAATAAGTAAAAATGCTTATTTTGAAGATTATTTACTAAATCGAGGGATAAGACACACTAGATTTATGAAACCTCTCAATTTCAGATTTATTAAAAAATAATTTAATTATGTAACTTTACATTTTATAGAAGAATTGATTATATCTACCATAAAGACTTATACTAAGGAGAGAGGGGAGAAATAGAGAAAAAGGGGAATTAGCTCTTGGCAGCAAAATTTTATGTAAAAAATATGATTGTTTTTGTACCTTAATTCATTTTTTTCAAATTAAAAAAAAAAAAAACCTTAATTCAGTCAATAAATTGAGTTATTACTAAAAAAGAAAAACTGTACCATTACAATCCATAAAGAGTCTTAGGTATAGTAATTTGTAAGTTGTGCAGAGAGGTGATCAGACTGGGATCACGCTTAATCACCAGATTTTCTTCCTTAATTTTTAATTTTAACCCATTTTATTGAGGCTGGGTGTGCCCCAGGAGGGTCTCCCAACTTCTGGGTTGCCGAAACAGAATAAATAATTACCTGCCATCAGCAGAATTTGAACCTAGAGCTTAGGAAGTCAGTGCCTTACTCAATAAGCTACCCCGTTCTCGAGTTAATAATATGAAAAATTTGTTTAATATATATAAACAAAAATAATAAAACTTAATATTTATGTGAAAGGGAAAAAAATAAAGAAAGTAAAGATGGAAAAATCAAGCTACCTGAACAATATTGAACAGGACAGCACAGTTTGTGTAACTGATCCTATATAATTTGTGCTATTCCGAATTGATGAGTGTCAGAAACTGTGCTGCTCTGCATTTAACAGTATCTTAATGTGCACCTTGCCTAATGAAAACAAGTTTTACTGGTAACATTACTTGATGTCATAATACTACTTGCCCAAGTGGCAATTGAAAACTAATAATAGTGATGCAATTTATCAACATGCCAAAGGAAACAGAACTATAAATTCAAGTTGTTAGCCATTGATTGGTTCTTGATGACCTACTTCTTGAATATTCCCTGATCATTTTACTGTAAGTTTTTTAATTCATCATAATCCTAAACTTGTCCTTTGAAATATGGATAAGGAGAAAATTGAATCAAGTTTTGTTTTGACAGATGCGTGTAAATTAAGTCAAGATCTCAATATATGTATTTAATCTATTGAAATACTTACCTTATACGGTTTAGAAATTGATTTGGTGAAAATACCTCAGCACCCAAACGAAGAGAAAACCACTGTATGAAAAGAATTATAATTCAGGAGGGATTCAAGAATTTAAACAAAGTATTTTTTATTTTTTTTTATTTTAATTGTGATAACATTCAATATATTTTTCTTTAATATATTCTCATTTTAGTACACCTAAATAACAGATAATATATTACAGATTTGTATTTAAAACAAGACACAGGAAAGAAGTTAAGATTTTTTAACAAGGATCAAGAGAAACTATTATCTGTTTGGAATAACTTGTAAAGGCTGAGGAAAAACAATAGTTAAAAAAAAAAAAATTAAGGTCATTGAGGATCTTTATTTACATAAAATAACCTCAATAATAGATTATAATTAAATAAAATACTTAGAAAATCACAAAAATAGAGAGTCTAACAAGTACCATAGGCATTGCTGAAGTTGTACTATAATAATATTTATTTTTGTTTGAGTCACGGAACAGAACAAAGCAACTCATGATTTTAGAACAAAAAATGTTTTTTGTAATCTAAAAAAAGAATGGCCTGAATCTTGGTTTGGTTTTCGCATGATTTTTTTTTTTTTTTGCCTAATGTAAAATAGTGTAAAACTGGCACATTTTTAAAATGTGCAAATCGATGACTAGTCCACAATATTCGATTAAAATTATTCTCATAACATAAAATGAGGGTTAATCGACCATCTAATAAAAATATATACACTTAAGATAAACAATAATTATAACAGGTGTCTATATATTAAATAAAAAAGAACAAATAAATATAACAAAAATATACCAATTTACAAAGAATAAGTACTGTTTAGTTTTTTTTCCAAACATAGGCTATCACTTATATACAATCTAAATTATTGTAAGCTAGCAACAAGCCTAGTTAAGGCACATCTAAACATCTTAAGATTTTCTGTTATTTTATAGGACTATAAATTTAATTTTTAATCCTATTAAATATAAACAAAAAATGCTATTCGTTGCTAAGCGACATAATAACTGCCTGAAACAAAAGAAAACATTTGTTCATTTAGGTTGATATATATAAAGTATAAATAAAATATCCAAATAACAACCAAACAATAGGATGAAAACCTCTAGCAGCTTATAAATAGCTCACTGACAACAATATCGTAGAGAAGGAAATAAGAACAGTCAATGAGAAGGGTAAATAACTCCCTCCCACCCATAACAAATTCAACTGACCTGACATATAGTTTAACTATAACGATAAATATGGAAAAATATAAATGAAAACAAGATAAATAAATAAATAGGAATTCAAATATGTGCATATTTACTTTTAATAATTACATTTTTAAATGGAGTAGATCTCTTTAAGGATCTTATGTTTATTCTAATTCTATTTTATTTAACTCTTCAAAATCTAATCTTTATTGAGTTGTCTGAACGATATTCCTAGCCATTTGGCTCATCCTTAAGTTCATTGTACAATATAATTATGTATTTTTTGGGTAAAGCTATTCTCTATAATTTCAATTTATAATTTATTTTTAACAGTATAAAACTAAAATGATCAATGATCCCTTTAAAAAAACATTCCAAAAAGATGTGGGATCAAACTCTTGGAACTGTCTTATCATGGCCAAGGTTATAAGAAGAAAGATGTTTCATCAAGTTATCAATGCTTTTTAGTGTAAAAGTTACATGTTTTAAAACAACATTGAATAATTTTGAAACAATATGTAAATGACCAAGCATGAATTTATTTATTTAATATATGTTATGGAGTTTTACAGTCTACGATTTGAATAAAGAAATTAAGTTTATAATAATTGTTTAAACCACCAGGTCACCACTAATAATTTCATTTGAAATAATAACAAACTTGACTTGTAAATTATTAGTGACCATGAGTGATAAATTGTTAATAACAATAATTTGATTTTGGTTTATTATTTTCAATAATCAACCATTGTGAACGACCAAAAAATTCAAAAACTTAACCCCCTCTCAAAATTTGAGGTTTCACGTTTCAGGATGTGTGGAAATCGAAAAACGAATAACAATTTTTTTGTCCGTCTGCCATTTTTTTTTTTAGATAAAAATCATCTAAAAATCTAAAAAAAAAGTGTTAGAATACATAGTTATCTAACTGTAACAAATTTTTAGAATGACATTAATAAACCATGAATGGATTTAATGTAAGATAACACCATCAAAACATACTCTATGACTTTTACTAAATTCTTTTAATAAAAAAGTTCTGTCATTCTCTCTTCATGAAACATCCACATTTAAAAGGAAATAAAATCCTGAAAGGTATTATGTACAGCATCATTATTTTCAAATATTCGACCTTATATAGTCCACAATGAAAAGTAATGGGTCACTGATTGTTGTATATATAAATTGATCGACCTTTAAATGAATAAAATGATTGAAATTATCAATCAGGAGAATGATTCATGCTGATGCTCACACATTATAATTAAATTACTAACAATATATTTTAACTTTATTTATTTTACTTACTACATTCTCTTTAAAGAAATGAGTCGCTTGGGTAGATGCGGATGTAATAAAATTTAAAATATAATTTAATTAATTATTAATTTAATCTTCTCTGGCCACAAGTATAGTAGAGTTTTATTATACATGTCATAATTTAAACTCCTTATAAATAATAAAAATAGACATTGATCGTTGAAATGTTTATTGAAAAACATAAAACCAATATTTTTCTAGATACCTACATACACACCTTTACACATAAGATAAAAACATTTAATATACCTGTACATTTATAGCTTCCTTAGCATAGGAAGATTGAGGATTTCTGGAATCTCTATATCCTCGAGTCGAATACTAGAAGGGTTGAATGGAAATTCAAGAGGGAATGTGTAGTTTACGTCCATCATCAAAGGCTAGAATAAATGGTTAAAAAATCTTTTTTCAGAAAAGGATCAAGTATAAAAAATATATCAATATTTTATAAAATATACACAGAGAAGCAAAAAAAAAAAAAAGATACGATCTTTCATTTTTATATTTCCAAATGACTACTAATTAATCTTTTCACAGTCTATTATATTGAATAAAGGAAAAAATATTTGATCAATTAAAAACAATTTTTTTCATAAAAATTTAAATTTGAATTAGAAATATTTTATCTTCTTGAATTTATAGTGGCTTACGATCAAAATGGCATCGAACTACAAATTTTGAATAACCATTGCTTTGTTTTTCCATTAGAAAAATCTTCAATACCCGAGGTAACCCTGATAACGTTGTGGTATGCTCCTTTATTTAGCTCGACATACCATCCTATTCAATAGGGTATAGGCGGACTACATGATGGTGATTCATCAGCTTATACCATTATCTATGAAGTGTAAAAGAGTAATCAGTCATGATCAGTTGCTTTTTTGCTTCTCCACGTAGCTTTTTGTTTTAACTATTTATTATAATAAACTGTAATAAATAAATAATTATACTTACTAAAAAGAGATAATGTTAAAATTAAGGAATATGCAACTTTAATCGATAATATTTTTAATATTGACATTTTAACCTATTTCCTAATTTTAATGAAGCTGGAATAAGGCTTATGATCAAGATTACACAACACATTTTATAAAAAAAAACACATTGCTAAGCAATATAAAGAGAGATTAAAATATTATCATGAAGTAGTTTCGCCCAGAAATTTTAAATGGTACTTCATTGACAATTATTCTTGTTGAAGCAAGTAAACAATATTGATAGTATTTTCAATAACTATTGTTGTGTGAAACTATTGTATTAATAAAACTAATTATACAATAGAAAATACTTTTCTCATGGATTAAACTGTCCATGGGATGCCCTTCCTAGTTATACAATAAAAAAATATGAATGAATCAAGAATTTATTTTCAAAATTTTGACATACACATTGTGAAACCATTTTAAATACTTACATTGTCGTTTGATGGTCTGTTTGCCAACAGATATTCTTCCATTTTTTTAATAAATGATTCTGAAACCCTTTCTTCCATTCCATCTCCAGTGTACAAGTTGAGAAATTTAATTATCTATAACAAAAATTGTTTTTTATGAATAATAATTAAAACAAAATTATAACATACATTATCAAAATGAAAAACAACCTAGTTACACTTAAGTGCAAGAAAGGACATCTTATTATTGTTTTAAGAATTACTATTTTATAATGTTAAAATGATCAGTCTGCAGGTTTCAAGATTAATCTGCGTTGACAAAAAATCTTTTTATACTTCATAATGAATCATATTTCGGTTAGGATGGTTGTTAGATGGAGTTTCAACAATAATATATAGCCAAAATGAACAATAGAACTAATAAAATATAAATTTTGTATAGCAGCATTGTGCCAACATGGAGTTTGTCTAAAAGGGCAAATTTGTTTAAAAAAAAAAAAGTAGAACAATAATTAAAATCGTGTTCATTTCTTAAACATATTTTAATATATTTACCTGATTGATAGACAATGCACTGCACATATCTGCTACTGGTCCAGCATCATCATCAGATTTTCGAGCTTGTAATAACTGTGAGGCCTGTATGATAGGAGCAAGGACATCCAACACTTTGGGGTCCTAGAAGAGGAAAATATAAAATCTCACAGAAAATAATAAATAAAACCTTAACATGGTTTATAATAGTACATTATAAACTAAATTAAATTCACAAAATTGTAAATTTGAACTGTCGACCAAATCTTTACATTTCTGATTCAAAGCCTCTAAACAAACCTTAAAGATAACTTCAATTAATTGAGCATTAAAGAATAACATATTGACCTATGTTTTTGTATAAATAAATAAGTTTCAAAATCAATAAAACGTGCTAAAAAGTTTAGCTCCATTAAAATATATTTATATCAGACAGATAGTACTGACCTCGTAACTATGAAAAGGAAAATAATTGGTGAGTGAATTTTCAATTTTTATGAAAACTGAAATTTTTTCAGCGAATAAATGAATAATGTGATAAAATTTTACTTAAATTAATCATTTCAGTTAAAAAAAAAAAAAAAGTGAAAAATCCTGTAACATTGGGAACCAAGTATGAGAGAATTAAATCAAAACTTTGTGATTATTATGGACAGTATTAATAATAATAAATATTTTATAATAGATTAGTTACCTGCAGTTTGTTTTCCCTAGCCCATTGCTCAAGATGAGAAAGATTGAATCTTATATGCATTCCCTTACTCCAATGGCAATATTCTCTTCTCAAGAGTAGGTTATTGAGGGAGTTGGCACATAGACAATAAAACAGCTGGAAAAATATACAAAAAAATAAATCAGAGAATTAACAGAACACTAATTTACTAATCAGTAACTACCATTAATAAAATAAAATTTACTACGTTAGATATAGAGAAGTTTGATAAAATACTTTACTACAAATGCCACCAGAAATCTCAGCTTCATGATTGAAATTATCATGTGAATAAGAACTCCAAATTACAATAAAGGAAATCCTTTATTGTGAGGGCCAATAGTGAACTAATATCAAATAAGGAATTCAAATTATACTTTTCCAAAAGCAAATTAAAAAACCCAAGTTCATTATAATTCAAAAGCTTAGTATCAGGCGGAAATATGCCCCCGGAAGCTATTAAAAGTTTTCCTGTTTTTTCAAACTGAAACTAAATTCTAACTATATCTTTAGCCATGAGGTACTTTTTAAAAATGAATGTTTCGTCAAAAAAAAATTCTATGCTATTCAAACCCTTTCCCTAAAAGTTAGAAGCACACTAACCCTATGCTGAAATTGGATTAAAATGTTTTAAGATGGTGGAGTTGGACAAAATCAAGAAGCTGGTTATGTGGTCAGCTCTTAACATTAATAGCAATATGAATAATCTTTAATTAAAAAGACAACTACAAAATTTCTAGGATACGAAAAAGAAGAGTTTTTGTACGCACTTAAAAGATATGTTTCTATTTATTTACTTAAAAAATTACATTTATTAAAAATAAAAAGATTTACTTAACTATGAATACAAATATTTACATCAAAATCAAAGGTAATAATTTACAATAAAAACATAAGATAGAAGAATGTATCAACTAACCTGTCTAAAGAACTGAGAAAAGAGTTCAGGATCAACACCATGGACAGTAAGGGTCCTGTGGAACATGGTGAGGATGGATAGCAAATCATCCATAGCCTTCTTAACCGTTGGCTGGGAAGAGGCAGTAGAACCCGACCTTGCACGTGTTCCGCTGCTCGTCAACCCTGGAATAGCTTCGTGTTCCAATATAGCAGCGACAGCAATCGGCTGAATCGTCTTTTCCATTTTACGCATTACAGCCTGTAAAAATATAATGCCTAGTCAGGAAAAGCAATTCAATCAACTTCCCTAGTTTCCATAAATGAATTAACTCTAAATATAAAAGCCCTAGAATGCAATCCATCTTTAATCATAAGTAGCAACCAGATTTATATGTGTTTACATTTTTTTTTCTAATCCTTGGACAAACTTTTTTGACATTTTATTTATTGCTTCATATAATTTAAAAGAATACAAACCATTTTTTAATTTAATTTATTTGGAGGAGAAATTACATATTATTGTAAATATTTCATGTATAATTCATATAAAAAAATGATAAGTTGGATGGCTGAGATTTGATATAAAAAGAGAAGAGATAAGGACAAACAGAAAAAAGAATTTAAAATATAGGGAAGCCTTTTGGTTCTAAAGGATTGCTGAAAACTGATACGTAGGAAATATTTCTGTCACGGAACAGAGTATAGCCAACTTCACTTAACTTGTTTTAGACACATACTATATAATGGGTGCTCTGAATATGAAATTGAAGAATATTCTATAGTGAGGAAGAGTGGACACTATTTTTCTTTTAATCCCATCATAATATTATTTCACTCCGTATTTTTACAAAATAACTTAAATATAACTAAAATCACTATCAGAAAGTTTTTTTGCAGTACTTCTAACGCCTAAAACTGAAGTAACTATATAATTTAAAATAATTTAATAATAATAATAATAATTAAATAATAATTCAATTTAAAAAATCTGAATTATAAGATTCTCAATTGGTGCATAAACAGTCTGTTTACATGTCAGTCAACAACATCATGATAAACATCATAAGTTCTTTTGTGGTTATAGCATTGAAACATAGAATCTTTTATGAAAAAATAAGAAATATTCAACAGAAGAGATTTAACAAGATCTGAAAAAACTTCATAGTTGAGAATAAAAATAAATTATAAGAAAGAGAAACATGTATTCCTTGAAAAACTACTTTTAAAATGAAATAAACCTTTGAAGATAGAAGGGATGCGCGCGCAATTAAGTATTTTTTTTATAGATAAATACAAATTTTTATTTTTCCTTATCTATTTTCTTAGCACGGAATAAAATTAAAGACAATTACAAGGCAAGAGGAGTTTCTTGCTTATAGTATTACATAAAATATTATATTGATTACCTGACAGATAGAAACTGCAATATCAGACAGCACCTGCCTGATTTCACTCAAGTCAAAATTTTTCAAACATTGTTCGTTCTGTGTCTGAGTGTTCTCTTTAGCAAAGTGTTTCTCGCCACTATTAACAAAAATAACAAAAATACCTTTCAGGGATAGTGAAAATGAAAAGTGAACTTAAACTATCAAAACTAGTCAGAATTATATATAAGAGAACATGATAAATGAAAATTCCATGACGCTATCATTGTTGACATTTTTTTATCTGGTTATAAAAAATAAATAAAGTTGTGAAAGTATTATCATGTAATTAAAACTGGATATTAATTACTGGTCTCCTGCTATCTAGATTTAAGAAGCATGGAAGAAATTCCCAATCAATTAAAAAAAATAAATAAATAATATTCAAATTGTGAACAGTGATCATAGGATGATTGTCTCACAGACTTGAGGAGTTTCAGATAGTTTTAATATTTAATAAGATAATTACAAATAACAGTAGAATCCCTATAATTCATATCCCGGTAGTTTGTTTATATCGATAATTTTTATGGATCCTCCGGTCCTTTGAAATTTTCCCTCTAATTAGAACAAAAACAATGTAATCTTGTCCCCTTGATAATTCGTATTTATTTTTGTTTTCATAAAATTCTAAACATGTTATATTTTGAATTTAAAAAAAAAAAAAAATTGTGGAGAGAGGGATTGCAGTTTTAATGAATTTCTCTTTGTTTACCTTTTTTTTCTATTGTAGTTCCAATTTTTGTCAAATGTGATGTTATGTTTCAGTTTGATTTTGAAAATGTATCTTAGAAGACCTAAACAATCTCAAAATTTCAAAGAAAAACAAGAGCAAAAATTTTTACTTTGTATCAATACTTGTACTGGCCATAACAATACTCCATCACTTAGCCATGTTAATGTTGTGTTGTAGATTGCCAACACTACTTCAAAGTTGCAGCCTCTAGACCAGGACATAATTAAAATATTCAAGACCTTTTACTTGAAAGAAGTCCTGACGCAACTCCTTGACAGAATTAAAATCACCTTATTTTCATTCATGAACATTAGCGACAAAACATCAGCACGATTAGAAATTGTTTTGGGGCATTTTGATATACGATGGAACTGTTGGTGAAAACTTAAATGATTCAGAATACCCTCACATATGGAATCGTGTTTCTCAGAATCAAGAAACTCCTATAACATTAGAAGATTTTGTCCAGTTTAATGATGATTTAGCTGTTATAGGAATTTTAACTGAGGAAGAAGATGACATGCTATTGATTACTCTAAAATTGACTAAGCAATACATCAACAATGTGTGTCGTTCTTTAACAAAATTGGATGTTGTTATAGACTTATTGTCTGCTCTTAACATGGTTGACTAAGTTATAGACAGGACCCATCTTCAAGGATCACATCAAAAGAAAATAACTAATTTTTCTTTCAAAAGTAAAGTTGTAATGTATGATTCTTTTACCTACATCTTACATTTATAGTAATATATTTTTGTATTAAATTTTATTATTACACAATTTTTATTTTTACTGTCTATTATTAGAAATCTCAATTATTCATATTTTATTCTTGGTCTCTTGACAAAACAAATAATCGGATTTCAACTGTACAAATGTTGAAAATTTTAGGCAAAATCTAACAAGTAAGTAATAGTAGGTTAATTATAATTAAATATATAAAAAGATTATGAACATATACCTGTACTGCTTCAAATTGTGAATAAGCTTCAGTGTATTAGATAACCACAAAACACCAAAATCTACATCATTAAACTTTCTCTTCATTAACTTCTTCAGTGATTTATAATAACCAATTAAAATACTTTGGACCTAAAAAAAAAAAATAAAATAAAAAAAATTGAGAAATATAAATAAACAGGTATAAACAAATAAACATCAAACATTATTTGTAAATTTGTATTCACTTTAGTAAATTAAAGCTACAGACAAGTTTTGACAACTGCAGAGGGTACAAGTTATCAAATGTTCCTGTTCTAAACCAGAACCTAATAATACTTTCATCAATTACAAACAACAACTGCTAAATTATTTTGGATAGAATCTGATAACTTTTTTTTTAAAATTTCCTTTTCTACTTCTCCTTTTTGAATATACTAGGTTTTCTCATGGCCAAAAGAGAGGGCAATGGATTATACCAGAGTTAAATGCTCCCGGCATAGGAATTCGTAATTTTCTGTGAATCAGTTTGCCAGGTAACGTGTATATTGCGTTAGCTCGCTCGGCCACACCACCCCTTCTCTCCGAATAATCATGAATAAAAACTAACTAGCCACTCAAAATACTAATCATTTATGATATGAATGATTATCAATGGCTCTACTAAATATATTATATGTAAACTAGGACCTACTAAATCTCACCAAATCTTTATAATCAACATACAATATGATTTTGTACAGAAATAATTAGTTGTAAATTTTTTTAATAAATATTTTTTGGCGACCTCCTGTAAAGGCAATATGCAGTGCATATTTTGGTGACTAAGCGAGACCAGCACTGTGATTATGAACTTTTTTTTTTGTTTTTTAACGATATTCTGTATTATTTTAGTAGAGTACTATATTCCATAGAAACCTTTAAATCATGTCAACACTCATCAAATGTTCTGAAGTTCAAATTATTCAATACTTGACAACCCATTAAAATTATTTGTTAGTCTACTTTTACTATGTCTACTATGACAAGGGTCAGTTTAAATAAAAACATTAAACAATAAAAATTATTTTAATTCAATCAACAAAGTTTAAACTAACTTTAATAAAGTCCTTAACAGCTAGGAAACAAATTATGCGATAGAGAAATGTTATCAGATCATCTATCAAAGCAATCAAATGATGAATTATTAATAATAATGAGTGTTATTCAAGAACATATATTATAATTATTAACATCCTAACGACATTAATGATTAAAAAAAAAAAGTAAAGTAATAGAAATAAAACCAGATATAAAAAAAATGACAAGGGTTAAAGTAGGGACCAAATTATAAAAAAAAAAATAAAAAATGAAGATGAAATAAAATTTAGAGTTCAAATACAATGAAACTCACCATATGTTCATCATTAATGTAATCAGTGTACCTGACACACATGAAAAGAATATAAGCTGGAAGACCAGGTAGGAGAGTGATAGCAATTTTGGGTTTCAGTTCTGAAAAAAACAAAAACATATAAATAGAAAACCAAACACAATAAATGGATCAATCCATTCTATTTATGAATAATTTGATTTTAAAATTAAGTTCATTAAATTAATAAAAGAAAAAGCAACTTTTTAAAAACTCAAGAATATAATTCATTCTGTCATCCATAAACACAAACATTTAGTAAATTAAAACAAAACGAAAAAAAAATTAAAAAACAGAAAAAAAAATCCATTATTGGTTTATCTTTGCCAGAGCAGTTCAAGGATATTCAACAGTGTCATTAGAGGAAAACACAACATTAGTTATCATAACAGAAAAGAATAGCAGATTTAAAAAAACTACCATAACTTAGAGTTGCTTGAATTCAAACCCAAAAAAAAAAGGTATGATGCGCGCATCACACAACTTTCACTTACCAACTTTAGAGTAGACAGGTATTTTCATATATAGGGAAGTTAAAGTGAAAATGACAGTATAACTTCATTAAAAACAATTAATTATCATATTTTCTCTATTCATTGAATCTGTTAAATTTACATGTCTGCATCAATTTCCTTTTACGACTGTGTTTAATACCAAACAATACTAATAATTGTGAGGAAAATAGATCTTTTGGAAAACTTCTGAGTTTTTAAATAATGTATATTATTAGGTTTATACTAGTAGATTTTCAACATTTTGTGTGAAAACCTTTTTAAAAAATTATGGATAAGTGATGTATAAAAGTTAAATTAACAATATGAAAGCCCTGTATAGAGGAGTATCGGGTATCTGTAAAGGGAGAGGATCGGCAAAGGTCGGGCGCTTTCCACTATAAAAAAGAAGCAAGAACTTGATAAGTATAGGACCTAACTGGTGCTGCAACCTATTGGGGAGATTTGAATTATGACTAAATTTTTATGACAAAAAACCTAGATGTAATTAAAAACCTTCCTTCTGTTTAGAACCAAGTAGTCCCAAGTTATAATAGCACAATGATCCCTCAATCAGTAGTTCATGAAAAAGTACTGTCTCATAACCCACAGTTATGCAAAAAGATGATCTGGTGAGGATTCGGTATCTACTTTATAGAGGCTCATTATGCCCCAGAAGGATCTATCGACCTCAAGATCGATTTACAGCGGTTAATAAATAATTATCTGACTCAAACAAAAAGCTTGGCCTATTTCTTGATAAGAGACATCAGAAAGAGGTCAACTATGATACGCTGTCTACAATGGCAATAACAAACCTGAGATATCTGCTTCAATCCAACTAAGATCTCATCAAAACCTGATTTTGTACATTGATCAAAGATAAATTTAAATAAGTTAATGATGAAATTCAATTTAAATTAAATAATTTGCAATAGAAAAAAAGAACAAAAGGTATACTTATAGGTCTGGTCATGACCACTAATATCGGAAGCAAACTTTATAAAAAGATTAGAAAAAAAATACTTTTGATGTTAAAGGCATATGAGGTTCTTTATTTCATACTTACCCAAGAGGTGTTTCAACATTACATCAACATCTCCTGATTTTATTTCAAACATTCCCATATATTCTCTTTCTATTTTCCTAACCATAGGTAAGCTTTCTTGTAGTGCCAATTTTTCTGATTTGATGAATACATTCGTTTCACCATCACTCACTGGAACAACAAATAATAATAATGTTGTAATTGTTGATTAAAATTCTTAATTAAACTTGTTTTAAATTCATCTTTATTTATTATAAATTAAATTAGTTGGTGTTTATGTCATACACAATTTGTTTTGTTATATATAGGGTTTAAAGCTCTTATAAAAGACAACTGGAGCAAAAAAAATACTTCATGAATTAGAGCACCCTAACGTGATTAAACTAAATGTCTTGAAAATATATTTTTTTTATTTATTTATTTTTTTTATTTTATTGAAATTTACAACTGTATTACATGGAAAATACAATAAGTAAATGTGACATTGGTAACATGACATGTACAACATGAAGAGAAACTACCCATTGGTAGAACTCAAATTAAAGTTCTATATTAGAAGGTCCCGAGGCCATCTTCTTTTCAGATACCTCGGAGGGTTATCAGGGATCGAGGAGGAAGTAAGGTTTGAAACGAGAGGATTCGGATGATTCTGCAGTTTGTTATGGAAGGATAGGTATCTGGATTGGGCCAAATCGGAAACATATGGAACATTAAGGTCTTTATGGATGATTTTATTTGTGACAAAGTAAGGAGCGTTGAGGATTTAACGAAGGGTTTTGGATTATAAGGATTGGAAAGGCATTCGATGGTTTAGTGGAGCCCCAAAGCTCAATTCCATAAGTCCAAAATAGGTCTTATTATTGTCATATATATGAGTTGTTTGTAATTGATTGAAAGCTTAGAGCGTTTGTCTAGTAAGTGCTGCAGTAATCGAAAACGTCTGGAGGTTTCTGGTCGTTTCAGTCTGGTATGGCAGTAAATATTTTTTTAAACCAAATAGAAGGTACAGATATAACTAAATTAAACTTACCACCAGCCTCTTGAAGTTTTTTCTTGAGCTCTGCTACCTGCATGGTTAACCTCCTAGCCTTTGTATGCTGTTGATCAAGTTTTTCTTGCAATTCCAAGTTTTCGGAGCAAAGACGTGTAACCTGCTCTTGTAAAAATACAGGCGCCGTACCAGTCGCAACTGACATCCTTTCCTTCTCTAGTTCTCCCCTCAGTCGCTCTAGTTCGGTCGTCAGTATATTTCTCTCTTCCTCCCACATTGACGATTTCGACTGAAGTTCATCTTCCAATTGTCTTAAAAACAAAAATGGGTTGAACAAAAAATTATTAACTACGATCATCTTAACAATAATTTCTTACAAAATATACATAAGGAACTTCACAGCAAACATTGTTTTTCTGTAAATGTTGTCAAAAAAGCAAATTTAGTTAATTATATATAGCTTTACCACAATTTGTTGGCATCCCAAAAGCAAACTCAAAAGGTTCTAAGAAAATAATATTACAGTCAGTGGGTCCCCAATTTCAATACCAAATTTTTTTTGGTGATATTACATTAAAAAATATTGGAAACACATCCTGGTGTTTATTCCAAAAAAATATATGTAACTTCAAACAAAACTCATGTATTTATTTTTTCCTTTGCTTTGCCTGGAATTTTAGGTGACTATATATCAATCAATTTCTTTTTTTGTGCAGAATAAGAAAAAAAAATATTGACTATTGTATTAACGGAGTTATAATTTATCACAAATTATAAAAACCAAAAGGCACTTCCAGTAAAATAGGCCAAGTTAATTTTGGTTAAGAAAAAGAAAGTTAGATTCATTTTAAGGGTCCTTTAAAATTCTTAAATATGATGTTTTGTATTAGATTTTTTTTTTTAATTGACTGGAAGTGCCTTTTGGGTTTTCTAATTTATGATAAATTATACATTCAGACGAAGCAAAGGCAAAAATAAATAACATAAATTTTGTTCGAAACTATATAAAATTTTTTTTTGGGTTCCTAGAGTCCATCACAACGAATGCTGTGACCTGTGTTCAATATTTTTCATTTATTATAACCAAAAATAATTTGGCTGAAATCAATGATCTACTGACTGTAGCCTCTCCATGTAAGTTGGAACTAAGATATTGTTTTTGCTCTAAAAATGCGAAATAAATTAAAAAATATTTATAAATTTATACATATATTAAGATTTTTTTTGTAATTTACTTCATAATTCAACTTAAACATTTGTTTTAAAAATTATTAGAATTGGTTTAAAGCGAGAAGGCATATCACCTAAATTAGCCTTCGATATGAAACTGAAATAAATATATTAGATCGATTAGTAAAATATACCTTAATGTACGTTTTTGAGCCTCAAAAGCTAATAGAAGTTCTCCATCTTCATTGAAAGTTGATATGTCAAGATCTTTCATTGAAGAATATGACGATTCGGCAAGTGATTTAGCCGACATGGTTGCTTCACTAAACATTCGTCGAAGTTCGACATTTTCTGCCCTAAGCCGATGAACTTCTTTTTCACTTTCTTTCCATTCACCTATTAAAACAAGGAAAGGATACAGAATTTATGAAACTAGTGATTAATATTAGTACTATGAATGGATAAAAAAATACAATAACAAATGAACAAAATTAACATATCTTATTAAAGTATTTTATTTCTCAAATAGTTACTCATTAGTACTTTAAAGTTTGGGCTCTATAGACAATTGATTCGTGTTTGAAATAAGCTCGGTTTAAAATACAGAAACCTGGAACTTGTGTTTAGAACTCAACAAATAACTGCATTTAAAATCAGTGTATATGAGTGGCTTCATATTAAAGACGGACATCTGTCATTTCCTGAAAGTGAAGAAAAAGTCACTTTTTGTTTTATAGGTTCAACTCGAACTGTTTCTGATGATTTTATTGAAGAATGTTTAAGTTGAATTATAAAAATAAACCATTAGAATCAATATAAACTGAAGCTATTTTTCAAAAATTGACTTTTTCACAACTTTTTAAAAATGACAAGAGATACATCCTTGATATGAAGCCACTCATAAGATTCAATATGCAGTTACTGATTTAATTCAGATCCGATTTAGACTATTTTTTTTTTTGGTTTAATAAGAAATTTAATCACCTTTATAAACATGGGGTAAGAAATGAAAATATCTGTTGAAAACCGTACATGAAAAATCTGACTCCATTACAATACTTTCTTTCTTTATTTAATAACAGTAAGAAACTAATAGGACACCAGTACAAAATGATAATACAGATTTGATTTTTGTTCCTTAGTAAATTAAATTACCTTTCAAATGATTACATAAACTTTAATCTAAACTGTATACTTCCTGAATTATGCCCCATATAAAGTTTTCTTTTCTTCAAACATTTTTTTTTTTTTTTGCTATTTCTTGGAAATGTATAACATATGTGAAAATCGATAGGGCTTTAAGTAGAAAAGAGTTTCATCAAAATCGTTAGAGCAGTTTTCGAGCTCCAGTCTATGGAAAACCATGATTTTATTCTATTGAGCAGCCTTGATTGCCCAGAGGATGCTCTAATTGGTAAAGAGACATCCATGCCCTAAATTCTATAAAACAAAAAAAAGGCAACAAAATTGATCCACCCATTCAAAAAATTATTGTGGCTCAGATACAAACACATATACACATATCACACTCAGAATTGTAAAGATCCTTCACAAATTGAAAATTTAATCTGATTATAATACTTTCCTAACCTGGAAGAGGTAGAAAATAAAAATTGTCATTTGAAATAGTTTCATTTATTTATCACAATTAAACCATTACCTAATTTTTGAAAACATTAAGTGACTTACGTGTCATTTGTTCAATGGCCTTTTTGGTCCCTCCATTAATGGCGTCCGAAGCAATACATTCTTTCAAAACAGTCAAATCACTACGTAATTTGGCATTTTCCATTTCAAGTTCTTGGAGCTATTTAAAAAACATGAAATTATTAATATACACTGTTAAACCAAAAATAAATATATTCTTGTATTTACAAATTCTCAAAGCGCTAATGCATAAATATGCAACAATCTATTGTATTAGGAAAATATCCATAAATAAATGAAGAGTTTCTCTCTAATCAGGAAAATCCCAGTGCTTTAGTCAAAACCAATGGAGAATGTCGGTAACAAAGTGAAAAGTCAGTAACAGGTTAATGCTTATAGCAAAAAATACTACATACTCTACGGCTTTCGGTCAAAAATAAGCCATCTTAATTCAGATGCATCCCAATAGATAAATCATGAAAAGACACAGTTGCAGAATTCAGGATGATCACTAGGTAGGATTACTTAAAAAAAAAATTTACATAAAAACGTTTTAGCAGAATCCCCTAACTGTAATCTCTGGAACAGCCAAGGATGCGGCACACGTTTAATCATGTCCTATTTTATCAGAAATAAGACCACTAAATTCATCAAAATCAGACATTTACTGGGCTGGAGAAAGACTCATGGAGGAAGCCAAAAGTTAAGGGATAGCATACAAAAATAATTCTACCATATTCGAAATAAGATAAAATCAAAAGTAGGAGGGCTTATTGGGAAAGATATGATAGATTGGCATCCTATCCAGGATGCCTTTTTTTTAGTCTTCTAATTAATCCATCACCTAATTATTAACATATGCCCTCAAAAGCCAAGTATTTGTCTTCTGAGTAAAACTAATAATATGCACCATGTATGATTGAATGATTAATCAACAAGTCAAGTCATAAAAGTAAACAAGTAATGAATTCTAATTTAAATTACCATCAGGGGATCAACAGATTTTATCTGAGGTTGAGATACATTTTTCATTGAATCTAATTCCACATGTAGCCTTTGATTCTCAGAGTCCAAATATTTTAATCTATGCTGTAATTTCAATATTAAATTGACGTCCAACTGAAATAAATAATGTTAGAATATTAATAAAGATCATAAATTGAAGGTAGAATTTAATCCATATAGATAACTTGAGTGCAAATATATATAATATATGGCTTAAATTACCTCATCATCGGTAATATGCTAGTAACATAAGAGAATTAACATAATAACATTAATTATAATCATTTACTTGTTATTATAATGAATACAAAGAACAAATAATAATATTTACCTGTTGTTCAGGGGTTGGTGTATCATCCCTTCCAGAACCTGATCTCACAGAACCATAACCAACATCCTAAGGAAACAAAAAAAAAATTAAATAAAGAATAACGATGAAACAATAAACTTTATTTCTACTTAATTTACTTTTAATCCACTAAAATCATAAAGAAATTTAAAATTATTTTAATTGTTATTCGATCCAGACTAATAATGACTAACAACTGCATAGAGTTTTTAATGGTGTAGAAATGATTGACTGAAATAATATGAGAAGTAGGTCGGGGGATGCGGTCAAATAAATAATAAATTTCTTAGGGTAGCTCCCTTCTGAGTTGCCATCCATCGCCGATTCCATTTATAAACTGTGTCCTCCCTGATAATTCTTTTCCATCTTCATGGCTCTTCTTCAATTCTCATCTTTAGATGTTCCGGTAGATCCGCCGAACCTTCTCTTTTCATTTTAAAGAAGTAATAGTCTTCTCACATGAGGATATTGAGAGGTGTCTCCCTGCCAGTACTTGCACTGCCTCATGAGACACCATTCTATAGGCTCTAGTGACCCGAAGTAAAGCCATTCTCTGAATCGATGCTAGCCTACTCTTCTGTCGGTACGAGAGGTTAGGTTCCAGGCTGGGAACGCATATCTCAGAATACTCAAAACAACTCCTTTGTATATAGTCATTGTACCTGGGTATCTGAGACCCCAGAAGGCGCCTCCGACACGACTGAGTCCATTTAGGGCCACTGTGACTCTAGTGCCAATATTCCAGGTGAGGAGTCACGTTGAACTTTCGATCAATTTTTATGCCAAGGTAGGTGACAACCTCACTTGGACATATTCTTTCTTCTTCTATACTCAACATAATATGAAGAGACCTATTAGTCGTGTCCCTCAAGAGAATTGCCTGTATTTTTGTGGCAGCCATCTTCAACTTTTTCCTCTTGCACCATCTTCCTACCAAGCTGGTGCATTGTTCATCTTCTTCTTTCAGACTGGCTATGCTGTGTGAGGCCTTATTCTTGGTTGCTTAACATGCTACATTGAATTAAACTTTTATGGTAAGAAACTTGTATATAAACAAACACAATTTTAATGTTAATTAATAGATTTAAAAAATATATATTCTGAGACTTGGTTGCATTAGAATAACGAATAAATAAAATTAAAACAGAAAAACATATCAGGCCTTAAAACTAAATTAATAAGAGTAAAGCGGTAAATCCATTGTCATCAATTAAAATATATAAGTAATATAAAATAAATTCTTCTCATGAAAAAATCAATTATACTGAACAAGGAAACAAAGAAAAAAAAGGGGAGATAAAATTAAATTAAAATAACGAACAAATTCTTAAAAGTTAAAACAATAATTAACTTGTAATTTTTTAAAATTTTAATATATAGCTCACCTCATCTTGCATAGATATAGTACTGGCATCAGAAGGTGACCTTTTGTGATGCTTGGCTTCAATGGCCTCCAATTTATTCTCCAATAGGTCCCTTTCAGCCAAAAGTTTCTGGTATCGAGATCTCTCTTCATCTCGCTCTTCTCCAACAATCCTAATTTCTTCTTTTAATTGAGCCACAATGTCATCTGTACAAAATAAAATGACAAGATATAGATTCATATTGGCTACTTTTATTTGCTGATTGGATCTTATATATTGATGAAATATAACACAACTTAGTAAAGCTAGAGTTTTGATGTTTAAATGACCAACTAACTATCATTGCTAAACCAGTAAACATTTATTTATCTACTGGTTCAACCTCACCTCATCTGAGGTCTTAAAAGATAAGTAAACATCCTCAAATTCAAAGAGTTGTGGTCCACTAATTACAAAAAATAACAAACATTTTCGATGAAACGAGTGTTCGAGTTTTATGGTATTGGAATTCAAAGAATTTAGATACTCCGAAGAACGGAAGAAAAGTTGTTTGCCAGAGTACTTAAATGGTTATTTCAAAAGCATATTTATGTTGATAAAAGAAAACCATTTTACCAAAAGGAAAAATGACTCATAAATTTTAAAAAGATCAACTATCTCAAGAAGAGTGTGGCTGAAGTCACTGACAATGAATATTTTTATATTCACATTCCCAATTAGTTAAGTTTCATGTTTGTGAGTTTTTTTTTTTTTTTGTTAAATCAATTTGTTTAATATTCTTTCTTTTTCAATATTCATAAAATTGAAGTTTTCAACTTCATGAATAATTCTTTTTTTAAAATTTATTTATTGATTAATTACAACAATCTGTCACATGGACACTAGTTATAGTGAGGTAGGATAACATTCACACTATATGTACACAAAATATAAAATAAATAGAAGCAAAATACTCTGAGAGAAATTCTCTGAGTCTTCAACCATTACTCATGCAGTTACAATCAAAGAAAAAGTGAAAAAAGAGACGGCTATTAGGTTTATTGCAGAAACAATACAAGTGTAAAATTTTCTAAACATTTAGTTATATTTATAATGGTGAAGAAATAACAGAAATAAACTGACCATAGATGAAATGACTGAGAAGTGAGGAAGGAGTTTATTTAAGTGAACAAATACAATTAATTACACAACAATTACCACATTTTATCCATTTAATATGCAACTTGCTTTCTTTGATTTATGTATATTACTCAATATTCAATTTCATTTCTTCATTATTTCATTGTCTATTTCATTACTTTATTACTATTACTTTATTTTATTCACCTCTTATAATTTATTTATTAGCAGATAACATATATTTTGCTCTCATATCTTTTTACAATGACTGTTTATTAATTTTTGTTTGTTATCTTGTCTTTCCTCAGTCCTGAAGCTCTAAAGCCTGGCACGAAAAAAATGTAAAGACTGATAATTTAAAACATATATATTTTTCATTTTAACTTATAAAATTAATTTTTTTTTAGTATAGCAACACTGCCAAAATTTTACTTTATTGATGAGTTTTACACTAATTACTTTTATAATTTAGGTTTATTTAGTTCTATGCCAAACTTGAAAATATATAAAATCGATGAGATAAAGTGACACTTCTGGTTAGCCGATTGGAAGGAAAAAGTTGCTGTAACATTCCAAACCTTTACTTAACTTATATATATATATATATATATATATATATTCATACAAAACTGAATATATATATATATATATTCAGTTTTGTATGACTTTCCGTTTTTGAGCTAGACTGTTCACACACAGAGACCATTTGGTGGAACTTGATTATTTGGAATCAGGAGACCTCAAAATGTGTATTTCCATTGAAAATTCAGATTTCAAAATTTTCACGATCGCAATAGTTTTCCTTACTATATATTTCATAAATAGAAAGTGAAAACAAAAATGGATATTTAGCAATTTTTTTCTTCCACAATGAGTGGAAATACAAACTGATTTTTGTTTTCTTCATAAGTTAATATGTATTTTATCATTTTACTAGATTTTCATCAATGCCTTTTACTTTAACTGAGATAAAGCCACAAATACAAAGCCATTGTATTTATAAATAGGGCTATAAGATTACAACAATTAGTTACAAAAAAAAATCCTCATCAAGGATTGAGGCAATTCTTAGTAGGACAGATTTGGAGGAATGATTTCGATTAATGAACTAACTCTGACCTAACAAAACTCAATTGAAATATATCTTGTGATTTAAACAGATTTTCTGTTTTTAGAGCACTCTAAATATATAACATAAATTTAATAGTGCAATAACAGATTTAACGAGATGAAGTACTCAATTAATGTGATAAATATCATATAATTGAAGTGTATATCTTCAAGGAAACCTAAAATGTAAACAGATTAACATAACACAATGAAACAATATTTTTTTTTAATGAATCCAAGTATATATTTGAAAAAAATTAGTGGATACTTAATTTCTTTGTTTTAAATTATAAATAAAATATTTTTTAAAGAATAGATACAAATGACACAAGAAAGAGAAAAATAAATAATGCACTTTTGCTAATATAAATGTGGAAGGGTTTCCTTTGAAAACAACATGGATAAATAACTTTACAAACAAAATAAATAAACTAATTGCATCAACTGCCCTCTTGATAATCAAAAGCTACCAATTTCCCCAAGTAGTTAATCTTGTGATGCCAAGGAAAATGTCAATTTGATCCCATGCCCTTATTATTTTTAAAGAAGCATATGTACCAAGTTTTATCAAAATTGGCTGTGCCTTCCTATAGTCACCCTTAGAAGTTGTTCTTGACTGAAGAGGAACCCTTTTTTCTCTACCATAAATCCACAGAAAGGGCTAATAAGAAATGTTTTACCAAGTTTTGTCAAAATCAGCCTAATCATTCAGATGTATTATTTTATGTAAGAATTTTTTACTAATAACTTTCTTTCACTCTCTCCTTCTCCAAAAAACAAACAAATATAATTATATTATTATTGAAAAATTAATTATTTTTTCTTCTGATTTATTTAATAATTTCACAATTTTAAATATACAATTATTTTTTACTTTCACTTGCCCCTATATATATATATATATATTTTTTTTTTGGGGTCCTTTCCTTCCTCGCCGTTAAGGCTATACGGAGTTTTCCCAGGCCAGAGGGTGTGGGCGGGGATTTAAAAGACCCCTTGACACCAGGACGCGAACTCATGACTATTTTTATATCATATATCACGTTGCCGGGCAACGGTCGTGCTGTGCACATGCGCTAGCCCATTCGGCCACCCCGTCCACTCACTTGCCTATATATGAAATATATATGTAGTAAAGAAAAGTATTGCAATCGTGAACATTTTCAAATCTGAGTTTTCAACGGAAATATAAGCTTTGAGGTTCTCTGAGTCCAAATAATCTATTCCCGCAAAATGGTCTCTGTGTGTGTTAACAGTCTAGCTCAAAAACGAAAAGTCGTACGGTAGTGAAATTGCATATTTAAGATTTTTATATGCCTGGGATGTTACAGCAACTTTTTCGTCAAAATTGGCTAACCGGAAGTGACACTTTATATCATTGATGTAACACATTTTTACGATTTTATCGAAAACGGCTCAAACAATTTTCATTAAATTCATTATATCAGTATAAAATTAAGCAGTTTTTAATATCATGTAGGATTTATTCTCATTGATGTCCTCTAACAGAGCTTAAATGGCTAATTTTCAATATTAGCTTCTCCTAAAGTACCTTTAATATTTTATTTGAAACAATTAACCATTTGTTTGAAGATGGTTGGAATCGGAGTTGGAGATCTCTGGAAGAGGATCTCTGATATAAAAAATAGTTTAATATAAAATATGAAAGAATTCGATACTTAACTAAAGGAGAAATAAGAAATCGTAACAGTGAATAGTTGTAATATAGGAACCATAGGAATGTAAGCACGACCGAGCTCATATTAAATTTTGTATACATAAGGGTACTTAAACAAATAAAAATACCCACAATGAAATATAAATCAATATAGTGTTTATAATTTTTACTTTCACTTCCCCTTTGTCTGAAAACATTTATTTCTGCTAAGAAGAGGGTGGGTAAGTGAAAGTTGTGTGATGCACACACCACACCAGATTTTTTAAAGAAAGATTTGACAATTAGCTCTACAAGTTCCCCCTTTGAAGCTGTGTCATATTTTCTTGACTGTGGTCAATGAAATGTAATAGAAAATTCTCCAATTTTAATAATATCTTTAAAAATAATGAATAACTTTAAATTAAAGAAAATATTTATTTATCCCATTTAACGAAATTGTACTTCTTTTAAATAATTACATTCATTACCCTAGTCTTAATAAGTTATGTTTATTGACACAAGAAATATAAAAACAAAGTATAAATCTTGCACCTTGATTTATAAAATAAATTTTGGCACATCCTTGAAAAAAACATACTTTTATTAATTTATCTGCACAAACATTTACTTACTTATGACTTCCTTCTTTGTTAATAGAAAATAAAAAAAATTAATTACAGTGGATTCTCATTGTAATACACCTACCTACTTCATACCATAGACTGGGAGATAACATGAGACTAGGTCTGCTCCCGATTTATGATTATACTAAAAATAAATTAATGAGATATAATATATATTTTTGTCTACATAATTTATATTACCAAACAGAGTAAGTAATAAGGATTTAATATGAAGGACATGTTAAGGAAACTTCTCCATGAAGTGGACATGTAAATTACTGGGAAAACATTTTGAATTATATCCCCTGCTCTATATTCTCAGAAATTCCATCTTCTAAAATTGGACTTAAACGCGATTCAGTCATAAAATTTACAAATTTAGAGATAAAAATTATCTGTCAGTTCAAAAAAAAATAATCAAGTATTCAGTGTTCAATGTTTTGCTATATCCATGGTGAACAAGAATTAATAGAAAACTATTTTACTGAATAATTAAAGATCGATAACTAAGAAGGCTTGTACCATTCCTATAAAAAATTTCATACACTCTATGATACCGAAGGAATATCAGAGGAAGACAATGGACAGAATACCTGCAATAATCAACATTTATTAACCCTTTGATGAAGAATTATCTTTTTCTTATCTATAATTTTATAGTATTCCTAATCATCCTGTTAAAATTTAATAGTATTTTATGGACACACCAGAATATTAATATATATATTCTGTATTTGTAACTTGTATCTAAAGGGATACTAGTCCCAGAATAATAAAATTATTTTCATTCATTCATTCAAAGAATAGGAGCAGTAGAACACTTTTTCAGTTTAACAGATCTAGTGTTTTGGAAAATCATACTACATTTTCTAGTAGTTAGATAATGTGTGACTTCAGTAAAGCTGGGATGGGCTCAGATCCTAATGCTGACTGTAAAACTCTTCAAGTTTCCATAAATCGTAGATATCGTGGATTTATTGCAAAAAGTCACTAACATTCCATAAAATTAAATCACAACGTACTTTGATGAATTTTACCTCAGTGAATATTATGTATTTAATGTAACTTTAAATGATAAATAAAAGGGTTTGTGTCATTTACATGCACTTATCGTGTTTTTTCGTAGAAATTCACAAAAACCTATATCAAAAATGTACTAAGTGGCTTTATGCAATAAACTGATGTTATACAGGTTGATCTTTGTCTGTTTTTAGCCAATTATTCGATCTATACTTGGCTTTTGAAGTATGTGGTCATTGGAAATTTTAAAATAATTGATATCATGAAGAAAAAAAAAAAATCCATAACTATTGCACATTTAACTATAAAAGTTATGAGCTAGAAAAGTATTCCGTATCACATTTTCAAGGGAAATGTCATTTTCAATTACATAAATATACAGAATGGTCTCGATAATCGGAACCCCTAGTAATACAAACAAGAAAAAAAAAAATTAAACTTGACTGCAAGAGACGAAATGGGATTGGCTCTGTTCCTAAATACATATTACTGGAATTGCTTTGAGTGGTAGTGTCGAAATCATAGTGTAGTGTCTCTAAACGGAAAACAATAAAACTAGGCAGTCATCCATAAGTTGAGGAATTTCTTTATAAAGGTGGTTTCTGGAGCAGAAATTCCAAGAGTGTATGATTTCTGGTGATATATGGGCTGAAAAGTCAAAATTTTTCTTTATAATTTGTTTAAGAAGAATGGCAAGATTTTAATACCAGTAAAGGTAGGCTTAATCATTTCAAAAGCAGGTATGTAATTACGTTTTTTATATCATTAGAAAATTTCTTTATATCCATTTTATTTTTCATTATAAACAAATCATAGATACGCCATAAAATACTTGCATGGAACAGATGAATGGATACAACGTAGACTATCGAGGCCTGGTACTTTTAAGGAATTTGAGAGATACGGTATTTTCTTTAGCAACAAAACCAAAGATTCAATGTACATTATACGATAATTCTCAGAAAAAATTCTTTTTTATTTTGTTTACAATGTGTTTAAATTTAACTGATAATACATAAATTTTCATTTACTTGTGCAAGTTTAACATCATTTTAAATTTAACCTATAGTAATCTGCATGGGCCATGGAATCTAAGTGTTAAGATTACCAAGACCGTTCTGTATATAATTTTTCTGCAACTATATTTCATAAAGATTCTATCATCAAATGACTTAGTTTTCAATCCTCACCATAGAGTGTGAACTCTAATAGTGAGGGTTTTCCTTTCTCTTGAAATTTTGCATTATACCAAGTGCCCGCTGTAATTAAACTACTTGATATTTTTACGATAAATTATTCTATTTTTCCTACATATTTTATACCTGTTACATATAAATGGACAAAAACAATGTTTAATAAAGCATTTATTAAAAAACTCAAGCAAAAGTGCAAAAACAAAGAAACCATTAATGAGTGGACCTTGTTTATCTCGCTTCAGCTGTTCTATGTTCTCCCTCAAATTGTTGACTTCAGCTTGCAGCTGGGTATTAATTGATTCGAAAGATTTTTCCTTAATTTTCAGAGCTTCATTCTCTTTTACCTGAAACACAAATAATGTTCCTTTATATCAAACAAATATTTGAGGATACTTATAATAAAAAAACTTAATACTGTCTGGTGAATCGAATAAAATTAAATAATTTACATTAGCAATAACACCATATTCATTAAAATGGATGAGCAAGTTCCTAAGCTCAACACTGAGGCTAATTGATGGCATAATTACCCTTAGTTTAAAAATGGATTTGATGCCATTGATGAGCTCAATAATTTAATTTTGATTGAACAATCCAAAAAGTAAACTTTCATCTTTGACAGTAGTTTGGGCATTGTCATTTTTATTCTAATAAATAAAAAAACTAAAATCAATTCATATCGTTGGCAACATGTTAAAATAACGAATGTGCAACGTTAAACAGCCTCACATTCTTTACTTTAACATGGTGGCAACAATATAACAACATATCAATAATTTTTTTAGTTGTGCTAATTTTTAATTAACACAGTATAAGATATTAAGCAAGTTAATAAGATTATCAAAAGTTATTGTTTTGTAAGTAAAGACAGTTCTTATAGAAAACTTTGAACAACTTTTTTAACCTATGGACATGCACTAACTCCAAATAATGATTAATAAATGTATATATTAACCTTTTCTTGAAGAGAATTTGAAGATTCCTCCCACAGCTTTCGGAGTTGTTCATATTCTATAGCCTTCTCCTTTAATGTTTTGGTAATTTTCTTCAAATCTGCTTCTAAAGTCTTTGTCCCTTCTATTTTTAATTTTAAATCATCATTCTCTATGATAGATGACTTAAGTTCTTTATTCTGAAACAAAGAAATAATGTATAAACCATAAATATAAAAAACCAAAGATTATATAAAATAGCATGCATAGACTCTACAAGACACTAATTTAACTAGGTGCCTCATATATCTGAGATCTGGATAATCAGAAAAGTGTCAGCAGAACAAATGAACAAGTTCAATAGGTAAATACTTAGTCATATATATATAAAAAAAAAATTAATTAATAAAAATATAGGAAAAAAAATTATGATAAAAAATATATATAGATAGATAAAAAAAAAAAATTGTATATTATGCTCATACATGTTGTTAATACTATATAATTGTATATTAGTTTTGGAAAATTGTCTGTAGCGATTAATAAGTATGCTGTGTTTAAAGCAACCCAATGTAATTGGGCAGCACCCTTTTATGATAATAAAGTGATTCTCTCTCCTGGGTTGCAATATAGGATCCTACGCCAATGAGGGAATAAAGAGATATATGTAACGTATGATGATTTATCCATATCCTTGTACTTCCTTTGCGCGAATACAGGAGAGGAATTCTCTAACCTCCATCAAACACACTGCTATTGCTTTATGTTATTAATAATAAGAAGAAAAAAAGGAATGAATAAACATAAAATATGTGACACGTACAAACTTGTACACAAAAATCTAGGTAAAACAAGAAACAGTAAAAGTGATATATTAACGCCAGACCAATATTTTATATTATTTGCAGCTACAGCTCTAAAATTTAAAATATACATGAATTTTAACAGGGTCGAGCCATATCTCATTCAAGCTTTGATTCCATTCAACATATAATTAATCTATATCTACAAATGTATGTAGGTACATGTTTGTGTATAATTTTTTTATTTATTATTGTTGCGATATATTTAATACTTACCATTTCTTGAATCCTTTGTTGGAGTGAAATAATTTTATTCTCCAACCCGATATTCAGTTTCTTCAAATGTTCTGCTGAGCGTGCTTCTCGCTTCATTTTTTTAAATCTGAAAATAATAAAGAATAATTTATATTAATGTACCATAAAACAGAATTACTAATTATAATAACTATCATATACATGCAGAAGCATCATATAATTCATATCATTATTGCGACTGCAGAAAATAGTAAGATTAATAAGGGAATATAGAAACAGTCTCACAGATAGAGCACTGATACAAGGAAAAGGATCTGAAGCATTTGATATAAGTCTCAAAACAAGATGGTCCTCTCCTACCCAAACTGTCAAAGTTATCTCTCGAAAAAGTAATCAGATTAAAAATGCTAAAAGGGGCAGTGGTACGTGAGAATGTTGCAGTGCTTTTTAAAAAACCTAATTTCAATTAACCATTATTCAGTGAGCTAATATTAATAATATAATATTAATAATTAAATAAGATTTTTATTTCCAATGCAGTCAGCCAAGGAAGAACTGGCCCCCTCTAGGATAAACATGGAGCGAGTTAAGTTTGCAGTTCGTATATTTGCTTACAGCAATGGAGACGATAAGCATCACTTCTAAAATAAATAAACTTTTCAAGAAATTGAAGGTGTACACGAAGAAAATACTCAAGTGATAATATTGAAAATACGCACACGACTTTCCTACCTATTTCAGAAAAGTTTTTATATCTTTACATATGATGTTCATGAAGAAACAAAAAAGAATTGAACTAGATTTATTTTCCTAAAAATTGATCAAACAAAAGATTTGAGTACGATTTATTTGATGAACTAAAGCAATGTAAACCGACTTAAGGTAGATCAGAGTAAAAATTTCAATAATCATTAATATTGCTGATCAAAAACTTTTTGCCATAGCTTAGTATTGTCAAACAATAATTTCTGTTAAAAGTAGAGGAAATAGTGAAGATTGTGTGATGCGGGCAACAGATTTTCTTACTTTCATTTAGTTATCTTTATTCTCTCATTCATCCCTTTCTGACACCAGGATATGAACCCGTAATCTTACATTGGAAATTGAATAGCTATAACTTCATTAATAGTTGTCCAAAATGAACGATTTTTACATGGATGGCTTTGTAGAGAATTTCATTACCTTTCAAACGACATGCTAAACGGCTTTATTTTTTTAAACAGCATTTAATTACCTTTCAAAGGTTTATTATAAATTTTACCGTATAATATATACTTACGGAGTTAGGCCCCATAACATTTTTCTTTTCTTTATAATATAACTTTTTTTCCTGATTTTTTTTTCTCGGGAATTTAGTATATATACAAAAATTGAAAGGACATTGATTAGAACATTATAGGAAAGTTTCATCAAAATCGTTCCAGCTGTTTTTGTGCTACAGTCTATAGAAAAACATGTTTTTTATTTATTGCACGCAAGCTATTGCGCATAGAACACCGAGTTTCTGTCACAGGCATCAGTTGTCAAAACCCTACAAAATAAAAAAAGAAGCAACAAAATTGGCTCAGTGGTTTCCGAGAAAATCTTGGCACAGACAGACAGATAGACCAATGGCTAAAAATGTGTTTTTCGGACTCAGAGGGCTCTGAAACGTATAGATCCGCCGAAAACTGCAAATTGGAAATTTGACCCGATTGCAATACTTTCCTTACCTAGTATAGGTAGGAAAGTAAAAAAAAAGTTACTGGTACAAATAAGGGATTTGAAATTAGACTTGATATATTTGGAGAACAAAAAATGAAAGTAGCTTAATTTAAAAATAGCTTAGGATATACAGCTTGAAATAATTAAAGCAACCTCAGGAGCATCAATAATTGACAAGAAACCATGTGTCAATCCGAAAAGACAAGTCTGAGTAAGTTAGTTATAGCAGCGATAGATCTATTAGTAAGTGAAGCCAAAAAAAAAAAAAAAAGAAAAAAAAAACAAAGTCACATAAAGTAAATGAACCAATAATAGATAATCTACAAGTAATAGACAATTTTCAACCCATTAAAAGATCTAGAACAATTAAGAGGGTGATGCCTATACATCAAGTGATATATCAAAATAACCAATTGCCAGTTGATTTTTTAATAAAGCAAGAGTGGGTGTTTACTTCAGGGAGGTTTTCTTATAACCTTTTCTTTACCAGATATCTTTGAAATTTTGATTCATTCATCTGTCGATTGTCATTTCTTAGTTCAAAACTTTGCATAATTTATTTGGAGTTTTTAAATTATGTATAAAAACCTCTTTACCTCAAAACCTGAGTGTCTCTTGCATATACAATATACATTGTCAGAATGACCTAAGTTTTCCATGAATAATTAACTTATTGACTGTATAGAGAGAATAAAATCGATTAAAGACTAAATTTGAAGATGATAAAATCCTTTTCAAAGACCCTATTAGAACTAAAGCTATAGTTCACATAAATGTTGAAAATTTCTCCTAAGTCTATTACCAGTGCATTTACCTTAATTCTTAGAGAAAAGCTACAAAAAGCTCACAATTTTTTCAGGGCATGTTAGAGAAACCAGACAGAAAACCTGGAGCACGCTAAGGAAATAATTTTTTACGAAGTTAAATATAGTATGGACAAAGTATGTGTAAATAACGTTAACTGACCTTCGACGAGCTATAAATCCTCTAATAGAAGCCTGTACAATGATTATGTTTCTTCTTAAAGTTGTGGTCTTCTTTCTCTGTAACCATCCTCTGACGTATTTCTGAATTAATACCGCCTAAAAATAAAAAATAATAATTACTATTGCATAAGAATAAACTTAATGGTTCTTAAACTATAATAAAAACAATATTATTTTCTTTTATAATAAAAGTTCATATACGCTTGATCTGATAGATGGATTAAGTGGCACACATAAAAACAGGAGTTGATCTTAATGAATAAATTAAGATTAAGATATGAATAAATTGAGATTAATAAATTTGATAAAATCACAAAACTAAATATATAATAAAAAATAATACTTTTTAGTCATAATGAGAGCCGATAATGAAAAAAACAGAAAATTAATAAAGAATAACTATGAATAAAAAAAAATATAACCGTATAGCAATATCAGAGAAGCATTAATAGCAACTAAACAAAAATAAGCAATCATTGATTTCCTTGTTATCTTGATATAACAAATGTACTAATTGAGGATCACTTGAGATACTGGCACTGAAATCATATTTCAGTTTTAAGTTAAGCTTTCATTTGGTTACTGTTAGGTGACCAAAATAAGTAACAAAAGTTATACAATCTTATAATGCACTTTGGCTAAATTGAATTAAAAAAAAAAGTAAAAGGGAATACTGTAAAATTTTTTAATAATTACAGAAAATAATAAACAGGGACAGGGAATCAGATATTCCAAAATAACCAAATAATTGGAAAATTTAGTTGGTATATATTAAGGCCTAGAAAGAATTAATTAAGAATAAAAGAACTTTCAATATGCCTTTTTTAATAAGTATTGTAGAGTATTTAAAGAATCTTTTATAATATATTTCATGAATTACTTTCATAGTTTATTTTTAATTTTTTTGGTCAGTATCTGATATGTATAAATAAAAAAATAATAAACTATTAAAAATTTATAAAATTATGTACACTAAAAATATAATAAGTAAATCAGGGTACAGAGGTTTGTATGATAGCTGACACTACATTAAATAACATTTTTTTAAGGGAAACTAATGAGAACACATTCCTTATTAGCTACAATAATGAAATTACTAGAAAATCGACTTTTTAGAGAAGACCACAGACACAACTGCAATATTATGTATTCTTAAGTAGTAGAGAGTCATTTGTTAGTCCTTGAGTTGAATCATGCAATATTTTTATTTTGTGTTATAGTTTGGCTGAACTTTTATTAATTTATTGAGTTTAACACATGAAATTATGCAATACAACAAGTACATGTGAAGTAAGAGTATAAATGTATTCTAACTTCTTAATTAAAATAATTAAATATTGTAGATACATTTAATCCTAAAATAAATACTATATCCAAACAGATTATATTACGTAAATATTTCTCTATACAATTAGAAAAATCAATACAATATTTTAGAGTTCATTTTTTTTCCCAACTTATGAACATTTTGACTTGAGGTGGCTGATGAACCAAACCCCACAGTAACTACCTGTAATGTATTTTTTCACTTCCATGACAGGGACAAGTCTACTTAATTGATTACAGCAAATTTTCATTTGACAGTGACTGTACATTTATATTGTATAACTTTAATCAGATTTGAATACATTATTATAAAGAAAAACAATTTTATTTAATAGATAAAAGGTAAATAAAACAAGCATCCATGGTCATATCAAATATTAGTAAATTACTACTAAAAAAAAAAAAAAAAAAAAAAAAAAACATTCAGAGAATGAGTAACTTACCGAATTGTTTCTCTTCATAACTAAAAATTTCTGTCTGGCTAGATAACCTCTGCCTAATTTCTGAAGTCCAAGTACAGCTGTCCTAATCTTCTTATATTTAATATAAGCCAGATAGCGACGCACAGCAGCCTGTATTTTAGTTGCTGCTTTATTTCGTCTCATCTGTTCAGCTTTCCTATAATTTACATCATGGAAAAATAGGATTTTAATTAAAATACAGAAAAAAAATAACATAATAGTCATCATTCAAACATTTAAATACTTTATGAGTTAATTTATTTCTAAAATAATAATGCTGATCATATTCCTGAAAAACTTAAAAATATTCAAATTATCTAAAAGTGAGACAACTATGTTAATTAAAAAACATTAAAATAATGTAGAGGTAAACAAAAATCCCACAGTGATCTTTGAGAGGAATAAAAAGAAGAATGATCCTCTAATGGCAGTAAACAAAAACTTTTAAGTCTATTCAAACTATTCAGACACCACGGACAGGAATTGCAGGAAACCTTATAAATTATTAATTCGACATAACCAGGAAAAATTGAGATTTATTTTGTAGATCTGTCTCAAAAAAGTAATGAGCTTCCTAGCTGGAAAGGTTAAGTGCTGCCTAAACATAGGCCTCATAACCAATTTGTATAATTTAATTTTTTTCTTTTTTATAGCATTAAGATTTTAAACAAAATCCTATTTTGCCAAATATGTAATTTGAAATTATAAGCAAACAAAATCCAAAGGCACTGCATGAGCAACTACAGTCTAAGAAATGGAAATAAATAATTTCATGATTTTTTTTCTTTTTTAATTATGTCTCTCTTTATCAGCTTCCACCATTAGAGACCTTGGCGTGGTATCTCCGAAGTTCAATAAGCACAGGTATACACTTAAATGCACTGCATCCATATTTGCTTCTTAAATGCATAGATTGCTGTGTGGAAAGTCTGCAATTCTATACATATGTTTCCTAAGATAGTCGAGACCTGTTATCACCGGGATGATTCTGCAACAGCTTCCTTTCTTGGCAGGTTTCTGGGTACTCGATCTGCTTCATTAAGCAAATTCTCCATGGTTTCTCAAAAATACTGCTATTTAAGAATTCCACTAGTAGAGCCTCATTTATTTATTTTCTGACTCTATGGAATGATATTAGATTTTCTGGCTGGTTCAATGTTGAGACTTTCTTGGCAAGTTTATCAGCTGCTTCTTGCAATGGATACGACAGTGACTTGGTATCCATTGAAGGAATACCTCTCTTCCTTCAAGAAGTAGCCCCTCTATGATTTTTTGGCAATTAAGAATATCCTGAGCAAAGGAGCGAGGATAACCTCCTTTGAATCAACAGAAAATACAATATTTTTGACATCTAAGTTTGACAAGGCTTGTAGCGCCAATGCAATTATTTTAATTTTGCTGTCAATATTAGGGACCCATTTTCCAAGAGGTTTTGAAATAGCAAACAGTTGTCAGTATGCACCTGCTCCTCAATTGTGTTGCTTGTTCGGTAGAACCATCGGTGTACACATGAATCCAAGGAGGGTTGGAATAAGGTTCAGCTATCGTTTAAAGAGCCTATGATCCTAGTTCGTCTGGTATAATCTCATTTTTTTTAATGGTTTAATAAGATTGAGGTTATATGATGCTATTTTTACAGAGAACTGAGGTGGTATTAGAGAAAGTTGTTCCCTCTGAGAGAGGGACAAATTTATTCTATCTTTAAGCTGTTGAGCTTTCTCTAAAAAAGTAACTCATATCATAAGTCTTTTCAATACTGGATTATTCTTTCACCAGTACTCTAACGGAAGGATAAGCAGTCGATCGTTGAGATCTATTGAACTTACCTGTTTATGAATAGTTATTGGCTCAGCATTCACTTGTAACCGCATAGCTATGATGAGTGTAGACTTTGGTGCTGAAGGTTATTATCCGGAGTTCAGAGGTTTAGAGTTTCCCAATTTTTTGTCTTGCACTTTCAGGTGCTCTTATCAAGAGTTCTCCATCATATTTCAAGAAATGTCATGATGATTTGATAAATAATCTTCTTGAAGGTATAAGATAGACAAAAAAAAATTAAAATCTTAAAACAGATCAATAATGATTTTTTATCAGCAAATATAATGACCTAATTTTAACTTAATCTCCTTTATTTTAAGAGTTTAAAACACCACATTGGTTTTTGAGATATACTATCCACTGTGGTAGTGGTATACTGACAATGGCAATGGCAATTTTTTATGCCATGTTTTTAGCTTCATTTATGAGTCATAATTTATGTTTTTCTGTGTTAAACTAAGCTATAAATGACAAGCTGATCTAAATATACACCTATATAGTTACCTTTTCTAAATCAACCAATAATATAAACAGGAGCATTACCACCAACAGTGCATTCAAAAATGAATACCTCTTCAGTTTTATATTACAACTGAATTATATAAGAGTGATAATGAAGTATAACAGCATTTAAGTTGCTTTTTTCTTTATCACACTAATTTGATTTTTATAATCATATGAAACTATTGTTGCTGTTATAGTTATATTAAATAAAAAACTAGACATTATGTTTCATATTCAATAACTTCTAAGCATTATTCTTAGTTAATTAAAAATAAATATTAATTCATCAATGATTTTTTTTTCATTAATAAATAACATAAATCAAGACTATACAGACTGAGGACCTGCTGTAAAATAAAAAAATAATAGCTAATTTGGCATATTTAATTAAACAATAATAATAATTCAGTTATGATCTTTTCAATATATAAAAAGTTTAAAATCTATATTGTAATAAGGTCATATTCATCCCAATTTCAATTAATATCAATAAATTTTCAAAACAAACTAGATTTACCTTCTAGCTAAGAAGCCTCGCACATAACGCTGCAAAGTATTAGTAGCTACTAAAGTGCGGGTATAACGCCTTCTGACAAGATACCCTCTCACTGTCTTCTGAATAATGATAACCACTTCCAAAAGTCTGTCAGACCTGAGGCGTTCTAGGTATGCAACTTGACCCGCACGGAAGAATATCTTTGTTGTTCCGAACTTGAACTTGTCATTGTCCTAAAAGAAAATAAGAGTTTAGGAAAAAAATAAACAGATAAAGAAGGAGGATATTATTACAGTCAATGAATGACCCAAAAGGGGATGTAGAGTGCGTGAGCTGGGATCTAAGCGATACCTTCAGAAACTTGTTCAGAGTGCATGGGGTATGAACATATCAAAGGTCTGACATCTAGCTTGAAAAATATGCATTCATGTTTTATTATTCTCCGAATATTCAGCTTTAATAAAATGCCAATTATGACAAAATTAAATCAAATTTTGAATCTCAGTGACCGAAAAAGTAACCCAAGTTAAAGTTGTCAATCAGCCATGTTGGACACCATTTTGGGACAGTGCGTTCACTTTCTTTTAATAAATAGTTGCAAGGAACACAATGATATGCAATTTATAGGATTCTGGAGTGTGGAGGGAGTGCACAGTAGGGGGTCTGGCCCACCGTGTACTACTACTGAGGGTGAAGATGCCATGGAGGAACAACCCTTGCCAAAACCCGCACGTTCAAGGTAGATGAAAACGTGAATCCATATAAAGTTGTGAGTGTAATATTAAGAAGTTATTGAGAATAGTGATAACAATGAGGTTTATAATTTTATATACATAATGTAACAAAATCCAATAAAATTATCATGAGACTTTTATTATATGCAAAATACAATATTAAATATTTGAAGTAACATGATTTTTTTCTACTTTATTTAATAATTGGATTTAAAATGTGACCACACATATTATTAGACATACAAACAAAATTTTAGGGTTAAGAATATGATAAAAAAAACTTTTTCTGAAAATGAGAATATTTTACGAATAATTTTAAAATAGCTGTAACTATAGACTGGTTGGAGATTAATTTACTTATTTATATATATTATAACCGGAAATTTTCTGAGCGTGTAGCTTAAAAACGGTTTAGAATTTGGATAAAACCTATAGAATAAAAGTTTTAGATAAATATTTTTCCTGGGATGGAACGTTTTTGAGATATAAGCAAAAATCCAAAAATTGTGACTTTTTCTCTCCCCTGGATCACCGCCTAGAGGTCAGGCCTTTGATATGTTCATACCTTAAACATCCTCAACGAGTTTCTGAAGAAATCGCTTAGGTCCCAGCTCACGCACTCTATGCCTCCTTTATTGACTGGACTGTATGGCATACAGTGGATTTATTGTTTAAAGTTGAAAAAATCTTGAAATGAAAACATTCTGTTGAAATATTAATTGCAATATATATCTTTTTAAAAAATAATAATGATATTTTAAATATAAAGGGGTACTATATAGAGTATACATTGAAATACTGAAAATAAAAGTAATATAACAAAATAACAATTAAGTGGCCTTATATCAAAGATGAACATCTGTAATTTTGAAAAAGTCAATTTTTGTAACATTGTAGCTTCAATTTAAACCAATTCTAATGTTTTTTTAATAATTAAACTTGAACATTCCTTGATAAAATCATCAGAAACAGTGTGAGTTGAACCTATAAAACAAAAATTGACTTTTTCTCTACTTTCTGAAAATGACAGATTCTGTCTTTGATTGGAGGCCACTCAATAGATAAATATACATTTATCTATTCTATACTTATTCTTTATCATATTTTATAATAACACAATTAATTAATACAAAAACACAAACTACACCTAATTGTTGATTAGATAGTCAAATTTTTAATAACTCCATACAGGAAAAGTTATCTGGATGATAATGTTATTTAAAAATATATATTGTGGATATCATGCTACAGAATAAACTGGCAATTATTATATTATAAATACGTAGTATGCTTGTAAGCTGAAAATTAATGTGTGCTGATTAATACAGAGTGATATTTTCTTTCCTAATCTGTTTTCTGACCCTTCCACAACAAAGAGAAAAAAAATCTAAATATAAAACTAGTTTTAAATATATCATTACATAAGAATAAACAACTTCGATAAATAATTTGTAAATATATTTTTTAATAAAATTGAAAAGATTAGTATTTGACAAACTCAAAGAGAAGACTATTTTTGAGATGAATTATTTCAAATAACAAGTTTCTACGTCAACTAAAGAGAATGCTTAAGAAAGGATTTAAGCAAAACATGAATATTTCATTACCTTAGGGTCAATCAAGGATCAAATTTTTTTTATAGCAGCCTACTTCTTCATCAATAGTTAAAAATTAAAATTCTTGGTATTCATCATAAAATAACCCATCATACTGATTAAATTTTTTCTTGGGAATAATAAATAAATTGGAGAAAAATAACAAACAACTTATTTTAATTTATTTACATTTTTATATATAGATAATTAGATATTAAAAAAAAATTGCTATTTTTCACCAATTCTATGAACCATCTATCTAAAGCTAAGGAAGTGTAAGAAGGGCCAGTACAACATTATAGTTCGCAGTACAGACCTCTTTTTATCAAATTATTAACATCCCACTAAAACTTCATGAATGACTTCATCTTATCGTAACTTAAAACTTTTTTATCTACAAAAATTGTCAGACAAACAGAATTTGTCAAAACAATGTTTTTTTCACTGTGTTGTCGCTTATAAACTAAACGACAATGCAACGACTATAGAAAAAGAATCATTCTTTGAAATGCTACAGCAAGAGGTGGGGGAATGTGAGGGCATATCCATTATAATGGGCGATCTCAGTGGCAGTGTGGGCAAAGACACAGGAAGATGGCAAGGAGCTCTCAGAAAATATGGTGAAAAAATGATCAACAACAATGGAGAGAAGATCCTCAACTTTTGTCTTGCGAGCACCATGATAATAGCATATAGCATTTTCCCACACAAACGTATACACCAGTATATGAGAATAGAGTGGGGTGAAATGAAAAATCCATCATTGATTATTTCATTATCCCAACAAAGGAAATAAAAAATACAATTAATGTTAGGGTCAGGAGGGAACCAGATATTGGCTGTGACCACAGGCTATTCAAAATGGAAATCGTCCTATGTAAGAAGCCACATAGAAGAGGAAGAAAAATAACGCAAAGCGGTTCTATAATAAACCCATATAAGTTGAAAAACCAAGAAGCTACCCAAGCTTATCAAAAGGCAATGGAAGAAAAAGCTGCTTACAGTAATTACCCTTGGGATTCTGATTATTATCTACAATTACACCTCTATATTTAGAGGTAAGCTGGAGCGCTTTCAAGAAAATAATATTGGAGGCTGCAGAAACATTGTGCAAAAAAAGTTGGGTAGGCTCAAGAGTCAAGCAAACACCCTGAAAGAATGAGGAAGTAAAAAGAAGAAACTAAGGTGGAAGCAATATCTTGGCTCTGATTCTAGAGCAGATTATAAGAAGTAAAAAGAACAATGGAAGAAAGTGAAAGAAATGGTCCTACAGTCCAATAAAAAGATAGCATGGGAAAACTTTGGAATAGAAATTTAAGGACAACCAACAGCTGTTCTATAGAACTTTAAGAAGAATGCAAAGAGTAAAGGAACCCACCATGAAACACATTAAAGTCAAACAGGGAAATATTCTGGAACCCCAAGAAGAAGTAATGGAGAGATGGGCAGAATATTTCAGAGAATTATTGGAATACGACAGGAAGAGGATGCCATTATTGAGGAAGAAGTTATAGATGCTATAAGCTCTCTGAAACTAGAACCAGCTTCAGGCATCGATTACATAACTCCAGAGATGATGAAATAACTCGGAGAAAGAGGCATAGAGATTTCTCAACACCTCTTGAATCTTATGTGGAAATATAAACAGATACGTAATGGTTGGGAAAAATTAGTTATAGTTCCCATCTTCGAAAAAGGGACAATAAAGAGTGCAAGAACCATAGAGGTATCTCTCTCCACAGCGTCCCAAGTAAAGTCTACTAAAAAATCATAAAGAATCACCTCAGAACAGCTATTGAACCACTTCTCGATGAAGCACAATACGGATTCAGACAAGGAGCTGTCAATATCTGATATTTACATTAAGACAGATTTCAGAGAAATTCATCAAGAGGAACAGGGAAGCGTAAGTCTATTTCATCTACCTGTCCAAAGCCTTCGACAGAGTTAATGTACTAGAAACATATCAGGTGTTTTAGGAAATGGGAGTAGATGTGGAACTAAGGCTAGCTATTCTAAGCCTACACAATAAACAGAGAAACGTAGTCAGAACCTGTCACCACATCTCAAAGTCCATATCCAGTATTTTGACATGTTGGTGTGGGAGATCATGCCACGGTCCAATATTTTTGTAGGCTACCTTTTTCTTGATAAAATTATCTTAAGATTCAAGTGGAAAGCAAATGGATATTCATGAGTTATTAGTACCTCATTAGATAGACAAAGTTTACCGTTCTCCAGATTGAAAAACTCCCATTTCAGAGGATTTTCATAAATAAAAAAGTTGTGTTATCATACAATGAAACCATTCATGATGTTTAGAAAGATGTTAATAATTTGATAAAAAGGAGTCTGTACCATCGGGTATTATATTTTCAAATGGCAGCACTTTAATAAGTTAAGCAAAATATAACTGAATACACACTGAGCATTGCTATGCAGCATTTATACTATGTAAAATATATAACAATAAGAATATGTTTGAAGAGAGTCAGAGAAATGGTTAATTCACACATTAATTATAATTGATGAAAAACATTTATAAAGTCATTAATTTGTCAAAAATACAGTCTCAAAAATATGAATGGCTTAGTTATCTATAATGATGATGATGAGGCAAGGATTCAAAATTCATGGGAGCAGGAGTGGACCAATTCCAGTAGTGACTTATTTCTTCTCATGAGGACGTGAGAAAAAAAATAATAATCTCACAAGCCAATGTTTATTTGTCATTAAAATTAAAAGTTAAAACAAAAAAACAAACAAAAAAATTGATGAATGGTAAATTTGGACCTTATAGTGAAATAAGGTATATATATAAACTTAATATCTAAATCCAGTGACTTCATAGATCTTAAATTTAAATTATTTTACTGAATGAAAAATATTTTAGATTATTATTAAGCCAAATCAGTATTGGACAACACCCTAAAAAATTTGATTGCCAAAGTATCCATTCTAAAATAATATTTCTTAGAACACTTTGCATTTTCCATTTTAAACATATAGCATTTTGTCCCTAAAATTCCCTCAAAAATTGCTTAACAGATAAGAAGAATGAAAGGACTAACAATCTGGGAAGGACAGAATATATTTTTATTATTATGGACTAATGGGGTTTCTAACATCAGTAAATTATTTAAGCTTTCAAAAGTAAAAAGGAAACATTCTTCGATTGCACAGCATACAATTTTATAATGGTTAATATTAATGTCAGACCAAAAGCAAAGACAAGGAAGACTTCGTCAGGCATGCACAGATATACAATAGAATGTGTGTAGAGCATGCAGCTTAATTTTGAAGAAGAACAGTCTGAACACAAACACAGAGACATTACCATACTATAATATAAATAAATAAATTTTATTTTTGAGAAGCACGGCCAGCACCAAAAATATGAAGCAAGATTCCAAATAAAGTCAGGGTCCAATAGAAAATCAACTCTTCTAAGCACACAGGAAACACCACTGGCTCAAGAGTAGACGTATGTTGGGGATGAGAAGCTGAAAATTCCAAAAACATTTACAAGGTATGGCCAAACATTGGTAGTTACCTTTACGAGAAACACAGATACATTTAGCAATATAAAAAAATGCAGAAAGAATGTTTTTATTTAAAAGGCTCTTTACACATTACTTATTATTACAATTATATATCAATAAATACATTTTTGAAGAGAACCTTAAAATAAAAAATAAAAAAATGCTATGAAAGTATTAGCTTTTATTTTCTAAAGAATAAAAAAAACTCACAATCAAAATCAGGCTTTCTTTATCAAAAATATTTTGATGTATAGTGTATAACAAATATAAAATGTGTGACCCAGTTTAGATCATTGTAAGTATACAGAAGGACAAAAATTTACCTTGATGATTTTGTTTAAAATTATATGACATGTACTTCGCATGTCATTCCAATTGATGTCTCCAGATCTACATAACACTCTATATCTTTTAAAAAAGTCACTATACAACCACCTGAAATATAAAAATGTAATAAATCAGTTATTAAATACAAAATGACTAATGTTACTTCAGGAAATCATGCTTTTAACAAGTTAGCTGCGGTTACGGTTCCCAGGGTCTGATATTCATCTTGACTGCCAAATGGCCGGGATTGTTTCGAATTTTGCCTATCTTACGAAGCCTCTAAAATCGTCATTTTCAAAAATACTTGAATGAGATTTGGATAGATGTACAGATATAAACATAAATAATTATTATATCTGATAAAAAGCTGTAGGACACCGGGGACCGATACTGTACTAGACTAATAAAAAACAATTATATGTAATAAATACACTTTTTCTCATTTCATTTTCAATATTTAAGATTTATATTTTTAAAAATAACACTTTTTTACAGAAATAAAGATAAATAATAAAAACTTGTCATATAAACGACATCGGACGTCGGAGTCCACTCCTACGATTGTTGGCCATTACTTAGGACACAATCAACAGATAGAGATACTGAATATGGAATTTAGTTTACCTCTGTTGTCAAGAGATAACGGTATACCTCAAAACTGGTGTATGTCTCCGGCGTCCGATGGTGTTAGGAACTTAATAACTAGTGTCAGTCGCCGGGGACCGATAATGTCGGGAAAGACATTTAAGAGATATCATGCTCAGCAGCTAGCATGTTAAAAATTGTAACACAAATTTTTTCCCAATATTTTGTTTAAAGTTTTTTCGATTCTTTTGTTACATTTGGCATTCCTGGATGTCAAATATAGTCATATATAACACGAAACAATATATTTTTCTCAATAAGTTTAAATTTCAAAAACAGTTTATTCAATTTGGCCTGAAGTTGGAGGAAATTTGGATAAATAGTGTATCAATGATCATATAACTTGGTCAATAACATCAATTTCATCACATTCCATTCGTCAAATTAATATAACTAACTGTAAAGAATATAATGGCTGTGAAATGTGGTAAGTAGTAGACATATTAAAAAAGAGGTTATATAAGTATTTGAACTGTATGTCTTTCTAAAGTAGAATGCATCTGATGTGACGTAACACTTATATTACTATCATAGATTTGATTTGATAAAATTTTTAGAGATTGCGAGGGTTGATTTATAATTAAATGGTTCAATATCATATAGAGCATATCATATAGAGCTTATCATATTTCACTTAGGCATGTGTGTTTTTTCCTATAGAAGCTATACTTCAAAATGGCTTCTCCTATTGATTTTATCATCAAACAACAAATCATAGACTTGGAAATATAGGAAACTAATTAAATAATCAATAGGTGAGGATGCTATACTGACCTTAATTAATACACTTTTTTAAAAAGTATTTTTAAATAAATAATTTCATACAAAAATTAATGTATTTTTCACGAGTGGTCCAGTACACTTGGCTATCATAAGGAGTTAATTAAAAAGGGAATATATCGAATGTAGGCGATGAAAATCTTGCAACTCTGACTGTCTATTTAAACCACATAACTCCAGTCTCGGAGCTCTATAGACAAAGATAACTCTATACTTCAAATCTATCAAAGTAAGTAAGGATTGCACATTTTTGTATATTTTAAAAAATAATTTTTTCTCTCGTAAAATTTAACAAAATGGAGTTATAAGGTTTTCATTGCCTGACATGCACATAATTTGTTTACATGTACATTACCGAGAGGGAAAACCAGCAGCTGAAATCCTAATTGTTTCTAAAACACCACATGCCCTCAGCTGTTGAACGACTCTCCCAGGATTATATTTAAAAGCAGCTTTTTCATCATTTGGTTTAATACATCGAATATAATGTGGCGTTGTTGCATTAAGTGTTCCCATAAGAGCATTCAAAGAGTCACGAAATTGAGAACCAACCTAAGAAAACAGAGATATCTTAATTATAAGATTATTTCAATTCTTAAGATTACCTATTTCATTTGGTCTAAAAACCTAAATGTTAAAAAATAAATTAGGGCTCATTTCTGTAAAATGTAAGCCAACTAAATCATGACAAAAAGCCAGATAAAATTAATGCAAAGTAAATAGAACAGTTAAATCATTGTTTGATAGATGAAGATGAACATTGCAGATATTAAAACAAAATAGTTTTTCTGTTTTATTTTACTGATACTCATTAAAAATATTATCTAATTATAAATAATATAAACTTACTGTTTTCTTGTTTTTAGAAACTTGAGGTGGAGGCATCTTTGATTGAACACTAACTCTAACACGAGGTTTCGGTACAGCCAATTTATTTTCTTTTTCACCTGGATCACTAAATAATCGGGATACAAGTCTGTTGGAGCTACTTTTAAATATCGTAACCTGAAAAAGTGAATGACATAATAATAAATAAAATATAAGTGTTTTACCAATAATTGAAAAGAAATTTTTTAATTTTTTTAGAACCATAATAATAAATTTAATAATACCAACCAATGGGCTGTTTTAGAATTTTTAATAATTACTAATAGTTGGCTTATGGGAATAATACACGTACAAAAACTGACAAAATAATAAAATAAAATAATGCAATGTGTCTGAAGATGGAAGAATCAATTCTTATTTTCTCAGCAATGGTGATAAATCAAGAAAAAGAAAATTATTTTAAACTTCATACATGTTTTACACCAACATTTTTACAAATTACAATAAATTGTATCTTTCCTAAAAAATGATCCGATTTCGATGATTTTTTTTTTTTTGTAGAGAATCTATTAATTTGTTTAAATAATTGTGGGTGTAATTGAGACAAAAATAAATTAAATAAATTTGATTTTCCTTCATAAGGATTTTTTTACAATTTAATACATGGGACATGAATCATTATTCCTACCTGAAGAAGAAAAAAATCTTCAAAATGAGTGCTCAATCATTGTATTTAATGAAGAATTAAGGGAAGATACGGCATCCAGACAAAAAAACAATTTTTATAAACATAAAGATAGCCTGTAACTTTTTTTTAAACACAATAAATCTCAATTAAAAAAAAATCGACTGTTAATTAAAAATTCAATTCAAATTCAATTGACAAACTTTTTTAAATTACAAAAATTATTTCAAATCATTAAACATTTTATTTAAATTACCAAACAATCAATATATATTTACCTGTTCTTCAATAACCGTGTCTCTATTTTTTTCAAGAAAACCAGTTACTTCATACTCAACTTTATCAGCAAAATGTTTGACAATAAAAGAACTCTTTCCTGAAAATTAAAAAATAAATATTAGTCTTGAAAATAAATTAAAAAATAAACTATTAGAAAAAAAAACAGAAAATTTTACCAAATCTCGGTTTAACAAAATGAGTCGATTTACTGCATTTTGCATATAATTTTTCAGCCCATGAATCATCAGAACCTTTAGGCATCTGTGAAAAAAATGCCATTTAATTGTTTTCTAATTCCATTAGCAAATGTTAAATAAATCATATTAATAATATTTATTACACGACACTCCTCATCTAGAAGATCTAGGACACCAAGTTTTGATTCGATTAGGTCGATACATGGTTGATTATCATAGAAATCTATAAATTTCCATTCTATGTTTTCCTTTAAATAATCTTCTTGTTCCAATTTAAAGACATGCTATAAAAGAACAGAAATAATAACAACAAACAAATAAAAAGCTGTTTAGTTTTTTTTACTTAAATCTTTTATCCATGTTCTTAAAAATAAAACTGAAACAGTATGAATAGGTAAAGTTTATTTATTTTAATTGTTTTTTACAATATATTGGACTTCCGTGAGGTTTATTTCTTCTTTTATAATCCTTTGGCATCCATTTAAAACCACATGTGGATAGGCAGCGTTTAAATAAATTTCAAATTTTAAATAATTTCATTTTAAATAAATTTCAAATTTTCTTTCTATCCCTTCTTGAATTATGAAATATGCATTATATATGTGAAACAAACTTCTGTTTCTAATTTTTCAAGTTGTTAAAGTTCCAATAGTTTAATATTTAAAATCAGTAGTCTTAGAAAACTTGAGAGAAACACGCTAAGACTCTGATGAGAGAAGCAGAGCAAATCAGCCTATAAGAAAATTAAGGTAAAACAAAATATATGATAATAAGCTGAAATTCTCACCCCAATAACAGGATATACGTAGAAGGGAAATCATTTCCAAGAATAGACCAATTCAAATACCTTGGATGCACTATAACCTAAATAAATGAACAACGGTCGAAAATAGACCAGGGTATAACATGCGCAAGCAGAGCTTTCTTCTCTATTTCAAAGGTATTTAAATCTCGAAACATCTCAAATCAAGGATGTACAATGCTATATATAAAGCCAGTTCTCATAGTATACACATATACGCTGTGAGACCAGGATCCGAGAAAGAAGCATAGAAAGATTTGAGAAAAAAATCCTCCACATGATAACTGGAGCCATCTAGGATCGAAATACTAACACCTGGAGGAAAAAGACCAATAAAGAGCTGCTTACAGAAACTGGTCAAAGGCCAGGCATGTAGCTCGGAATAATCTATCTGGAAGCCTGTACACAGCAATGAATGCCTCAATAGAAGACAAGGTCAGGTGAAAGGACAACAGCCAAGTGGATAGATAGAATAAACAAAGATGCAATAGAGCTGTGTGCAGATAACTGGAAAGAAATAGTCCAAGACAAGTAGAGATGGAGCAGGCTGATAAAGGCGGCAAAAGATCTACAAGATCTGTAATACCATATTCTTTTTTTTTTTTTTAATTATTGGCAGTTATGAAACAGAAACGAATCAAATACTTATTTTCTATGCTGTTTCTGCAACTTGTTTACACTCTTACAACTTCAAAGTTAAAGAAGGCATGAATTAATTTCTGAAGTGATATTCTGAAGTGATACCCAAATCTTTAAGTAGAGTTATACATCAGTGTTAATATGTTATAAAATTCAACAGAGCTAGCAGAAAAAATTAATTTTATCAACTAATATAACTTGTAATATAAAGCATACTTATAAGAGTTAAAAACTTATAAAATAGGATTAAATGTAAAAGTTTCACAATATTTTGAAAATAAAAAATAAATAATGCTTATTTGAATATTAATGCAAATTAAAAACTATTTACCATATTGAATTGCTGTTGAAGTTTTTCATTAGCATAATTAATGCAAAACTGTTCAAATGAGTTTACATCAAATGTTTCGAAACCATATATGTCTAGAACCCCAATGAATTTAGACTTAGATTCAGTTGAAATATTTAGGGCTTTGTTAATCAAAAAAACAATCCACGTGAAAAGTTGAGCATAGATATGCTTAGCCAATGCATCGCGAGCTCCACTGGCCTAAAACAATTACAGAAGAAAACAAATAATTATAGGAAAATTATTTTAGACAGTAATTTAAAAAAAAAAAAAACAGTAAAATAAGTACCTCGGGAACAGACATGGGTTTATTGAATGTTTCTCTTGTGCTTACAATTTTCCTATGACACAGGCAATGCTTTAATTCAGAAACATCAACACCTAATAAATCGCAGAAAATCATCAGATTCGGATTATTTTCCTAAAATGTATAAATATAATTTCAAATATCATCACAATGAATAAAAAACAAAAAACAAATATAAATATAATAAGAATTATTTTATTATAAAAAATGGTTGTACAATACATAAACTTTTTAAGTGTGAAAGAGTTTTCCATGAATTTTAATATTTTATTTCAAGTTTCATTTTTTTTGTTTTTGTCTTATATTTTTCTTTTCTTTTTACATTGTATTATATATATATATGGTATGGGTATCAAACAGCTTTAATAACCTAATGCCCTTAAATGTGCCCAAATTTATTATTTCTTGATAAAAAGATATTTAAAAAAAAAATATATATATATATATATATATATATATATATATATGTAGAGTTTGGTTAACAATTAGAGTCCCCCCTCCCTATATACATACATACATAAACATGTTACACCAAGTTTATATAAAGATAACAAAAGTTAAAAATAAAGATAACCTGAATGCAAGAAGCATCTTCATTTGAGTTAGGCTGAAAAACAATATTCCCAAGATGAAGAACAGCAGCCAAAACAGCAAATATGTCTGATATTTCAGAACTAGAAAAACCCAGAGTAGAAAAAGCAGATATTGTTTCTTCGTACGCTTTTCCATCATCTACAGAAGGTATTATACAGTCTGGATCACATAAATAATTATATTCTGCAGCTTCCCCTAAGACAACAACATTGTTTGTTTTCTACATAAAATTTTTTTATAGAAAAATTATAAATAAAAAAAAATTAAAATTAGATTTCTTTGTATTGGGAAAAAAAGATAAAATGGTATAAAAGTAGAATTATAAATGAAAAAATATAATTAACATTAAAAGGTTGAATTTCAGAGAGTGCATAATTAGATTACAAAAAAAAAAAAAATAAAAAAAAATTGTATTCTAAAGATATATTTTTACCAAGAATTTAAATGAATAATATTGATAATTATATGTAAATTATTAGTAAGAAGACGAGATTGATTGCGATAAAGCATAATAATATTTTTAAAATTAAGTTACATATTCTTGATACAAATGCTAACTATGTAATATGAATATATGAAAATTTTTTAATCCTGTACTCTAGCAATTGTAATTGTGTAATTAAATATTTTTAAAGAGAGAATACCAAATCTTCAAACATTCATAAATGCACTTATTAATGTGGAACTTAAAACATCCTCGTTGTCTGGGCTGAATTGATAATGAGATTTGAGTGGTGATTATCAGATTTGAAAGTAAGCATTTATATCGACGATACATCTTTTCTATGTATATCTATTAGTTTTTAAGGAAACAGAACCAATGCACAATGGTTGTTTATTGAGAATAAAACCAGAAATATTAAATTATTATGAACGAAAATCAAATTAATTATTATTCACAGATATTCTACAAACTTGATCAACCTGCCTATTTTTTTATTTTTAATCCATATAACGGGCAAAATATAAGGAGGGAGACCAAGAGGAATACTAAGAAAAACCTAAAAGGAAGGAGTCGAGGAAGCTTGCAAGAAGAAGCACATAAACTGGAGGTAAAGAAGAGGATCAGGCTCGCAGGGGAGTGCAGTAACAAGGCTAGATTAAGAAGAACATACAAAGCTTAACATTGAATTCTAATTCAATCACCATCAAATTTTCATATAAACAAAAATGTAAATATAATTAAATAAAATTATAGTAACAACTACTGGATTTAAAACCATTAAAATAATTTATAATAATTTTTTCAATGTTAGAATTACCTAAAGAAAGCTGAGGTAATTTTTTTCGAGTAGCACACATTTGATAAAATATATGATAATTTCTTTCTCCAGATGACTGGAAAACTACTCGAGATTTTTCTAGGAGGTAAGTTCTCATACTTGCTCCAACAATCCTGTATTTACTGGAGAATTGTAATTCTATAAATTTACCAAATCTAGAACTATTGTCATTTCGTATTGTCTTAGCATTACCAATAGCCTTAAGAAAAAAAAAAATTAAAATGAATTAGAAGTTTGTAAATACATATACTGCAATATTTATTGATCTGAGAAAAGAAACTCACCTCCATTATAGGACTAGAAGCAAGGACCTTTCGTTCAACTTGTGTTTCTGTAGCCGAACCTCCCACTGTTGCAAAATATCTCATAGCATATTTGGCTGTAACGGTCTTTCCTGCACCAGATTCTCCAGATATAATAATACTTTGATCAGTCTGTTCTCTAACAGAAACAATTGATTCAGAAAGATGAAAAAATCCTACATCAATTAAATTTAATCATTCATCAATAATTTATACTGAATAAAATATATTTAATATAATAACTGTAAATCAAACTTTCATTATACATTGAAACATTGGGATAAAATATGATTTCAAGAACTGAGAGCAAGTGATAAAATCTTAGTAGTTGCATGAGAAATCTTAATTATGAACTTCTCAGCAGAGAAAGGGGAGAAATCAAGGCAATCCAAAACATGAAATATTGAAGGAAATAGGAATCATATCCATTCAATATTATAAATAGAGATGTCAAGATCAATATTGTATACACACAGCAAGTATATAAACTCATAACACTGTCAATGGTTACTTATTGTTTAATTATTTATTGAAGAAATACTGTAAAGCTTGGTTAATTCTAAGACTAATAGAGCTCAAAAGTTGAACTTATGCACGTTTCGGATTCCCAAAAATCTAAAAAATGATGTCGGCTGCAACTAATTAGATTCTGAAGATTTCTCTTCCCTGCATTCTCAAACGATTTGTAAACTATATTAATATTTTTAAAGTGTTTTTTTTTTTTTTTTTTTACAGGCCTTAGTGATTTTGCTGGTCCCCACCAATCTATATCTGCTTCAGAACTCCCGCTAAGTAAATTTTGAAACTGAAAGAAAGATGGACAACGTATCATTGCCTAATGATACCTAATTTGGAAAGGATCTGACAAGGCTTTCCTAGATTCAGGCCTGTTCAATAAATACCAGAACCAAGAACATAAAAACTTTCTCTAATGATAATTTATTATCTTATCTCCTTCAAAATACTTATTATTTGTAGTAATAAACATGTACAAATTTATTTTCAGTTAGCAAATCATCTTCGAAAATACTCAGGATCCATTGCTGCTTGTATTTTAATTTCAATAACTTTATCTAGTTCCAACAAACTACTTTTCAATTTAGAAACAAAATGCAATAATAGATGGAAAGTCTGAAAGGTTGACAATTCAATGTTTACCTGTACCACAATTTTTAACAAGGCATTAATTATTTTTTTCCCCATGCTTCTTGACTTTCGGCTTCTGCCATATCTTCTAGCAGCTTGGGCTGTAATAGGCGACAGCTATGGTCGTTTGGTTCTTTTCAAGTGTTTAGTTCTCTTGAAGGTATCCCAGAAGAGCACATGATTTATAATAATAATGGGACGCGAACATAATCACTTCCTCTTCAACAGGCACTTTCCTGAAAGATGGTGGCCAATTTTTCGTAGAAATCTCCACCCTGCTTGATGTAACTACTGAGGTCCTCAAACCCGCTTTGTCCTTTGTTATAGATGAGGGCACTTTGCTTGGTATGGATCAACTTCTTTTTGCTCATTTTAGTATATTTTTCATTTTTGGCAGTAAGTGGTATATTTCACGGTCATATATTTCCTTTTGAAAAATAGCTGAATATTTAACAGTGACATTTATTTCATAACATGAGATTGATACTTACTGCTCAGAATCGACAAATAGCAAAACTTGATTTGGATTACATAACTTAAAACAACTTTTAACTAAGGAATTAATGTAAAAGATGGTTTAATAACAAAGTTAAAGATGTGATTGGCACTGCATGATTAAAACTGCTAGATTTTCACTAACCTTAATTTAAAAATTCTTTTAAATACTAAGCATAAATATAATGGAAATATTTACCTTTCCATTTTGGTGTATGCTTCCTCTGCAACTGCAAAAATATGAGGATCCAGATCACCCATTGCTTGCCCTCTATACGCCCAAATTGTATCTGGTCCATATATAGACATTTCTTTAAAAGGATTAATGGCAACGAGCACAATACCTATAAAGTATACACTCTTAAAATTTCAAAACAAATCCAATGCATAACATTTTAAAACATTCATGAAAAATTTCTATAAATATAAATGATCAAAATTCAGTACATTTAAATAATAGCTCACGATAGATGTCAACAAGGCTAGTATTGTAGCTTAAATATTTACATATTCCACTTCTAAATTTAAATTTATCCATATTTATATATATCTTTAAGGTCAACTGAAAGATCACTAGATCTTTAAGAAACGTACGTACAAAGTTATAATGATATCGGCTGAGTCTTTAAGAACTTTGATTAACCCGGGTTCAATCATGCAGGTACTTGATTACCGGTGATTTCTCTCTCAATCTTTTCTTATTTACTTTCCAGTGATACATTTAAATATTATAACATTCAAATGTACCTGCAAGATAAAGGAATAAATGTATCGTCATCATTTCAGATAAGTAATTTGAATGAATCTCTGGAGTTTTAGACTCTTAAGAAGAACCTTCCTATTAATGGTTTCTAAATTAAATGAAAATCTTTTACTATTGTTTTTGATCTTAATATTTTACTTCAGTGTTGTTCAAAAGTTCAAATCGCATTGAAAAAGTTTGAAAAACGGTAGTGCCATGTTTTGTCTCTAGTGAAAAAATTGCAATTATAAATGATGTTGGTGTTAAGGTTAATTATCTGAATATTGGTCGTTAGATCTATGTTATATGTTATAAATTATAAATATACTCATATTTTGTATTAATATTTTTTTTTATACATAGACACATTTATTCTGACCAAAATAAATTTATTTACATTGTAATTTTTTTTTTTTTTTTTTTTTTTTTTTTTTTTTTTTTTTTGTCGTCCACCTCTTCCAAACCTTTTAGGCTATACTGGGATTTTCCTGGCCATTATTTATTCATTTTGAACTTCAGTTTATGAGGTTGTCAGGCAACACGTGTTTGGCACAATCTCTGCTCTGCTGACCCACCCCACCCCACTTAATATTATATATTACGATTTTTCTTTCATCCTCACCAAACATTAGTAAACATATACAAAAAATATATTATTCAAGGTTTTCGATTATTCTTATTCCTCCCAATCATTAACCCAGATAATCAAGATTTCACTGTATTGAAGTAACTAGAGCATTTCAATTTTATTATCCTAAAAGCAATACTTGTTGAATCTACTCTCTAAATTCCTTCTGGTCATAAATGAATAGACTTTTTATATTCATGATTCTTTCTCAATTTATTCCAATTTTTTATTATGACAAAAACTGCGATAATGATGAAAATCAACAAAGCTGCGAAAAATTAAAAATACTTTAAACTACTGAATTTATACCGATTTTTTATGACGAAAATACTGAGACCGCAATAATGACGAAAAAGGCGAAAATTATGATTAATTTAAAAATCATTTAAACTACTGAATTTATTCTATTATTTTTATAATGGCAAAAACGACGTAAATGGTGTAAATAGCGAAATAGCAGAAAATTGGAAAATTGTGAAACCGCTAAAATATATAATCTAGAAAAGAAACATCTTATTTATATTGTCACAAAAGGACAAAAAGGACAACAAAAAAAAATCCTGTACAATTCCCAGTTTTCTGGAACTATCCGGATGTTGCCAAACTCTGTTACGTTAATTAAGGCCACTTCATAACTGCCCCAAAGTTATAAAAACTCCACCACAGACACCAGATCTTAATGCGATATATCTGTGGGAAAGATATATAGATAGGAAAGATGCGATATATTGGAGGTAGAAATTAGAAAACGCGAATAAAACATATCTTCTTGAATATATTGAATTATTGAGATTCTGTTGAAGAGTTTCTGGTACAATATGATTTAGCAATTTGAAAAGAAATCTTAAAGGAAAGAAAAACACAAGAAAAAAAAATTTAAGTACATCGGATATAAGTAAAATCAAATTTAATTTATACTGATTGTTAATTTGAATAACTATGAGCATAATTGATACTTAATTATAAGTAACATTACTTCACATTTACTAGATGTATTTTTATATTAATGCAGTTGTAAATATACCAAATAAAAAATAAATTATGAGTGAAATTCAATTATCTTAAAAAAATAATTTGCTGGAAATAAGAGACTTTTTGATAAAATAAATATCCGATTGACTAAAAATTGTATCAAACATAAATCTTAGTAATAAATCACTTGATTCAATAATTATTACATACCACAATATGTGTAAAAAGCATTATGACGACAAAACCTGATTTCCAGGTTATGAAGAACGGCGGGTTCGTGAAGGTAAGATAAGGATGTGAGATCATTTTCACCGATCAGAATATCAGGATTCCTAAGTGGAGGAAGCTCGTCATCATTGCGGATTGTTAATTCTTTTACCTGTTTCAAACAAATGGAATGACTGAATAATAATTCTAAATACATATTTCTTAAATCACAAAAGCAATAAATTTATTGATGCACTTTGTAGATAGTAAACTAAAATAACAGATGTAATTATTTATTTACCAGTTTAATGTCATATTTGAAAAAAAAAAAAAAAAAAAGAAGCTAACTTAAACAAAAATTAACAAAAAATAGTAGTAATAATAATATTAGAAAACAGGTAGTTTATTGATTCCAGATGCATAGATACCAAGTTTTAATAAGTTGTTACTTTCATAAAAAACATTTTTCCATTTTAATTTGTTAAACTTAATTTAAAAACAAATTAATCAATCCATTAAATAATTATAATGCTTTCAGTTACAATGGTCAATGCTGAGCTGCATTTTGAACATTTCACAAAAGTTTATGATTCTGTGGACAGAAATTGTATTGGAAAGATCATGAGCAAGCTGGGGAGCTCAAGGAAAATTTACAAGAGAACAGAGGAAATATATCAAACAGTAAATTAAAATAAAACAAAATACATAAATAGTAAGCCGAAAAATCTATGCCAACAACATTGAAGAGACATTGTTCACAAAAGTAGATTCAAATAGCTTGGCTCCACAATAACCTCAATAAATGATCACTGGTCAGAAATATAACAGTGTACAGAAATAAGAGGTATTGAAATCTCAAATTAAGGGTGTAGAATGCTATGACAAAGCCAGTTCTGATATGCGATAGTGAGATTCGAGTACTAATCAACACCCTAGAAAGAAATATTGAAAGATTTGTTAGGAAAATGCTACTGATATAACTGGGGTGATCTTGGATTATAGTACTAATGTATAGAGAAGGAGCTACAAAGGAATACTTACAGTAACTCTGGGTGAAGATTGAGATGGATACGGATCGATCCATCAGGGAGCCGTTCCACAATAATGAATGCCTCAATAATAGGCAAGAGACCAACCAGGTGGATAGATTAAATCAACCAAGATGCTGCAAAGCTGCATGCGGAATACTAGAAAGCAATAGTCCGAGATATTCAGAGGTGGAGAAAGAAGTCTTGTTAATGGGGCAAAAGATTTACAAAATCAATAATGTTATCAAGAAAAGTTAAAGCTGTAAAGCTAAAAAGAAAAAAAAAGCCAACTTAGAGAAAAAACTAACTTGGATCCAAAGTTTTCCACAAACTTTCAGTTCCAATGAGCAATAAAAATAAATGAATAGTATGAAATCTGCTTAGACACTTTATTTCACCAATAGTAGCATAACTCGACAGACGGAATTTTCCATTGCGTATGTGTTGCTTGTATATGTACATATATATATATATATATATATATATATACATATATGTACATATATATATATATATATATATATATATATATATATATATATATATATATATATTTTAATGTATAATTTTTTTTAGAAGTACAATAAACACGTTTTCATTCATAGTAGAATAACTCAGGAGGAACTAGAGGACAAACACAACCTCCGGCAAGAATACTCCGGAGCAGTGTAAATTTGATTTTCACCAGTAACAGTTAATATTTATTCTATAATAGACCTGTTAAATGAATCTTGATGCTCTCTCTCTGGTTAGAACTTGATGGCAACCTCTAGTTAGGTTCAGAGATGGGCAAAAAGAATCATAATGGACCATTTTACCACACTGTCAGCTCCTGGAAGTGTCTTTATTATCCTGAAAAGCCGCCACTCCTGCAGTGGAACAACCTTTTCATGTAGAATTACAAGGATTCCCTCTTTTAAATTTTCCCTGTCAATAAACTACTTGTTGCGAGACACCAGATTGTTGAGGTAATCAGTATACCATCTCTTTCAAAAATTATGAAAAGTCTTGGAAATCATCTTCCAATGGCTTGTCAAAAGAAAAACAGGTGCGTCTTCTTGTTCTGGTCTGGCTAGGAGGAGTTGACCTATAAGAAAGTGTCCTGGGGTGAGGTAATCCAGGTTATCCGAAGGCTGACTGCTAATATTACAGATAAGACGGGAATCGAGAACAGCTTCAACTCGTACCATAACAGTATACAATTCCACATATGTCAATGCATGATCCTGGAGAACGGCAAGAAGGCGTGTCTTAACAGATTTAATAGCTGTCTCCCAAATACCACCAAAACGAGGAGATGCTGCAGGAGTAACGGTCTACTTTATACCTGTTCGACTTAAATGGTTAGAAATGGTTTCACACTAGCCCTTAAAAAATTGATAAAGCAACTTCCTGCGTGCGTCTGAAAAGGTGATTAGTTGCATGGATGATGCGTTCTGGCTGATAATAAGCAGGCAAATATTTTTCAAGTTCGGAAATTCTTCAAGGAAAACCTTCCACAATGAAGACACACTAGAGGGCAACTCATCATCCTAATCAACCTTAAGCAGCAATTAATGTAATAGACATTCAACGGAAAAAAATTACTGGACTAATATATCCATTTATATCGAAAATTTTGGCAATGAAGGATAGAATATATCGCTTATTAAAAATAGACTCACTTTTCTGTACTGAATACATAAAATGATCAAGTTTAGGATCCCAAAACCTTGACAGTCAAGGAATCTCCATCCAGGCACAACAGAACTTGACTACCCTCGGGTTTAACAGAAAGTACTTTTTCAGAATTGGTGGAGAACTTTCTGAGTTAAAACCCACCTGCTCCAAATAAGGCTATCAACTCATTATACAGATTCAGAGCCTCATCACCATTGTGAGCACCAGTGATTGCGTTGTCTACATAAATCTGGTCATGACACTGGGCAGCTTTAGGAAAATTAAGGCCTTCTTCCCGAAATAACTGTAGAATGACTCTCTGAGCAATAAAGGGAGAACGTTTCAACCCAAATGGCATGGTAATCAACTAATACTCCTGGATCGGCTGTGAAGATTCACTTCTCCAAAAAAAAACGTGATAAGTTTTGGTTAGTTTCGGCAATGCGCATATACCTAAACATCATTTTTACATCGCATGTTAAGGCCACAGGAAAGAATCTAAAATGGTCTTTAAGTTCAGCAATATCAGTCTGGAGCTGCAGACAGGTCAAAAGCAAATCATTGAGTGAGTTCCCTCCCACCATGTTCTCCGAACTGTTAAATATGACTTTGTTGTGGAAGAAAACTTAATAACTCCGTGATGGGTCATGAAGTATGGACTAGTGAGGCAGACATGATTCACTCTTACATATTCGTCCATCTGTGCAGCATAGGCAGACTTATACTCCGGATCCCTCATAAATCTACTAACCAGATTGCTAAATCTGCGTAGAGCTCATATAACTTTTTAGAAAATTAAATTAGTGAATAATTTGATAAGTTTTCCCTTTGCGATATTACAACAGTATCCACTACCACTAGAAGAAGCGAAATATAGCTATCTCTCTAGTGGAATCAAGGCTAATCGGCTGGCCAGAACTGAACGGAAGCGAAACAAGAAATCTACCCTGAAGATCACGAGGGCATATATTTATAAAGTGATCTACGCAAAATGCATCTTCAGGAATTGGTGGAATCAAAACTGTGACTTCTTCAGTTTCCCAAAATCGCTTTAATTCCTCCTGTAAGGGCTGTCTGTATGAAAAGAGTACATACTGAAGGTATAGAGCTTTGGCTTTCCGAGAGGGTGTCTCCAAATAATACCCATCCTAATGAGATATGAATAGCTTTTGGTTGACCCTTAAGAAATAAAACAGGATCACATAAAACCTCACCACTCCGCACCCAGAAGCAGATCAACTTTTCTCAGCATATGAAATTGAGGGTTCTATTGAAATATCCGCAAGTTCTATTGAAGCAAATTTATTCTTTACTTCTTGGAACACGGCAAATGAAGGCTAACTTCCACTAATGTAGGGCAATACTCCGGCTGAAAACTCAAATGTATTGCTATTTCTCGTTGAACCCAACTTCACATTAACCTCAGCTGAAGATGAAGATATGGAGATATTACCTACTCCAGACACTACAAGAGGACTAACCTGGGAACGAAGGCACAACTTTTTCATTAGATCAGTGGTAATTAAATTAATTTGGGAACCTGGATCTATCACCATTCTGCATGATTACCATGAACCTCAACTTGAACAAATTCCTCTTAGGCAGTACCCAGAAGCACCTGTGAGTTGGTGGTAGCATGGCAAGAAACTGCACAAGACTTGTTTATTATTTGAGACTGAGAGGACTCAGTGTTTGCAGCCTAAAGTAACATCGTATGGTGCCTCTTTTTGCCGCAAACTTGGCAACAGCCTTTACTTTAGCAATTCGGCAAGCAATGAGGTTCCGTACAGGAAAAGCATAAATCAGACTTCTTCATAAATCAGACTAAGCAGGTCATAACAACCATTAACATCGGCATCCAGAAACTGAGGGCAATTTATGATTTTATGGCTTGATTTACAGACTGGGAATTTTAACTTAAATTTCTGCTTATCCGGTCTATTGTGATTGTTGGTTAAAAATGGTTTGCTGAACTTTAGGCTGGGTGGTTTTGGATGTAGAAGGCTCAGAACACATTTCTGTGACTTTAAGTTGTGACCTAACAAATTTGCAAAATTCTTCAAAGTTAGGAACTGTCTCTTCGCTGAAACTATTCTTCTTGTATAGGGGTCAACATTCAGTCCGAGATGCAGCAAAACAAAATCAGCAAGGTTTAAGATTTTTTAAGGCATTATAATTATCTTCAGATGTATCCAGAAAGCTTCTAAAGTTTGAAGAATTACCAACAGAAACTGGTTTAAACAGTATAATTTTGTTAAGATGGTAGGCTGCAATGATCCTTTTATTACTATAACACTTTACTAATTTATCATCGGCCAATACTAATTTTCCGTAATACATTCAATTGAAGAAACGACCTGTGAAGCAGGATGAACTAAAAGTGACTTGATATATGGAAATTTTACTATATCTGTGTACTTTCGATGATAAATTAAGGCATCAAAAAATTATTTAAATGAAGCAAATATTTCGTACTGTCCAGAAAATTGAGAAATTTGTAAATCTGGCAATTTAGGATACGCTACTGGTTCAGACATTGAGAGGCGGGAACTATGTGCTCAGCTTCAATTAATTTCTCATGCGCAACTTTTTATCTTATAATAATGTTCCTCCACTGCTAAAGAAGGTGCATTTATTTCTATCCTATGTTCCTCCTCTAACGATTTATTTCGATCCGAAATCTTGTTCAATACGGCTTCAAATTCCTTCAGTTGTACTTTAATTTCTGAAGCCCTAACCATAAAAATTTCTTATCTAGCAGAGACTCTTAATAATATCAAAAGTGGTTTGAATTCCAAGAAACATACTTTCCTGTCTATCATTTATAGCTTTAAGTCCCTCAGTACTCTTAGTCGGCCCCATCTTCAAAGTTGTTAAAAAAAAAAAAAAATTAAAGTTCAGCAAAGCAGGCCAAGACAAGCAAGGATTAACATAAGTATTAACGAAGTCACTTAATTCCAGCAAGTCACTATGTGTTCTTTCCTGGAAACAGCCTGACTTCCCCAAATAAGTAACGAAAGCATTAGGTATATTAGATAAGATATATGTAAAAAAAAAAAAAACGAATTAATAGGCAAAATACGAATATTAGCCCAGAAATATAAGATTTAAAAAAAAAAAAAATTTTTATTACCCTGCTGCTCCCAAATACGCAACAAAGCAATAAACGACATAAGTTATATTTAAACAAAATGACAAATTAACAGGCGAAATAGGACTATTAGCCAAGAATTATGCAATTTTTACAAAAAAAATCAATTTTTATTACTCTGGCGCCCCCAAATAAGCAACAAAGCAATAATTGACATAAGATATATTTTTATAAAACAATTAATTGATATGCGAAATACGAATAGCAATTTTCCTCCTTTATATATGGGCCAAAGAAAGGGATGATCACTAATCCAACAAAAAGCAAAACATTATTTTCACAATACATGGAATAAGATAACAAGCAGGGGATTACTAAGAATGATATGGAAAAACTCTTTAATTGCATTTTTTCTTTCTCTATAGTAGTCACTATATGGATTAAAAGGCTCCACCATCTTAGATAAAGAAAGAATAGCATAGAGATACTCATGGACACTGGCTGTAAAACTGTGCGGTTGTATGGGGGGGGGGGCCAAAAGTAAGAAAGTAAATCAAATCAGAAATGTACCAGAAGAAGGCTAATTTAAGCTCTGAGATACAACTAGTTGGTCAGCCAAGATAAACTTAATGTTTAACATTAATTTTAATTAAACAAATCAAGTTATGTTTTGTTTTTTAATCCATGAGTTATGAGCATATCAGTTTTTTCTAAAGAAATATAGGCCAGAAATGGTGTTACAAAAATCTTCCATTTTTTTAAATAAATAAGCTTTGTTTTAATAGGAATGAATTCAAAACTCATAATACAAGATCAAATAATTTTAAAATATTGACTTTGTTGTTTTAGATTAAACAAGAATTTTTTAAATGAGGAATATAATATAATTATCTATGTAGTGAAAAATATAGTTTTCAAACTGAATATAAAAGAAGTTGTATTATTGATTATATTGAAATCAGTGATTAAAGTTAGAAAATGCAATATGAAAATATAGATTACCTCCCCATCTTCAGTTATCAATCTGATTATATCTTTTACATAATTCTCAGTAACTCTTGCACCATTCCACACCTTCTGGGAATGAGGGATCCACACTCTAGCTCCCTAAAAATAGATTTAAAGATTAATGAAATAAATAACCAATAGGGCTATTTTATAGAAACATATATTTACACAAAAACAAGGTTAATAGATAAATAGATATTAATTAAGGAACATATATCTCATCCAATGAGAAAATAGTATCTAAAGTTAATAAGTGTACTTCAGAGCTCAATAGGTATTCCAAAAATGTAACTTTACCACCACTATGATAAATTCCGAAAGAAACTATTGAATAAGTTTGGGAGTTTTACGATATATTCAGAAATAAAATTGATTAAATATATCTAAAAGGTTATAAAATACGACCAAATTAAATAATTAAGGAGATGGAACACACATAAAAAAAAAAAAAAAGAAGAAGAAATAATAATGAAGGCTAAATATCTTCTGAAATTATATTCTGAGTTATCATAAGAGGATAAAAATCATTTTTGGAAGACATTCAAAGAAACTATCTATTTTTGGATCATTTAAAGACTTTTTTACCCACAAAGTATATTTAAAACATAGTAGAAAGAGTTGAAGTAAAGCCCTGGACTAATCACATGATTTTAAATATAAAACACTTCTTTTCTTTTCTTCCTTTGTTCAGAAAAAAAGTTCTGATGATGGGAACAAATCCTTGAAGTGTCAAAATTGTGTAAAATATGAAAACGTAGTTGTAGTTCTGATCAATGTTTCAATATTAATATTACTTTTTATAATGAATTACTTTCTAGCTTCAAAAATGAGGGTGACAGTAGGAGATTTAACAATAATTTTCATTAGTAATGCTCTAGATTATAAGCCATCTAACATATCATTAAAAATATATTTATACATACAGAAAAAAACTGAGTATTAAGATATAGTCATTCTCAGATAAAAAGATAATCCAATTTTTATATATTTTTATAATTACAACCAATTAACTAATAATGGAGTGGAAAATATGTAATAGTAAAGAAAAAAACAAAGGTTCATTAAATATCTTACAGAATTATATTCTAAGCTATGCTCAGGGGCTAATAACCATTTTTCAAAACGATTCTTGTAGAAAATATCTGACTCTGGACCATAAAAACACTGTTTCACCCAAAAAAAATTTGGGAATTCCAGATCCATAGTTTTAAGGTATCTTTAAACATTATATACTGTGAGAAAGTCAAATTCTGAACAAATCATATGATTTTTAAAACAATGAGGTATTTTTAACAAGGAGTTATTTTCCAATACTAATAACTTGCATACACCAAAAAGAAGGGAGAAAAAGTTATCGAAATCAGGATAATTATTTTATTGATAATACAAGAGAGAATATTTTCTATTAGTATGACCATTAAATAAGAACTACCATTTTTTAAACAATTATAAATCCAAGTGTTCCCATAGATAAATAAATATTTATTGAACTTGTGAATCATAGAAAAATAAAAATAAAACAGAAAAAAACACATGATTCTAAATAAGTAATCTAACAAACATATCTTGCATTTAATTGTGAACTAAATCATATGTTTTCTATAAATTAAATGTAAAAAACAAAACAAGTTAGCTTAATGCAATGATTTCAGTCCAGGAAAAGATGTAAAGAACATTTACAGCTGTTCTTAATTTGTTGAGCGTAAGTTATTCTTATTAATTAAAATAAAAGTATAATTTGGAGGACCACTTTAATAACTAATTTTAGAAGATCTGTTTTGTAAAAATTATATGTTACATAATTGTATAGAGCTTAGAGAAAAATATAAAAAACATTTTTATAATATCATTTAAATCATAAAAAAAGACCATTATTAAGCTTGAATTATTGACAAGTAATAAATGGTATATTAAAGCAATAGAGTAATAAATTGATCAAAAGCGAATAGCAATTCCATTACAAAATATAGATATAAACTAACAATTTTTGACATTATAGCATTTTCTGTTGTAAGAAAACATTTAGAATGTTAAATATTAATAACAATATTTTACTTTCTCAACAGTCATTAACCATAACTTAACATCAACAGTATTATTTAAGAAAACAATAATAATAAATATCCTACAGATTCTTCACACATACTATTTAGTCTTGTTTTATAAAATTTAATTTACAAAAAAAAGAAAAAAATACTATTCAATTTGATCCAGTTGAAATCATTCTTTAGGTCAAAGTGCTTCAATTATTTAAAGATTGCACTAAAATCAGAACTTATGGACGATCTAATTTTTAAAAGTTAATAATATTTCTAGTTAACCACATTTAGCTCGAACTGGTATTAACGGACTTTTCTGACTTATGTAAAAGAAACATAATTTTTAAATTTGTCTAAAAAAGATATTTAAGCCAGAAATTAATTTATTACAAACTTATTATATCATTTTGTCAACTTAAAATGTTCTGCTTAGTGATATTGTGGTTAATATAAATGTAATAGTAATAATCTAAAACTATTTCATAAAGGAATTTATGTTTGTTATATAACATTATTTTTATTTTTTATTTTCTTAGCTTGAAATATTCTCATTACTTTTATTGGGCTAATAAATTTTATAGTAACAATTAAAAAACAATATATTCAATTAATTGTCCCTGTATTGAGCATGTTTATCACTATTTTTCATTAACTCAAGAATTAGGAAGGAAGTTTTAGTTTTATAAACAACTTTTACATCAGATCAAACAAAATTTATTTGAAAAGATTGTACCAGCAGTTAGCTGAGACTACAGAGTTACAGTGGTTTTACACCTTTAATCCAAAACCAAATCTTATGAAGGACTCCACTTTGATTTACAAGCACTTATAATTTGTCTTTGTCAAATACTCAAATAAATACTAATATCAACAATAAAAAATCATCAATAGATAATGAATTGCATAGAGAGAAGCATCATATACTGCGTACAAGTACAACAATGTTGTGTTGCAGATGAATATTTGTTTAAGAACGTGGATTTAAATTTATTTGAGGCTCTAACAGTACTTTGAATCTTTAATAACATTGTATTTGGCCAAGTTTTGAAAGATAAGCATTCTGATACTAGAATGAATACTTAACTTAAAATGAATAAAAGTATGACTAGACCGCCACTTTATCTTGCATCCAGTATTTACTATTATTAAAAATCAGAGAATATTAATTAATTACACTTAATATTTCTCTCACCTTTATATATAATTCTGTTGTAGACATTTTTAACAATAACTTGATCTAACTGAACTCTTTTCTGATGTACAACTGAAGCTATAAGACTGCATTTTAGATTAGATCTTAAATTAAGTCTTACTGAGGGAAAAGGTCATGCATAAATACCAAAATAAGATATAAACAATTTCCCAATAAATGATATAACATCGTTCCAACCAAGATTGGAACAGTTACGTGTCGTTCCGGGTATAGCAGTTCCATTCGGCTCCATCCATTTGACAGCTCCTGATCAAAGAGATTATTTTTAATTTGTAAAACTGTGGCCTGGTTTATAGCATTAAAAGTTCACAACCAGACAAAGTTGGATTATATATTTCGTCAAATTTGACATCGATATTTCCTTCTATCATGGAATACAATTGTGTAATAATAACGAGGAATGCACTAAGCCTGCAGGTGCATTCCGATAGTAATTTCTATCGGCTTACTGTTTGTTGCTTGATTTCTATGAAGATCAAAAGAAGTGTGCGAACAACAAAGTTAAGTCCACCGATTCATTGGTCGAGTAGGCAATCCAATAAAAATAGCCTGCAAACTATCTGCCGACAGGTGTATCAGATAAGGTAACATGGCCTAATTTTTTTAGTGGTAGAGATTCTCTATCTTGCCGTATTATAGTTATTATTTCCCATTATCTCAAGAGTTTTTTGTAAAAATTAGATAGCTTTAACCTGAGACAATTATGAAATTAGTTTAAAATTCTCTGGCTAAAACACAATTCTTCCGTTTTTACCGGAAATTAGTTATTCCAATCATAAGTTTTCATGTTATTCATTCATTGTGAGTGTAGAACTTTTTGTTTCACCTCAAAACCCCAAAATGCTACAAGAAGCAAGAGAACAAGCACACAAATATATAATAAAAATTATGTGGTTTGATGAGACTATAGTCATAAATTAGAGACGAGTAATGTAAAGATTAAAAAAATATATAGTTAAATATCTGTATAAAACAAAATATACTGTATATATCCTAAAGTCCTAAATAATTAAAATATAATGATTATTATGTAGTAGAATTGGTATTTCACTTATGAGATGATTATAGACCAACTGTTACTCTACATTGACCGACGATAATTATTCTAAAAGAGCAACACGTTAAACCCAGCACCTAATAGAAGAAATTAACGTAATTGGATGCGTTTTCTAAAATGGCTCGCTCGAACGCGTCAAGTTTTTGAGTAAACAGCTGTAATTTCATCTAAAATATTCAGTATGATAAGGTAAGTGATATCAAGAAGGTGCGTATCTAAAATTGGCGTAAAAACAAATTTTTGTGATTATAATTTAATAAGTTTGAACTGCAAGAATTAGTGATTCTATTTCTACTGGATAAGGAAGGACGTGGTCGGCACAGGCGGATCTACGGGGGGAGGGGAGGTCTTTCGGGCTGAAGCCCCAATCCCCCTCCAAAATGGTAAAGTATAATCATGTTTTACAGAAAAAAATATTAAAAACTATCTCTTAAAGTATTCTTGTTCGTTTAATTACATTTAATAGGACTTCAAGAACCACTTAAACACCATTTCATATAGGTAGTTAATTTCTTTCTTTTTTTTTTCAAATTAATTATCGTTATATGTATATCAAAAAAAAAATCTTTCGGGCTGAAGCCCCAGCCCCAAAATTAAATCCTGGATCCGCTAGTGATGGTCGCTAATAGTCACCATCTTTCTTACCTACGATGTTGGACAGCAAAATTATCTACTGACACGGACCTCACTGCAATAGTTCAGTAATTGGGCAGATCAACTAACCGCTTCGCGTGTTTCCGTTGCTTATACCATTATAAAATAGACAATGGCACATTTATTTAACTGAAAAACGTAAAACTACTGATAATCATAAACGATGGCCTCTATCGGGTTAGTTTTTTACTGCTGCTGGGGAGGATAACTAACTATTCTGGAAAGGGGCCTTGTGTTCCCTTTTGCCAACCCCTGACGGCTACCTAGATGTTATCACCATGCACTAACATAGTGGGAGTGTTTGGATTGATTTCTCGGGACCGGGTAGAAATAAATAACTGATGTTAATATAAATCGAACTCACAACGTTCGGAACCTGGGACTCCTAGCCACAACGTGCTCGGTCATGTCCTTCCTTATTGGGTAGAACTAGAATCACTAATTCTTGCAGTTCAAACTTGTTAAATTATAATTACAAAAATATGTTTTTGCGCCAATTTTAGAAACGCACCTTCTTGATATCACTTACTCACCTTGTCATGCTGAATATGTTAGCTGAAATTAAAGCTGCCTACTCAAAAACTTGACGCGTTCGAGCGAGTCGTTTTAGAAAACGCATCCAATTAAGTTAATTTCTTCTATTAGGTGCTGGGTTTAACATAAGAAAAAGATTTACTGAGTGTAACAATAGTTTTGTAAAAAAAAAAAAAAAAATGCAAGTACTTACTTTTGAATTGAATGGAATTTTTACAAAATGTATCTGATTCCGACTGTAACAATTAGGAATCCTAGGGTTTCTGGATAAGGAATATTAGTCCCTATACAGACTTCTTTTTATTAAATTACTAAAATCCATCTAAAACTTCATGATTGCCTTCAACATCGTAACCTACAACTTTTTATTTGCGAAAATTCTAAGAAATGGGACATTTTCTCATTAAATTAATGAGGTACTAATAACTCATTTATATCTATTTGCCTTTCCACTTGAAACACAAGATAATTTAACAAACAAATCAAGAAAAAAGGATTCGTTAAAAAATATTGGGCTGTTTGGTCTGTATAACCTTGTTATTTTGACATGTTAGAGGTGGATATCCAAATGGACCAATGTTTTGTAGGCCACATTTTTTCTTGATTGTGTGATCAAATTATCTAATGATTTACCTGGAAAGCAAATGGATGCTCATGAGTTTTTAGTACCTTACTAAATGGAAAAAGTTTACTAATATCCAGATCGAAATGCGGAATTCTCGAGAATTTTCGAAGAGGTAAGAGGAGGCCATTTACTATGTTTTAGACTATATTAATGATTTGATAAAAAGATACCTTTAGGTCCTTCCGGTGAATAAATGTGTTATTGATTCCCAGGCTAAGAGCAGGATTGCTTTCTTACAGAGAGGGACATTTTTCAGTTAGAATTAACTTTACCTCCACAACTTCATCATTCAACTGAGTTTGTCAATAATTGTTCAGTATTTACTACTAAACTTAACAAGATCCATTAGAGGAAATAACAGAAACATTATCATTCATATGAAAATTATAGTATGGCAGCTGATATTATATTTTAGTTCCTCAAATGCAAATGCTATTTTGCTGTCAATGACACTAAGGATCAAGGATATACTTAAGTGGAGAGGGAAGAAGGCTTCAGCCTGAAAGCTGTTTCTTTTATATTTATACAAGGATAATTACTTTGGAAGCTATAGCTAGATATATAGCTACCTATATGAAATGATGTCTCTCTAAGTAATTTTTTTTAAGTTTTAAGTTAATTTTTTAATATTTATTTCACAAGACATGGTTATATATTTCACCATTTTACCCTTTTTGGGAGGGGAGAGGGGGAGGCGCTTCAGCCCAAAAACAGGTTAAGGTAATGCTCAGTTATTAATTTATAGATTTTTCTATTAAAATAAGTGACTTTCAGGTACTACTTCAAATTATTTTTGTTGAATGAAAACATCTTTCTATAGATTTTACACAATTAGTTAGCAGCCTGAGGGGTTAATTCATGAGGCCCTAAGTCAAAACTAATATTTTTTCTTCTCTCCCAAACCCTCCCCTTTTCTCAAAAAATATTGAAAAAATATACATAAAAAAAAGATTGTTCGTGAAAAGAAGATTGAAGAATGAGTTCATTCTCAGGCTGCCAAGTAATCATCTTCAAGCTATCACACCACATTTCCATGAAGAACTGTAATGGTGAAATCAAACTACAATATTGAATAAAAACTTTATTGATCAGCAGTTGATTATTTTGTAATAACCAGCAATTAAGAAGTAATGAATGATTATGAGGATGAACCTATTTATCTTCAATGAACTGTACAAAAAATAAAACAGTCAGATATATCTCAAAAACAAATAATTTCTATTTTATAATATAGTAACTGCGATGACAAAGTTACACTTACTTTCATACAGTAATCAACTTCCTTAACAATTAAACAATCTTTATAAATGAACTGAAGGAATGTTTTTAATTTGTATTATTCATAATAAATATATGTTTTTTTACAATATTTTTTAATATAAAATTTACATTTTATATAATAACAAAGATCTTACATTATTCTTTTTAAAATCCAATAAAAACTTATAAGTTATATTTATTTTAATATTGCAGATTTAATTTGCTCCTTTGCACTCTGAAGAACCTGAAAAATAAAATTATGAGTTATAAAACATGTTTTTGTGTAATAATTTTTTGGCGGATTATTTTTAAGCAGAAAATTAAAAAAACTCATTAATCATTTCGCACACACAAATTTCAATCACACATAATTTGCAGAGAAGTATATATTTATTACTAAAAATTATATACAAATGAGTCAGAATGAAATTTAAATCATAATGGCATAATTAATAACATAAAAGAACTAATGCCAACATATAGGCAAGAAAGATCTCCATTCTATGGCAGCACATAAAATTCATGAAAGGCTCTAACTTGAAAACCAGTTTCTTAATAAGTGTCAGTTGTCATCATCATACATGATTTTTGTTTTTTTGTATGGCCAATAACACAATAATGAAATGCCACTTTTTTATTCCCATGGAGTTCAGCAACATGAGATTCAATAAATATGGTATGTATCTCTAAGATTTTGGTGAAGAGATGTTGAGGTAAATCTGATACTGAAATAATTTGATTCAATATTTTTCAAACAAGTCAAAACAATCAGAGAAGAAAATGTTTGTCTCCCAACTCTTGGTTTTCAAAGGAAATATTTTAGTTATTTATGACACTTTGAAATATGAAGCCAAACATACAATGACTAGTAGAACATTATGCTTGACTGATAAAACATATAAATTCTATGAAGATTGACAATGACAGAATCATTATTATAAATAACGAGAGCAACAGATCAAATATTCCTCTCTACATAAAAAAATACGCATGAAATCCATCAAATCTCTCAAATAATGTAACTATTCAAATTCATCATAGTGTCAACCGAAACAGGTAATTGAAATTCCTGAATTTTTAGGAAAAATTTCCAAGATTTATAAACAAATATAAAAAGAAAAATTTAATTATGGATATGTAAAGGCTTTTAAACAAATAATACTATAAATTATTAATAGATAAACAAATTTTATTTAATTTTTTTTAATACTTGGTATAATGATTCCAAAACTTATTAGATTTTTTTTCTATCTTCTCAAATGGATAAGATATGGGTGTACGAAACTTCTAATGTGGTGCTAATTTGAAACAAAGTATTGGATGATAATGTTAATAATTATAATTGGATGAGAATGTTAATAATTATAATCGGATAAGAATGTTAATAATTCTGAGGATGATCCTCGGTTGATCAACGAGCTAGGTGCAAAATCTGAAGAAGAAAAAAACTGGCTCAATAGTAGCAAAGAAATACAATACTGTTTATTGTATATTGAATATTTATTCAAAGTTTAGATACTAGAATGTTTCTTGAAATTTTATTTATTTATTTTTTTTTTTTGTTCTTCCCTACCTCGCCTTTTAGGCTATACGGGATTTTCCCGGGCCGGGGGGTGAGGGCGGGGAATTTAAAATCCCCTCCGGCACCGGGACGCGAACTCATACTTTTTATATCATCTCAAATCTCAGTTATCCAGTTGCCAGGCAACTAGCGGTGCTGTTACACACGCTTTAGCCTATTCGGCCACCCCGCCCCCATCGGCTTTTTGTTTCTTGTTTCATGTTTCTTGAAATATAAAGACTCAACTTTTAAGAGAAGGGTTAATTTTTGGTTTGCTACAAAATTTCATTATTAAAAGTAATAAACTAAAATTAATGCACCAGTAATTAAATTTATAAGAAATATAACCATAATATGAAAAAAAAAAAAATGCCAGCTTAGATCAAGAAAACCACTGCCAAGTAATGCCTCAATAAAGGGGCTTTTTTTTTGGATCCTCCCCTTCCTCGCTGTTAAGGCTATACGGGGTTTTCCTGGGACAGGAGCTGTGGGCGAGGATTTAAAAGACTAGACACCGGTACACGAACTCGTGACTATTTTTATATCATTTCTCATATATCAGGTTGCCGGGCCACGGTGGTGCTGTGCACAACATGTTAGCCCATTCGGCCACCCCACCTTCAAGAAAGGGGCTAAGCTTTACATATTTATCTGTTTCTGTAGTGCTAAACTCTTAAGACAAATTCCAAAATTAGCTACCTCACTGTTGAAATCGAATGAATATATTAAAGTTGAGAACTCACGATGACTTTCCGACTAGTGCAAAATTTATTGTGAATTTTGGACTAATTCATCATGATATATCTCGAGATAAATAAATTTCATAATTATGTTACATTCACTAATGTTTTTTCTTAAAAAAATATTTTAAGAAATAAATTCCAAATGGAATTAAAAAAAAAAAAAAAATAATAACTAAAATATACTAGTAATGCGAGAACATTAATAATTTGAGTCTTAATAAACTTTTATTTCTTTAACGATTCTTTTTAATTCGGGTACAATATGATTGTTCCATTTCTTCAAGGCTGCAAGAAAAAAATTTTGCTTTTAGGAATAGGTTATAATAATTCATTAATTTTTATCAATCATTTCCCATTTGTTTTTTATTTCTTTTCTTCTATTTAGGATAACTCCTATAAATCTGTTTTAACAGTTACGGGTTTACAAATTTAATACAGTTATGGATTTATTACAAATATAAATTAAATTACCTTAATAATGAAAGGATTTAAAATTTATCAAAATTTTATATCAAGTTAACTATTTGAGAAAAATACACTTAATAATATGAGAAACCAAAACAATTGGGAAAAGAAAGAAATAATGGTTTTCCTAGAAGAATACTAAGTAACAAAGCAAAGATGTCACTGAAGCAGTTCCTAAAATATTTCATAGAATAACTGACACGGACCATCAATGTTCTAATGAAGAAAATTAAATATTTCTTGAATTGTAGTAAAAGCCTGTAAATCATTTTAAATAGCCATTATTGTTAAAAAAATAATAAACAAAACAAATTACTTCTTCTTATAAAGTATTTTTTAAATAAATTTTTGCTAATATAGTTAGTGTCATTTCCTCCTTAATTTTTTTTTTTTTTTAATGGTACTGAAAGAGAAATTTTAAACATATCAATCATCTTGGGTAACTTTGACCAATATTGAATATTATTCCCTGGATATGTTTCTTAAATGGTTTTGGTTGGGCTAAAACCATCAAACCTATCAACTTTGATCCCAAGACACCGATGAGTATATACTTGTTAGACTCCTCTCAATAAGGATGTAACGATCTCTTAAGTGGTAATGCACTATTCTATCTCAATAATCCTCATTGCCTAAGTTATTAATTGAAAACATTAATTATGAAAATCACAATTACCTGAGCAACAGTTTGTTCACCAAGTGGGATATCATCTGTCCTCAAAGCTACTCCTTGAACAACACTCGTTGGATCTGCTTCTAATATTATTCTGAAGAAGTAGAGAGATAACAATAATGTTTATTTTCCCAGATGGCAGAAAATATATATATATATATATATATATATATATATATATATATATATATATTTTTTTTTTTTTAAATAATATAGAAAAGGTTTCACTTACCCTCCATCACAAATTTCATCCATGGCTAACATTACAATTTCTAAATTTTCTAAGAGAGTCCGTTTTTCAACATTTTTTCTCAATATTTGACTTATTGAATCATAAAGGCATTGAAGTACACTCATCAATATCAACTACAAAGAAAAATTATCTCAGTAAATAAATAAAAACAAAAAGGAATAGAACTTTAAAAATCAAATGGTTGATTATGAATATCTTGATAAATTAGAATCATATTGTTATCAAAGAAATTATTTACCAAAATAGTTGCTAATCAGAACCAAAACCATCCTTTTTTTGTATTCATTTATTTTTTGTTGATAAGGCAAAGGATTTCAAATCCAAATTATTATTAATAAAAAAAAAAAGTCTAAATTTGCCTCTAGCTATTTAAAACCTCCTGCATGTAAAACACAATTTGGTGACCTAGTTGCAATATTATCTATTCCGCTATTTATAGTCCCACACAACATGATATAATGAAAAAACCCAAACAAAAAAGTTCTGTATGCATGAGTTTTAAGGTACCAGAGTAAAGAGGAGGTAAAGGTCTGTTGGTTGAACCTTCAATCTGACAAGAACCTGTCGGGAATCCATTTTTCGAACGAGCGTTACGTCGACATCAGTAAAGAAGAAACAATATAATTGACAATGTTTTTCAGTAGAGGCTAAAGCGGATTGACAATATACCTGCAAAAACTCCCTTCATATTGTTTCGGTAGCACATACGATGTATTGCTGCGCATTTCACTACAGTTGGTCTATTGGAAACAATTCCAGACAAAACTATACGGGCTGAAGCGCCCATCCTCCAACATAGTAAAAAAACTACGTTTTAAGGGAAAAATATTTAAAAAATAATCATTTAAAGTATTATTATTCGTGTAATTTCAACAGCGTTAGTTTTTATGCAGATTAGTAACGTTATTTTTGATTGCTAATAAATATAAGTAAAGACCGATATATCGGCCTTATGGCCTTCTTTAATAAAAAAAAAAACATTATTTTATTTAGCAATAAGTAGGGTATTCCATGTGAAACTGTATAAATCTTGACAGAAAAGCGAAAAAAAACGCCGATATAAATAAATTTCTTTAGACCAATATCTTTTAATGGTCGAAATTTGTGTATAGGCCGATCCGGAGATGGTCTATTTATTCTTTTATGTAGCAATAAGTAGAGAATTCCATGTGAAACTGAACAAATCTTGACGAAAAAGAAAAAAAAAAAGGCCGATATATTGGCCTTTGTAATATCGCTATCGGTCGATACCTACCTCAAACCATAGTCAAACGTGAATTATAATAAATATATAATTTGAACAGGTAGCGAGATAATATACGCGGTGGTAATGACAACAATAAAGGTATGTGTTCAATGTATAAGAAACGGATTCCTAGAGGGAGGCTCCCCAACTGGTCGGTCTATCCGCTGGTGGCTGTCCTTCAACTCCATGGCTTTTACTAAGTACTACACTCTGAAGAAATTTCTCCACTGTTCTCTCTTTTTAACGCTTAAATATCTGATGTTACGTTTTTTGCTTGGTAATGACATCTAAGTGATTTTTTTTTTTTTTTTTGGATTAAAGGCTTCAACAACTAAATGCCTCAACTATTCTTTAGGAATAGAAACAAATTTCACTGTCATTTTACAATGGTTTCGAAAGGAAAAAAAAATTGCTTACTAGGAAACTGAGAGTGGGACAATACGTGGTAATTACATTTTAGTAGCTTAAGTAATAAATAAATAATACTATTCTTTAATATTCATTATGAAGACATACTTCTTTACCGTATATGAGTTTCAGATGAGTTCTCATCTTAAAGATGACGTAAAACATTTTCAACAGGGTTTCAAGTTTGCGGTATATTGGAAAAAGTTCAGACTACCTCATAAGACAGTGAAATACATTATAAAAAAAATTAAATCCGAATCAGTGAACAATAAATCCCGCCCAGGGAGAAAAATCTTATTGGTAGTGCGAAAATCTCGTGAAATTGTGCTTAAAATGGCAAAAAATCCCAAATTAAATGCTCGAGAGGTTTCGGCTCACATCCCTTCAGATTATGGGAAATCCCCAAAACCATGAGAAATCGGCTACATGAAGCTGGCTATGGAGGCTGAGCGGTTAGAAAAATATATTTTATAAACGAAATAACAGAAAAGAAGATCGGTGTTTGCCCGAGAACATGTAAATAAACCGAACATGTTTTGGGGAAATGTGCTGTTTTCGGACGAAAGCAAATATAATTAGGATCTGACAAAAAAAAAAAAAAATATGTTGGAGGAAAAAAGGAAAGGCATTTGAACCCCTAAATCTACAACCCACAGTGAAGCATGGAAGGGGCAGTGCCATGGTTTGGAGCTGCATTGATGCCAAAGAAGTTGATGAACTAGACTTTATTGCGTGGATTACGAATGCTGACAAATATGTGAATGTGTTGCGAATACATATATAGATAATACGTCGATGCGAATAGAGAATACATATATGTTTCAACAGGACAACGATCCGTAGCACACGGCCATAAAACCAAACAATGGTTGTTGTATAATGTTCGAAAAATTCTCAAAACACGCCCACAATCAGAGGATCTTAATCCAATTGAAAATTTATGGATACTACTGTAATTACAAATCTGAAAATATCTGTGTTCCTTTCTGAATGATTTAATGAGCAATATTAAAAAAGCTTGGGAAGAAATTAGACCAGAGACCAAGAGGAGACTGTTAAGTATCTAAGTATTGACTTAGATAAACATGAAAGGGTACCCTATAAAATATTAAAATAAATTGAGATTGGTGGTAATTATATTTTTTTTTGGGTTAGTAAAAAGTAGGAATATTTTTTTTGAACTTCATTTTAGAAAATCTTGACATATTTTATACAACATGAGTTAAAATCTTTTACTTTTTTGTACAATTAATGTAAAATTGAGTATCTAATTGTTATCTTTATTTAGTTAATGTTAAACATAAATAAAAAGATTTTCGGCCACTGTATAACCTCTAAGCTTTCAGGGTTATCGATATAATACTATCGAAAGCCATGACAGCTGTAGAATCATCAAACCGGACCCAAATAGTTCCAACATCAACCGTATCCTAAGCAGAGTGAGGTTACAAATATATTTATATTGACAACTTGAATTGGAAGTACTTACAATTAGTATCAGTAAACGTTACAAATTAAAAAACATTTTCAAGCGTTGAAAATGTTTGTGAAAGTTTCATGAAATGCTGATTTATTTAATAATTTACACTATTTCTAAAGATGTGTTAAAGGGAACTAGTTATGATACCAAGAACTTATAACTTAATCGTAAAAAAATGGAAAACTGTGAAAAGACAGATAGAAAAAAGTGAGTATTTACTAATATAAACACATTTTACAAACCATTAACTCAACAGGTGTTGGTAAAAATATTAAAATGTACTTTTAATGTCTATAAAATTTTAACTATTGTAATATTAGTAAAATTTATCACATGGATATTGTAATAATACATTTTCATAACCATTTAATCAAAAGGAAGAGTATTTTTATAAATCATAGTTTAAATAATTCCTAATTCAGCATTTGTGAGTATTACAACTCTGTGTTTAATAAGTAAATCCACACAGTTCTTTAACTTCCTTCAGTGAAACTTCACTTTTTATTAAAATCAATCTATAAATTATTTATATGACATTAATTTAACAAAAATTGTAGTATTAAAACTCACCAATTTGCTGACATCATTAATCATCATATAAATTCTAAGTTTATTTTTTTTATTTAATTTTTAATTGAGTTATGCAGCTAGCTGGTTTTGTTTTTCACATAAGTTTGAATAGTAATGCATATTAATAATATATGTTTCCAAGACATCTTGCAATTTAAATAAGTTAAGGAATGTTAGCAACAAAATCCGGCAGTTTTATTAACTTCTTGAATGAAATTGAATTAGATGGTCTTAAAATTTATATGATGAGAAACCATGATATGTATTTGAAATAATTTAATCGATAAAAAAAATTGATAAATTTGTTCTTGAATTATTATTATAGCTTTTGAAATGTCTTGCATGATCTTTATAATCAACCACCTGATAAGTTTATGGATAATTACGTATTTCATTTTCTTGTGATCTCTGATAATTTTAGCTATTGTTGGAGCTTTTGTAATCGACAAAAAGAGTCATACTATTGTGGAGCCTCACAATGTTCATTACAAGAACCTCCAAAAGTGTTACCTCATCGCTTTTTACCTATCGACATTTGCGGACTGGCTTCAAGGACCTTACATTTACAAACTTTATGCAGATTATGGTTACACAGATGACACAATTGCTCTTCTATACATCACTGGCTTTGCTTCTAGTTGTTTATTTGGAACTATAATCGGTCAAATGGCTGATCGATTTGGAAGAAAACTTCTTTGTTCAACATTTGGAATATTTTACTCATTATGCTGCCTCAGTAAAATTAGTTCTAAATTTACTATATTATTTATTGGCAGAATTTTAGGTGGGATATCAACATCCATTCTTTTTACAACATTTGAAGCATGGTATGTTAATGAGCACTTAAATTTCTATAAACTACCTCCTGAGTGGTTGAATAACACTTTTACAAGAGCTACATTTTATAATGGTTTGTCTGCCATAGTTGCAGGAATCACTGCTCAAATATTAGCTGAATACTTTAATTTTGGACCTGTATCCCCCTTCCTTTTTGCAATACCTTTTCTTATAGCTTCTCTGTTAGTTATTCAGTCTACATGGAAGGAACATTCTGCAGTACAGCAAAAATCCAGTTCTAGTTTAATATCGAGTTTTTTTGAGCCTATTCGCTTATTATTCCAAGACGATTTTCTGTTGTTATTTCTAGGAATCATACAGTCTGTATTTGAAGCTGTAATGTATGCCTTCATTTTTTCGTGGACACCAATATTGACAAATCTTAAACCTCCATTAGGCCTGATATTTTCTATGTTTATGGTTAGCTTGATGGCAGGATCTAAATTATATGCCTCTTTAATATCTCAGCATTACTATCCACAGAACCTTCTCATATTTACAACAGTATTATCAGCTTTCTCTTTTTGTTTAGTTACACTTTCTTTGACAAACATTGTTGTACATGTTGAAACCCATGACCTAGAACCAAGTACTATGACATCCATGAGTTTGCTGTGCTTATCAGCATTTTTAATTTATGAATTTTCAGTTGGAATGTATTATCCAGCCATGGGTTATCTAAGATCTCGTATCTTTCCTGAAGAATGCAGGGCTTTATTGTCTAATTGGTTTAGAGTTCCAATGAATGTGATAACATGCCTCACTCTTTTGATTAAAGAGGGAAACCATGCAAGAGAGTTTATATCACTCAAAAAATTTCAATTGTTGTTTTCGATTTGTACAGTTATGCTTGTGGGGACGATATGTTTATCAGTCCTATTTGCAAAAAAATATTCCAAAAAAATTATACAAGATGAGCTGAATGATTTGAGAACAGGAAAATCACAACCGAGTGAAACTGTTTGAATTATTTGGTTAGGTCAAAGGCGATATTGGACTGTTCATAGGATATGGCAAATTTAAGGAAATTTTACTGTGATAGTATTGGTTTTAAAAATGTTTTCATATTAAAACAAACAATGCATTTCTTTCTTTTGATAATAGTAATTTTTCTGTGAAAAGTCTGATTTTTTCTAATTTTAGAATGAAACAGACTAAAGTGTTTGTATATATTCCTAACCCTAATATATTTATGATCAAATTAATTATTAGGCATAGATGTTTTAAATAAATCACTTAATTGTGATGGTTACATGGAGCACTAAATAATATTTGTAAAAAAAAATATATATATGATTTTCTTGTATCATTAATTTACTAAAGAACAAATATTTGGTGTTCCATACATCCTGATCAAAACAATGTATATATTTTTAACTATATAAATCATAGTAAAACTATGATGAAAAATTGTCTATATTTACTTTTTGAATAAAATAAAAATGTAATATATTTAAAAATAGCATAATATAAATTAGCAATGACTGAACTAAAAACTAAACATGTGATGTAATATTTTGATTGATTGTACGATAACACTTAATAATTAGTAAAACTTGGTGTATAACTTAATACACAACTTGTTTGAAATTTCTAATGATTGAAGTTGAATTCTAAACTTTTGTATTTTAAATGAAGACTGATATGATTTTCTATACTTTTCAAAACTGATGCAGATAACACTTGTAAAATAATTAATTAACTAAGCCAATTAGAATAAACTATCATATATACACATAGACTAGTGATTAGTGTACATTACTTAAACTAAGTCACACCTACACACTATAAGATGTATTCAATTCAACAGTAGTAAACCTATTTTAACTCTATTTAATTAAAACACCACCAAAAAAGAAATTGTTGAAAATAATTGTTAAGATAGTTTCTTTTATATAATTGGTTCACCATAGGAATGTTATGCAACAGTGGTACAATGCAGGTATTAAAAATATATAAATTATAACTTAATAAACTTATAAATTGAAATGTGATAGATTAATCTCTTACGACTTCTTCATAGTGTATTATTATCATAGTGAAATTAGGGATGTATTAATTTTATTTTGTAATTGTAATAAAAAAACTGATAAAATTTAAGAACGAAAAACAAATTACACAATTATTTTCATTTTATTTATGTTTTTTGAAAATTATCTTATATAATTGATGTGTGAAATAGGCAACATAACAATTGTATCGAGCTGGTGTTTCCTCGATGGCTGTTGCCGGAACTTTAACAATGAATGGGATAATATATATATATATTTTTTTTTTTTTAAACAATTTAAATTGTTAAGTATTTAAGTGATCAGTTTTTGGTATTAAAAATTCAATTTGTTTAAATTGTTATCTTATAAGTTTACAAATTTTATTTAATAAAATTGACATTTGTTGAGTCATTTTTGTTTCTTAATTAATAGTAGTTATAACAATGCAATAGATTTTTAGAGGTTATTAAAATATACCAACCAACTACCCAGTTCAAAAATTTTAAGAAATTTGTATATATTATCGAAAATATCATGTTATTTAATAAATCATATTTTGTCAGGTCACATATCACAAATTCTTCTTTATAGACCACTTTCCCTTAAGATTTTAATGGAAGAAAAACAATTTCTCTGAATGATTATATAAACTAATTGAACAAGAACATTCAATGAAATGAAGAAATTATATTCCATCAACTTAAAATCTGAACACATAGTTGAATAAGTATCACAACAATTGTGCATGATTTAAATGTATTGACTTACGTCAAAAGAACTATAAACCATGTAAATTAAATATCTGGTGAACCATACAATAAATCAAAATGGTCCTGGATGGCGTTCAAGAATAACATATAATAGTTCCCACCATGTTCTATGCTAAAAACAAAACTAATTTTATTCAACATGTGCAAAAATCTCAACATTTTTTGGGCGAGAGGCTATGAATTTTAAAAAGACATTGATCGGGAGCATCAGCAACCTTTCTGGTAATCCCAAATCTTTCTTGAGATAGTCATAAATAATTTCTATATAATTTTTAATACATTATAGGAGAATGAACGAATGTTATAAAAATCATTTAATAAGAAAGGTACAAATCATATGAGAACATATTGTCGGTTTATTGAAAAAGATCACTAACTACATTTTTGAAGAAACTGAACTTTGTTAATTAAGATCCTATTTATATATTTTAAAAAAAAATACAGTAAATGCATTAAAATAACAAACCCTTTTATATATGAGTCTTTCAGTTGACATAATGACTAACTCTAATTTCAACATTTTTGATTAAAGTCATTTCAGTGATATTCCTAGTAGGAGTATATATATAAATATATAGGAAATACAGAAGAGTAAGTTGATTCCAGAATACATAATTGCAGTGTTAAAATACGGAACTGTGAAAAAAAGTAGACATTTTCCCACTCGAAATATCACAAAAATTAATAATAAAATATGTTGAAAGTGGAGTTAGACACTGTCAACTAAAAGGCTCATATAAAGCATAGTTACTAATAGGAAAATTCTTAGTGATATAAGGTTATGAAATATCATTTAACAACTTTTTACAATAGACCAATGATGATATAGTACATATGCGGCAAGCAATTTCACTTAATTTGAAACTAAGAGTAACTCATACAGTAGAACCTTGATTAGCCATGTTTGCAATTAACTATGTTTATAACCTGATAATATAGTCTTCCACAGGTAGATTTTAAAAGTCTAATGTACCCCAAATTCTAAACAAGTCATGGTTCTTCGGATTAAACCTACCAAAAGATATAATTAACATTATTTCTAGACTTAGAACAAATCATGGGCTATGCAAAGTATACCTGCATCGCATTGGAGTTAAAAATTCATATAAATGTAACCAAAAAGAAACACACCAACATATCATTATGGAATACCCTGCCTACAAAAATCAGAGACGGAAATTTCTAGATCCATACAAGGATGATAATCTATATAAAAAATTATTAACACCGAGCAACCCTGAGAAAATTATCAATGTTACGCAATATTTGTATTCAATAAATAAATATATTTAAGATGAAAATAGTGAAAAATAGGAACAAAACTAAATAATTTTATACTGTATGAAAAATTCCAATGAAAAAAAAAACAAACAAATATTGTAACATCAAACACATATATATGTTTGGTATACATGTAGGTTGTTAACATGTTTGGAATTTGCTGAATAAAAGGTATATCAATTCACTATGGGTTTTATTTATTCATGTGACCCCTTTCTTCCGACTACTCCAGATAATTGAGGTTCTACTGTGCTAAGTACCTAAAACTACAATTCCAAATCATTTGATAGAAGTTAGTGGCTAACATGACCCCTGATAAAGGATTTTTTTTTTGGCTAGATTTGGCTAATTGAAGTTGAGAAAGCCTTTAACGTGTATTTTTATTGAAAACTTAAAACAAAATTTAACATATATGCTTACTGGAAAAAAGTCTTGTTAGGAAAATTATTTAAATGCAACTAATTATAGAGTAGAATATCACAAAGGGAAGATTCATCAAATTATTCACTAATTTAATTTTCTAATAAGTTATATGACAATTTTTCGGAATAAACGTTGATACCTAATTATTTAAATATAATATCAGATCTATAATCACTAAACTACAATTAATGTATTTAAGGTTATAAACATATGCTTTATACATCCATGAAATGATTTTATACTTCACTTTTTCTTTCACACTAGTACAATGAAATAACTTTTTAACAATGCCATTGCCTTGATTAGGTGGATTTTAAATACTTTCTACAAACGTAAAAATATTTTTTAAAGTTTACATTTAGTTAGTAAATTTCATTTAATTTCCTTGAAAACATGTGATTTACGTTAAATATTATCAGTTTTCAAAAATTATTATTTATAATTTTTTTGCCGCTCTCCGTTACCTTCTACAACTTTCTATATTAGATATTGTTTTTTCTAAAATTCTCCGCTTTCCAACGATATATTATAAGTATACCTTCTGACTTGTATTTCCGGAGATTCATTTTCGACCTGTATAAGCATTTTTATTTTTTTCTCCTTTATTCAATTATCAAATTCTTTCAAAAGTTATATTTAGCATTTTTTCGTAACTTTTAATAATGAGAGATAGTTGATTATTTAAAATAAACCATATTAAAGGTACTTTAGAGGAGGACACATGAACATTGGGCATTTAAGCTCTGTAAAGTGACATCAACGGGGATAAGACCTAAATGATACTAAAGACCACTTAATTATACAATGATACACCGAGTTTAATCAGAGCCAAGATACATCGTCGGAGACCTTTTTGAGAAAATCATAAAAATGTGTTTCAGCGTTGATATAAAGTGGCACTTCCGGTAAGCCGATTTTAAGGAAAAAGTTGCCAGGACATCTAAGGCATATATCTATTTTAAATATGTAATATCAATTTCGTACAACTTTTCGAATTCTTGTAATATCGGTTTCGAGCTAGACTGTTCACATATACAAACCATTTTTCAGGACTTGATTATTAGGACTCAGGGGACCTCAAAACGTCTATTTCTGTTGACAACTCAGATTCAAAAATTTTGATGATCGCAATACTTATACTTACTATATATTTCATATATAGGTAAGTGAAAGTAAAAAATCCTTTATCAGGATTCAACATTTAGGGGTAATTTTTATATGGCTTCATCAATTTCCTAGTAAATCCCAGTTGGGCCATGCACATCCTAATCTAAGCTAATACCCTCTGTTTTTCAGACCTGTACCTGATTTAGAATGAAGATTTGAGATATAGGGTGCTGCTTCCTGTTTTGAAGGTCACTTATTGCATTTTCATAATATAGAGGAATACATTTTGTTCATATATTAGTTATACATATAGTTCATAAATTCATATGAACAGAATATTGTTCATTTCTTATAGGCTTCAGGAATAAGATTAGGCTTCTGTTATTACTATATTCATACATGGAACCCTTTTTAAGAACAGCGCAAGCCAGGCCTGTGTTCCAAGGCTCTTGTATCCTCTCCTTCTTCCATATTTTCAGGATCAATTTGGCTCTTAGCTCTTATCCCCAACAACTCAGATGATAGGTTGTTTATCCATGGGACCCTTTATTGTCTCTCAACCTCTTAAGGGTTGTTGTCTTTAATGTAGTCAATGTTCAAGGGTTTCCCTTGATTGAGGAACTATTGGAAACATTCTTCTACTAAGTACCTTTTCTTATGATGAGAATTTTCCACACATTTATTTATTTCTCACTTCATATTCTATCATTTCATACGTGATGTCTGCATAAAATTTGCTCATATTTCCAACCTGCGAATTGTCAGTAGTTTGCAGTCTTTCTTCAAGAAATTTTCTTTTTGTCGATCTTATGATTTATTTGTCTTTTTCATTGTGAGTTTCTCCTAGTCCAAGGGTTTGAATTTGAGTTTCGAGCTCAAGTTGGGATTTCTTCTTTAATTTTCAATTGGAATTTGAATTACTTCAGGGTTTTTCAAATTATGGAATTCATACCCCCCTTCATTTCACTCGATGCCTTTTTTTTTTTAGCTTTGCTTTAATCTCTAACATGACTTGATTCTAATTGGAGTATGGTCTGAATTAGAATCTGCTGTACAATGGCTTATAGAGCTTGGATAACTTTTACTGATTGATCACATATAATAAAATAAAGTAAAAACATGAGGTAAAAGTAAGAAAATGTGAACAAGAATATAAAAACTTCAGAAATAGTCTCCTATTTAATTTCAATTAGTAAAATTTTCATAATATGCAACTGGTTCATAATGAAACATGCTGAACAGTAACTTCGTCGGACGTGGGAGCAGTCAATGAAGTCACGTCAGGTTTGCAGTTCTGTATCAGAGCTGTCAAGAATAGGAGTGTCTGAAGATTGATCCGGCAGTCCCCTTACTAGCAAACTCTAGTTCTGTTCATGCTAACTACATATTCTTCTTTCCAAGGGATCTTTCAAATTAGGTTTTATCTCTGATCCTATGTTAGTTGCTGAAATGTTTTAACAGCTACCAAATGGATTATTATTTGAATTTCAATTACAAGAGTAAAAAGAACAAACAGTAAAGTATGAACTGAAAGCCTACAAACTATGAAGTAAGAGTTCAAATCTTTATGTGTTTCTCATTGTTTTAATGTTGATGATTTTCACATTATGCAAGAATGTGCATGTTTCTATCAAAAGTTTGATTAAGCACCACCTCTTTTGGGAACTAACCAACCTGTTTTTTTACATATATATATTTTACTAAATCATATATTAGTAACAAGCAAAAAATTATTCCACTTTTCGTGGGAAACTTTTCTAAATTCATCTTATTTATATAGAAATTCTGTATGGTAAGATTTTTAAATTCGTTTCTTCATATCGTGTCATTTTATAAATCTATCAATTCCATTTGTAAATCATCCAGAACTGTTTTCAAGTCTACAATAAATGGTAAAGAAAAATGTTAAAACTAAGCAGTTTTTTTAAAACGCATTTTTATTTTATTATTAATTTCTATAGGTATCTTTAAAACGTCAACAGGTAGAAAATTTGAAGGGCCGCACGAGTAAGTAACTTTAAACTAAAAAAGTACAGTAATTTAATAAATGATTCCAACATAGGGCATCATTAAAAAATTCTACTATATCATCTAGTAAATGGATACAGCCCATTGAAGTGGAATAGTAATGTACACGATCAATAAGTTCATACTATCGAAATTTGTTGAGGGGAGTGAGGCCCCACCACGGCAGCCTTGGAGAGGTTCCAGTCCTTAAGTTTGATGATATATTTGATCATTATCATTTTAATGATTCAGCTCCATGAGCATTCAATATCATTAAATAATATTTGGCAATTTATGCAACAATTTAATTTTACTATATATCAAAGTATTATCAAGATAAAATATAAGATTAGGGACTCTAAAAGAATCGATAATAAAATGAATCATTACCTCATTTTCATGTGAACTTCCCATAACATAGAAAAATAAATCAACATTAGATTTATAAACACATGTAAGTCCATCCAACATAATTATTTCTGCATTAGCTCGATGAGTCTTGTTAAACAAATTTTTTTCAAATCCCTTTTGTTCCTTAGAAGTTGGAAAGACACTTGGATCATAGTATTTTGCTAATATCCTGTGTCCATCATTGTCCAAAATCACCATTCCCTTAACAGTATAAAGAGTAGGTTCCTGAAATTATTAAAAATTCACAGAACAATTTAAACACATTCCTTTGGACAGACTTATTAAAACTTATGTCTTAAGAGCAAGTTTGAAATTATCTCCTAATAACATTTTAACAAATTGTATCAATAATATTAATTGTAAAATGTTAAAAAAAGAACTAGCTACAAAATATGATTCATATTTAAATTTATAAAAATTGTGAGAATTAAAATAAACACACCAATAATAATCCATCCATTTCTAAACTTCAAAAAATGACGTGTAGAAGTAGTACTATAACCTGCTGCAAACATAAACAAATTATCCAATAACATAGAGATAACAAATTATACTATCACAATTCAAAGAATATTGAATTTGTTACTTTCATGTATGTACGAGAGCAACAATAATCAGACAGGTCGTTAGATATAGGAGAGCTAATCAGATATGGGCAAATGCCAAAGTGAGTACCGAGTCCCGAGTATTTTACTCAACTGTTGAGGTCCCGTTTCTGATTACGGTACTCAGATATTCAACTTGCTCGACCTGAGTATTTTACTCAAATGTTGAACTGCCTAACTTTGTAAAGTACAGTATAGCCCAAGCAACACTCTCTCCCTTGTATAGTCGATATTATTGAGGCACTATACGCCTTTAAGGCAAACCACAGAGTGCTGAAACTGATAGGATATTATTAATAAATAACCAAGGTAGCAATGTAAGTTCCTGTCATATGAAGTTATAGGAAGTTCCTATCATTATATTATAGGAAGTTCTATATATCATTATATTATTATATCTAATAATATAATATTTCTATATATATAATATATTCTGTATATCATTATATTATAGGAAGTTCCTGTCATGATATCCATTCTTGTAAAATAAGTGCAATAGTTACAATATCGTTTATACATCCTTATGAGACGTCTCATAAGGATGAATGAACAATATTGTTGTTCACTTTTTAGACAATTTTATTTATTGTTTAAGCTTTAAGTTCAAGTTTTCGGCATTGACGTTTCGTTATCATTGCTTGTTTCGACTTTATCTCTACTTGCTGATCATGAACATAATGGCTAGAGAGGCCTCTATATAAAATAAAATTGTTTAAAAATGTGAAACACAACACACACGATACAGTTTCGTTAATTTTTCTCCTTGGGTTCCGTGTATATTCTGACGTATTAAACAAATAGTATAAAAAATAGTAAAATTCACAATCCGGAAACAAACATTTGCAATTGAAAAAATGCGAAAAATACGTGGGGAGATTTTAAGCAAATATTAAAAAATCAATGGTATTTTTATAAAAGAAAATACTATACTTTACAAATTTGTTTCTATCCAATTTTATAAGTAAAATTTTATAAAACCAAACAATTTTCAAATATTTGCTTTCAAATTTCTAATTACAGTAATTTTCAGCAAAACGCTTCAAACTGTTCTCAACTTTGAAAACAGTTTACTCGAAACCGGTAAGAACTAGCCAAATTCTTAACACTTTTTATGTAGAATTTGATGAGAAATATTTTAACTTCTATTCATTATTTCCGTACAACCAATGGATTCGAAATTAATTGAATAGAGCTGACACAAATCGCCTTACTTTGGGTGAAACAGGGTGTTTTTTTTTCCGCGAATTTGGGGGTGTTTCATCCTCTAGGCATGTGGGAACTCTTTTGATTTTTATTCATCACCCTAAAAAATAAAATCTCCTGTGAAGGGAAAAACTTTATAAGTTATTTCCTTGAAAATACTTTTTCTTAGATTGTGCGATTAAAAGGAGCCTGGTGGCTAGGCTTGTAAATGGGATAACTTTCTTTATCAAAAACAGGCAACAAGTGATATCCATTCTCAAATATATTTTTTTTTAATCTTGGCTATTTTATTTCATTCATTATTTGTCTGGAGTTCTCTCCGTTCTTATCACTTTTCATAATTTTTGAATGAAGCGCGTCTCCCCACCCACCATCATAAACTTCCTGACACTCTCTCAAAAGACAGCCGGCCTATTTATCTGTAACTGGCTGTTATTTTCCAATAATGAACCTGAAGATTTCATGAGCGAATTCTGTATGTCATTCATTTCAGTTGTGATCTGGTCTCGCTTTTGTCGGGAGATCTGTATTAATTCCCTAGGGACAAGGGGTGAAAGATTCATTGGTGGGGAAGGAATAGTGGTAGAAATTCATGTGGCCAAGTTAGTAATGAATTGTACAAAAAGGGAAGTTACACCTTCTTGGATTTTAAGTGATTTTCAAAGAAAATCAAAGAGATGTTTCTTTGTACCAGTCTAAGATAGTTTGGCTGATACTTTCATAATTGCGGTATTGCGACGAATTGCACCAGGAACTACCATAATATTCCACAGGTGGATTGATCAGGATCCTATAAAGCACTACTCTCAGTACCAGTATTTCTCTATCAAGAACAATGAAAATTTAATGGACATTATAAGTGCGTCCCACGCTCTCAACATGGACGGAATGTGGAAAGATGCTCGTCCTAACAATCGGGAATTCAAAGGAAGGCGTGATGACATTGCTGGATACCTTACAGAGTTGTGTTGGAAGAAAAAATTTGAAAGGAAAAGCCTAATTCATAATTTCTTTCTTGAAATAGGAAGGCAATTCGATCCCAACCAGGATTGACAGGCAGGAATTTTAGTATTATATTATTCTTAACATTGATAAAAATCCTAGATTGGTTTATTTCAAGGTATCTTAAGTTTATTTAGCTGTTAAGTTTATTTCATTGTTTAAACTGCATTTCAATATTAAAATTATGTTTTTAGGTCATGATTTTTGTTTCTGCCAGATCATGGAATGTTAGAGCAGACTTGATTCATCATTCCATTTCCCTCCTGAAGGTGGCTAGAAGATTTTATCAACAGAAATCGGCAGGTATGAATTTCGTAATATACTATTCGTAACAATAATAATCCCAGAAGGGTCCATATTGGCACTGTTCATACAACAATTATGTTTATAGATCTAAATCTAATTTCAGTGTTTTATGTTCACATTTTCATTTTTTTAAAAGTTTATCATAAACTTTTTGATTATTCCATGCCTCTCAATAAATGGTACATAATTTTATTGGTCTTGAGACCCTGTTTGTTCACAAAACAGCCAACCAAAAATGATTGATAAGAATTTCTAGATTTTGTTTTTACATTGTTAATAAAGAATTTCAATGTCTTATCAAGGTTGTTACAGACTTGGAAATTCTAGGATAACAGTGAAAATTCAGAAGTTCAAATCTGGAAGTGAGGAAATTGGTATAAATATCTGGAAATTTGACTGTCTCTTGTTACTAATGTTAAAACTTTAGTGAATTTAATCGTTTAAATGATATTATATGATATGATCATAAATGATATGATTAAACTATTATAAAATGATAATGTAATTAAAATGATTATTGAAAAAATTGTAAGTTAAAAAATATTTTTACTTCAGGACTGATCAATAATTGAGTAAACATGCATTGTCTTTTCTCAATATTCTAGATACTGAAAGTCTCATATTTAAAAAAATTTCAGGTCATATTATAATGAAATATTTGCTTTCACTATACTAATTATTTAATTAAATTGCTGATACTAATAATAATAAAATGCTCTTAACGAATCTAGAGGTTTGATGCCGACACCACCAATTGCTTATTACACACATCTCTCCACTGGTCGTTGTTCAACCCCAGTCCCTTCAGATCAGCCTTAATGTAATCTTTCCATCTTCGCTTCGGTCCATCTCTAGGACGTTTACCATTTCCCACAGCAAATATTACTCCTTTAGAAATTCTTTTGTTCCTAAGCCCAACAATTTTATAACCCCACTTGATTTTCCGCCCTGTAATTACCTCAATTTACTAACCGGATACAGTTTGCACAATTCGGCGTTGTGTAATCGTCTAAACTCTCTGATTAACTCATCCTTCTTCGGTCCGAATATTCTATGCAATATTTTATTTTCAAAAACCTTAAGCCGTTTCTCATCCCTTAATGTAAGCGGCCGCATTTTACATCCATAAAGAACTGTAGGTAGGATAATTGTTTTATAAATTCTAGTTTTTAAGTTCTGGGACAGGAGGAGCGAGCTAAGTAACAGAAAAATAACAAGCATTTCCTGTCTTCAGCCTGATCTTAATCTCCTCTCTAATTTCATTTTTTACTTTCATTTACCTATATATGAAATGTATAGTAAAGAAAAGTATTGTGATAGTGAAAATTTTCGAATCTCAGTTTTCAAGGGAAATACACTTTTTGAGGTCCCCTTAGTCCAAATAATGTGAACAGTCTAGCTCTAAAACGAAAATTCGTACGAAAGTGAAATTGTATATTTAAGGTTTTTAAATGATAGGGATGTTACAGCAATTTTTTCGACAAAATTAGCTAACCGCAAGTGGCACTTTATATCATAGACTAAACACATTTTTATAATATTCTCGAAAACAGTTCTAACAATTTTGATTAAATTCATTGCATCAGTGTAAAATTAATCAGTTTTAAATGAAATGTAGTTTTTATTCTGATTGATGTTCTCTAACAGGGCTTAAATGGCTAATTTTCAATATTATCTTCCCCTAAAGTACCTTCAATTTTTTTTATTTGAAACAATTGACCATTTCACATTAATCTCTAAAATTAAAGATAGTTAAATATAAAATATGAAAGAATTTGATAATTAACTAAAGGAGGAATAAGAAATCGTAACGAAGAATATTTGTAATTGAGAAACCAATGGAATACGATCTCACCCGAGCTCGTCCGAAAGATTATAATAGGGTTCCATACGTAACATGAGCTTAATATAATACAGACTCTGACAATATTTTATAAATATACATATGCGGTTTTCATAAGTGCTATTGTTAGTATTATTTATTACACCGATATAAATATTAAAATTTGGAAATTGTGTTAAACAGGAAACACATTTAAACACACCAATCAAAACAAACTAATTCCATCAAATTAATAAAACAATAGAAGTCCACTTGAGGCTACAGATCTATCATTAGCATTCATAGCCTTCTTGAGGACAGTAGTGACAACAAAAAGAGAGTTAATGATTTTGCAGCATTGATGAATATGGCTGTTGGAAGCCCTATCTTTCTTAGGCACCTTATTTACTAGTCTACATGGAGATCTATGAATGGCACCACAACAAATCGAATTGATTATATCCTTATAAGTGCATGCCTTGCGGTAAAGTTTCTTGGCTGAAGGACATTTGGAGCAGCCAATGCTGACTCTGATCATTTACCGGTTATTGACAGAATCTCAGTACCTAAGAGCCAAATTAAGAGCACCTAACAAAAGTGGAATATTGCATAACTGAAGGATTGTGTTATCTGCAGGGCCTTTCAGGAGAGAACACTTGTGGAAGTGAGGGAGGCTTTGAACTTAAGCTTGCTGGAAAGAAGACTGGATCATTCTCCTCAAGAAGAAATTTTGAATTGTTGGATGAGACATTTCAAATTCTTACTGAATGAAGAAGATATGGAGAGAGATGTGAACCAACAAAACATCCTAGAGGATAGTGAAGTTCAGTCCTCAGGCTTTGAAGTGGTAGCAGAAAATAATTGAAAAATAACAAGACTAGAGGAGCTGATGTATTAGTCTGTGGGCCAGACCCCCTTACCGTGCACCCTCCCCTCCCCCCACATCCCTATAAATTGCATATCGTTCTGTTCCTTGTAACTATTTATTAAAAAAAATCCAATGTTTCCACAAAACAAAGTGAACGCACTGCCCCAAAATGGCGTCCAAAGATGGCGGATTGACGACTTTGACTTTAGTTAGTTTTTTGGTCACTGAGAATCAGCATTTGGCTTAATTTCCTCATAGTTGGTGTTTTATTAAAGCTAGATAGTCATATAATAATAAAACATGAAGAAATATTAAAAAATAATTGATTTAGCCTATGAAAAACACCAGTAAAGTCAATTTTTTTAATAAAAAAATTTTCAAGTTACAAATCAAGCGTCGTTTGTAATTAAACGGCCTACAATAACGCAAAATGTGCTGAAATAAAACATCTGGAGAATATATTTCTTTTTCTAAAACGCTGATTATTTTTTAAAAAATGTTTACACTTCCCAGGATATGAGTCATATTAATACCTGTTTTATAAACTAAAATAATATATACCTAATCTGAACTATATACAAAGAATAGCTACCGGGTTGTTTAGTAAAATTCATATATCACTAATTAAAAAATTAATTGTTATTTTCTTTATTTTGTGCAGAATTTGGACTATATCATAAATAAATAGGAAATTTTAATATTGAATGAATTATTCTCTATGCACATAGAAAGATAGAAAGGGTGACGCTATAAGTTCTATAAACCAAAACTGATTGTTTGGATTTGGTCTCAAAATGAGGAAAAATGCGAAATTGAACCAGACAATTAGAAAAATATAATAAGCGAACAAGAAAGGAAGAGCCAAAACCTCGGAAAAGATAAAAAGAACCAGTATCCATTATATGGCTAAATGAATGTATAGTAGACAGATGAACAGAATATTTCAAGATGCTGCTAAAAGGAGGTCAATTGCAGTTTGGATGATATTAAGTGGACGATGTAGGTTTATTATGGTGAAAACCCCCTTTATTTTCCATTGCTGAAGGTCTATCTTCACTTTGAAGCAGGATATAGAGAGGTATATCGGGAAAGTTATAGCTCATAGCTCTCCTTCTGTTTAGTGCATTTGCAAAAGATTTTTTAAGGAATCTTATATTATTACAAAACCGAACTGCTTCACACAGTTTTGCGCGTACAAAGGCAACAAGTATATTAGAAAATGATATGAAAAGACTGTGGTTTTTACCTTTACAAGAAAGGAGGTAGTAGGAAATGTAATACCCATCAAGAAATATTCTGTTCATCTGTCTACTATACTTTCATTTAGCTATATAATGGATACTGGTGCTTTTTATCTTTTCCGAGGTTTTGGCTCTTCCTTTCTCGTTCGATTATTGTATTTTTCTAATTGTCTGGTTCAATTTCGCATTTTTCCTCATTTTGAGACCAAATCCAAACAATCAGTTTTGGTTTATAGAAGAACTTATAGCGTCACCCTTTCTATCTTTCTATGTGCATAGAGAATAATTCATTCAATATTAAAATTTCCTATTTATTTATGATATAGTCCAAATTATGCAAAAAATAAAGGAAATAACAATTAATTTTTTAATTAGTGATATATGAGTTTTACTAAACAACCCGGTAGCTATTCTTTGTATATAGTTCAGATTAGGTATATATTATTTTAGTTTATAAAACAGTTATTAATATGACTCATTTCCTGGGAAGTGTATAAAAATTTTAATTACCTCTAAGAATCAGTAAATATACAAAACATGGTGTTAAATTGCAAACGTTAAATAAAAAAAATCAAGATATTTAGCAAAGTATTTTTTAATTAAGTTTTATAATATAATAATTATATTATTTTTACAATTGAGGTCTTCTTAAACGACCTACGTATAGAATAAAGGAGGTTAAATTAAATAAAAAAAATAATACATTTTTTTTAATTTTAATTTTTTTTTTACAATTAAATTATTGCATTAATATTTGTTTGTTAATAAAACCAATATAATGTACAAAAAATAATATTAAATCACTATAACTAAACTATTTATGTGTACTAAATGGTGTGGTAGAGGCCTGTAGGCACCCACGCCAGTACCGCTTTTCTGCCGCATAGGTGCATTTTCTACGGGACTGCATTAAAGTCAAAGTCGTCAATCCGCCATCTTTGGACGCCATTTTGGGGCAGTGCGATCACTTTGTTTTGTGGGAACATTGGATTTTTTTAAAATAAATAGTTACAAGGAACAGAACGATATGCAATTTATAGGGATGTGGGGGGGAGGGGGGGAGGGCGGGTGGACGGTAAGGGGGTCTGGCCCACCGTGTATATTAACAGTGGAAATCTTAGTATAGCAGTGAGGAATTTCATCGGGATGTCTATGATTTAATGCTATCAATCTGAAGCAGAGAAAAAATGCCAAGGCAATGGAGAAGTGCAAAAATATGTCTTCTGACAAAAAAAAGATCAGCTAGAGTGCACGAATAGTGATGGTATCTCTCCTATCTTGCATCTAGAAGATTCTCTACAACAAACTTATTCCATTCATTATTTGCTGAACAAGAGATTAGGAGCAAGAGCTCAGCAGGCTGATGACTTTCTTAACTTAAATTGACTGTTGCCTAAGTTTTTACTTTGAGGATGATCCTGGATGGAGGTCGCGAGTATATGCTGCCAACTCACCAGATGTGTATGATATCTTCAAATGCGACGCATTACTCCTCAGTATAAGAAGTTAAGTAACAATTTTTCATTATCAAACTGGAATAAAATCTTCAAATCCATTCCCAAGTCAAAATTGTACATTTTATCAGAAGATGACAAACCATTTTTATGGTTCCGATTGATGAAGTGAAAAAAAACCTTTAATTTTTTCATGTCATATGGCTAGAACACCCTGTTTGATCATTTCAAAAAATACAAGAATTGAATTCAAGACTGTTTCTTTTGGTTGGGAAGCTTAGGTTTGTTTGAAGTTAGGAATTGCAGTCAGTGAGAAAAAACAAATATAAATAAAATAATAAAAAAATAATTGTTTATATGCATTCGTACTGACTACAACCACTAACCAACTTGCCAAACTTATTACCTACTGTCAAATATTTGTTCACCATTCCATGTTTATTTTGTAAGTTAATATTAATGGACTACAAATCCTTTTTTCTACAGTGAAGTAGATATTATCTTAGAATAAATAGGCGTTCCAACAAGGGTTGCCTTTTACGTCAGGGATGAGCTCTAGAGGTCACGGTCAAGCCAATCTCTATCCTGAAGACCTCGGCCTGCCATCTCCTCTTCCATTTTATGCATCCATCTTTTTCTAGGTCATCCTCACCTTCGTCTTCCAGGCAGTTGCCAATCTAAAATTCGGTAAGTCCCTCATTCGGTAGACATTCGTCTTACATGGCCGTACCAAATCAGCCTTTGCTATCCAATTCTCTGGTTGATGGATACAGGAACCTCCATCCTGTTCCTAACGACCTCTTTCCTAATTCTATCCATCCTTGTCACACGTAGCCATCTCCTCCAAAAGTCTATTTCCATAGCTTGTTTGTACCTTTGAATAGAGCTGGTAGGACCTGGTCCAGGTTTTAGCTGCATATGTTAAGATGAGTTCTACGATGGCATGCTATATCCTTGAACTAAGTGGCTCCAAAAGACAGGATGAAGCATGCCAAGACAGAATAAATCATGAAACTAATATAAAGAAACTATGTTTATATAATTTAGGATAGTGTTCTTATTTTACTATAGTAAAAATTATTTTTGAATATAAAAAAAACATTGTGTTTTAGGATGTTTCTCAGCTTATCTTAAACTCTCCTTGGAGACGGGATTTTAAATTTAAGCAGTAACATTAAGGATTTGGGAAATAAATTATGAAGATAAGGAAAATATATTGAGAACTTCTTGCAATAACAATTCTTGTTAAGTGGTGAGCTGTTACTTCGTTTGTAACTTAAATTTCCACGTCATCAAAGCAGTTATTATTACCTATTAAAAATAAATATTTTCAATTTTATTTTCGGATTTTTAACATTTTTATTTTGTTGTGTTGGCATTGTTTAATTATTGGATGTTAATTATAAGTTTATAAATTTTTTCAGTTACATATATTTGTAGTTTGTTAAAACTTTTTTTTAGTTTGTTTCTTTTGTTCATTATGATAACTTTAGTCATATAAAAAAAGTCAATATTTTGTATAAGAATTACGACCTTTTTATGTTTTTAATTTGATATTTCTAATTAAATGTGTAAAATACTAATACATTTTTGTATAAAATATACTTGTTTGAACCATAGAATTAATTTTTCATGATTTATTTTTTCCATTTTTCTTGTTTTGTTTTTGTTATGTTAATTATCAGCCATTACAGTATAATAAAAAAATAATATTAATAATGATTTTAAATGTATTTTCTGAAAATTGTTAATTTCTAAGATTGGATTTAGTGTTATAATGATCGAAAGATATAAAAATATGTAGAAGGTTATAGCTAAGACGAGTCAATTGTCAGTTTTTGACCAATGAAATATGAAGCAATAGCGTAATCCTCCCTACTATATTACACAAACTATGCTACATTATTAATATACATACTGGACTATAATAAACATCACTAGGCTGGCAGTCTAGTTAGTGACTAGTAGTTGAATAGTAATATAATGATTGAAAAGTGATACGATTACTTAAAATGTGTGAATTATACTTCACATTATACATACGTATAATTTAAGATATAATATTCAGTTTCCCTCCAGCCTATCAGATTGCTACATGGTCAGTCGAAATGGCATTTCGAGGTACTATTGACAATCTGATAGATCCTGTAAGTTTAAAATTGATGTACTGATGGTCGTGACTGACAGATTTACAGAAATCTGGAAATCAATGCTTTAATCATGAGAAGTGGTAGGAAGATGCCTTACTACTAGGTAGGTTGGTTTACCTAGGCCTCATAACCATTATATATTCCAGATGTTCATTTAAAATAATTAGTTTTTCAAATCCCTAGTCTATATTTCTATGATCGTTTATATTCAACTACTTTTTTACTTTCACTTACCTATATATATGTGATATATAATAAGGGGAAGTATTACAATTGTGAAAATTTTCGAATCTGAGTTCTCAATGTAAATACAAGTTTTGAGGTAGGTACCCTGAGTCCAAATAACCAAGTCCTGCAAAATGATTTGTATGTGTGTGTATGTTAGCAGTCTAGCTCAAAAACGAAAAGTCGTACAAAAATGATATTACATATTTAAGATAAGTATATGCCTTAGATGTGACAGCAACTTTTTCCTTAAAATCAACTAACCGGAAGTGCCACTTTATATCAACGCTGAAACAAATTTTTACAATTTTCTCAAAAACGGTTCTGTTGATTTTGAATGAACTCTCTGTATCATTGTATGATGAAGTGGTCTTCAATATCAATCAGGTTTTATCCCCATCTTTCACTTTACAGGGCTTAAATGCCCAATGTTCATATACGCCAAGTACCTTTATGGTTTATTTTAAATAATTAATCACATTATTTAGAGTTACGAAAAAATGCTAAATATAACTTTTGAAAGAATATGATAATTGAATAAAGGAGGAAAAAAATATAAATGCTTATCCATGTCAAAAATGAATCTCTGGAAATACTAGTCAGAAGCATATGTTTAATATATCGTTGGAAAGCAGAGAATTTTAGACAAAAAACAATATCTAATACAGAAATTGTAGAAGGTAACGGAGAGTGGTGAAAAAAGTATAAATAATAATTTTTGAAAACTAATGTTATTTAACGTTAATCACATGTTTTCAAGGAAATTAAATGAAATTTACTAACTAAATATAAACTTTTAAAATATTTTTAGGTTTGAAAAAGTATTTAAAATCCACCTAATTAAGGCAATACCATTGTTAAAAAAACTATTTAATTTTATTTGTGTGAAAGAAGTCAAATATCAAATCATTTCGTGGATGTATAAAACATATGCTTATAACTTTAAATACATTTACTGTAGTGTAATAATGCTAGATCTGATATTATATTTAAATAATTAAGTATCAACCTCCGTTTATTAAAAAAAAGTCATATAACTTTAAAAAAAAATTAAATTAGTGAATAATTTGATGAATTTTCCCTTTGTGAAATTCCAAAATTATTGTGTCTTCTTGTAAAGTACCTTTAATTTGGTTTATTATAAATAATAACTATTTCTCATTGTCAGGAGTTATGAAAAAGTGCTAAATGTAACTTTTGAAAGAATTTGATAATTGAATATAGGAGAAAAAAAATAAAAATGTTTATTCAGGTCAAAAATGAATCTGCAAAAATAATAGTCAGAAGGTATACATATAATATATCGTTGGAAAGCGGAGAATTTCAGGAAAAACAATATCTAATATAGAAAATTGTAGAAGATAACGGAGAGTGACGAAAAAAGTATAAATAATAATTTCTAAAAACTAACATTATTTAACGTAAATCACGTGTTTTCAAGGAAATTAAATGAAATTTTCTTACTAAAACGTAAAGTTCTAACATTTTTTTTTTAGTTTGAAAAAGTATTTAAAATCCACAGATTCAAGGCAATGACACTGTTTAAGACACTATTTCATTGTACTTGTATGAAAGAAGTGAAATATAAAAATATTTCATGGATATATTTATAACCTTAAATATATTCACTGTATTTTCTCAGGGTTCTCCAATAACTCTAGATCTGATATATTTAAATAATCAGGTATCTGTCGTAAAATTAAATTATATTAGTGAATAATTTGATGATTTTTCCCTTTTTGATATTCGAACAGTATCTACTTACAATTAGTATGACAATTTTTGACCTGTCTATGACTGACAATGTAAATCTCTTAATTCCATTTTAGCAAACTTTGCAATGGAAAATAACTGTTTAATAACTAATAGTCATACAATTCATAACCAAGGTATCCTACAACCTATAGACAACAGGTGATATAATAAATAGGACTAGTTTGCTTTAGTTTTTGTAAGTAGTTGACTTATATTTTTTTAAGTTTTGTCAAAACTGATTTTCAGGCATTAGAAAGTGCTTATTATATTTCCACTTTTCTCTTATGTCCTATGCTATAAAGAATAATGGTCAAATAAGCTATTTTAATGAAACACATTATTATCAAAGGACAATGCACCAGGTCCACACTGTTACCTCATTATCAACTGAACTAAAATGGTGTCAGTTTGATTGATACATGCTGGGTTAATCATTATTGAAGCAATTTTTGTCAGTCTTGAGACTTTCATTCATAAATGATCTTTATTCATAAATCAATATATTGGGCGACATGGCTTTCTCTGGTGGATTGTTACCAAACGTAATTAAATTATTATAACTTATATTTGCCCCCACTAAAACGCAAGGTAGAGGTGGACAAAAAAAAAAAAAAAAAAAAAATGTGAATCTAGAGGTGTTGGTCTCTGGGATTTAGTATTGGAGACAGTTGATTTGATCCTTAGGCAAAAAGGTTTGGAAACTCCTGAATCAGAAGATAAGTAATAAATCTAGGTATCATAGTTATTTTTGAAATAAAATCCTACATTATTTTAAATCTTATTTATAAATAAGTTTTATTTAGGAAGAAATATTGAGCTCCATAATTTTTCTAATAATTATTTTATGAAGTGTCAGGATGGTTTTAGAAGAGGAATATATCATAATATTATTAATGCTAAATAAAAATGCTTTGTTCAGATAACACAGTTTATAAAATTAATATAATAACAAATAATATAAAATATTTAATAGTCTAATTGCAGTTCTATGAAATTTCAACAGTTCAGATAAGAATCGTTCTTCTCAATTATCTGACAAGTAGATATGTACAAACAATAAACAACAACTAACAAGCAATAAATAAGTGTTTCCATTTAATGTCTTTACATAAAAATTCAAAAATGAGTTCATTTTAAGTAGTTTTTCTTCACTATTTATCACAAAACAATCTTTTTTTAACACTAGACGATGTTACTTTCTGAGAAAGCTAAAAAGTCCTTTTCCTTTTTCAGGTGGAGGGGCCATTAGCATCGGAACTTGATTCTTGTGTGTTATTCTTATCTGAAAAAATCAAATTCCATATTAGGACTGCTAATAACTTTAGTTAATTGGTAAAAAAACAACAAATAATGTAAATGCCATTTTTATTTACAACAATATTAAAAAATATTTGTCAAATCAAACACTGAAGTTATTTTATAGTTAATGAAGTTGGATTAACTAATAATTACTTAAACTGCATTACAACAATACCTGTTACTAGTTCTTGTAAATTATTTGGATGATATAATGACAAATCCCCCATTTGTAATAAAATATAGAAATAAGAACTTCAACCATCTTTGAGGGAGGGTTTAAACATTTTTCTGTTGGTTGATTTCAAACATCCATCATTGAGTATGATAAACTAAAACATACATACAAATGTCTTTGCCAATAATTATCCAATAATCCGATTTTTATGTTTTTTTGTTTTTAAGATTTAATTTTTAAAACAATTATGTTTTTCATTTACCATCAATAGTATACTTTTTCAATTATGAGCTAGAACAGTTTTCTATTCTTTATAACTTTTTTTTCTTGTTTCTGTGGGATGTGCTTATCTTCCAGCGTTAGTGGAGAAGGTGGTCTTGAAAATGATGGTTCAATTATAAGTTTTGATGAAGTATAATGGGTGAGATGACATTAGTAAAAAAACAAAATAACTTTCCAGAAATGATACAAAAGATTTTTAAAATTCTATAAAGCAAGAATGAATGAATTATTTTATTTTATTTTCTAAGAAAATGCCTGTACAAGTAAATAAGTACAAATAATTTTAGATTCCGAGTTTAGTAATTAGGCTTTTGAGTGGAGCTGTACAGGGATTTTTTTTTTTTTTTTAGGTATGTTAACCCTGCTAACATACGAATGAATGGCTTCTTTGAAGTTTGGTGTGTACTAACAGAAGAAATAATATAAGAAATAAAAGGAAGTACAGGATATCCAATCTTTCTTACTGATCTGCATGGCATCAAATGGCAGAAATACAAGCTTAGGACATTGTATAAAAAAAAATCTAAATTATAACGAAGTTATGACTTCTATAAAAAAAAAGTTTAGATTATTGTGTCTTTAATGTCAGTGTCATATTTTAAAATATTATTCAAATGAATAATTATTCTTTTGAGAATAATGTGTTATTCTTTAAGTGATTTAAGGAAAAATAAACTCTAATCAACGATTCAAGTAACTGATTCCTTTCAGAAATAAGATATGGAAAATCAATATTTGTTTTGTTTTTTAAATGAGTTCTTTAAAAGAAGAATTACTGTAATTTGAATAATTACGCTCCAAAGTGAGTTGGCTACAACATTTAAAATATAATTATATTAAGGATCCAACATTTAATTAACAATGATGCTGTGGACTTATTGTTAATATAATGCATTTATATTTAAGAAAATATTTAAAGTATAAACGTCCCTAGTAATTTATGTTCAAATGTTAACAGTAATTAATACAAACATGGCATGTTAAGTTAGCCGAGGAACAAACAGTTGGCTGGGAGAAGCCACAGCTACTGTAAACTTTGCTAGGTGAGCCACAAAATAAATTTCTCAGTATTTACTATTATTCATGTTTATTTATATTTAGCATGGGAGGGTGGGGAGTAAATAAAACCTTTTGTTATAGTTTCACAAACCATGAAGCAGTTATGACTGAGACACTCTCTTAATACTTAACTGAAAGAACGGTGTCTAACAGCAGTGGTTTGAATTCAGCCAGGACAGGGATTGAAATTTATTTTGTGGCGGACACACGGAACGAATTTCGACCCTCCCAATCCTGTCGGAATAGGTTTGGTTGTACCTCTAGAGCATCCCCCTCGAATGTCATAACTGGCGAGGTTGGGATAATTGAAATTAAAACAACCTCTCCATACCCTTCTTCCGATCAGAAATGGTCTGTTAGATGGCCAAAAATAAAAGATTTTACAAACCATAGCATTACAATGCTTAGATTATCCAAGTTTATCATACATATAATGTAAAATAATTGTTAATAAATGTTTTTATTAATCCTTTTTCCCTTAACTCTCTTTTCCATGTCCATGCTACTATTATGTTTATATTGTTACGTTTACTAATTGTATCTTATTTTTTTAAATTACATAACTTTAACTTTGCAATTCTCTTTTATGTATACAATATGTTTAGATAGATTTTACTACACCTTAATTTTTCTATTTACATCTATTATTTTCTTTAAATAACTTCATATTCCTTTTCTCTGTTTTCCATTTTTTTTCTATGTTTATCTCACTCCCTCTTGACACTAAAACATCAAATTATATTAACTATGTCACTCAATTTGCTTTTATGATTACTATGTCACTTGTGATTTTTAACTCTTAGTATTCCATTACTTTTCTTTATTATATCATTATTCATTTCTTTGTTGATTTCATTATGTTGTTACAGTTATTTTATTATTGTTTATTTCATAAGTTCCTAACTCTGTTACCGTTATTATTTATTTCGTAAGTTTCTAACTCTGTAACCGTTATTTTATATTGCCTTTATTTATATATATCATATAATATTTATTAATGTTAAGTTTATTCTACCTAAATGTTATTAGACTATTCCTTTTTACCTACATATTATTACTTTTACTGTCTACTAGTTTCTCATATCAATGTTATCTTGTCTTTTCTTAGCCCTGATGAAGGCCTGAAACTTGGGCCAAAACATCAGCAAAAATAAAAATAAATATTAATAATTTACTTGTACTTTATTTGTTTGCCTGAATACCCCAACCAACTTCTCTTCAATATATCAATGACAGTCAATTATTAATCCACTATCGTTAATAAATTTTCTCTTTTACAAATTGAAATACTTACAGTACAGGGAGGTTGCATCCAAGGCTCTCCATCTATTTGCATTGGAAAGGTTTTATTTGTTGTTATTACTACAGAGGAACATTGAGCGAGGCGGCGTCCGGATGCTCTCAGACCAGTTCTAACTTGTCCCATATGAAGGCAATTTTCAAGACCAATTACTTCTATGAGTTTATCTCCTATATCTGTAAGGATATTAAAATGATATGTAAATAAAAGCTAATACAGTAATAATGATTAAAATACGGAATAGTGTATTTTAAAAATGTTATTGTGTTTCTGTTTACTAATGTAATCTGGGTACTTGAATATTAGCCCATCGACCAATTTATCCATGAAATACCAGCAATTATGGCTAAAAAATGACCAAACACTATTTATAGTATTACACTGTAAGATAACTTATGAAAAACTGTATGACCTGTTTTTGTTTTTTTTCTTCTTGTATTCATTGAGAAAATTAATTCATATTTGGAATCTATCTTCTGGGGAAGAATACATATGAAGCATTTTCAAAGTCTGGATCATTTCATGAAAGAAAGGGTGTGTTTTAATGGGCATGATAAGTCTATTAATATGAAAACATACAGGCAATGGAGATGGAATCTTAAACGTAGTGGTAGATATCAAATTATTAAAAAAAATAAGGAAAAATAAATTTTATTAATGAAATAGAAGTTATTTAAATAAAATAAATTCAAATCTTTCAAAATCTTTGCTGCAACTGGGCTAATACATGAGTACTGTAATCTAGTACTGCTTGATTAAAATCTTATCTCTTGCGTTTTAAAAATTGACTATCAAATTTGATCTTTAATTTGAAATGCCATGGTTAAAAAAAGTTCCATATTTCATACTGGTTAGTGTCTTGACTATACCCTCTCTTATTACCTTACTTGAAATGCTTCTTAGATTTAATTGAAATAGTTTAAGTAGTGTTAAATACTGATTTCAAATGTTGGTACTTATATTTATAAACCCCGAGGCGTCTGAAAAGAAGATGGCCCTGTGATCTCCTAATGTAGTCGTATCATTAGAGTGCTACCATTGGGTAGTTACTCAGCAAGTTTATTCATGTCATTATATCAATTATGTCCAAATTTACTTGATGTATTTATGTAATACAGTTGTAAATGTCATAAAGAAATTAAAAAAAAAAAAAAATATTTATAAACAAAAATATTGAATAAAAAAATCAAATGTTTTTCCTACCCTGTATTGCTGCACTAAGATCTACTGAGTTGAAAGAAGAAGTTGATATCTCTTTCTCCCTTCTTTTCCCTCTTCTTCTCCTAAGAGACTTTTTTCGGTGGTTATTATCTCCCCAAAGATTGGAACCACCGTGTGTATATGGTATATTTAGAAGTGCAATTCCTTGGAGTGCTCCACCATTTGCAAGATCCAAACTTACACCATCACACTGAAATATTAATTTTGGCTTCTATAATAAATTTCAAAGATAAGTGGTTAAAAAAATTGTGAAATGAACGTTTTTTATTGTTTGAAATTTCCTAATTCACTGTAATGTAAAATATCAGCTGATTTTATGTAAGAAATGAGAAAATTCAATTTATACTGATTATTCTAAACTTAACTTGAAGCCAAACTATGTATGCTCGATTCAAAAATGGGAAATTTGTAATTTTGAAAATTTTAGATATGTTATATTTATGATAAATTAGATGCGAGAAAATATTTAAAAAATGAAAACACTAATAGCTTTTCAGTCTTATAATTTTTAATTTGATATACTGTTTATGTAGGACTAGGTATATATATATCTTTAAATAAAAAAGACTGTGTTTAGACTATTCTATCTAAAGAAAGATAAGAAATTTCAAAGAACAGCTTTGAAATTTTCTTGGCTTAGAAAAAAAGGATAATAAAAAAGGGAAATAAGATTAGGATATCCTTCAGGTATTTTAACATACATTTGTGGAAAATGTGTGAAAATAGATATAAGAAATGATAATGTTAACTGATTAGTTTTTAAAAAATAGTATAGATTATGTTAAAGCTGAATGTTCTTAGTATAACCTTAAGGTCATTGATAAAAATAAAGTTTTTTTTTTTTAATTTTATTGAGTGAAATAAAGACATTGTTTTTAAGTTTAATGTAAAAAAGGAGACTTTGAAAAATCTTTCTTAACCAACTTCTTGATCATATCTACAATTGAATATGTCTCCACCATTAAAAAATTATTTATTTGATTATTACGGAAGGAGATGGTCCGGGGTGGCGGTCATAAATAGACTAAATAGTGGCAAAATTATTTTATTAAAAGGCAACGTTTCAATCCGACTTTGAAGGTCTTCTTCAGGAAGGTTTGTTCAGGAAGGAGTTTCAATTAAAACTGAAATTCAAGTAACGGTCAATATTTTATTGATGTAATTTATGATACTCACAGAAATCTCTATTTTTTCATGAAGGTTCTTGCATGAAGCAGCAAACTGTTCTGAGGTAGCATATTCGAAGTACCATAATTTATTTTTCATTCGGCTATTGAACTTTTCCGGATTTTTCTCTCTCTCTAAGTGAAATTTTACACAAATGGCTGCATCCTATAAAGTAAGGGAATTTTCTCATTTATTTTTTAATAATTGATCAATTTCAAATTATTTTGAGCATGATAAGACTATAATTACCACTCCAATGGAAAAATAATTGTTGATTATGTTGTACGGGATTGGATCACCACTCGGGCTTCCTTCTGCTTGATTCAAGACTTCCACCTGCCATCTGTCCATCATCACAGGAGTTGACTTTTCAATTTTCTATCAAAAGAAGTATATTCATTACTTTATAATTATAAAATGTGTTCATGAAAAATATACTATTAGTTCTACCAATGGGTAGTTTCTCTTCATGTTGTACATGCCATGTTACAAATTTCTCATTTACTTATTGTATTCTCTATGTAATACAGTTGTAAATTCCATTGAAATAAAAAAAAAAAAAAAAATAACCAATGTTCAAACGATTTCAACATTATTCAATTTCTTAGTTTTTAATGCTTAAAGCCTAATTAATAATTAACTAATTAAACTAATTTTTGTTACTAGTAGTTCTTATTGTAATTTTCTAATTCTTTGACAGAGATGGACAAATGCTTCTCTGAATACCGAATGCCAAGTATTTTACTCAAATTGAAGCACTACTGGGAATTCAATCACTACTTCAGTGAATCCTTTAACATCAACTGAAGTATTAATTAAATTCTTCAGTTACTCTAAAAAGGTCATTATTTGAGTAAAATACTTGGTACTCATTACTCAGATAAGCATTTGCCTATCTCTGTTCTTTGATGAGCTGGCAGTTTACTATGAAAGAGAAATTATTTTCTTTTGGATTTATTTTAACATTAAGAATTGCAACTTTATGAATAAAACAGTGAAGTGTCCATTGATTGCCTATCGATTTCATTATACCAAGTTTACAATTTTTTTTCACTTAACTTCTGAAATAAGTAATTTAAGGGAGTTACACACATTTTGTTATCAATCGATAGTTCTAATTTTAACCTATGGTATTGCCCTAATAAAACATTTTATTTAAGTTATTTTTGTGAAATTTTAAATTAAAAATAAAGATATAAATATTTCAATACACGTTTTTATTATAAAAATCAAAGGTGAGAAAAAATATAAAAACCTTATATAGTTTTTATATTAACCTAGAGCAAAATATCCATTTTCTGTATGAGAAAGACATGAAATATCATGGACTTGATTTGATGGATTTTATTTAATGTTTTCAAACTTGAAAATAATTTTTAAAGCTTAAATTTAGTTGATAAATTTCATTTAATTTTCTTAGAAATATGTGGTTTCCGTTAAGTAATAATAGTTTTCAAAAATTATTATTGGTAATGTTTTTGTTACTCTCCATTACCTTCTATGATGTTTTGTGTTAGCTATTTTCTGAAATCCTACGCTTTCCAATGATATATTATATGTATGTCTTGTGACGACTATTATTTCTCCATTTAATTCATTTTCAACCTAAATAAACATTTTTCCTTTTTTCTCCTTTAGTCAATTATCAAATTCTTCTAAAGGCTAGGTAGCCTTTTTTTATTACAGTTACCAGTAAAAGATAATTAATTATTTAAAATAAACCAAATTAAATTTACTTTAAAGGAAGAAAGTTTTAACATTCAGCATTTAAGCCCTGTTAAGCGGCATCAATGGGGATAAGATCTGCCTGATATTAAAGAAAATTTAATTATACATTGATACTTCTTCAAAATCGTTAGAACCACTTTTGAGAACATTTGAAAAACATGGAAAATTGATGATATAAAATGGCACTTCCAGCTAGTTGATTTTTAGGTAAAAGTTGCTGTAATATTCCTGGCACACACTTAACTTAAATACCTAATATCAATTTCGTACCAATATACTTTTTATTTATGAGCTAAGCTGTTCACTCATACCCACACACATATATATATATAGACCATTATGCGGGACTTGGTTACTTGGATTCAGGACAACTCAAAAACATTATTTTTATTAAAAAAAACTCAGATTCGAACATTTTTACAATCGCAATAGTTTCTTATACTATTTATTGCATATATAGTTTAATGAAAGTAAAATTATAAAAAAAACTTTAAAATGTTTGTCAATGATTGAAATATATTTCTGACTCCTTGGCCTGTCGTTGTTAGCTTTGCTACCAGTGTGGATCAACTTTTTAGTAAGTATTTAATTTTAGTCATATAAATTTGTCATAAAAGTAAGATGAAAAAAAAATAAGCTCAACTTTACCAAAATAAGTACTAAATAATACTTATGCAGTATGAGTAAGTAAAATCTTGCTATCAGCATCATGCAGTTTCATTGTTTTTTAAACAACTGAATCATGTTTCCATCATATAAAATGTTTTATTTTGTGTTTTTATATTAAATATATGAACAAAATTTAAGTAAATAGGTAATTAATTTAAAATTATGTAGACATTTTTTTAATTTTATTATTTAGACATATTATGTTAGAAATTATTTTGCAGTTAATGAAACGGGCTGGAACTTCCAATAGGAAAACACTTAAGTCAAAATAGTAATTTTACAGGAAAAGTAAAGGACATTTTCATAGTCCATTTTCAAATAATTGTTTTATGGACAAAACCATTAAATTTGGCCTGGAACTAAACAAAAAAGTTTCTTGTAACTTAAGCATTTTTACTTAAAACTAAGTTTGTTTTTATCTGAAAAAATAACAAGGCGTTTTTGGATTTAAGTACTTTCCCACGGAAGATCCTCAGTAGCTTTTCTTATTTACCTTCAGAAGTTTAGTTACAGCTTCTCCTTCATATCCACCACCCCATCTTAAACATCTGGCTAAATCATTACCAGTACCAAGTGGTATGACACCCACACATGGTTGAACTTCAAACTGCACCTGATCTGTAAATTACGTCAGCAGATCTTTAATATTATGCTTCGCTTACATACATTAGATAGTAGTGTTAAAAATAAAAATAAAAGATGACTAGTTTGTAATAGTTATTAGCCTCAAGTATATAGAAAGAGAGATTTTCATTTTACTTTACTAAATGGTCACAACAACCATAACACAGTAACTATTATAAAGAAGAAAAGAAACTTAAAAGTGTTAGACGTTTAATCGCTCTGGGGTACTTGACTATTTAAATTATTTGAAGGCTATCAGTAATATATATTTTATTGTAAATTTTAACATTACATATACAAGTAATCATACAAGTAATTGTTTCTTGTAATAATATGAAATAATATTTCTATAAATGTTGAAATATTTATTAAACATTTTAGCTGCTTCATATTTAAATGTTTCAGGAGCTTTAGCTTTTATGTCATTGGACTGAAATAATACCTATTAAGTGGTCTTGAACACACATGTTCCTCCAGTTCCATCCCAGTACCATATGTGGAACATCACTCTATACTCTATACCTGGCTATTTTCCTCTATAAAAATAATTATCTAATGTGCTAAAACGTACCCATTGTTTCCAAAACCCATCCGACTGTTCCATCACCCCCACAGCAGATAACTCTGAAGTTGGGGACGTCTTTGAAAAGGGTGAGCCCATGCAGAGGTCCACCTTTAGCCAAGTTATAAACTTGCCTAGGGTTGAGAAGGTATTGGAACTTGCGAAGCATTCTGGCTCCTTGCCGCCCTCCTGATTTTGGATTGATGAAGACCACCAAGGGCTTTGCTCCCTCTGAAGGAATTATTTGAAAAGAGACTGCTGCTTGGCCAGAACTTCCTCCAAACTGTAAATGCAAAATATTATGCATGAAGTATGAAAATAACTAAATCATACCTCTCCAGAGAATAAAGCTTAAAATAATATTTTGTTTTAGACAAATTTCATTATGCAAGCTAGCCAAATATACTCGAAATAATTATTGTAAATATTTACTTACTGGTGTGGAATCTGGTGTGTGTGATTCAGATCTCTGCCTATCTCTTGTGATCGACCTCTGCCTATCTAACACCACTGGACATATTGCTGTAGGTGGCAAGATATGGATTCGGTTCTCACCAAGGTTGCATTCAGGTTTAACTTGAGATGCGCATCTGTTATGGAGCTAGAAAAATTTATGAAGGACTTCTATAATTACAATAAATAACCTTATTAATATAAACCATACGTTGAATACATTATATATATACAACAAAAGAAGTTAAAAAGTAAAGTTAATTTTATGCGTCTTAAATTTGAATGGCTTGGTCAAGGTTCCCTCATGGGGGCAAAGTTGGACCTAAGGTACAAGGGCCCAGTGGTTCAAGGAACCCAGTAAAAGTAGTTGAAATTCATAGTGTTTTAGTTTGTAAAAAAAAAAAAAATAGTGGGAGTGGTGGCTGCAGCTGGCTAACTGATAACCAAAAGATTATGAGTTTGAATCCTGGTGCAGGGGGCGTTGAATGATCATACTTAAGGGATGATTAGACAATGATTTTACCGGTGATCCACATGTACTTCATTGTCCACATATCTAGTATTCAATTGTAGGACATATCATCCAGATCATATTTAAATTATAATTTGTAGGCTAATAGCTGAACTCTCTCCATCCTGAATGCAGATGAGCTCATTTTGGAGTAGATTGCGTTATAAGTGAAATTAACTTTTAGAAAATTATCCCCTTCTGTTTTTAAGCTAGACAGAAGCCCTTAGTGGAGGATTAACCAATCATATTCAATTGACAATTAACTGTCTTTAACAATCCAGGATTTATAAAATTATCTTTAATGAAATAAAATTAAACTTAAATCAGATTAACTTATATCATATTATATTATAGTATTATATTACATCATTACTATACCATAGTATTGTATTATATTTACAATATTAAAAGTATATCATACTCACAGTTATTTGGCACCAGCGACAGTGAAGCCCTGTTATTCCATTGTAAGCCTTTATTGTCTTTTTACACTTATGACACTTCCCATGCCTATTACCTTCAACCCAATGGTGTGCCATTACCTGAGACGTTTTCTTCGATTTTACATAAGTTGCAATGCAAGAAGCAGGTGCACGCTGGACACACCTCTCGTGAACCGTGTATTTACAAACTGAAAAAACAAAAAAGTATATAGAGAGCATTATTCTATAATTAAATAACATTAATTGTATGAAGTTTCAAAGGTGAACTGTGAATGTGAGGTCATAATAAGCCTAGATTTTCAGCTAAGACTTCCGGGCTATGAATTATATATTACTGAAATTAAAGTACTAATAAATTATTAAATAAATATACTAAATATTTTGTCAAAGAATCCCTGTTTTGCTTAAAACTAATGTGACATTCTTATCCAGAGCAAAAACATTTCTTAGTATCCTTGTCAGACTAAAAAAAAAATATAGCATAGTTATCCTTAAATATGTGATATAATAGAATCTTTACCAATTGTTAATACAAAAAATATAATAGATTTTTCTCCTGATATCTTAAATTTCATTTATTTAAATAAGGCTTCATTGTATGATGATTTGTATGCATCTTGATTACTACAAAGATGCATCTTTTGTACTACAAAGGATTTCATCCCACTGATTTCTCAAAATATTATTTCCTGAGAAAAAATTATCAAATAGTTTTGATTTTTTTTTTCTCGAAAATTACGCATTTATAATTAACTTCAATTTAACAGAATTCTTAATGTCATATGTAATAAGTATTTCTTTTAAAAGATAAAAAGTTTTCAAATAATGGAATTTCATGTCCTTTTTTTCCCCTTAATAAACTCAGTTTATTTAGACGCTGTGATTAAAAATAAAAAAAAATAAAAACTTCTTACTTATTTTTAAAATAAAAAATCATAGTATTAAAAACAATGGTTGCTTTCCTGCACTCGAGTCCATAGACCAGAAAGTCTAGAGGGTCTATAAATATTCCATTTATTAATCCCTCGAATTTTTAACGTTGATAAGTTTTGTGAGGTCAAATTTTTATGGTAAATTCCAACTATAAAATCATACCATAAAATCAGAACCATTTAACTATTTTTTATTACTTATCCTCTCTTTTTTTCTACTTTGGGCGACCCCTCATATTACTTTTTTTTTTAGCCCTATATGTATAAAGCGCTTATACAAAATTATTAAGATATTTCTGATGTAGAATGATGGGATGGTTTTTGCGTCACAATAATGATATGAGCCATGCTTTGGATTGTAGCCAAAAATTACTGGCAAGGCCGTTGGGGTCCAGGAATCACTGGATTTCGGCGCCATCAATATCAATATAACATTGCCAATGCTTAAAACTATTTTATTATTTATTGACTTTTAAATAGTAATACTTATTTACTAATTTATTGCAGTCACTGTGATTAGCAGATTTTGAAGCAGGCTAAGGATCACTTTGGTATGTAGCGCCAAGAGAAAAGAGTTTGTAAATTATGATTACAATTATCGACGAAATAGCACATTAATTTGGAACCATTTTTCCTTTTAAAATATGTGCACTATTCTACATTGTATAAAAATATTAAATAAAAGTAATAAAAATACTAAAAATATATTTGTACTAACAAATACAACAAAGGCCTTTTTTCCCCAGACCAACTAGCATGTTGAGGCAGAGGTTGCAGTAAGCAGGTTTACTGAAGTGCTTCAGTCTCCAAAGGTGATTTCCGTCTTCTTTCACGTTCTGGAAAACATTAACAATTATTTATTTAATAATCATGAATTATTTTTAATGATAATTAATTTAGGGAAAAAAATTCAAAATAAACTTCTCAGTCATTTATATTTAGAATTATAACAGTGTTTTAACTATGAAAAATGTTATTTTTTTATTAGGGATTTTTAAAATATTAAAAATATGTTTTCGGTAATTATTATTGCAGATATGAATGTTAAAGTCTTTCGTGTATATTTATGTTTTTTTTATATAGAACTACGGTCATAGTCTTGAGAAGGGGGGGCTTTCGGGCTGAAGCCCCCCCAACAAAGGTAAAACCATACTTTATATTTAACAATATAACCATATTTTACAGAAAAAAAATATTAAAAACTATCTTCTCTTAAAGTATTCTTGTTCGTATAATTACATTTAATAGAACTTCAAGAACCACTTAAACTCCATTTTACTGTTTTTTCAAATTAATTATCGTTTTATATATATATATATATATATATATATATATATGAAAAAAAAAGGTTTAGGGCTGGAGCCCCCTCACTCCAAAATTAAATCCTGCATCCGCTAGTGCATAGTTCGAATAATGCGTGGTACTGATCTTTTTTTATCAAATTATTAACATCGCCTAATATTTCGTTAATGGTTTCATCTTATCGTAACCTATAAATTTTTCATCGAAGATACTTCTCAGAAATTGAGCGTTTTCTCATTAAATTAATTAATTTAATTAAGTACTAAAAACTCATAAATACCTACTTGCTCCCCCCCAAAAACAAAAAAAATATATTAGGCGGGTTGACCTAAATAATCTCGTTATGTTGGGAGTAGAGTTCACGCAAAACGACGGAATGTTTTTGTATGTCACCTTTATTCTCGATTTTGTAATCAACCTATCTTACAATTCAAGTGGAAAGCAAATGTGTATTCATGAGTTTTTGGTACATGTTTAATTAGACAAAGTTTGCCGATTTCCAGATTGAAAACCCCCCAATTCTGAGCAGGTTAGTAACTTAAAACTATTTTATTATAGACAATTCTCAGAACTGGGGCGTTAACTTAAGGTTACTATGAGATGAAGCTATTCACGAAGTTTTAGACGGATGTTAATAATTTGATAAAAAGGTGTCTCTACAACGGATTATAAGAAGTAGCTGACGGAATAGTAATTGTTTAAAGGAATTTGTGGATAAGGATTGAAGTATGGAAATTCAAAACAAGAATGACGTAGACGTATGATTTGCTGTAGGAAGTTGTTATATGGGAGGGAGTATTGATATTAGGAAGTTGTATTTTAATATTTAGAAAGTGAATAGTAGGACGTAGAGTAAGGAGTTATTGAATATGGAGTGTTTTTTTGATAAATATATATTTATATGAGAAAAATGAACAAAGGCTGTAGATGTTTGTCTTATATTGTTGCAAATATCTCTCTAGAATAAATTGCAGTGAAGTCGTAACGGGTCGAATAATTAGGATCATGATCATCAACTGTGAATGATTTTTTTTTTTTTTTGCATGTAATAAAACAAATAACTAAACATTGAAATTAAATGAAAGATAATTATTAATCACAAATATTTGAGTCGTTTCAGGGAAAAGATAATTGCGATTATATAAATATGATTTTATGATGGATTAACTTCTTTCCTTTAGTGAAATTCGTCAAAGAAAGGTAAGTTTGATTAGGTCAGAGTAATCTCAAATAATTCAGGAATAAACAAATAAGAGTTAAATGAATTTTAAGATGATTTAACTGAAAAGTTTAACTCACGGTGTCCAAGCCAAGAAGAACGAGAAGTGGTATGGTTGTCATCCCTCCTCTTTTCCACTCGGACAATGACACGGTACCGTCCGCGTCGTAGTCTATCTCCACCATCATGTCTTGCAGTATCTATAAACATTATTAATATATATATATATATATATATCTGTTTATATTTTGATGTATTGTAATGACAGCATTTGTAGGAAACCAATAAGTTATAGCTGTACTACTTGATTAATGTAGTGTTACCTTGTTTCTTAATTCTCAATATTTGTAAAAAAAAAGTCCTTATATTAATAAGTTAAGGTGGATTCCTAATTATAATATTATAATATAAAATAATAGATGTTTTTTTTTAAGTATTAATTTTACTTACTGGTTTGAGTTCGGATACATCCCAACCGAGATACTCGGCAACGCTCATCATTTGATTAACAATGCAATCTGTCTCCTGAAAAAAGAAGGTGCAATTTTTTTTCTTCTCATTTTTCTTTATTGTTTTTATAATATTTATACATTTTAATAATTTTACAAATAAAGAAAGATTAAAAATAGTCAATGAATGAATGATTATAGATGGGATCAGAAGGGACACAATTTTTGGCTTTGGAACTTAGTATGTTTACTACTCTCTCAATTGAGGAGGTAAACATGTTAAAAGTTCCCACTCGTAGGAGAGAGAGCTGTAGAGGGGCAACCTGGTCACTTTTTACGATTTTATCAGAGAAACTATTTAAAACTAGCTAAATTAAAATTGATAAAACTAAGTTCGTCTTATCAACTCTTTAGCTCTTCATTTTAGAAAAAGTCATGGAGATAAATAGTTGGCTCGTCAAACGTGTATAAAAACTTGGAACTTTACCTTCTAACTAGACTAAACAATGTCCCAAAGAATAAAACTGTATTCCTTCCATTTAGTGTTTCCTAAATACGAGACCGAGAAGAGTCTTGATCTTGCAAACTCAGTCTTGGTCATGGTCTTGGTCTTGCGCAAGAGTCTCGCAACAGTCTTGCAGTTGTTTATTAGCTTAATACTATAGAGATATAACTGTAATTTTTTAGATAGGAGAAACCTGCTTAATTAGGTTTCTCCTATCTAAAACATTACAGTTATATCTCTATAGTATTGAGCCCGAATGAAAAATTAAAGGAGTTAAATGCAAAAGTATATTGGTTATACCAATTATTTACATATAGTAACTGAGATTGTCAAGTATTAGTAACTATTTTGCCTTAATTTGTATTCAAAATATCGATTTTATTTACCAGTCCTGGTCTGGGTCTTGCAACAGTTAGGCGGCCTTGCAAAGTGCAAGACCAAGACCGATTTTGGGTAACACTACTTCCATTCCTCTCTATGACTTAACAAGCTTTTTTAGCAAAGAATTGACTGGACTAACACGTTCTCATAGACGAAATATTGGACGGAGGCGAAGGTAAGTGTTCGAAGTATGGAACAGGATGAGAGGATAAAACAACATACACAAAGGGGTATCTCAGTAATCAGAATAATACCTTTATTATAATATAATATATAACTTCTGAAACGTATTTTTTTGCCGGTACATTTTTTAGGTTTTTTTTTTTTTAATATTCATAAAAATTAATGATTGAGCTATAATTTTAACGATTATATTCACCTGGAGAAGGGAAAAATTAGAACATCCTCCCGAAATCAGGAAAAAAAGTTATGAAGAGAAGTTTGATGGCCCACAAAAAAAAAAAAAAAAAATAAAACCATCCAAACGGGACTATTTGAGCAATGATGCAGCCATTTGTTTACACATGTTTGGTTTATTATTTAAAACGAACCGCTGTAATCGATAAAGAATAAAAAAAAAATCGCTTCCTCTATAATCCCTCTATAATTTCCGTATTATACTGTCATTTTGTATATTGCTGACCAATGCCATTGTATATTCAATATACTATCCATATTATTCAGACGGGCCAACGAATAATATAGATGCTATCCAAACGATTTATGGGAATTTTTATGAATTATTTTAAATAAATAACCAGGAAAAATGGAGGTTGGCATCCCTATGTATTTTCGGCTAGTCAAATCAATGAAAAATATTTTCAATAGAATTTTTTATTTAGTTTATCCCAACATATATGATAGTTTTTTTCTCATAATTCTGTAATCTACCGAATCAAGATAAATAGAAACAACATAATAAATACAGTTTAGTTTTTAATTATCTATATAAATATTTAAATAGCGTGCATTATTTCTATTATTACTAAAATAGAGAGTTTTTGTTTAGTGGGATATAAAATAGCCCGCAAAGGTGTTATCGTTTGGACCATTGCCAATCTTCCTGTCTACTTCAATAAGCAAAATACCGCTTTCTTGGCAAAATTTGTTTGTTGTTCAACTGAACAGGTGAACTTGCACCAGGTAATGTGATGTGATTCCTCCTCTTTATTTTTATTTTCAATGATCAAACCATCATAAGCGATGATGTAATTAGTCTACCAAAAAAAAACCTAAAAATCAAACAAAAATTTAATGATATTTACCTAAATTAAATGAATTAATCGATTATTCTAAGACTAGAAGTAAGGAAATAAAAAAGTGACTTACGTTTGTATCAAGTACTCCATTACCATCGGTGTCATACAGCCTGAACATGACTGAAAATAAATATAAATTTAAAAATTGGCAATAAGAAAAAGATTAAAATTAATTGTAATGTTGAGTGGAAGAACGTATAATTTTTCTATATTTAAACAAAAAAAGTTATGTTGTTTTTATTCTGGAGAGAAGGATAGCCCTTGAACACAATTTTGTCTTCAAAATATATATAAATACAAAGAAATATATATTTGGAGATCAACAGAAAATTTTTCATAAATTATCTTTATTTTATGTATCAAAAAATCCAATATCCAATATGAAAGACAGTTCGATCGCTCTATATATTTATGTTCATTCTGAACATATTAATTATAATGTCATTGAGTTGTTCTTTAAATAATAGAATAAATACGCTCCTTCTGCGGAGCTTGTATATAACTACTTGCACATATCTTATATATTTATTATTTTACTACTTGCACCTAACTTGTATATATTTATATTTTTCATGCCATGTCGATTCTGTTCTACAAGAATTTATGCTCTTAAACTTCATTTATTTATTTTCTTATTATTTTTGTTATATATATTTTATTTTTTACTAAGATATAATACATACATTTTTATTTCTTTATATTTTACTTCTTACTCTATCTATTTTAATTTGTACTCATCTATCAGAGGAATATATTTTTCATTTACTGTTTTCCTTCCTATTTTTGTTATTTCTTTATTATCATGTTTTATTTTTTTAAAGATAAGTAGCTATTTTTCTGTTTCATTTTTTTTTTTAGTATTGTATATAGTTATATGTATTTTGTAAATAGTTTCATTATTTGATTTTCCATGTATTATTAGTATGCTTAGTTGTATTATGCCTTTATTAATTAATATAATAGCTCTGGCTGGAAGTAATTCTTGTTTTGTGTATCATTCTGTTATTATTGAGGGACTTCGTATCAGAATAAATTTATTTTTCTATTTATAATAAGTTCGAAAATTTCATTAATGATAATCTCGTATTATTAGTAATTGTGGTCATTTACTGTAAAAACTTCCCAATGTTTAATGAAATACCAAATACCGATTCAAACCTTAATTTGAATTTAATCAACATTACAAAAAAAAATAATCGATTTATTTTAGAAAGTTATAAAATATATCACATGATAATGAAATATATCACCATTACTCTGTAATAAAAATTAGTATTAAGTAATAAAATAATTTATTTTACTCAATTAAATTTGAAAAAAAAACAATATTGATACATTCGCATACGATGAGACGTCAATTAGTAATTGACAATTATGCAGTATTGGTACTTTTTAACTTTCTGACTCTGTAACTCGGTGCCACGTTAAAATACAATTTTCAATTATTGGTCACTACAAAGAGGATGAAATGCTGTATATTTTCAGCGCTTACAGTATCCAGCTCCGATTTATAGTTTCTAAGATTTTTTAATCCAAATGCAAAATTTAATCGACTCGAGCCGACTTTTCTTGAATGATTGTCAAATAGCCGAGCGTGACGGCCCTGCCTCATTCAGTACTCACAAAATAAGTCTTCACTTAAAAAAATAAATAAATTAATAAATAAAACTAGCCTAGTAGTGTATAAACACCAGTACAGCGGCAATTCAATGCTGCAAATTAAGATCAAACTCAATCAACAGGTTGGAACTGATTTATTAACAACTCGTTATAAGTCACAATACGAGAAATCCCCTAAGCTTCCTTAAAGCCAGCTCATAAAAATCAAGTGCTTGGATTTCACGAGGCAATTTCCCAGATATCCCACTTAGATATCACTTAACTTAGATACGTCCTATTTATTTTAAGACCTAATTGTTTTCCGCTTTTCATCGAAGTTATCGGATTAATTTTAATAATTTCCAAAACTTCTATTAGCTACACAAAATCATCAGTGCATCTACTCAGATTTAAAAACCTTTCTCGGTACTAAGTATATTATTAATGATGTTGGTATTCGATTGTTAAATTAAATAGAAATGGGGAACGTGTGTCCTCCTGTTTTCTTCCTCAAGGGACATTGAGCATTTTGGAATACAGATTACCGAGCGCTAATATTTCGGGAATAAGTTGTCCTTTGTACTGAACTCTTGTGAGCATTATAACTATCGGAGAAACAACGTTTTTAGACGGATAAATGTAATCAGAAACGACATGATTAAACAAAAAAAGAAATACTCACATTCGAGTTTATCTTCTGGCCTGCCGGCTTCGATGAGGGACAGGTAGCAGACTATGTCCTTCAGAGGAACTCGAAGGGTGCTGAGGTCAGTCATGCTATGTTTGCGAGGCAAATCTGAAAAGAAAATATTGGTATCAATTTGTGCCAAAATTACTAAATTAAACATAAAAGTCATTACTTAAGTATATATTCATTCAGTCCTAAATACATTGGGTATAATAGTAATTAGTAGTTTGGCTGACCATAACAGAATTAAGACGATTTTGGATGCATTTTTAAACGCTTATAAAAATGCAAATTATTGCATCTGCATTTGGATCATTTCACAGAGAAAAATGTGCCACTAGAGATAACAAAATGTAATTTTGGACAAGTTGGCCCGAATAAGCTATTCTTCTTTTAATTCCAAACTCGTTGGTCAATCTAACCCTCTAGTTCATAATCTATCATTTAAACCAAATGATAGATACTTCCCGCAAGCACCTCCTATTGGGCCGTGGAAGTTTCTTGGATTACATGGTAAAATAAAAAAAAATATGAAAATTAATATATCACTAAAAGATGAGCTAACTTCAACATTTATTGCATGGGTTATTTTTCATAGATAGCTCAGTTCGCAACTGAAGTGTCATTCATAGAAAAAGATTTTTTTTTCATCACAAGCTATGGGCCGAGTGCCTTAACTGATCTGAAACCCTCCGGGGGGTCTGAAAAGAAGATGGCTAAGGGATTTTCTAAATTAATCTAACCATTGAAGTGGTACCAATAGATAGCTTCTTCACAACACTATCATGTTTTATATTCTTATGTCCTTATTGGAAAAGGAGGAAGAACCAGGAGCAGTACACAATGTTTAAGGAGCCCGATGTGATTCGAGTGATGAAGACAGCAAGACTGAGATGGACAGGACACGTCGCCAGGATTGGCAGTGATGTCCGCCAAGACAACTGCTGATGGAGCCACTCCATGGTGCCAGAAGAAGAGGAAGACCAATGCAACAATGGGCTGATGGTGTTTCAGCTGATGCAACAAATATGGTGAGACCGGGACCAATAGGCGGATCTGCTGGAGGAGGCTAGGATTCGACAACGGATTAAAGCCACACTAATAATAATAATATTCTTATCGCATATTTACTTGTTGTAAATTTCAATAAATGAATAAAAAAAGGATTCGAACTAGAGCCAGAAGAACAATAAGCGAGTAAAGTTGACCTATTTTGAGTGTCGATTGATGACATGAACGCTTACATCTGTTGTAATAAATATTTTTCGAAGAAAGTTATCACTCTAATAAAGGCCTCAATAAAGTATCCATTGGCTTTAATACCCCGTTCCTGATGGCGTGTGTTAGGCGCAGTCTGTCCGATTATTTATTTATTTATTTTGTGCTACTATTCTCAACAGTTATTCTCTTTTATCAAACCTCTTCTAAAAAAAATATAAAAGGCAATTAATATATATCAGTTAAAGATTTCAGTACTTTTAGTAACAAATGGTATTGCCAAAATGATTTAGGAACAAATCCTGAGAAATTAATTGCGTAACAAATCTCACTGTTGGGCAAGAAGAAGCCGATTCTTTGCCAGTAGATAACATCAATGGAGGGATACAACTTTGTCGGAAATCGGAAAGCCATTTTCTGGTGATTAACAGCGATCCTGATTAAGCTCTTATATCCTGGAACGAGGTTTCAGCTTGTATATCAGTTTATATGTACAAAAGTGGATTTTATCGAAAATGCAACTGGATTGAAGTTAATTGTCAATAATGTATCTAAAAAAACCCGGAGCTATAACTTCCATAGATTTTCATTTTTATAGGTTTCCGTACCTGAAAGATAAATATAGAGAGGAATTCGGGGAGAGAAATTTTTCAGTACGAGGATTTCGGTTTGGAAGTAGACGGGCAATTCCTCTTTCAACTGCTAAATTTTGGAAAAGCTAGGTGTTGAAAGGTATGACAGGTATACAGAGTCCATTGTTTTGGACTCACTGGGAGTCCTGCAACATCACCTCAATTAAATTAGGTTATTGCTTTCTGGATCCAGGTGGCAGAAGTTTCGGGCCCATAAGTCTGTATATATTTCTATAATTATATCTGTTCCGCCATGTCCATTTTTTTATTAAATAATTTAGTAAATAATAAAAGCATTTTAATAGCTCAAAGTTATAGAAAATTGGCTCCCTGAACAAATAAAAAAATGTGATATGGCATCCTTTACCTCCGGAGTATACATTTACTAACTAAAAAAAAAACAAATTTTAATAGCTGAACATTATGGAAGATTGACTTGCCTCAATAAATAAAAAAATGGACTTGGTGTTCTTTACTTCTGAGGGACAGATATAAACAAAATAATTATTACAAAACCATCCATCAACTCAAATTTGTTTTCTCTTCATATTTTACTTCACACTTGTCTTGACAATAAGCAGATGTGATGTTAAAGTAAAGGAAATTGGCATTTTAGGCATTTTTTTGTGCTATTATTCTCAACACTTGTTCTCTTTTCTAATACCGCGTCTAAAACAAATATAGAAGGCAATTCATATTGAGGAAGAATAGTACCCAGCAGTACCTCTTCCTGGTCTTGGTTTACTTTCTTATTTAAGGAAAGGAGATCTCTCATCCAGCTCCTCTTTAGTCGTCTCCCGATGGGCACTTCAGCTGGGGCCATGTCGTTAATAAGTCTGTTGTGATGTGCGTGTAGTTTAAGGTGAAATCGGGAGTAGAGAGTACGTATGTGTTGATCGATAGTTGGTTATCGTAAGTCGTAAGCAAAGGAGCTGATGTTATTAGTCTTTTGGATTGAAATGATTGTACTTTTTGTGCATCTGTTTTTCAAAACCGTAAATTTGTGAGGTGTATGTCCATATGGGTTTAAGTAGGTAAGTTTATGTGTTTAGTATTTGTCTGATTTTCAGTTTTGATTTGGAAGTGAAAAGTGAGTATAGTATTTTCAGTCGGTTGTTCAAAGTCTTTCCTTTCATTTTAAAATGTGGGCACCAGGTCATCCTTCTGTCGAATATTAGCCCGAGATAACGTACAGTGTCCGTCTGAGGGATTTTGTTGTCGCCGAAATAAACAGGCAGGCACGTGTCTCGTCGAATTTATTTATTTTTATTTTTAATTACCAACATATTCAAAACATACAAATTATAACTAATAACAAAAAAATATTGTAGCATTGATAAAATAAACGTATTACAGTTATTTGTTTCTATCTTCAAAATACAAACAATTACAAATTAAACAATTTAATATTACTCGCGGGACATGCAAATAGTAACTTTTGATCAAATTCGTCCATACATTCTGTTTTCTAATTTGTTTCGATATTTATTTTTTACAGGTATTCTTAAGTAGTTATCTGTAATGTATTGAGTTTCGTAAATAAATAACCTGTTCCAATCAAGCAGCAAAATAAACACAAAATAAGATTTGTAGTTTCATGTGAGACAACGCAGTTGGCATTAGATTACAAATATATTATGCAGGTATATAAATATCAATAAAAATCTTATATTTTTAAATATTCATATTATATTTCCATTCATATAAGAACCTTATATTTTCATCAAAATGATATAATTATCAAGATAATAATAATTTAGAGGAAGTTCTATTAGGTTGGGGAAGAATTAGTGGTTTGAACTGAAGTTGGAACGTATCCAAGGGAACATTAGGGCCAAATTGGAGACATTAGTTTCATTTGACTCTACACCTCCCACTCAGGAGCAAAATAAAAATTATTTTCACTAAAACGGCTCAGTTGAATTGTATTTGTGTGTGAGTATTGATTAAATTTAATTAATTAATGGGCGATTTTTTAAATTGACTAAACAATAGAAAGAGATAACTATTAAAAAGAGAATTGTAGAAATTTGTTCAATATGGTGAAACAATTTTGATTAACAACTTCTTAAAAAATATGTCAATATCTTGCTTACAGTTTTTAAATAAATTAAAAATTAATTATAACATTTTAGATGATCATAAAGCATAGCCCTTTATGTATATTATAGGAACAACAAGACAAATTATTTCTTAAAATATGCATTAGTTAGTCAAATGCATGGCTTTGTCTTAGTCCTGCTCCAATAGATTTATTTTACTTATACATTTTTCGTATCTCAATACAGCTACAAAATTAATATTAACTTAATATTTCTTTAGGAATAAAGTTGGCAGAAATACTGGCAAGCATTGAAATCAGTATAAATGCTGTCGCGAAGAATACAAGTAGAAAGGCGTTGACAGGCGTGAGGAAGAGGAGTAAGTTATCGAGAAATGTTTTGTAGTGTGTTCGTATCTGGTCGCTAACTGTTGGCCGGTCAAGATATTTATATAAAGTAATGTCTGGTGACATCATGGATCTTTAGTTATAGTGGTGACAGTTTTTGACAGAAATGTTTGTACCTGTGAAGCGTAGATCCAAATGTGCTTAAGCTGTTTTGATACTGTATCATGCTAGATAATAGAAACTGTTGACCACAAGATAATAAATCAGGAATTTTAACTTCTATTTCATTTATTTTGAAAGAAATTTTTGAAAATTCATGCTTTGAAAACATTGAAAACTTACCATCAGACTTTCCGTTGTTTACAAGGAGGGAATTATTCGATTTTCTGGACGAATTCCTGCTAACTTGAGAATGGCTTGGGGAAGAATCCGTACTTTTCTTATCGATGACTTCATGGCACGAATACGATGTGTGGGTGACAGTAAGCATTGGGTGGACCGAAGCTCCTATACTACCTGCGATGTTAGTTAGTCTATATTATTATAAACATTTAAAATAAAACATAAAAATACCTTCAAGAACAGTAAGCAGAGAGATTTCTATGAAGATATTTATGGTCTCTGGTTATAACTAGTTAAGTCGAAAAATGGTCCTCACCACTAGAGGATCCTGGATTTAATTTTTTTGGGGGGGCTTCAGCCCGAAAGCTTTTTTTTCTTAAAATAAAAATAATGATAATTACTTTGGAAAAAATAAAGACACTGACTACCTATATGAAATGGTGTTTAAGTGATTCCTAAACTACTTTTAAATCTAATTACACGAACAATAATAATTTAAGAGATAATTTTTTTCCATAAAACATGGTTATATTTTACATTTTTTTTGGGGGGGGAAGGAGGGAGACTTCAGCCCGAAGGCTCCTCTCATCGTAGATCCGTCTGTGGCCCTTAAGAGTTCTGTGAATTGAGATCATCTTCCAAGCCTTCTAAACACCGCGAAGAAGTTAGTAAATTCACAGTTCTCTCGTATTGCGAGTTACAAACTTCTTCGGTGTTTGGAAGGCTTGGAAGATGATCTCAATTTACAGAACTCATGAGGACTATTTTTCGACTTAACTAGTTATGGCCAGAGACCAAGACATTAGAAGCAGTATCAACGCCAATTTCGTTGATAATGAGAGACAGGATAGATAAAGGGATGGAAAAAAAGAAAAGAAAAGATTTTCATTCAGCAACTACTTTATAAATTTGTTCAAACTAAAAATATATTTTTCTTTAAGGCTCCTACACGTAGAACGCGATATTTCCCGGCGATAAGATATCCTTTGTCGGATATCACTGCAGATTATCGCGGTATGTGGGATTGCTATAATGCAATATATCGCCATACCACCACCGACATGAATATCGTATCGCCTAGACATATCGGATTGTGTGTGGTAGGAGCCTTTATTTTGAGCGAGTTAGGCTAATATAAAGACAATATTATTTGTGTACTATTTTTTTCTATTGAATGTATTAACAAACAAAATTAATAATGTGTTATAAATTATTATATACTTTGATAATGGATGGCCATTTTCAAAATCCAGAAATCATCAGAACCTTTTAGGACTATATAAAGTTTTAAAAAAAAATGAGCTTTTGACTAACATCGAGACAAATGATATCAATGTATAAAAATAGTTCACACATACGATGTTTTTTTAAATATTATAAAAGTTAAGGGGTATTAAAACTGATGCAAAATCTTTAAAAATAAATAAAACCTTTTAAATTAAAAATAGTAAAACTCCGCTTATACAAATACTACATATTTGAAATCCGGATTATTTCCAACGTGTTTATTTTGTTTTTGTTGGCCTATTTTACTTGTAGATACTTTTATATTCAGACGTTTTCTAACAATAAAAAGTTTTTATTCAACTCATATACTTATTTTTAACATGTTATATAATGTTGCTTTAAATTACGAAGAAGAAAACCAAGCGACTATAACAGCTTTTAGTACTTATTAAAATGTGATCTTAAATTGCAAGAGAATAGAACTTTTATAAATTATAATTAATGTTGTTTATGAATATTACACTTGGGAAAAATAAGTAAAACCCACTATCTAAATAATTTTCTTTATACATTATTTTTCCTTCTTTTTTTTTATTCTGTTTTGAGTATGAAACAGAATTTCGATCACCGATGTGAGTAATTTTTTATTGTTTTTGTTATTTTTTATCTTTTCTATTCATAAGAATGTATTTTTTTGAAGTGTATTTTATTTTATTTAAAATTACTTTATTTTTTACTTATCTTCTGCACTCTCCTCTCTATGTGCATATGTATATATATGGATGTGTTTGTTTGTATTTTTGCTGGTTATCTATTGCGTCATATGTAGATCACAATATCTTCACATGTTTTCACTTAAACGACTTAAGGGAATATATATAAAACATTTATTTACTCTAGTTATTTTCTTTTATTCTTATTGTTTTGTAGCACTAAAATTGGTTACCTATAAAACGTTTTTAGCATTTCTTTCCAATTTTATTTAGTTATAAGTATGTTGTTGTTTTTGGCACCAATATTATAATATTGTAACCGTTGTACCCATCCGCTTTTCTTAATATACCCTCCAAAACTATGTATATCTTCATTTTATTACTTAGATTGTAGTTACTCTTTATTATAATTGGTCATCTGGCCAGATTTATTGTCAATTGGTCTAAACAATATTGTTATTCTCAAGGGATCTAGTCCTAGAATAAAGATGATTTTCTATTTCTAAATATGGTTGCGAATATAGAGCTACAAAATATAAGCATTTTTTAAAATCATGCACCCCGAAGCAAGGGCCGCTTAAACATAAAAAAATAACTCCCCATAAAAATAAAATAAATTAAAGCCTGGAACCTTTATTGGCCAAAGGTGTGTCTCGATTTGGTTATCTCGTAGTGAAGAGGAATATTAAAATAAATAATAATAAATAATTCTATGATAAGTGGTTGAACTTACCCGCTCTGGTCCTGGGGGTGGAGTCGTCGTGGTGGCCGAGGTGGAGCCGCCCGGTGAGGCCTTGCAGTTTCTCGGCGATGTAGTGAGTGGGCTTGAGGACCAGGCTCTCGCTCACCGAGCTGGCACCGTAGACGTTGGGGACAGAGGTGGTCTGACCAAGAACTCCAGTCTTCTGCAGGCATTGCATATTATCACTAGTTAATTAACTAACAGGGGGGGGGGAGTAGGGAAATGGGGTCACTGACTTCAAGCAAACTTACTAGGGTCATCTACTAGGACGAGAAATGTTTGGAACGACGTTTCTTCCCAATGAGCCGTTTTTGGCCCAATGCGTAGGAGCTCAGAAAAAAGTAATTCTGAAAACCTGATGGTTGACCGCAGTATATTTTAGAGGAAGGAGATGGTCCCGGGCTGGAGGTCATAAAAAGACTAAAATAGTGAAAAAAACTATTTTATTTCAAGTCGACGTTTCGACCCGAATTTGCAGGTCGAACAAGATACAAAAGGATATAGAAAATTGTGGAAGTAATAAAATTGTGGAATATATAGATAAAAAATATAAAACACGTGAATAAACTTATTAAATATATTACATGAGCATGCTTTAGAATACTCACAGGGCAGTATTTCCTTCAGAAGCACATCCACCGCATCGGTATAAAAGATAGCCCGACATGCCTTCTGTGTTCCTTGGACAAGATGACAGGAGAACATCTTGATACATGCTCCGATACGTTACAAGCCATAAGATGTTGCTTTAGTGAAATGGACAGCCCTTATGATAGGAGAGCAAAATTATATTTAACTGCAAGAGCACGCATGGCTGATTAATCAGGCGTTACTTAGGCGTAGACAAAAAAAAACAAAACAAAAAAAAACGGATATATATATATATATACTTATTAATTTATAATTTTAATAAGTTTATTCACTGCCAGTTTATAATTTTTATCTAAATATTATGTAACTTCCAAATTGGCTTTGCAGGTGTTCTTCAGGGAGGTGTCGTCAGCTAGGAGTTTCACCTAAAACTAGGTTTCAGTTCACAACTCCGTTTTTTTTTTGTTCTTCCCTACTTCGCCTTTTAAGGCTATACAGGATTTTCCCGGACCGGGGGGCGAGGGCGGGAAATTTAAAAACCCCTCCGGCACCGGGACGCAACTCGTACTTTTTAAAATCTTCTCAAATCAGTAATCCGGTTGCCAGGCAACTCGCGGTGCTGTGCACACGCTTTAGCTCATTCGGCCACCCCACCCCCAAGATAGTTCACACCTCCCTGAAGAAGACCTACAAAGTCGGGTCGAAACGTCGGCTTGAAATAAAATATTTTTTTCACTATTTCAGACTTTTTATGACTGCAACCCCGAACCATCTCCATCCTCTAAAAAATAATTTATATAACTTCAACATTTTATTGTTTTCTGCCATTGTTCTACATGGATATCTAGTTTATGATATGCCAATGAAATAAAAATATATAAATTTTGGACTGGAGGATTTTTTTTTTCTGCCGTTCACTAAAACATTCATAACTCCTCAGGAATTTCTTCAAATTCAACGTTACTATAACCGTTGGAAAATTGAATTCTTACTCTTTCAACGAATATCAATAACCTTACAACGTCAGAGAAAATGATTCTTCAATAAAATCTTCTTAACCATGCTTTGTGTCTCCCAGCGAGGATGTGTCTTCTACGATCAATGTCTTCTACGAAGAAGAAGTTCGGTGAGCTTATCTTCAAAAAACGTCTTTGGATCCCGGTCCCTTATTCATTCACCATAGATGACTTATCCATCTCAGACGCATGTTCCCGGCCATGTACCTATTTATGTCAAAATAGGTACTCTGCCTCTTCTTCTATTGCCTGCCACTCTCCGGTGGTTTATTTTATAAGCTTATAAGCCATCACTTCTACAGGGAAGAGTAGGAAGTTAAATGACCTTAAAGATATCGCTTGGATGACTTTGTAAACGCATGGGGAAGGTTATTGAAAGGTTTTGATGTGTTTGATTCTTTGTTTTTTGACAGCTAGAATGTCATCAATGTATTCATCAAGTTCTTTGCCTTCTGAATCATCTGTATCTTCATTCACGCTTTCTAATAAAGCATTTTTAACAAAACAATTCAGCAACTCAGTCTTTTTTACTTCGCTTATGCATTTTAAAAATAAATCAAAACATTAGTAGATAAAATAAGAACTCATCGACTTTGTTTACAGTACAGACATAACCTTACTATAACTAATAACACTTTAGGATGTTAGATCAGATAGGTTATTTACCATTCAAGCACAATTAGTGCTGGCTGCTTAGCATGATAGCACATTAACCATTTACAACAAGTACATGAATTGTTGAATGAACTGTTAGGGAATCAAAAGTGATATTTATTTTATAAATATTTAAAAGTTTCACATATTGTTGAAATATGCATATGTGGATAATTGTTATTGTTGTTATAAGAAGTCTATAAGTCAAAAAGTCTAAAATCTCTGTGTAAAGTTTGTAGTGAAATACAAGTGAGTTTATTTCAAATACAGAGTACTAAACTTTATTCTATTTCGAACCTAGGGATCAGATATAACGGTTAGTTATATATTGAACCTAATCCGAACATAAGTGGTGACCGTGACAGGACCTGTTGAGTGTTCTATTTGCTAATTTTGACTGAGTTCAAAATGGAAAGTAAGAAGTATTTTCCGCCCTGACTTCACAAGCTGCGCTAACGAGTTAGAAAAATTGATTAAACGTGATAATTTTGAACAAGTGTACGCTTACTCGGAGTTTTTGAAGGAGAAGTTTGAGATTTTGGAATTGATACAGAAGGAAATATTAGAACTTTCAATAGAAAATGATGTATCCTATGAAGAAATGATATCAGATGAGGAAGTGGCTGATGTATATAGGAAAAGGTATGAGATAGTTAAAATTAAGTACCAGAACGTCATTAAAGGTGATAAAATTTCTATTAGAAATAACGATCGACATTATGTTAATTCGGGTTTTAACAAAAGAAGATTTGATTTGTTTGAAACTGCTTTGAAAGTTTGTGAAAATAAAAAGACATCATCCATCCATGGCCAGATTTTTGGTGTCGGAGCATTTAACTATGAAGATGAAGACACATGTGCTAAAGATAATGCTAATGAAGATAGCATTACAACATTTGAGGATGAAGATGAAGACATGTATGGTAAAGATGATGCTAAGGAAGATAACATTAGAAAATTTAAGGATGAAGATCAAGACACATGTGTTAAAGATGATGCTAATGAAAATAGCATTAGGGCAATTGAGGATGAAGATGAAGAAATTTATGTTAAAAATGATACGTTCAGATATCCAGATATGACGTGTCTTTGAAAGCTTGTGCTACTTTGAAGGAGGAAAGAAAGACAAATGCTCGTAGTGACTGAAAATTACAATGGCATGGAAGGCCGTATACCAGCTAAAATCCAAAGTTATGGAATAAAATATTGTCAACCTTATCAACTACAACCTGACTTTGATCCAAATATTACTCAGAGAAAATTAGGATTTGGTCCTGAAATTGATGGAAATGTACAGGAAGTGAGAGGAGAATATATAGTTAATTTCTCTGAAATAGCGATCATTTTAGGAGAATCATTGCCTGAGCATCGAAAGGAAGTCGAAACTGATCTCAATGGAGAAACACAGACTAAAGAAGACAAAAGATCTGATGAGTTAAGTTTTAGACCATTCATTGGTTATCCTGTCAAGCCAGTGAGATATGAAAGATATCTTGGCTTTATAAAGATAAAAGCTAACGATACTTTGAAAAATATTCACTCTAAGAAATTGCCTCAAAGGATCCGAAAAGAGAAGACTGATAAAAATGATGGAATTAAAATTCAAAATATAAACGATATTCAAAATTCATCAGGTGCTGATACGGTTGATGCTCCACAACTAATGTATGGTCCCTCATTACCCAATAAATCAATTTTCATAGAGAAAACTACTACAAATGAAGACAGTAGTGAGTCATCTTCGTATGAAATAGAATGGATCAAAGAAGGAATTCTAGGATTTGAAGACTGAAGAGAGTTCTTTCGGTTATGTTTCACTATTTTTGAATTTTATGAAACAATTTAAAACTCCTCAGGTGGGAGGATGTTAGGGAATCAAAAGTGATATTTATAAATATTATATTATATTATATTATAAATATATTTATAAATATTTAAAAATTTCACATATTGTTTAAATATGCATATGTGGATAATTGTTATTGTTGTTATAAAAAGTCAAAAGGTATAAAATCTCTGTTTGTAGTGAAATAAAAGTGAGTTTATTTAAAATACAGACTACTCAACTTTATTCCATTTCGAATCTAGGGATCAGATATAACGGTTAGTTATATATTGAGCCTAATCCGAACAAATACTCCTATCAATACACTCTCGTTCATCGCAATCCGTATCGGATAGAATATTAAAAGCTCATGGAACATGAATTCCTGAGTGGATAAAAACTGGTGTAAACAGGATAATGACCTAATTGAAGCAAGTATTTGGACAGGAGCGGGCGATATTGGGCTGTGTAGGCCTGCGAAGCGGTGTGTCGCTGCATAATTAGAGGCAGTCGGTTTGGACCGAATTAGCTCGCCCATTATCGGGTAGCAACACCTATTAGTTAAGGCCATGTCCAATACTCAAATGTATTATGTCTACGGAGGTTCAACAAGGCATTTAAGCTAAGTATGATAATTCGAACCAGGAATGACGAACACGAAAATTAATGACTAGAAGTCTTCATAAATTTATAAAAGAAATAGGTTTACACATATCTGCGACATGGAGGTGAAGTTTTAAATTATAAATTTTAATAGCTCGAAGTTATGGAAATTTGGCTCTCATGAAGAAATACTAAACTGGACATGGTGGTCTTTAGTTCTGGGGTACAGATATGTAAGAGAAAGTAGTGGATGGAATTTTAAAAAATTGATAAAGAATTAATTTATTGTAGTAATGTTTGCAGAAAACACGGGTACTTTTAGATGACAGAATATCAAATCATACCAATTTTTGCACACTATGAGCAAATATTATTTCATCTCAAGTTAATCTAAACATATTTTGAAATAAATATCTACAAAATTAATATGGAATTAATGCTTGTTAAACAAGGATGTTTTTTAATAGTGGAATATCTGTAATTACTTACTTACTTACTATGTAGCTCTACAGTCCAGGGTGGGCCTTGGTTTCCTGATTTATAGCATGCCAATCATCCCTATTGCTCGCTCTTTCCTTCCGATTCCTCACGCCCACTGTTCTAAGGTCGCTCTCAACATCTTGTAGCCATCTTTTCCTCAGTCTTCTCCTTCATTTTGTGCCATACATTGTAGAGAACAATACCCTAAAAGGCATCCTGCTGTGGTCCATTCTACCCACGTAGCCTAACCATCCCTTACGCCTAATTTTAACGAAATTAACTATGTTGGGGCTATTATATAATTCATATAACTCCGCATTTCTTCTATACCTCCACACACCCGCTTCACAAACAGCTCCATAAATTTTTCTCAATATTTTTCTTTCAAAAATATTCAGCATAATAATTGTGCTAGTACAAAGGGTCCATGTCTTTTAGGTTTTAGGTTGGCATAGTACGCCCGGTTTCCAGCCATGATCCTCTTGTACACCTCAGCAGCAATTTTATTTTCACAAATCACTTCCACTCCCATATATGTGAATTTTTTGACACACTCGAAAGTGAAACCACATATTTCAATGCTCTGTGGACCAGCCTCATTGTCGCCTCCGACCTCATTTTTAATAGTGGAACATCTGTAAATACTTAGAGAGTGATAAAAAAATCGCCAATAATTCATAATTTTTTAAAAACAGAACTTAGCTTAGTTTATCCACTCAAATGTTCTCTTAAAATCGTTTTAAATGAATCTACCAATTTTTCAGAATTTGGCTCCAATTTTCTTGTTGGTGTCCTATATAAGCATACAAGTTCTAGAATAATGGGTAGGTATCGATTTAAAGAACATGCATCCTAGGCTAGACAAAGTATCTACATAAGCTCTGCCCCTCTTCAGCATATTAAAGTGCTTTATTCTTTAATAATTTTGCATGAATCTTAAAAAAAAAATTCCAACTTTTTCTTTTATATTTTTAATTTAATATGGTCATTTTTCTCCAACCAGTCTGCAGTATTTCAGCTTATCCACTTCATCTAATTGTTCCTGCTAACTCCATCTTAGTAATTTATTTTGATAATATTTTAGTACTGATGAACTTTGCCAAGTAAGCACTCACCATTCCAGGCCGGGGCACTGCAATTTTTACACCACATAACACAAAACTTCATCTCAAAAAAGAAATAGCCCTCGGCCGGCAATCCATGTAGAACGAGAGCCCACCGAGCAAATTGAAGGAAATCAAACAATCAGTAAAATCGTTGCCCACCTCCAATTGCCCTATTCGAACAGCCTGAACTAAAATTCCTACACTGCTACAGTACTCTCATATTCTCCAGTGGTGTCCTTATTACATATTAATTCTAAGCAAATAATGATGAAGTTAGAATTAGGTCAGTTATACATTTTCTCAAAGCAAATGATTCGATAAACAAAATTTAAATTTTATTTATTTAATATAATAACCAGCTGATTTTAATCCACCTCTTCGTTGAAGGGTATATAGTGAAAATGTGAGAATCTTTTTTTTGGGATGGATATTGTATCATGGGGGGATCCAAATTTAATTTCATAATATTGGGTGGGGTAAAAGAGGTAATTTTAATTTTGAGGAGTTTTTCTTCCGATTTTCGGCTAATCCGTTTGGTTACTCCCAAAAATGCATATATTTGTTAGGCTAGGGAAGGGAATCGAATGACACCTTGAGAGGGAAGTTGGAAAATGAGTGTGTTTTACACGTTTTTTAAGCGACAACGCGTTACAGATGTTGAGGATTTCGGATTTTTCCGGTTGAGTTGTGATGAGTTTTTCCATCAGTTGAAGAGTACAATTTTTAAATGTGGCTCGCGATAGAGCAGGTTGGAATGAGAATCGAAGCAACTGCCTAATTATGACGTCTAGACAAATAACTCAAAAATGTATAACTTTGGTTCTACTCAATATTTTGTTTTCATTCAAAGCCTATGTTTAAGGTCAAACAAACCTAAATATAATGTCAAAAGTCTACCATTAGCCATTGTTGAGCTTACTCCTGACAAAATTTCGTTGGACAATGCGGACATACAGACAGACAAAAAATCCTTTAAAAGTGGATTCGATGTCTGTAATGTAAGGAATGGAAAGATATTATGAAACGGGTTTATTCTAATCAATGTACAGACAAAACATTTATTTTATTTATATAGATGATCTTTAATCTATAAACGTATGTTTATTATCAACATTTATTATCAACATTAACCGAGATCTCTAGACAAATTAATCCAAGAATTCATAACTTTGGTTCTACTCAATATTTTGTTTTCATTTAAAGCCTATGTTTTAAGTCAAGCAAACCTTAATATAATGCCAAAATTTCAACAGTCTACAATAAGCCATTGCCGAGCTTACCCTTGACAAAACTTCGTTCCAATGCGGACATACAAACATTTTTTTAGAAGTGGATTTGATGTCTGCAATGTATGAAACGGTAAGATATCATAAAACAGGCTGATTCTATTCAATATACAGACAAAACCTTTGTTTTATTTATATAGATTTATTATAGAGATAATTAAAATGAAGATTAGGTAGGCGGTGATGACCTCGCGGATTTACGCTTCTAAACCCCAAATAACAACAACTAATGAAATTTATTTTTATTTTTTAATTTTAAGAGTTAACGCCACCTTTATTGAAGATAATAAGGATAGAGCGTCCCAATTCAATTTACTTCCACCACATAATTATTTCAAGCTCAGTTGAATAATTTCTTAACGAAAAGCTCAAGGAGTCCATTTATATAAATATTTGATGGGCACGGCAAACTAGGAGTGAGCATTGTATGAAAAATAGAAGAATGCATTGTTGCGTGCTGGAAACAATGAAGCTCAAGGGAAATCACTACCTTCATCACCTGAAAACTTAAACAAGCTCAAACATTAACGGCTACTAACTTGTTTCAACAGGTCTACGACTTTCACGTGCAGTCTTAAATTTCTTTATTTATGATTTCTCAAGCTGACAGAAAGTTAATGGATTACGCAGGGATCAAAAACGATTACCCTTATGGAACACATTGGGTATCCATTAAGATTTTTTAATGAGATGTTATATAACATAATTATAATGTAAAAAATGGAATGTGATTAGGAAAACGTCGTTTAATTTAATAATTATTTTTAAACAATTAGTTAACTTATTATTGGAATATTCCAAAAAACGCCTTCGGTTCGGGATACCCAAACTTAGGTATACCTGAATTCGTTTATTAAATTTGATAAAAGACTAAACTGGGTGTTGGGTCCTTAGTTTATAATCGTTGCGTAGTGGGCGGGAGTGGCCGAACGGGCTAACGCGTGTTCACAGCACCGTCGTTGCCCGGCAACCTGAGACAAATGATAACAAATATTCACGAGTTCGCATCCCGGTGCCGGGGGAGTCTTTTAACCCTCCTTCCTCCCTCCCCCCCAAAAAAGAGTTTATGATCGTTGCACAGTGGTGCCGATCGTCGATCTAAGAGGACAAAAACAACTTTCAAAATATGAAAGATGTAATGTATATAATACATTCCCTATACAAATTCAAAAACCTCCTATTCCAATTCCTGTTCCAAAAACAGCCAGATACCAGCTAACTATTAATACTATATATGTATTGTGTAGCAATCATATAATCATATGATAATACTTGGTAAGAGATAGTACATGCATTTCCTACTATCGACGTAGCAATTTCAATACATACATTTTTTTTATTCAATTATAATTAACTGTTTCTTTATATATATATATATATATATATATATATATATAAAGTAAAGTTTTTTTTATGAAATGAACTCATTCTATCTCTTTTTCGTTCATCTTTTCTCAAAGTGTATGTTTATGTTGTTCAACCCTTATATATAGTTTTGTTCATAGTTCAAGTGATTCGTTCATAGTTTTAATTGTTTAGTTCATAGTTTTATCTGTATTGTATATAGCTTGTGCACCTAAGATTTTCTTTACTTTTTAGTTTATTTTATCAATTTTATTTATTGTTTCAAACTTTTAGGCAAGTAATATTCTATTCTTTTGTACAATATTGTTATTCTGAAGGGACTTAGTCCCAGAATAAAGTTTTTTTTTCCATCTATCTATCCATGATCCTTTTTATAGATAGTTGGTGACATAAAAAGTGACCTAATAAAATTTCAAAGTTAATTTAAACTCTCACAGAAAAGTGCAGAAGAGGGAGGTTTGGGTGAGCAGTTGCGTTATTGCTTAAAACTGCTTTTGATAATTCAGTTAATTATCTTTCTTTTTCAGTGGATTAATTTAGGTTCTACCAGTTTGATAATGGTTACCATTGCATTTAAAAAATGGGTTTGATCAATTCTTTGAAATAAATAAATAACGCTTATATTGTCTATGAAATATCCTTTCCAGGATCCCGCCGCGTCATTTTTTGTTTCATTTCGTAGCATTTTTAAATTTCTTTCAAAACATAATCATCATATTTTGCGCAGCTTTGCGCTGACTATATGTTTTAAAAATTATTTCAGAAAACGTAAATTAAAGTTTTGGAATACATTTTTGTAATCCTATGGAAAACAATATGAATTGTATAATAAAATTTATACAGGTTTGAAAGACAATGTAGCCATATTTATTTTAAAAAATAAATACAACTTTTGTGGTTTTTAGACTTTCTGATGCGTTATTTGGAAAAACGTGAAGTTTCTAGTAATTAAATGTTAGAAATTTATACAGATTCCACTAATAATAGCTAATTGTCATTTAAGTGTACACGTATATGTCTGGAGAATTTTAATTATTTTTTAAATTTAATTAACTAATATTAACAAAACTCAATATAAAAATAAAATTAACTATTTTAATATATAATCAATGACCTAAAAAAAAAAATGGCAACCAACAGATTATGAAAAGCAAGAGATAAATGTTAAAACATTAAATAGTACTTTTTAACCTCACACCGTTTCTCTCATTTATAATCAATGTTATTTATGAACTAGGAAATTTTAGTTTATATAGACCACCATTTTATTAGTGTTTAACGAAATTACTCATAATTTCCAAAATTTGTAAGAACAATTTAGTCTCTAGTTTTCTTGCACTTGAATGAGTTAATAATAATAGTACGATTTTATTAGTTAATGAGTGTTCTAATTGTTAAAAAAATTATTAGTTACTAGATTTAAAACACGGCAAATTTGTATTATATGTGTACACAATGAGTACAAGGCCGTTTTGTTAGAGATGGTTAGGGATACCACCTGAGAGCAATAACAACTGATTATCTACCCAACCAAATCTAAAGCAACATACAGTTATTGTTCGAGAGGGGAAAAAAAGAGTCTTAAGTCGAATGTAATATGCTTGAAAGTTTTTCTTTACTTACGATGACTGCAAGCAATATTTACGATCAATTCTTCTGTTGAGTGTCTGCAGTTTACCACTTTGATGGTTTTACTGCCTCGTAAAAATGGGCAGGTTTTACTATCGTTGAGCCTTTCGGGAACCATGAAGATATTTTATTAATTTAATGAAGTATGTTTATTGACTGAATCTCAAGGTCCTCTGTATAATTATTCATTATTTTTGTTTCTGAGAAACTTGAGATTGAGTCAATAAATAATAATTTTGTCGTCGTTTCGAGACTATGAGAAAAATAAATATTCAGACCCTACAGTTCATTATAGGATTCAGTATTTTATTTTTTATTTATTTTTTTTTTGTAGGGCTTTTCTTTATTTTTCTTTATTTTTTACGATAATTACTCTAAAAGAAACAGAAAGAACATAAAATGATTTTAAGTATTCCCTGAAGGAACAATCAATCCTTCCTATTGAAGAAACATTAACTTTTCTAGAGATTTTATGGATACAATTTTTTTCTTGACACGTGCTTACATTTAGAAGCTTCTATATCATAATTATATACAGAAACCACCATTTTCCGTAGATATTTTTGGTCTAAAATTTATATTTTGTTTTAGGAGAGTAGAAAGTTACAGGAGCTCAATATTGTAACGAAGACGTCAGGATGCAAATCTTTATTTTGTATTAGGATAGTAGGATGTTACAGGAGCTCAACATATATGTAATTAAATGAACTTCTGTATAATTCCAGCTAATTATGCAGCTAATAGGAGAGCTCCTGTAATCTCCTACTCTCCTAATACTAACAGAGAGATAAGTTTAACAATTTATAATGATTTGAAGTGAAAATATAAATAAATAACAATGATATAATTTACTTTGCTGTTGGGCAGAGTGCCGTGCGGCGTTGAAGCTGCCGTGAAGCTAGCCGGGATGGAGGAGGCTGGTCGCTTGATGAAGGAAAGGAAGAGGTGCTTTGACAAGTCGTCGGGGGTGGTCACTTCCAGGTAGGTATCCAAGAACAGTTTGAACCCTTCGTAATCGATTTCCTGGAAACAAAACATTCGTATGCCATTAGCTTTAGCTCATATCTCATGCATTGAAGTTTAAATACAAATGTATATCATAAAATAATTTATTTATCTGAGAATCAGGTAATAATTAGTAATGTTTTTTTTTAAAGCTTTATTTTATTTTTATGTACATTACATCATGTTACAATGATAAATTACATGCTTGTGGTTGCAGTAACCTTACATATGACATACCAGTGGTATGAATGCTATTTAGAAAATTTTAATCAATTTTTTACAGTAGGAAAAACCTCATAAAAAACCTAAATAAGACATAAATGAAAAACTAGATTACATCATAGTAAATACAAGAAAAACAAAATATAATTTATATACTTAAGATAACTATCTATATAAATATACACATATACATAATAGGTAATAATTAGAGATGTTGTGATAATATCTATATCGATAGATATCAATAATTTTCTTATATAGTATCAATATCGTTTTCGAAACAAAAATTTGATATTATCGTAATATCGAAAGAAAAATGCCAATATCTGATTTCGATTTTTTTTTTTTCCCGACCACAATATAAACTTAAATAACCGATTAGTTAATAAGCAGTGACGCGGTTTAGAGAGAAGCTCAGAGATCACCTGGAGTTCTGCTTTTTCCTTCATATTTGGAGGGACAAGCCTGCCTCGGAGTTCCCTTATTTATGATACGCACTTTTTGATTATTATTTTGCTTCTAGTTATTTTATATTTTTTTGTGCATATAGTGTGAATGTGATCTTACCTCACAATAACCAATCTCCAAGTGACAGAATGTTGTAAAATTCAATAAATAAATTTTAAAAAAATTATTATTTAATAAAACATAAAATGAGCGTATTAACATATACAGATAATTCTTATACAATTCAAATATAAAACCTTATATATCTCCATATATTATAAAATGGAGTTACAATATTTTAAAAGAAAACAGTTCGTATCATCGGATTCATTAAGCCAGATAAGGGTTTTGGTTTTATTCACGTTGTACTCTTATCTATAATCTCTTAATTCTATTTTATATGTATATGTATATATTTACAATTTAATATTTCAGAGATATAGTATTTTTTCCTTGTATCGATCCATATCTTCGAACTTTAGATACTGTAATTTTTTAGGTTTTCCCCCATTACCCAAACAAGTCAGCCTCCCCAATACCTGCCCTTACCTTGGTTTTCCAGTTCTAAGAGAAACTTCTAGCTGAACACATCTGTAAGTCTCTAATTTTATTTATTTATTTAATTTTTTGGTTTTCTTTTCGTTCTCCACATTCCTTTTTGTCTATTATTTCATATTATAACCTTTTTCCTTTTCTTTCAATCTCTCCTGTAGATCTGTAAAAGTATATTCACTGCATTTATTATGTATTACACTACAACAATTGTTAACATCTATTTACTTCAGTTTAGGATCTTGTTATTTAGCTTACTCTGTTCATATTTTAATGTACTTACTGTTTATAATTTTAATAAGCTTATTCACATGGTTTATAATTTTTGCCTAAATATTATGTAACTTCCACAATTCTCTATCTTGTCCATTCTAGCCCTCAAGAAGACCTGCAAAGTCAGGTCGAAACGTTGGCTTTTAATAAAAATAGTTCTAAACTAGTTCTAAACAGTAAGTAGTAATTTTAATAAGCTTGTTCACATTGTTTATAATTTTTTGTCTAAATATTATGTAACTTCCACAATTCTCTATCTTTTTGTATCTTGTCCGTTTTAGCCTTGAAGAAGACCTGCAAAGTCAGGTCGAAACGTTTGCCTTTAAAAAAAATAGTTTTACCACTATATAGCCTATTTATGACCGCCATTCCGTACCATCTCCTTCCTTTATAATGCAACGGTCAAATATGTTTCTTCCTAATATTCTAAATTTCATTAAAAATTTTCTCATAATCCTAATCCTGTTATCAAAAATCTGCGATTGAAAAGGTAGTGTCACCGAGATCTCTTGAGTTCTGGTAATGAACAGTTCTCCTTTAAGTATGTATCCAGTTTAACATTCCATTCTTCGACCTTCAACACCTTGTACTTAAAGGGCACCACTAAGAGTAAATAGAAGCGCTGAATTTTTCTGCTTTGGTATCAGCATTTTATGTTAAGTCATCTTAAGATCTTGATTATGTGATGCTTGGAATGAGTGCTTAATGTTTTATATATATATATATATATATATATATATATATATATATATATATATATATATATATATATATATATATAACATAGAATGCATTTTGGTTCTCTATGTGAAATGCTAATGAATCGTAAAAAGTATAATAACGCTTAAAAGGTAAATACTATGTACTACGTAGTGGACGCATATACTACGTACATGTCTAGTATTTTCACATTTCTCAAGATAAAATGTGAACTAGCGGAGGAAAAGGTAACGTTGGTCTTAAATAAAAAAATGTTTTCATTGCAAGAAGTTCAAAGTTATTGAACTTAAACGATAATTACGTTTTATAATCTCTACATTGTTATTTCTGGTTAAAGTACATTTTGATTTCGAAATTAAAGGAGGATAAATACATTTGAAAGGATGCGGGGAATCAAAGACTACTTAGTACCAAGGGCTGGAATCTAACTTGCCTGCTTTCAACGAACTATTTAACTTCTCGTTTATAGAAGTTGAAAATTTAAAAAACAAATAATAAATCAGAGTTGTTGTATGATTAAAATATATTATGTATCGCACTGAATAGATATTTAAACAGCGTTCAATTTTTTTTTACGAATTATGGCGTTTGGGTATTGCTGAAGTTTCTACACTCATTCAAATTTTATAGAATTTAGCCTATTTCCTAAACTACAGAAATTTCGAATAGACCCATTAGTTTTACATAACACTATTTTTAATTTAGGACGGCTGAAACTAGCTGCAGACAAATACCCCTGTAGGGAGCACGCTAAGTTGATAAGTTAATAAAATATTTCATTTGGTATAGACGTTACATAAGCGATCCCCAGGGGCCATCACATAATGGAAACCACTTGGGAGGTTAATCTGAAGAGATAGCTGAAGTAAGGTAAGAGCTTGATTAGAAGGAGCCATCGTGTTTTACGATATAGGGCACTGCCATCATGATCGGGATTACAAGGGCCCACCCTCGGCCTCTCTTCACCTTCCCGAATACCTTCGTCCTCCACCCTTCACCCTTCGGCCTTATTGGACATCAACAATTTACGACTTCGAAACCGTCTAACAACATTACCTACTAAATACCTGCTCAGGTCGATGTGGGCGCCAAATTAAATTTAAGTGTGTTTCTTAGATTTCAATGAAAACCATTTTTTTGTGACTGATTTTTTACAGGATAAAAAAAATGATAGCTAGGGCTGAAAACAAGGCAATGAGAATTTAATTTCCTTCATGAGCTGTTGAATCTTATAGAAGTAAAGTGAATAAAAACCCCGAGGATTCAGAACAGACAAAAAAATTAAAAATTTGTCCCGTCTTCCTATTTCAAATCAAAAATAAAACTGCCTATATTCTTGTCCTCCAGTCCAATTCGATCTTTAGATACTGACTTGTTTAAATCTTGTTGCCTTTAACAAATCCTTCATGATTTAGAAATTATTTATTCATTTACACTAATTTCTTCAACTGATTAATAATAATTATTGTTAATTACCATTATTATTAACACCAATATTTTTTAATATCTTCTTTCAATAATCAGTATCTTCTTTATATTGATCTATTTCATATCAAAATTGATTTAGTGGCACTTACCTTCAAACATACTGGGAAAACATTCACTAGGAGAAAAAAAATACATATATTTTTTATTCATTATGGTTCGTTTTAGTTACTATAATCAATAACTGCAGAAATGTAATTCATTAAACTGACAATGAATGTAGTAACTTTTGCTATTATCATACAATGCTGTTAGCGCCTTCAATTGTTACGAACACCACTCCGCACTACGTGACACAGATGGGCAAATACTACTTTAAGTTATAAAGGTTTTTCACATTTCACATAAGTTCCTGACACAGGAGTGCATCAGACCTCTACTGCTACTTTGATTACTGAGTAACAAGTATTTTACTCAAATAGAATGATTATTGGGAATTCAATCACTACTTCAGTTAATCGTTTGTCATCAACTGAAGAAAGTAATTAAATTCTTTGGTACTCGAAAAAGGTAAGTATTCGAGTAAAATACTTTGTACTCAGTACTCAGAGTAGCATTTGCCTATATATTTACTATTTAATATAATAGTCTGTGGTAAAGACCTGTTTTTATCGAATGAGTAACATCCGTCTGAAACTTCGTAAATAATTTCATTTCATAGTGACCTACAACTATTTTATTTACAAAAACTCTTGGAAATGGGGTGTTTTCAATCTGTAGGAGGGCAAACTTTGTCTATTTAATTAGGTTCTAAAAACTCGTAAATACCCATTTGTTTTCTACTTGGATCACAAAATCGAGAAAAAAGGTGGCCTTCAAAAATATTGAGCCGTTAGGCCCGGACCTACACACCCAAATTTTCAAAATAACGAGATTATATTGGACAAACGACCCAATATTTTTATAGGCCACATTTTTTATCGATTTTGTGATCAAATTATCATACGATCCAGATAGAAAGCGAATGGGTATTTAGGAGTTTTTAGTACCTAATTAGACAAAGTTTGCTCCCCTCCATATTGAAAATGCCCCAATTCCAAGAGTCGTAAGTAAAATAGTAGTAGGTTACGTTGAGGTAAAACTATTTACGAAGTTTCAGGCTGTTAATAATACAATAAAAAAGGGTCTGTACCTATAAATATAATATAATATGATATCAGACAGCCGCGGTGTAAAAGCCTCAGTTGTACGGTACAGACCACATTTTTTTTTTTTTTTTTTTTTAAACTTTTATTATGATATTTACAACTGTATTAGTATAAATACATCAAGTAAATTTGATAACAGAAAATAAAAACATGAAATGACTTGTTGAGAAACTACCCACTGGTAGCACTCTAATAATTTGTCTACATGAGAAGATCACGAGGCCATCTTCTTTTCAGACGCCTCGGAGGGTTATCAGGAATCGAAGAGGAAGCAAGGTTAGAAACAAGAGGATTCGGATGGTTATGAAGTTTATTATGGAAGGATAGGTATCTGGATTTGGCCAAATCGGAAACATATGGTACATTGAGGTCTTTATATTTTATTTTATTAGTGACAAAGTAAGGAGCATTGAGGATTTTACGAAGGTTTTTGGATTGTAAGGATTGGATGCGAGAGGAGTTCGATGGTTTAGTGGAGCCCCATAGCTCAACTCCGTAAGTCCAAATAGGTCTTATTATATATAGTCAAGTATATGAGTCTTTTGTAATTAAGGGGAAGTTTAGAGCGTTTGTCTAGTAAGTGTTGGAGTAGTCGGAAACGTCGAGCGGTTTCTTGTCGTTTCAGTCTGGTATGAGGATTCCAAGTTAGACGTTTGTCCAAGTGAAGTCCAAGGTATCGGATTTGTTCAACAGGGATAAGTGGGGTATTATTAAAGGATACTGTGGGACATGAGGTCATAGGTTTACGTCGAAGGGTAAAGGTGATTTGATGGGATTTATTAGAATTTATTTTAATCCTCCAGTTTTGACACCATTCTTCAAGGCTTGTGATGTGTGATTGAAGAGTTTGGGATGCAATGGTTGGGTCATTATTAACGGATAGGAAACATGTATCATCGGCATAAGTGGTAATAACAGTGTTAGGATGGGTTGGGATGTCAGCTGTATAAACTGTGTAAAGGATAGGACCAAGGATACTACCTTGAGGAGACCACATTTAAAATTAGAAATACAAAATTAATAGATTTAAATACATTTTTTTTTTATTCTCAATAATTTTAGTTTCGCAGTTATAGTCCATGGTTCAGACAGATCGCTTTTTATCAAATTATTAATATCCATCTAAAACTGAATGTATGGCTTCATTTTATTGTGACCTATAAGTTTTTTATCTTCGAAAATTCTCAGAAATGAGGCGCTTTATAATTAAATTAATACAATTAACGAGGTGCTAAAAGCTCATGAATACAGATTTTACTTGCTACTTGAATTGTAATATAATTTTTAAATACAAAAAGTTTACCAATCGTCAGATTTTAAAATTAAGTTTTAAAAATGGTTGAATTGATTAGGGATAAATAATGTCTGTACGAGATTACATCGCTTATGTAAACTTTTACCAGATAGTTCCATATGTAAAATAGCAGGTAATTTTTTACTAGAAATGAGAATCAGTTCCGTCTTTTTTTCGGACACTTTCGGGTATTTTCGAGTATCTAGGATTAGCATGAGCTGTGGCCGACAGCTTGGAGTAGCGAAATGGAACTACCACTGTTTTTTGTTGCTCTTGACGCTTACCATCACTTCTTTAAATATTTCCCATTATTTATAACGCATCCCATACGCTAAGTTGAATTAATGGCAATGGTAATTAATTCGTCATCATTAAATTTATTTATATTTTTATATGAGGAAATCCCTCATCCAGCTTCTTTTGAGCTCCCGAAGCCTGTTTTCGGGCATTGTATCAGTGTGTTAGTATGTTCATGTAAGTTATTGTGAAATTTTTTGTAGTTTGTCCGTATGTGATAATTAACCGTTTGTAACGTACCATGGAGGTTTAGTTCTAGTCCTAATAGTTCTTGACTGAAAGGATTGTATTTTTTTCTGAAAGACTTGTTACTAGAAGTTTTTTTTAAGTAGAAAGTTTATATTTATTTCTATCGAAATTCAAAATATTGAATATGATATATAAACTGAATACATACTATTATTTTATTTTCCTCTTTCCTTGCCTCTCGGCAATACAGATTTCTGGTAGAATTAGCGTGATACTTTTACCACTTATCTTCTGGTTCTTCGTTCTTGGAGATTGAAGTGATCATCCTGCACTATTTTCTTCCACTCGATCACGAATGCTCCGTAGTACGGATAGTTATTAGTGTTGCCCAAACGCGAGACCGAGACGAGTCTTGGTCTTGCAAACTATATGCTGGTCTTGCGCAAGGGCCTCGCAACAGTCTTGCAGTTACCTATCAGCTTAGTACTATACAGATATTACTGTATTTTTTTAGATAGGAGAAATCTAAATACGCCCGAATGAAAAATTAGAACAGTTAAATGCAAAAGTATTGGTTATTCCAATTCTTTACATATAGTATCTAAAATTGTCAAGCATTAGTAACTTGATTTTTATTTAAAAAATCGATTCTTTTTACCAGTCCTGGTCTTGGTCTTGCAACAGTGAGGTGGTCTTAGTCTTGTTCTTGCAAAGTGCCATTACCGATTTTGGGTAACACTAGTAGTTATGCTAACTTACTAGCTGAGGGAAATCGTTCCCCGTGATAATGTAGAGTCCAGTGTCGCTCAGTAGTTTGGCCGAATACATACATACACGAACCAACTATAAACCATATCGTCATATAAATTCTCAACACTGTTTAACACAAATCTCGCAACTTTACAAGAGGTTAAAATAAAAAAAAATGCTATAATTTCATTGTTAGTGCAAACCATTTTCATAATTTATAGCATATCACAATTTTAATACGTTTTGGAAATATATATTTGGCATATACATGATTACTATTCTATCGAGTTTGAAGGAGCTAATCCAGTTATTTACCTAACTCACTTTCGATTTTGTTCTGGAAACTAACAGAAGCGCTGAAGAACAGAAAAATATTCTCCAAAATGTTAACATAACAGCTTTATAAACAAGAATTAAAAACATTATTAAAACAAGTTAAATGGACCTATAATATAGCGTATCAATGTCTACATGGAGGTCAATGATCCAAGGGTGCTTAACTTAAGAAAAAAGGGCTTGAAAATATCCCAATACGATGTTTATTTCTAGGTTGATCCAACCTCTCTAATAGGATCCTTGACGGATACCTGTAGCTGATATAAAGGATGGCTCTAAGAATAGCCACTTCTATTGACTTAAGCTCTAACCGGGCTATATCTGCCTCTCTCCCTTCAGCTCGCTTCATGGCCACTTCACTTCTGGACACCCTGCACCTCCGATGGTAAGGAAGCAACGTGAGGAATGGGTTCAAGAATTGTCGAATGACCACATACAGATGATATAAGTCGTGGATGCTGAGAAGAATACCTTCGAAGTAAAGGATAACTTTTTGCGATAAAGGCTCCTGGAAGGAAGCCAAAGAAAACAGGGCCAGAGCTGGACCC